CAGAGTCGATAATGGCGAAGCCGGCCCGTAGCCATTCCAACTCTGTTACAGAGGTCGAGGCCTGCGTTTCGTCGCCAGAAGGGAGAGGGTCCATCAGGAAAGATGCCAGTCTTCGAGAACGGCTGCTCAGCAACCAAATCGGTAAGTCAAAAATTTGCCCAAATAACTTCCTAGTCTCAATTGTCCATGTAGCAGTGAACTAACTCGAAGGCACATCCTAGGAATCTCCCTTACCATTCTTACGATGATCTTCGCGGTTCACAACTTATACCCTTCGCTTAGACCATACACGTCTCCTTTCTTAACTTTGCCACATTACCGATCGACAAAAGGAATATACGTCCAGGGATGGGACGACTTGTACTTCATCATCGGTTCCATGGTCGCCTTTACAGCAATCCGAGCCATCGCAATTGACTGGATCCTTATGCCCATCGCACAACAACTTGGGCTAAAGTTGAAGGCATCGTTGAGATTCGCCGAACAAGGCTGGCTACTGGTGTATTACATTGTCTTCTGGTCCTATGGTTTGGTCAGTGGAGTTTGACTGGCGCTTCATATAAATCGCATTGCTAATTCGTATGCATATAGTATATTTGGATGAATTCAAAGTACTGGATGGATTTCCGAGAAATTTGGACGGACTGGCCGTCGAGAGAGATACCAGGCTATTTCAAGCTGTATTGCCTGTTGCAGTTGTCATTTTGGTTGCAACAAATTTTCGTCATCAACATTGAGGAAAGAAGAAAAGACCATTATCAGATGTTGACGCATCATATCGTCACAAGCACCCTTCTCGGATCAGCTTATGTTTACAGCTTCTATAACGTGGCCAACGTTGTTCTATGTATTATGGATATTGTAGATTTCCTCCTCCCGGTGAGCTAGGCTTTTCCCAACCCGTGAGCTCACACAAAGCTCATACTAACAGCATGAATAGGCTGCGAAGATGCTAAAATATATGGGTTACGAGCGCATTTGCACCATTGCATTCGGGGTCTTCCTAGCCACATGGTTCATTGCCCGCCATGTGATTTACATGATGTTATGGTGGTCCATTTACCAAAATGTTCCAGATGCAATGTCATTTGGATGTTATCTGGGCGCAACCGGCCAGAAGCTTATTGACGTATCTCCCGATTCCTGGGGCTCACTCATATATCCGTTTCGGGATATCGATGGACCTATTTGCATGAGTTTCCGCATCAAATGGGCCTTTCTCACTCTGCTCCTAATACTTCAGATGCTCTCTCTTATCTGGTTCGGCATGATCCTTCGTGTGGCAGTGCATGTGCTTCGGACAGGCTCATCCGCGGAGGATACCCGCAGCGACGATGAGGGCGAAGAATCAACTGAGGCAGTCCGCCCTGTTCGCCGAGGCAGCCCTAGAAGACAGGAAGATTATGAAGAGAATGGATGGAGTAAATCTGTTGCGGTCAACGGTTCCGCCCAGAATCATCACCCGGTGCGAATCAGAACAGCTCGCGGCCGCGTTACACTCAGCGATCAGAACGAACGAAAGGCTTTACTCGGCAGAATCGGGTGCGACAAGCCTTCTTAAGAGGAACAGCACTTGATTCCGAAGAACCGGCTTCCATTTGTCCTTTTACAAGCATACATGGCTGCAGGGAATATCCTAACCGTACTGTTTTTGCTTTGCTTATACCCCCATCGTTTCATTTTCCTGTTGAAAAATGAATTGACGCTCTCTCGCCGAATTTCTCTTAATGTTTTTTTTCGGATAGGGCGGTGCATTTCTGAGGGTTCTTTTACCTTACTTGTACTATTTACTAATATGGCATTCTTCTTTCATTGGTATCTTTGTTTCCAAAAGGAAAATATGGACAAATGTTGCGCAAGTTTCATCGACTAGATGGATGATATTATTGCTAAAGCTCCTTTGCTCGCTTTTTGATCGTCTTCCTCATCCCCCTTAATGGTTGTTTGGTGTAAGTGGAGATTTGATGGCCCAGTTGCTGCAAGGTTATTGGCGATCAGCTCAACTCAGGACCCTGCACAAGCTGTCTATATCCAGACCATGGTGTCACGAATGATAATGTCTGCGCTTTGCTTCCAGAATTGATTCGCATCCCATTACTCCATACAGAGTACGGGGTCTAAGCTTACCGGTCAAAAATATCTTAACTATACATAATGTACATACATACCTAGCGGATAGATGGGGGGGGTTTAGTGTGGGTGATCACCCAGGTTGCTGCCTGGTTACTGCCAAGCCGCCAAATAACCTGTTTGGACCAGGGAGGGTGGGAGGTGGATTATATAATCAGTACAGAGTGATCAAGATCACCAACCTTTTCAGCTCCATCTCAATCCATTCTGTATTGTACAGGAGCTTCTGCTTCTGATGAATCTACATTAATTGACATACTCTCTGCAACACTAGACAGCATGGCCACTCCAACTCTGAACAGCCAGTCTGCCCTGATGGTGGAGATGGAGGCACGCGTACGGCATGCACTTGATAGCGCCCTGGATGCCCGGCCAAAGAAGACCCGGATGCAGTATGAGTCGCGCCAGGAGGAGTGGAGGGTAGGTATCTGTATTATATGCATCCTCTTGTTGATTCTTGCTCTCTTCTGCCCTGTTCTCATGCCGTACGACGCATCTGCATTGGCCTGGCTGACACCCTCTGGCTTCTACTTGCTAGCATTTCTGCCGGACGAAGGGCTTCCAGGATGGAGAGCTGGTGACAGAGCAGAAGCTGCTCTGGTTCCTGTCTGAATGTGTGGTTGGCCGTCCAGCCAAAAGATCCTGCCATTCCCGCGACCGTACAAATGAGAATGGAGAGCCTGTTGTGCAAACCCTGGACCAATCATTTATCAAGGTTTACAAGACTGCAATTGTCAATCTCTGGAGCTATTAATAGAGCTGTTGTACAAACTCTTACTCTCATTCAGTTGGCCAGGCCGTCCGGGCCCTGCTTGAAACCCATTCAAGACAGGAGCATGAACGCAAGAAGGCAGAGTTTGTGGATCGCGGCGCAGGAACCCTGCTGGATGGATATCATGAGAAGGACATTGTACGGCTGGTTGAGTACTGCTGGCAGGGCTGGTCAGAGTCCAAAAAAGGCCAGTCAGTGGAGCCACATCTCCGCACTGCAGTGGACTTCCTAATGGGCCACAGCATGCTTCTCCGCGGTGAATCCCGCCGTACGGCACAGCTGGCTGATCTCTTCACCCTGGAGCTGACAAATGAAGGCCCAACCCCTTGCTTCCCCATGGTTTTGATCATGGGAAATGGCAAGACTAACCAGATGGGCCGGATTGAGTATGCCACAGTGATGCGCCATCGCAACCCCTTGCTCTGCACCATGGCACAGACAGCCTTTTACCTCTTCTACCGATGGGACATTGTACGAGAGCCACCACCCCAGTTCCACAACCGCCAGGACTGGTACCAGCTGCACCTGATCAAGGGGGATGATGTGAGGAAGCCCCTGTCGTACGAGACCCAGCTGGACTGGATTCGACGTATCTACAGTGGGACAGGGCTTTCTGGCCTGAAGAAGACCCATGCTGGGCGAGCTGCTGGAGCCAGGCATGCAGAGCAGGTTGGGGTCAGTGAGGGCCAGATCCGCCGTGCTGGAAGATGGAACAGTGATGCCCTCAGCCAGTGCTATCTGACTAACATCCCCAGGAAGTTTGTACGGGCCATGGCTGGCTTTGACTCCCGCACACCTGGGAACTTCTACCTGCCGCGGGCCAGGGTGCCTGTGCCTGAGTCACTGGAGCGCGCTGTCTGGCCCTGGGTTGACGACTGGATGCGGTGGTTTGAGTCGTACGATGCCCAGGACCCCAACTCCTGCCTCCAGGGGCCAGAGCTGAGAAGATTTTCAGATCAGAGTGGTCCTTGGGACCAGCCCAGGGGACCTTCTGCTGTGCGGCTGGATAGGGATGATCTGGCTGCTCAAGGGTTTCTACGCCTGCTCCATCATCTCCGTACGGTCCTCCTGCAGGACTCTGTCATCCTTCAGCCTCTCTTCCCCGGCCACCCCCTGTGGACCAGCCCTGTGTTCATGAGGGAGGACTATCGTCAGTTTGCAGAGGCAGTCCGGGTGGCCAACACCCACAAAGAGGAGCCGTACGAAATGCAGCTGCAGCAGACAGTGCCCATGGTGGCAGATCAGCTGTGCATTGTACAGCAGGATCTGGGTGTGGCCTGTGGTCATTTACATACTGCCCTGGAAACAGGACTGCAAAAAATTAACAACCAGTTAGAAGCACTGACCAGTGGGCAGGTTTCTTTTCTTGTACAAGCATTTCCTGCTGGTCAAAGAATGATGACAGCAGCTGCTGCCTTTGAAGATAAAGATGAAGAGAGAGACAGTGGTTCTACAGCATCCAGAGAAGCACAAGCCCCAGCCTGTTCATTAGAGATAGCTCCAGCCTCTGCTAGTGCCTCTGTTCCAGCCACATACCAGCTTTCTCGTACAATCACTACAGTCCCAGATCTGTGGCAGGAATGGACAGTTGGTCTGGGGGGTGGCCCTTCAGTACAGAGTCTAGATGCCTTGTACGGAGCAAAATGGCGGCCAGGTGGCACAGAGAGAATGTTCTACAGCAGAAGAAAGGTGATCATTGATTATATTAACAGACAGAGACAGGGGAGTGCCAGTGGCAGTGCTGCTGTAGAGGAACTAGAGCTTGTACGGCAGCGTGGGAAGCTCAGTTTGAACAGACTATCCAGAATGCTGCGAGTGAAAAAGAAACTGCCCTGATTCTTATTATGGCAAACCCTGTCCATCATACCCAGCACGGCCCGTCGTACGATAGGAAGATAAAGAAGAAGAGATGCTGAATACATGATGGTGGTTTGCTTGGCTTCACCCCTTAGGGCTACTGGTCCTGGACACTGCGTAGAAGTGCAAACCATGTCCAGGTGCCGTACACAGGGCCTGTACGACTAGGCAAGAGCAGTTGAGAAAAATCACAAAGAAAAGAAAGAAAGCAGACAAGCCAGAAAAGAAAGTCCATGCATACCTAGTTTAAGGTGATAGGATTGCTCTGAGAGCCATCCTCTGGCTCCTCAGGCTCCTCAATCTCGTACGGGAAGACCGACGGCGGATCTCCAGAGCGGGGCGGGGGGGAATTGGTTTCAACATGGATGGGATCATTTGCTGTCCCACTCTCAAGGAGAAGAATTGGGCGGGCAGGAGACAGTCCCAGGCTGGCCCTGCTGCCTGGTGTGTGTGGGTGGCCAGCAGCTCTGTACGAACTCGGTCCTCTGTCATCATACCTCACTGCAGATTCTGGCCTGCCATGCAGAGAGCAGCGGGATGCATAGTCTGGCCATTTGCAGTTCCCGCATGCGCCTCCAAAGTGACCGTACGCACGGCGGCACAATGGGAATGGGGCCATGGGCTCCATCTCTGTGCATCTGTTGCAGATACTGCTCCAGTGCAAAGTTCTCCCGCGTGACTGGATCAGAATTGCATTGATGTACGACTGGCGGTGCATGTTAATCTGGTAGGGGAAGATTCGTCCGAGAACAAACTCCACATTCCTTCCTGGTTGAGCAAGCAGTCGCCGTGACTGAGGGGAGTGGGCGTACGGGGCCAGCTGATTCTGTCCAACAAAGAGACAGGGTGGTTGACCATCAGTTTGGGCCCGGGCAGCAGCTTCAGCAAGGTCCTGCTCCATCTGGTCAGGGTGGGAGGGGGTCCATCGAACAAGCGCCCTATATCAACGAGTCAGCGCCTCCTTCTCGCATTCCACCAACACACAGGGCCGTACAGACATTTTCTTTCTCAGATTTGTGGGGGGGAGAGGGGGGAGGGGCGAGCGGAGGTCTTAGCGGCGGAGGACGTTGTAGCGACACGAAATTGTGAAATTGTTCTGTGAGTCAGTCAGCTTGCTATCGTACGATTGATGGATGATGGCTGATGCATAATCTACAGGAAGACTCACGAGAGAAGCAAAGCAATGGTGGCAATGAAGGCTCTGATGAACAGGCTTAGAGTAAAAGAAAGAGAGAAGAGGAGAGGAGAGGAGAGGAGAGAAGGAAGAAAGGAAAAGAAAATCTGTTGTCAAGACGATGCTTAATCTACTGTTTACTGATTCTGATACTACCTGCCGTACGGTGTATCGGTATGGTGTATATAAACAAACAGAGCATCGGGGCAGCATCACAGCTGCATCAGGCGCTGGTGCTGAGCAGCACTGCTACACACACACTCTGCCCCGTACGGGATAGAGAATAGTATAATCATACTATGTAGGCATCTAGCTATCTACAGAACCTATATTTGGCTGCTCTACAGGACCTTCTCTGAGATCCCCAGCTGCTGACCTGAGCTATCACAGATGGTCGGTCGGTCGTCCGGTGGGTGCACCCCGATACTGCTGTTCCAGCCGTACGGCGCTGTCTGAAAGACCTCTGTAATAAAGAACTCTCACTGGTCCAAATGGCTGACTCAGCACCACCCTCTGTACCAGCTAGTATGCAACCGCCAAGATAACCGTACGACGCCAACCTCCCAGAAAACCCGGTTATTTTTGCGGTCTTGCTGACTAACCCCCTGTCTAACCAGGTTACATGGGGCGCCTGGGTAGTAACCCGCCGCAACCTGCCACCCCGCTAACTATAAATATCCTTTTAATTTTGAAGCGCTCCATATATGTAAATACATACTCCGTACTCCGTATCTCCTGGAAACTCTATTAATATTCATCAGTCCCTTCACTATTACCTGGGGCCTGAGATGCCCCAACTGTGTGGTGAACCAAGACAATCGGCAAGCCACTTTCCTCATATCAACCCACCCTGAGATAATTAGGAAAGGTTCCTGTGGCTCTCGCGTGGGTCAGATAGAGCTTTGCAAGCTTCATCCAATGGCATCAGCAATCAAGCCCACCTTCACATGCGAGCAGTTCTTGGCGGTGGCTGAGCTTCAACCCACACGACCTCTGAGATGGCACTAGCGGCCACAAGTCAAGGGATGGTGATTTTGGAGATTCGCGGACAGAGTTGTCGATATCAATATTCAAGATTCAAGGGACCGTACAGATGAAAAAGCCTCGTCCACGTCTGCATAGCTAATCTTTTGTTGGTTGTTATCTTGCTCCGCTCCCTCCGCCTCGTCCATACTGCACATCAGACAGCCGGGCTCAGCTTTCCAATTTCTTTCCATACAATGACCCAATGCCGCAAAGTCGATGTGATATCTCTGATCGATAAGGGTTTATGAGTGGTGTTAGCTGTAGACATGGACGCATCGCATTGATTTCGACGTCGTTGGATACCAACGCAAAGACAACGCCCAATATCAAATGGAATAGAGACCATAAATATACTACCCTCGTGTGAAGTGGATGGTCGTCAAAACATAGGCCCAAAGACATTATGGCACCCAGGCAGGTTAAAATTAAAGATGTCTTCGATTCGTTTGAAGTCGATGGTCCGGCTGTAGTCACCAATGCTATCATCTCTTGATGTTCTTTTTACGTTTTGAAGTTTCTGTCTAACCACCATGTTAGTAGTGAAGATGTGATCAAAGTCCTATTATGAGAACTCTGCTTCGCTCTAGGTTACATATTTGCATACAGAATCGGATGTTGATGGCGCTACGAAGCCAAGCTGCGTATCTAGATATCAAAATATCAAACTCTAAAGAAGGCAACAGCCCATTGACATTACAATCCTCCTCTCTCGAAGTGGCATGTGGATATGTGGAATGCTGATGTCTTGGTATGCCCAACAGCGATTGTTAGATAGAGATCCATATTTTCTCACGCCCCATACTGACAGCATGCTATGAATAGGATATCTTTGTGAACACTCTGATTTTTACAGACTACCTTTGCCGAAAATGGTTCTCACAGCGGGCCCGCCTCCAATCAGATTCCTTAAAAAGTAGCGATAAACCCTGGGGCATCGGACAGAAACTGCTCTGTAGTGCATTTCAAAACATGCGCTCTTTCAAAGGGAGGCTATCATCCATGGCAAAGGGAACCAAGCAGAATTTGGCCCTGATACCAAACAGCTCCCTCAAAGATTACAAGAAGTATCTTGAAAGCTCCTGAGGAACTTTTCATGCAATGTTTGCGTAATTCACTCGCTTGGACACCCCGAGCGGTCGAAACAGCTTAAGTCACTCACAATTGATAATTAACTGTGGTTATCCGGTTGTCTACATGAAAATTCACGTCTTATTACAACTGGGTACGCCATCCATGCTTCAGTCTGCTGCTCCCAAGATCTGTTCTCTTTCGGCTTTGGTGGGTCTCCTGATGTAAATATTCCGCCAAGCCGGTGCTGTCAACAATAATTGCTGGCTGCCCCATAGCCGATCTTGTGTCTTTCCGATCATAAAAGAATATTTAGCCGAGTTCGAACCGTCGCCCATATGGCTTAGTTGGTAAAGCGTATCACTAGTAATGATAAGATCCTCAGTTCGACTCTGAGTGTGGGCATTAAAGCACGCTTCTACCTTCGTGTCTTTCTTTTTGTCGTTTTAGCCAGGGCTGTTGTTCGAAACGCTCCAGGTCTGCATCTTTAACTGCTCTCCAAGCTTGATGACAGTACTCAGGGTTGCCACACACTTTCTTCTGTTAGATGTATTTATTCATAACACATATGTCTACACATGTTGTAAGGCTTTTGACATTAAACGAACACAATTTAACATGAAGCCGGGGTGAATACATAGAAGCTATTGTTGGTTCTAATCTACTCATTGCTTGTTTGGTCTGAACACTGTGATCCTCTCACATATGTATGTTCCAGGACTACCAATGGACAGGGACTACATTGCAAGCTAGAATATCCCATCATCGCCTATGCCTTAGACTTTTTGCTTTTCTTGGATTTTTCTGGTTTCTCAACTTTCCCCAGTTTATCCTTAATCTCTTTACCCTTTGGATCCTTGGCTTCTGATGGATTTGACTTGGATGGCTTTTCGGTATTGTCTGCAACGACAGTGGGAGTTTTGGCCTTGGGCCTTTTATCCTTTTTGCTTTTGGTTTCTCCGTTCTGGGCTTTCCTAGTATCGGCCTCTTTAATCTTGGCCGGCTTCTCATGGGTAGCTTCTTTGGTCTGTTCAGACACAGGCGCATCTGCCTTCTTCGCGCTTGCATTGGCAGAATCCTTGCTCTTTTTCGATTTCTTGGTTGCCTTCTTGAGCTCTTCCTGTGCGTCAGGTTTGGTTATGGCCTTTGGCGGCGCTTCAATAGCCTTGGGAGCCTCAATGTTATCATCCTCGATCGCAGTTTTAGCTTGTGCCAAGGTCTTCTGAGCGGGGACTCCGTCCACACTGGCCAGCTTGGGCAAGTCTATTTCATAACCTAAAGCCTTCATTTTCTCGGCTTTCGCAGCTCTCTTCGATTCTTCCTTTGCAATCTTCTTCGACCACTGGTCTCTTGTTTTGCCAGCCTCTAGCTGCTTTTTCTCGATCTGATTCCACGGCACGCTCTTGAATCGCCTGTTGGCACCCTTGAATGTCTCTGGGTGGAGTTGGTCTTGCGGCACGAACTTGCATTTCAGGATGTGGCCAAACATTAGATAATTGTCCATAGTGTCAGCAACGATTTTAGCGACGGATTCCGACGCGAATTCAATGTAGCCGTAGTGCTTGGATCGGCCCGTTGTGCGGTTACGAGACATTCTTAGGCGAGTGATGTCACCAAATTGGGAGAAATAGGCCCGCATTTCATGTTCATAGAAACCATGGGGAATACGTCTGTAGGTCAGGATAACATTAGCTTTCCGGTGTTCTCATAGTTATCATATTCGAGAACTCACCCAATATAAACAGTACCCGGTTCCTCAGGCTCATCGGTATGATTCTTTTTCAATTTGCGAATCTTCCGTTTGACCTGCTTAGAGTCTGGAATCTGAGGAACTGCTTGTCCGGGTTCGAATCCCTCGTCTCCAGAGATATCCTCCTCTCCGCTGCTATCAAACCCTCTAATCAAGGCGAGCGTCTGATCATCCTCGCTTTCATGCTCATTATCTGCGCGAACCTCGACTTCCTTCTTAGATTTCTTGAATGACTCCTTCTTTTCTTTAGCATTCGCATCATCCTTTTTCAAGGAGACTTTTTCAGTCGTAGTAGTCGTAGCTTTAGCCTCTTCCTTTGCTTTCTTTTTAGGACGCTTGACGGATTCATTCGTAACACTCGCTGAGTCCTTCAATGCGTCCTTTTTATCTCTTTTTGTGATCTCGTCTTCCTCGTCGCTGAGGAAGTCGGCGGCTCGTTTCCGTGGTTTGATATCGCGAGCTGGGGCATTGTCCAAGTTGAGAGGTTTTGTAGCCTTGCCATTAGTGACATTATTTGGTTTTTTATCCTTAGAGGCACCCTTTGATTTAGTCTCTGTTGGAGCTTTCGCGTTTTTCACAAAGGACTTCTTGGATTTTTTGGACGGCGGGTCGGTCTCGACTGCACTGGAACTTGAAGCGGCTGTAAACGCATGTTAGTGAGGTTAATGCTACAAGCAAGCATTAATAAATACCTTTGCGCTTCTTATCTTTCTTTTCTGCAGCCATTGGACTCGATACGCGTGGATTCTGCGTTTGTTTGCGGTCTGGCTAGTGTTTAGATTTTCGGAACTCTGTACGGAGTAGCTATCCATTTAATTTTTTTTTTTGAGTTCACGGTTGCCGCCAAGACTTCCCTCCGCTGTGCAAACAAAACAAACGCGTCGACCTAACCTCCGCCGTCCGCGTGTTCTTGGCGCCGACGAGTGACATCTTCACAAGCGAAGATGGGGAAACGAAAGAGAGGCCGAAAGGACAGGCCCTTGACACACGAAGAAATATGGGACGACTCTGCATTGATAGAATCCTGGGAAGCGGCTGCAGAGGAGTACAAGGTAAGCTTCTGTCCCGCAAACAGTAGCAATATTTTCTGTCACAAACATGGCTTGCAACCTCTGACATGCTGTGTTTCATCAGCTCTATCACAGCATTCAAGCAAAAGGGGAGAATATTGAAGATGCTTTACGAGATTATGAAGCTAACGAGGCTGCAAAGGCGGCTGAAGAGGGGAATGAGATTGATTACGGTGATGACGATGCTGCGATTCAAGACGACGGCGCGAGCGCTCATGACTTACGGCCTGGAGCGGCAGCTAGTGGAGAGGGCGGCGAAATTATGGAAGAAGGAGAACCAAAGGCAGCTCGCTCATACGCAGCACAGGTATGTCTATGTCATGTTTCTTGAAGTCGCTTTTCCCATCCTACTCTCGAACACCTTTTGCTCTTCCTTTCGGAACCCAATGATGCATATCAAGGCCACTTGGTTTCTAAGCATACCACAATAGGAGCCAGCGCCAAAGCGGCCGCGTCAGAACGAGACCCAAGGTGTTCCTGTAACTCAACCCGAAGCTAACCAATCAAGCGGGGCGTTCACGAGCGTTCCGCATATGGTTCTGGGGACAGCTGACGCATCCACCGGTAAGCCGCCTTTATGCCACAATCAATCTGGGAGGCACCTTCTTGCCAAGCATGCTGACCATGGCCTATCACTTTCTTTTACAGCCCAGGAGGATGAGAGTTTGAAGAACCTCATGATGGCTTGGTATTTTGCCGGATATTATACAGGGCTCTATGAGGGCCAACGACGCGCAAACCCGCAGCCACCAACTTGACTCATGTTAACTGTATTTGGAATCAGCGCTATGGCTTTCATGCCAACTTGAGTAAGTCGCTGATAGATTCAGGGTACCCGAGACACAAGCCGCACCGCGTGGGAGTGGCAAGTCCGAAAAGGGCATTATATCTTAATTGAAATCCACTATTGACTGCCGAAAGCGGGAGTGTTCAACCTGGCGAAGTGGCTTAGAGTTTCATTTTGGGGAAATGCCATGCATTGGCTGACTGACATATCGGCATATGGACTATCCCGAGCCAAATTAGTTCAAGCTCGAGCCCGAGCGTCTCTCTTTGAGCCCCAGAGGATCTGCCGGCTCCCCAAAGCACAATACCAATTGTTCACTGGAGCCCAGTTTGACACCCTTAGTACCTGTCGAGCAAATCTAGGCGCAAAAGGATTTTGATTGCGGAACTACTGTATTTAATTGGCAACAATGCATGGTATATCTTCTTTCCAGCCACGATTTCGCTGCAAAAGCGCGAACATGGCTTATCGCGCTCACAACTGAAGGTGCGTGTGTCTTGAGCCCTGAAACACGGGGCCCGTTAGCGTGAGACTATTGTGACACACCCCAGACCCTCACCAACGTCAGAACTCTCGACGACAATGTTCCAGCATCTTGCCAAATCCAAAAACATCACATCAAGCAAAGACTTTTTTGGCTGAAAGTGGGACTTTGGCTGTCTGATGTGAACATGTCGAGTCCTCAGTTTAAGACAGGAAGTGTTCCAACTTCAAGAATTGGGAAAGCCCCTAATTTAATGCTGCATTTAACAATGGACAGTTCCCCCTGGATAAATCTGTCCACGCTCCTGTTCTTTTCCCCCTCGTCCAGGAACGAGAAGCTTTGTCTCTTGTGGTGTTAGACCGTTCTCTTCTCATATTCGTTCATTCCTTGCTGGGCTGGATCTCTTTCGTTCTAATACAAGCTGGTGCAATCCTTTTGATGCCCACGAGCAGGTTCTCAATTCTATATTCTTTCACTCAGCTTTTCGATATTTACAATTACCGGCCCGCGGATTTCTAGGTCGTAATACCCTTCGCTTTGTACCACGGCACCTTTGCCTTACCTTTTTTGTTTCCATTTTAGCCTTTCAAGATCTTTGTTCCCACGAGCGATAAGAAAACGAAGATGACCCGACTCCTCCCTTTGCTTTCTCTTATTGCGGCAGCAATAGCCACGTCCCATGAAGGCATGGCAGCCACAGCGATGGCGGGCGGTGACAGCTCACTGCCATTTGCACTGCCATCGGGAATGGAAAGTCAGCTCGGTGGAGACGGTCAACTCGGTGGTGGAATACCCACCGGTGGTGAAAGTCAAATGGGAGGCGAAGGCCAGGCCGGTGGGGAAGTTCAACTCGGTGGTGAGGGCCAACACGGCGGACAAGGTCAGACGGGCGGTATAGGGCAGATCGGTGGTGAGGGCCAAATGGGTGGTGTGGGCCAGCACGGCGGAGAAGTTCAACTCGGCGGCGGGCAACAGTTGCCTGGAGGTGGACTTGGACAAGGGAATACAGTTATCGGAGGAGGTAATCGTGGAATCCATGGAGGTGGCGGCTCCAATGTCATCACCGTGACAATCATCACGACAAATAATGGCGGAGGTGCAAATACACATGTATGGAACCAACCTCCAATGAAGCAAGGAGTCATACACCAGGTTCGTGCCTTCGTCGACCCAAACAGTCCTACGTGTATGCTAATAAACTCTAGGTTACCGTTGGAGGCGATGCCGGCCTTGTCTTCACGCCTGAGACGCTCAACCCTGCTGTTGGTGATATGGTCCATTTCACTTTTCAATCCCAGAACCACACTGTCACTCAGTCTACATTTGACCAGCCCTGTCTCATGATGGGAGGCGGCGTGGATTCTGGTTTCATGCCGAACCCGAACAACACAGTGAATCCGCCTCCAACTATGATGTTCCAAGTTACCACCACAGATCCAATCTGGATGTACTGTAAACAGGGACCTCACTGCGAGAGAGGAATGGTATTCAGTCTCAACCCCACAGCAGAACAATCCCACGAAGAATTCAAGAGAAAGGCGATGGAATCCGGCGGCGAGGGCGGCCAAGGCGGAACTCCTCCACCACCACCTCCTCCTCCACCGGCCGAAGGTGGAGAGCTTCCTACATCGATTGGTGGTGAAATTCCCGTTGGGACCGGTATCCCAGGAATTGGAGACCTCCCACTTCCAGGAGAAGGCGGACTCGGTGGTGAAGGTGGTCAAGGCGGCGAGGGTGGCCAAGGCGGTGAAGGTGGTCAAGGTGGTCAAGGTGGTCAAGGGGGCCAGGTCATTCCAGGAACCGGAAACATGGGAGATGGTGCTTGCTCTTGCTCTTGTCTATGCGGTGCCTCGGAGTTCCCTCCTGGGGCGGGCCAGGGAAGCGTAGGCGGTTTTGGAGGTATGTTTGGACATCCCAAGATCAAGCTCGGGGTAAAAGCTAACAGGAGATGATTAGGAGCCATTCCAATGTCTCCGGCTCGGAAGCGTGCCGTTCCTTTCTGGTACTAAGCACTTATTTTGATGGCATGATGACATAGTTCGCATTCGACTATTGCCTTTTTGTGCGATGCGAGCAAATACCCCCCTTTCAATACATTTTCTCTGCGATTCTTTCTTGTAAATTTCGACGCCCTATGTTTGAATGTTGAACATTCCGATTCCTGTTATTTTTTCGACTGTGCTTGGACGTTCCTCTTGTAATATCTCTGATGGATGGAATACAGTTACTTTAAAGACCGGCTTGATTACATGGGTTGCAAACATCTTTTATTTTTCCCTCGCATGTTGTATGAAGATACCGCCAGAGTGATAATGTCAGAAATCAAAATTACTCTATCAACGGGTAAGCCACCTTATACAAAAGGAAATAATGCTGCACTTCCTCTAAAGTTATTACACACATCGAGGCCAATATCCAACACCTTGCCGCCTGTATGCGTGGAATGTCTCGCAAGCAGTACCTATGAGGAATGTATCTCACATATGTTGCACATCTTGCCTTATATAGGGAAAAGGGCAGACGTAAGACTAGAGAGACAATGAGTTTGTAACTAGATAAATTCGATGTCGGCATACTTTTGACCTCGAAAGTCATGGGAAATAAGGACGGACGAGACTTCGATGATGCCTTGTAGTAAGAGTCGGACACGAGAGCCCTGGTTTTGTGATATAAATGGACGGGAATAAGTCAATAATATACTAGGCAACGATAGCGTTCCTCGAATTCGATAAAGCGATGTGGTATGACAGGGAAACTCTTGAGGACATATCTCATTTGCGGTTACTAGAATGTTCGGAACTACCTCAGTCAGCGTTCAACAATTTTTGCAGCTCTGTTATCGATTTGGCCAGGAATCCAAGTCAGGGAAGAGATCGGCATGGTCCAATCATTATATAGCGTGCATCACAGCGCCCGCTCTGAATCTGCTCCAGCCCAACCCAGCTCCAGCAGCATGATGCCTTGTTACACCTCCCAGTTACCATTAGTATCAAAGGTAAGCAGTAAACTTGGGACAAGAAAAGGAAAGGAAAACAAATAATATATGCCCAACAGCGAACCCATCAATCTCATGTTGGCAACGTAGCGGAGGGAAGGTTGGGATTAGAACGGGCATTTTTCTTGTTCATTCTTGGTCTCTGACATAATTTGTTAAGGCAACAGAAAGCATACCAAACAAGGGTATTTTTGAGACCTTGGTTTATTGTTTTTCAAAATCGATGGGAGAAAGAAGAAGAGAGATTCGAGCAGCCGGAAAGATGAAAATTGTTCGTGCTGAGTGAACGGGGCTAGCCAATTTAGGGATAGCGGGATTCCTCGGCTTGGGGTTGCCTAAAGATTGGCTTCGAAGAAGAAATACATAGTCAACGGGGTGGAATTAAGTAGAACAACCACCAGTTTTGGCCTTGAGAAAGTGTTTGATTTGATATCCATTGCGCGCAAGTTCATCAAAGCATCCAGGTAATTACAGAGGCACAACACATATCGTTACTCCATGGATGTACACATGTAGTACACAGTTGCAAAGGTGAGTAAAGGGTCTTAGAAGCGAGCCAAGACCTTCTCCGATGTGTCCGCCATAGCCCAATCATTTCTATGCTCCTTACTAAGGACTCTGTTCATTTGTTCCACTGTGAAACCCTTAGCTTCCACTGCAGGGTTATATCCAAGGCCATTCTTCCTTCCGACTTCTTCGTTCGAAACTGCTTCGGCAACCTTGCCGTCGGCGCGCTTATAGACAGTAACAACAACAGCTCCACCTAGTCCAAGGTTATGCTGGAGAGCGGAATCGGTACCCTTTACCATGCGGTTATTGGCCCATCCACGGAGGTGCCAGGTAAGCTCCGCACATTGAGCAATACCAGTAGCTCCTAACGGGTGGCCCTTGGAGATGAGTCCGCCAGAGGGATTGATGACCATCTTGCCACCGTATGTGATGTCTCCGCGGCGAACCATCTCATGAGCCTTTCCGGGATCGGATAGTTCTAGGGCATCAATGGTGATCATCTCGTTGGCAGAAAAACAGTCATGCAGTTCGCAGACTTTGATATCCTTAACATTGACGTTCGCCTCTTCGCAGGCGGTCTGGCAAGCATGTCGGCCCATATCGAAACCCATGAGGCTAATGGAGCTTCGGTTGTAAACTGAAGGTGCATCGGTAGCAAGGCACTGACCGGCAATCAGGATGGCTTGGTCCTTAAGATGTGGACGAGCATCAAGGAAAGCTTGGGAGACGACGACGGCAGCAGCACCGCCATCGGAGGTAGGGCAACATTGGAGTTTGGTCAAGGGATGGTGGATCATCGGGGCCTTCATGACCTGTTCAAGAGTATATTCATCGGTGAATTGAGAGTAGGGGTTGCGCTTTGAGTGCTCGTGGTTGATGCGGCCAATCTCGGCAAAGTCCTCGGGCTTAGCGCCATACCTAGTTTAGAAAGTTAGGTCGATGCACGAATCACTGAAGGCAGCAGAAAATAGAGGCTTACTTTTCCATATACTCTCGTCCAGCATTACCAAACATCTGGGCGGCCCCTGGCGCATTGGTAACACCTCTTGTGGCAGCCATCATGGCACCGAATTGGCCAGTAGGGTTTGCACGATCCTGGAAATGCGACTGCAAGCTTCCAGGGTTCATTTTCTCGAATCCAACCACAAGAACGCAGTCAGCAGCACCGTGAGAGACCATTGTCCTAGCCATCGCGAGACCTGTGGAACCCGTGGAGCAATTGTTGTTCACATTGTAGATTGGGATCTTTGTCAAGCCGAATTGATAGAAAACACGCTGACCGCATGTGCTGTCGCCGTAGCAGTAGCAAGCGACTCCCTGATCGACCTCATCATATGTGATGTGGGCATCCAGCATTGCCTTGACGCCGGCTTCGAAACCAAGCTCAGTGTAGTCAACCTTTCCGCGGGGCTTAATGAATTTCGTCATGCCCACGCCCAGGATATAGGCGGGAGAAGCGGCTCGTTTGCCCATGTTGGAGGATGAATGTGTTATTTCTCGGGAAAGATTAGCTGCATAAACAAGTTTCTCTCTGGTCAGCACAGGTCCGTCCTCAGATTCTAGAAGAGCACGTGCAATTTCGAGGACGGAGAACTCACAGGGATCAAAGTATCTCGAGAGATAAGTTTTGCAATGATCTCTATGGCAGGGCCTAATCTCTTCTCTTCAGCGAACTTCGAGTTGTCCGGAAGTATTTATGCCATAATTACAGTAAAACGCTCCGAGTGAAACGGCCCTTGGAGCGGGCTCTGCGGGGATCCGAGGTCCCGAGGTTCGATGGGCCAGGGCAAACCAGCCAAACATTCACCGTCGAACGCCCTATAAACGGTTGAGCTAGGCAAAGTCCGCATGCTTGCCATTCCGTGCTCCGTATATGTTTACTAAACGAACGGGATGATGACAATTAATGGAGACCTTGTGTCCAGTTTGTAGTTTTCTTTTCACTGTATGGTGGCGTATGCAAGGAAAGGCGCGGGGAAGCTCCATCTGGAAGCCAACCTTGGCATAGTTGAATAGCTCGTGTGTATCCAAGCATTTCAAACCCATGCTCATTCCGCCATTGGTTACGGAGTAGGCCGTTTCTATCAGATAAAGCTACGTAGTACAAATTGGCGGGAAACAAACCTTCCAAGTGATTACGTAGTTACCTTCCATCCAGCCGTCCAGCGAGCCGTGGATCGAGGGGTGGGTTTTGGCCATCTCAAACAGTTTGAAGGGTACACCGTACAGAGTATTAGTTAACTCGTTTGCACATTTATTAAAACACCGCCGAGCCTTTGGACTCCACACAGACTGTCTCATCGTTGTCGCGTACCCGTACTTACCCCGACTCAGGAGTAGGATGCTTCCCAATGCACGCTCAACTCGCCACCTCCATTGGCGTATTTTTGGCTGGCAATGGTCTATGCCCCCTTGGAGCAACACCATAGTTACTTGGGTGCTCACGGTATGGTGTGGATGTGCATGCGTAAGTCCATTTAGGAACCCAACACAACACCTTGACCATCGCGCAGAGGCTGGATGGTGGTCTTGGAGGTCCAGACAACGGTTGGCTGCACGGAGCCAATATTCGGAGATGCGAAAGACCATGTTCCATTTGTTGAAAAAAGGCGTGGCTGCATGGAAAGATGCAGATGATGCGCTGGACGATGAGGGTACCGTGGGATGTCCCTCCGCTCAATGCAGTCTGACGGTTCCCCTCACAAACTGCGAGCTCCCTGTGTTGGATGGTTACAAGGGATCCAAATCTTTCCCAATGCAGTTCACCAACACTTGGTAAGCTGTTCCAGGGGCCACCAGATAACCCACAACACCCAATCCTGATCGTCTCATGCACCACAAATGCCTATTGGCCTTTCTTCTTTATCTCCCCAAACAAGAACTGCGAGCACCAGCAGTGCATTCTAACCCTAAAGAAATCCTGGAAAGTAATAAACCTTGGTAAGCCACAAGCAGCCAAGCACCGCTGAAGCTGACTTGCTAGTCGCCCTCCATCAACCAGACCCTTGAACAACGCTAGACCAAATCCATCCACAGAAGCCTGGGCCTGGGCCAATCACGAAAGTTACATTTCTGCCACGCCCATGCACCGTCCAAGTGATTTCAGGCCTCTTCGCAGCAGCATGTGCTTGCTCTTCTTCTTCTCACCTTTCTCCTCTTCTGCCTGCCCTACTCCCCTTTTTCTCTGTTGTGCTCGAGGGCATCCATTCTCGGTCTCAATCAGGATAGGAAATCAGGTATCCTCTTCTTTGCGTCTGATTTTCCATCGTCTCTCCGAACAAGCCAGAGGAGAAGTGCCCAAGAACCAAAGCACACATTGCACTTAGGGCTCTACAGGAACTGCTTATCCTGTGACTCTGAGTTAATATTAGCCACTTCTTTGCTGGATACTGAACCTTTCTCCCGAGCAGCTGTGTCTTGGGAGTTTTCCAGCAGCCATTCTCCTTTGTTGAGGCCAGCCAGGACTCCTGTTGAAAGCACAGACACTGTCCTATTAGAGAATCAGTTTTAGCTTTGCTTTGTTGATTTAAGACTTCAGTGTCTCCAAGTGCTTTCTCCTTTGCTCACACGCGGCGGTGGCGGCCCCAGAGAAGCCTGCCCTCCAAGCTCTGGGGATTCTCTGTTCCATTCTCTCTTGTTGAAGAGAGGTGAATTGAACGCTCCACTTCACATAAGATCTGTGTCGTCCAGTTCAATCCATGGACGGCCGTGGAACGCCGAGAGGTCTGCTCGTGTTCACGCCGAGAGACCACTTTGCGTTCCATAGGATCCCGCAGTCCATACCGTAAAGAACTATCTCAGCCCTAATGAATTTCCCACGAGACAACGCTGGTCATGTAACCAAAACAATCTCCGCCACTGCCCGACCAGCACAACCATCTGCCATGGCGTCAACTCTTTGGTGGACCGATCCAACCAAGAGAAATCGATTCCTCAAAGAATATCGTACTCAGGTGGCTTCTGGGGCATCTACAATCATCGCGACTCTAATCTCGGTAGGTCGAAGTGCTATGGCACTTCTTCCTGGAGTTGCTGGGAGATATTAATCCTCCTCACTTGGTGATTGAAGCTTTCACTGACATCCTGTCTCGGATTAGACTCCGTTGGAAAATTTGAAGACTCGCATGCAAACGTAAGTCGTTCTCAAGATCCAACCTTTTACATCTTCTGTCGCACCTTCCATTAACTTGGTTGTTGGAAAGACATGACTTCAAGGGCTATGGACACTGTGCTCGCTACATGTGGCGAACTGAAGGTCTTCGGGGATACACTGCTGGTAAGTGGGAAATATACTATTCCTAATACCCCATATAGTGCACTCAAGTGCGTTGGAGCCGTTTGCTCATTAAAATCAGGCGCTCTGCCACCACTCGCGAGTGTCACCATTGTGCGGGTGATCAACTTTACCGTCTACCAGAAAGTGAAGCATATGGTTTCGGATACTATCGAGCAAGCTACTGGGACGTCACCTTTGGTGTATTATAATACTCCGGGAAGTGTTCCAACATTGGCAACTTTAACAACGTTTACGATCGGAGGCATGGCTGCAGGCCTCGCAGCAGCTCCTCTTGCTTGTAAGTCTTAATTGATTGTAAACTCTTGTTCCATTGACTCACTTGAGACCCAGGCCCATTTGAACTAGCGAAAAACGTTGTGCAGACTTCGGTCCTCATGGCCAACCGAGCCCAAGCTCAAGCTTCCGCTGGCAAGATCCCGGACAAATCTCCTTTGCGAGATGTCAAGCGTCTCACGACCTCCGAGGCAATCAAGCAGATTATTTCGCGTCATGGTATTCGTGGCCTCTACACCGGGGTTCAGTTGCATGCGTTACGTGACACTATCGGTACCGGAATGTACTTTGCAATATACGAAACAACTAAACAGCTGATCTCAACTTACCAAGGCGATCATGGATCTCCGTTTGGGGCACCGATGGTTGCTGGAGCTCTTTGTGGAGTCATTCCCTGGATCTGCGTAAGTTAAAAATTGCAAAATGCTTTTCCATGGCCGTCTATCCAGCTGCTGACATCCATCTTCAAAGACCTACGGTCTTGACACAAAAAAGACACGCGCACAAAGCATCTTGCTTGGAAAATCAAACGAGATTAATGAAGCAACAGTCGCCGCCGCGAGATCGTCAACTTATAGAGGCATGACTGTCCTTCTCTTCCGTACATCGGTGCAAAACATGATCCTTCTCTCAACATTCGAGTACATCAAGATGAAAATTAATGAGCTCCCACTATATGACGAGAAACCTCAAGCTTGACTCTTATTTTTATTTTGGAGGGGAAAGCGCGCCGTTTTGGCTGATTCAGACAACTTCTCTTCTCGGTTTCTGCGTCGAGACTTTTGATACTTTTACCCTTAGGTAAATCGTGCTTTGAAACTTTAGGGCTGCAGAAAGACACCATTCCCAAGAATTTTGTAAATAGGCACTTGATTCGCTAGAACTTCCAATGAGCCCGTTCGAAACGTCGAATCGAATGTCATATGATTTGAGAGCCGTCATTCCTAGGAGGAATATGTATGTGGCACGTAGCGCCACCGATAGTCCCTCCCTCTCCCTTACCGTGAAAAAGCGTGCATCCATGACTATGGCGTAGCGTTAGGAAGCCTGTAAGACATCCACCGTTGAAGCCAGGGCGTCATTTCTCTATGGTCTTGGCGCATGGACCCTGGTTGTTGTGGTGATGAAGTTTTGTGGAGCTTTGGATCGAACAAACAATTCATTTCGCCTTTCAAAGACGGCCGAATCAAGTCCATGCAGATAGGATATCCGACAACTAAAGCATACGTCTCTTATTTTGCGTAGCATGGTCCATCGTCATGGCTTCGTACGTCCCCCGCTCGACTCCACGAGAGCTACCCAGCCCCGCGCACCGAACCTCTTTGACATCACAGGATACTCACTGAATGGGCTGTGAAGACAAAACATATGGCTAATTCAAACGTGAGAAATACAGAAATATGCTCAAAATCCCCTTTCGGCGGTCCCACCCTGTCTCCCTCTCCGACTCTCTTGCGCAATACATCTCTTCCAAATATGACCAGCACCCAGACATGTTTTCCGAGGACCTCCTGGTCATCAGCCGTTTGCGCACCGATGCCATAAATGTACAGGAACCACATATTAGCGGGATCAGCAGGCTGGTCACGTACGCGGCGCAGTTGAAATGGATTGGGGGTAAATTTCCAATCGACGTGAGTGGAATGATTTAAGGGATTTCCGAGCTTTGTGTTTGTGGCTCACATCTGCGGGCATACGAGTTACCTGTGAAATGAACCATGCTAAAATGAATTGGGAGGCATTGTAGGTTGGTGCCGACTTTGCATGGTATCCCGCTTTCGGCTTTAATACCTCACGACCAGGTTGGGAACCGCTAACTAGTCAAGAATGACTTTGCAACGCCAGAGCTGACCTGACATGTATAATTACGACAGTATCCCAGAATAATGTACGATATGAGTTGGTCAACATTCTTTTCAACCTCGCTGCACTGCTGTCCCAGCTTGCCGTTTCACTACACCCGTCAGATCCGAATAACCTAAAAATAGCATGCAAGTATTTTTGCCAGTCAGCCGGCGTTATCTTACACCTACGTACCGATATTTTGCCTGATCTTAGAAGCTCGCCGCCGGAAGATATGGATGAAATGACATTGCGAAGTTTAGAAGAATTAATGCTTGCACAGGCCCAAGAATGCTTTTGGCAAAGGGCCATAAAAGACGGCCTGAAAGATGCTTCAATCGCCCGGCTTGCGGCCAAAGTATCAGATTTTTATGCCAATTCAGGTGATTTTGCTGTGAAATCAAACGCTATAAGCACTGCATGGATTCATCATATGACCGCTAAGCACCACCATTTTGCCGCAGCTGCTCAGTATAGACAATCTTTGGATTGCTTAGAGAAAAGAAAATATGGTGAGGAAGTTGCTCGGATGAGGGACAGTCTCACATGTGCCAATGAAGCACTGAAAGAGGCTAAGTGGATTAATAAGGCCGTCCTTGGTGACCTGAATACGCTCAAAGCCCGGGTGAGTGAGGATTTGAAGCGGGCCGAGAAGGATAATGACATGATATACCTAAACCCGGTGCCTCCAAAATCAGAATTGAAACTACTTGATCGGGCTACAATGGTTGCTGCCGAGGCTCCCAAGGAAGTCATAGAAGCATTGTCTATGATCGGTGAAGGAGCGCCACTTGGTCGGCCCTTGTTTGCTAAGTTGGTGCCATATGCGGTGCATGTTGCTGCAAGCATATATGCCGATCGTCGAGATCAACTTGTTAATCAGACGATAGGGGAGCTGGAGTCAATGACACTGAGGCTCCGGGATCTGCTTCAATCATTGAATCTTCCAGGATCTTTGCAGGCGCTCGAGAAACCGCTTGGTTTACCCCCATCCCTAGTATCACACGCGGAAGAGATTCGACAGCAAGACGGCTTGAACCGTCTCTATCGCTCCTTAGAGGATACCTCCAAGCTCAAGGCTAACGATAAGGCTATTTACACAGAAGGAGTTGAACTTTTGATGGCAGAAAAGGAAGAGGATAACAGGGCGCGAACGAAATACGGCACGGATCGATGGACGAGGCTTCCTTCAAAGCAGGCGGCAGAGAAGCTTTACACTAAGGTTCACGAGTTTGATGGCTACTTGGCGTCTGCAGACAAGAGTGACAGTCTAGTTTATAAGAAGCTACGGGAATCGGAGCATGTTCTTCGTGTATTAACAGCAACGAATAGAGAGTTGGAAGCGTACGTTCCGAGCAGCAGAAAAGCCACAGTCACCCCACAAGTAGAGCGAGAATCAAATCGGCTAAGAGGTTCATTAAATGACGTGACGAGATTGGAGAATCGACGCAAGCGCAAGATTGAAGCATTGAGAGAGAAGGCGAAGGCTGATAAAATCCGTAAGTCCGCACTGGGTTTTGAATCCATGTCCATCCCTAAATGCAAGCTAATTTTTCCCTTAGATTCAGCGCTTGTTAAGGAAACTTCCCGTCTCGAACGGGAGTATCCAATGCAGACTATTGAGCCAGGCCAGTTTGAAGACCTCTTCGAGGAGCATCTGCGTCTATATGACAGTGACCGTGATATGCTCAACGAAGAACAGAAGAACCAAACCCAGATCGAAAACCAGATTCGAGAAGCCAACAAAGCGTTCATAATGGCGAGAAAAGGTGACTCATCTACTAAAGAACGCGAGAAAGCTTTGCAGGACTTGGGAAATGGCTATATCAAGTATAACGAGATTATATCCAACATTGAAGGGGGAAGGAAATTTTACAATGATTTGGCGAAATTGGTTAGCCGGTTTAGGGAAGAGTGCAAGAAGTTTGTGCAGCAGAGACGGATGGAAGCCAGCCAGATGGAGACGTAAGGCCTTCCTCGACTTCTTCTACTCTATCTTGGAACCTATCCACGGTGCTAACGGACTCGTCATAGTGACATTGCCAACACCACTGCTATGGCTTCCTTGAACATAACCCAAGCCAGCCCACCCATCCAACCGCAGCCTCCGTCACCGACAGCGCCGCAATTTAAGAACGCCGTACCTTTCTCCCTGCCAAGGCAAGAGAATAATCCACCCTTCACAGCACCACAGCCTACACGCGCTCTGGCCCAAGCACAGCTACCTACCTTCCCTCCGCCTCAAACTCCAGCCTCAGCAGGAACAGGCACATCACCTGCATTTCCGACGCTTCCCTCTGCCGCAATGTCAAGAATGTGGTCTCCCGAAATGGGGATCAGATTTGGTACGCCCACACAAATGAGCTTGAACTCGCGAATGTCCGGTCCTGGTTCCTCCGCCAATGAGACTGCTGGTGGTGGCGGCGCTGCTGACGAGCGCCGGGTGTCTCCCGGAAAATGGGATCCCAATCGTGGATTGAGGTTCTCATAGGAGTGCCTCTGTCCAACTCTTAATTTTGAGTGGTATTTTATATGTTATAATTTAAGACTTGATAGAACGGTCCTTAGAGCAGGAAGACGACCAGTTAACTATATAAGAACAAATGCAAATGCAATGATTTAAATCAAGCCACATAGTCTTGGAAACATTTTGATCATTTGTTTTTCATCTGTCGATAAATCTCTAGCTGATTTCGAAGCGGCGTGATGTATAAAATCTCAAGCCATTTCCCCTTTTAGCTCCTGTTCTTAACCACCCACCGATACACAAGGTTTTATTCTAACATAAAAAGCAAGCAAACAAAAGGGGTAGAATCAAGCAGATCAAGCAAGCACCAATCAAGGACACCGAATATTCACACATTAAAAGTGAAATTGCTGGGCAACAAACCAGAAGCAAAGAACCAACCACAATACATATGGCAATTATTTTGGTGCTGTTCTCCCCTCCTCACACGTACGGATACGGTGGGATTTATGTACATACGAGATGGGGAGGAGCTGCTAAAGGGAGGGTAATGGATGAAATACAAAAGCGAAATGTCCAGATCGAAATGCCCACCTTCCCTAAATCCTGCCAAAGCTAATAATAGCCAATTCCTAAGAACCGGTTGATGGCTCTAAAGAATATCCAACCCTAGTATCACATGCTAGGGGAAGATAAGGACACAGATTTTGCATGGGAGTGGCGATCGTTGTGAGGATGAATTAAGCCCGCATTACTCGTCGATTCGTAGATGTAACGTCAAAGTGATATAGGGAAGAGGCACAAGCCATTCACGAAGCCCTCGATTCCGTCTCATCGGTTTCTGTTTTCACTTGCTGCTGTTGGGTGGCAGCCTGTCCTTCTTTGCTATCTCGAAATTTGGTAAACATGCCCGAAATGTCGCCGTCAGAAAGCATCGATCCATTCTTCTCGGTAATTAGGTTCTTAAGCCACCGGTTCTCCAGTTCGAGTTGACTAACGCGAGCTTCCAAAGCGGCGTTCTTGGCTGTGACGTCTTTGACAGTGCGCTCGAGGTTCTTCTCGCGTTCCTTCTTCTTGATACGGAATCGAGCGCTAGCTGCAGTGTTGCGGCGTCTTTTATCTTCTTCTTGGGCTAAACGGGCGGCTTCATCAAGGGTGGACGCGTCCTGCTTCCGCTTGGTTCCTACAGTGGTGGGGGTGGTTGTGGTGTGTTGAGGTCTGGGCTGGGTCTCTTGCGGGGTAGGCTGACTGGCAACGGGCTGAGGAGGCGCGCTTGAAGCGGCATCTGTGTGACTTGGTGGTTGCTGTGGAGGGGCAGAATAGGCGGGAGCCTGAGCGGGGCCCATTGCGGTTGGATAATACTGATAGTTTGGGAGGTTGAAGTCTGCTTCCTCACGGTATTAGCGTCATGTCTCGGATAAGCTCAATGTGTGAGCAAAGCCAGCAAAACACTGCTATAAACTTAAAGAAAAGTAAGAGATAAACAAACTTGCCAGGCAACTGCATTGGAAGGATGAGTTACAGGCATAGATCGTGCACATCAGTCACGTGGAGCTGTATAATGCCCTTGTGCATTGATATCACGTGCAGATGTGAAAAAGATGGGACGGAAATAAAGACTTGTAAATCAAAACCAATGCAGCTGTGCAAGGAGAGGGAAGAGTCTAAGCTAAGGATATGGTCTGAAGGGCGTGTTGAGATGACCTGCAGACGGGTCCGGGTTCATATCAAGCACGCAGAAGCCAGCAAGCGGATAACATTGGCGAGAGGGCAGAAATTCCCAAGACAATGATATATGAAATTCTTCCGTGGATCTAAGAGCCGTTGACAACATACCATTCAACATATCCAGGTACTTTACGTCCTGACTCGAGGTCGGCTCTGACTGTGCGAGGTCCTCGCCAAGGGAGACGGGTACGTGACTTGACATATCTCCTCTGGAGTCAAAGTCAAAGAACTCTGCATTCGTGAAAAGAGCCAATTCTGCGTCGACGTCGAAGAGGCCTTGGTCCTGCTGCAATGTCTGATCGTAGGGAGAGGGAACAGTGTTCAGGTCATTCAAGTACTGAGAGAAGTTGGGGGCCCGGCGCCCGTTGTAGCCTGACATGGTAGAGGGCTTGGGGATGGGCGTCCAACTCAGAGGAGTCGAACTTTGCTTGGAACTGATGCCAGGGAGCACGCTGGATCAACTCAGATCGGCGATGGAGATGGACAGGGAAGCGCAAAGGGGGAGTTTTGTCGGCGGCTGAAGCCGGAGAGAAGGGATAAGCAGCGCAGCAGCGATAGCGGGCGAAACCCGGTAGATGTCACACAAGAGCGACTGAAATGGCGACCACGAGGCGGACAGATCCCAGGGAAAAGCAGTTTTCAATGTTCAATCCGTCGAGGCCGACGTGACAGAGAGAGAACTTGATCCGAAAATGGCGTGTGCGGTCGTCGTGGGAAAAGTTAATGGGCGTGCGGCAAATTTCTGGCTTTGACGGCCAGGTGGGCTGTTCCAGCGTTTCCCCTCCTGCCGGTGATGACTAATTCCAGCCAGCTTCCAACGCTGTAGTCCCGGGGGGCTCGCTGCACTCCTCCCCGTGCGCCAATTGCATACATAACTATGTGGCCATTAAACCAGTAACTTACTCCATACTTCCGTACAGTCCTCCACATCAGCTATCACTCCTAAAGATACTACGGCGTATATCGACTGCCTCGACTGCCGCTCTCCCTATTTTACCCTCCGACCCGTGTTGGGTTACCTGAGGCATCCAAAATCTTGTGCTCTGGGGTCCAGTGGTGCCGAAACCGGGGCCGCACGAGAAAACCTCGGGATGGAGCCAGCCATTGAGTTGAATCATTATTAATCACGTCTCAGATAAACTTAGGGTTAGTCACAGAGAATGAGCAAACTCTCTTCCTCCAGGTGGCGAAGTAACTTAATGGGATATTTGGGGGGAGGTTTTTTTGGGCAGTTTGAAAGATAGTCCGTCGGCGAGACCGCAGCCCTGCGTACGGAGTAATGGCCGTTGTGAATATTTCCGAAGCGAGAATTTTCCTTGACTGATCGGCTTCCGCTGCAGAAAAAAATCCCTGTTAACGTCGTCGTCGTGTTCCAACATGGAGCAAAAGACTTTGTACATATCCTGGCCCACCGTTTGGTGTTTGTTTTGTTTGTTCTGTTTGCAGGTTCCATCCAGAGCTCCGACGCGCTTATCTCCAACGGCGCGAACGCTGACCGGAGGCATGCCGGCGGACAAGGCCGACCGAGCATTGAATCAACTGCAATAGAAGTCTAACGAACCGTTTTTTTAGATAGCATAGATCTCATCTCATGGCGCGTCGCACCTCTGTCCTTGTGCCGTCCGCCGCAAGCCTTCACGACACTTTTCGCATCCCGGCAAACACCACTTCCCTCGTCAAATCACTCGGGAAACTCTCCAGAGCTTCTCTAATCGCCCTTGCGCTGCAATGGCTGGATGACGAGTATGTTCATATCTGTCGTCCCTACCTCAGTAGGGATGCGGAACAACGGTGGGATGCCGATGGAGAAGATGACGATGATGCCAACCCGTATGACCCGGCCACCTCAATTGAAGAGCTGAGGGGCATATATACAGACCTACAGGAGCGCCGGGGGGGCAAACGAGAAGTTGTCAATCGTATACTAGAAGGCGATTGGAGGAATGGTTTGACGCTTCGTCAACTTGCCATGGCCGACATCCTCTACATCGAAGACAATCCTGCTGCCGCGCATCGCTGGACTGCGCTGCAGCTTGTGCCGAGCGTGGACAAAAAGGAACCATGGCATAAAATCAATGACTCCAATGATATTTCTGTTCCTTTACCACGCTTTCACGGCGCTACATTTCTAAAATCTATCCAAAACGAGATATCGCCCCTTGTCAAGGCGCACTACTACATATCACGCTCTGCCAGTCTTCCACTCACCTTTGTTCGGATTTTCATCGTGGACTCCCCCTACCAATATCCAAAACAACCACCCAATGCCTTCACCGACGCTTCAAGGATAATCTATCTTGTGTTCCCGGATAGTTCTCCGTTTATATACTCCTCACTGATCTCAATTCCCGCCCCTCGCGCCGCGACTCTTTCCTCCGCACGTTTACCATCACTGACAACCGACACCAGAGCTCTCAGACGAATTGTCATGGACGCCATTCCTAAAGCATTATCCCGCCCTCAACAGCGGTATTCTCTGAAAGCAACGTCACTGGTCACAAAGAGTCTTCATACTCTCCTTGCACTCCGCGGCCCGTGGAGAACTAACACTGCCAACGGCGCATTCAGTATCTTTGCGGATGCGGTCGTTGAGCAGGGCCCCCTTGATCCAAGGCTACCCATATCGACTCCCGTTGAGGTCTCGTCGATTAATATACAGGAGGACTCGGCAAATCCAGGAGCCCAGAAAGAAAATATGTCATCATTGGCGGGGACGGAAAGCGAGTCTAATCAGCACCCGTCCCATTCCTCAGCGAAAACAAAACGACAAAAAACCATACTCTCGAGATTTGGAACATCAGGCTCTTACCGTCATCTTCTGGCGATTCCTCCTTCGTCATCTCCTCGCGCATCATCATCATCATCATCACCATCACCACCATCAGTCCCCCAAGCAGCCACCTGCCCCAATCCCGCTCTCGAAAAAATTGACATCTCCCTCCAAGACCCCATCACTCCTTCGTCTCAAGTCAAAGGTCTCGAACTCGACGACAATCCCACCATGTCGCTTACTTTTTCCGGCTCCGATGTGATATCCGGTCTGCGACAACTTGCGGAATTGGGCGTGATCGACGCAGCCAAGATGCCCCCGTGGATGACCGGCGAGGAGGGTACGAGTTCTGCTGTAGTTAGGGACGGAAAAAGGATATTAAATGACCACGGATAAACGTCGACTCACTGGTTCGGAGGAGTAGTATCTGTGTTGCATGATAAATGCAAATGTACGACCGGAGTACGAACCGCGATCGGTCGCTTATAGCGAGTGTATTGGTTATTTAAATCCCATGATGCCCAATGTCCCGGTGTCTAGTCAAACATTCATTCTTACCCAGAGGCCTGCCGCGCAACGTAGTGTGAGATGGAATTAAAACTGATTATATTGTTAATACCAACCTTGTCATTAGGGGTACAACAGAGAAGCAGAATGAAAATTCTCAGGAGGTGCCAGAAACCATTGATGATAGCTGCACTCGCCATGTCAAAGGGAATTTGGTAGCAGTCCACGTTCTCAACAATGCGAACATCAAAACGTCCTTGCTCTTTGAATATCAACCTTGACGCTTGGTGTGTAGCCAACCATCCTAAAACGAAACCTGCCAATATTCTTGAAGGCAACAAAGCGTCTTCATTTAAACGGACATGATGTTGGATTGTAGCCAAGAGTCTCCACAACCACATTGTGGTCAAGCTGAGAACCAACCATGTTAGGCTAATAGTAGGGATACAATTGTCGGCGCACCCAAGGCTGATGATATGTTGAATAGTCTTGAACAAGATATTCATGTTAGTACAAATAGTCTTCTGAAAAACCAGCCAAATACTCTCAAAAGAAAAGGGAGTATACAGAGAGGAACCCCTACCCCTTTCCTGGGACAGTCCCATCGCCTCTGCCACGTTAATATAGCCATCCTCGCTGATTGTAGCACGGCTTAGAAGTGAGTGAATATCGAACCCGTCGTCCTCCCAAGGTGTTCGACTAACGATTGTTCAGCACCATCCTCCAATTCCCATGCCAAAAGTGTATAAAAGCTGACTAACCAGTAAACACATCTCAGTTGCTTTCCGTTCAGACTGGCTGCCCACTGCTCAAAACAGAGCCTGTGGATATTGTTTCCGCATGCGGCCTTGCACCACACAACTTGATCGTTTGAAGAATCAAGCGGCATAAAACATATAGGGCAATCCCCGTCAATGGGCTTTTGCTTTCCTTTGCTGCCTGTAGAACTACTGTCTGCTGGGTTTATCGGAGCTTTCTCGAAGATTTCACGGAGCTCCTAGGGTGGATGAGCAACCAAGCTATTGAACTTTTGGAGAAGCTGCACTTACAGAGGAGAGAAAGGCAAGCTGATATCGGAGATAGTCCTTGACTTTGAGGACATTACATAGGACCTGCGCCATGGAGGATTGTTAGGGACATCTTTCTTCATGTAAATTAACAGTAGTAGACACAGCAAACATGAAGGAGGAATGCATACATAAACAATGTGCTTGCATTGATTGCCCTTCATTGCGTCGGGGCAAGAGCAAGCAGGCACCTTCCCAATTACAACTTTATAGATGTTCCCTGTTGTGCCTACAATATGCACAGTTTCTTCTGGGCCCCTTGTGGTCTCTTCCCTTTGTCTCTTGACGATGAACATTCTGCATGGGACCGCATAGTTAGCTAGCCCGCCACAGAAAGATAGATGCTTTGAACAGCAAAGGTGCACTGAGCATAGTACCTCTGGAGAGTAGCCCTGGTAAGTTTTGTGATATAGGACTGAGGAGGCTTTTTCCGAAATGAGCGGAGCCTCTTTTCTTCGCGAACCATTTCAACACCATCGTCGGCGCCACGCTTGCGCCGTTTTGAGCCGGGTGCCGGGGGTTTCGGCTGGCAAGCCAAGGATACAGGAGCATCTGAAGCAGACTTGTTCCGGGAAAGGGTACGAGGTCCTTTCGTCTTCCTTGGGGAAGTAACAGGGGCCGAGCCGTCCACTTTGTGTTCCTCTCGCTTCCTTTTGGTCCGTGAGACGGACCCGGATCCCGCAGCATATACCGAGCCCCCGGGCATGGTGGATTTATCCGTATTGATGTTCAGTGTTATGTAGATAGTAACTAGGAACCAATAGTGTTCTCGCTGAAATAGGGGGTGAAATCACTGCAAAACCCGATCCAGAGAGAAATCAAAAGCGACTAGAGAGAATTTCGACACAAAAAGTAACATATAAAATTCCCTAGCGCGAGTCCTTGCTCGAAGAAGTCGTGATATGAGTGTGATGTAAATGCATTTGTCCTGTGAATGCTGATTTCATCTTGAGCTTGGATCGCGACCTGTTGCGCCCCCTGGTCGCGACGCTCAGGATCGACGTCACCTGCGGATGGTCCCGTGACTATCGTTATCTTATCTTGATCGGCTGTCGACTTCTTCTCCCCCTGCGCTTGGTGAGGGTTTGGCCGTCGAGCTGGGAAATTTCTACGGTAAAATTTTGCAAAAGTCGCTTGACCATGGCTCGTTCAAGAGCTCTCTCGGCCGCTGAAGGACCGAAAGAGCCCCATTCTGTCTCCCTCAAAGGTAGGGTTCCCAAGTTGCTTGCCGCAAACAATTGATAGCTGATAAAGTTCCAGTCCTGCGGTGGGTTATCCCTGGCCTATCTTGTCTATCTACCATTTCCAGACACTAATTCCGTCTCTGTAGACTTTCACGCCCTTCCCTATCATACCAACATCCTCTTCCTGAAGACTTTGCCAACGTTCCGGTGCAGCCTTCGCTGAGCTATCCGTCAAGCACAGCAGATAAGCAGTTCATTTTAAGCCCCAATGTGAGAGGTTACGGTCTCAGATAAATTGAGCAATAAAGGCTTATTACGTGTTCAGCTTATGCTACCGCCTGCGTTTGGGTCTGCGTATGTCGGCGAAACCTTCTCCTGCTCGCTATCTGCCAACAATGAGTTCCTCCGCGGAGACGCCTCGCGTGTGGTGACCTCCATAAGAATACTTGCAGAAATGCAAACGCCCTCCCAGGTTGTTCCTCTCGAGCTTTATCCGTCAAGCGACGATAACGATACCAAATCGGGGGGGATAGCGCAGGTTGAGTCGATGCAGAAGATTGTTCGCTTTGACCTAAAAGAGGAAGGGAACCACGTTCTTGCTGTTGGCGTCAGCTATACAGAGACCATGATTACCCCAAGCTCTGATGCACACGGAAGTGTCCAGGCTTCGGGAGGAAGGGTACGCACGTTTCGAAAATTATACCAGTTCGTTGCACAGCCATGCTTGAATGTACGCACGAAAGCTACGGAGTTACCTCCACAGGAAGTAGACAATCGATCTCTAGGACCGTATGGCAAAACGAAGTTGTACAGGTTCGCGCTTGAAGCACAGCTTGAAAATGTTGGTGATGGAATCATCACTCTTGGGGTTTGTAAAGACTTTTACTCCAGTTTCGGGAATTGGAAACGACTAACTCGGAACAAAACACAGGCTGTCACATTGAATCCAAAGCCGCCATTCAAATCACGATCGCTAAATTGGGATTTCGAGTCTTCTGCTGACAAAGAAAGTATACCGACATTGAGTCCGCGCGATGTTTTACAGATAGCTTTCATAGTAGAGCAGGAGCACGGTCAGCAAGACGGCCTCGAAACCTTGCAAAAAGATATGAACCGAGAAGGACGGGCTACCCTTGGCCAGTTATCTCTCGAGTGGCGAAGTGCTTTAGGAGATCGAGGATTTCTGACCACTGGGAACCTCATGACAAAAAAGCGGTGATACGATTCCTGTCCGCTAATCGCAGCGATCCATAGATTTATTGAATCTGACGCATTTGCTGGGAGTTACTAGCTTCGGCCTACTCTCTTCCATTCAGGAACGGCGGACTCTAGAGCTCCAACATCCCGATTGTACCCTAGATAAACCAAAATATTGGGACAAGTGGTGCTCTTATCCGTTAAAAGGATAGCAGGATTTCAGGACAGAGATGACAGACTATGTTGCTCCATACGCTCTTCATGGGGAAAAGAGCTCCAACAAGGGGATTTAAAAAAAAAAAAAAAAAAAAAAAAAAAAAAAAAAAAAAAATTAATAAAATGAAGCTGGAATAGAAAACTCCCAATGTTTGAAAGCTCCTTGCTCATCGGTGTGGTATCATAGAAGGTCAATCTTGGAAGTATATTTTGCACATTGTGAAGACATGAAATTACTGCGGTAGGCTGGATAGTTGTGAAAGCATTGGGGTCCAATTTCAGACCAAATTTTGGGTTGTGTTTTTTTCAGCGCCTCGCTTGATTTTCTCAGGGGTAATAATTCGATTTTAATATTATGACAAGGATCCAGCATCCTACATCTCTGGAGTGCATTACTTTTTCCCCGGAAAAAGGATCGTTTCCATTTTTAGGCCACCTCGGCCAAATAATTCGAGGAGCAATCACATCCGTGGGCATCAGTTTGTGATAAACTGTGGAGCAGAGCAAAATGCACAACATGCCCTTCACGTGCTAGGTGACGATCTCTTTAGCGCTTGGCTTCGTCGTTCTCGCTTCTTTTTCCTATCAGCATCAGGAGTTAAACTTCGCTTCCGTTCACGGTCGTTAAGCCGGTTCGGAGTATTTCCATGAGTCAAAGTGGATAAAGCAGTGCCCAATTCTCCATACTGCCTAGGGCTAAAATGTTGGCCGGCGTGCTAACATTTGAAAATCTCTCCCTAATTGCCGTCCTCTTGTCTCGGTCCATTGAGCAATAGATAAGGTGAGTCTCAAGCCTTGGTATCTCAAGCCAGTCACCTTCATCCACGATGACAACCAGCACCTCCCTCTGTCACACGAAAAGAAGGCTGTTTGTCGCCTTACCAGTGAAATTTATCGAATCAAGAAAGGTCTTCCACCAGGCCCTTAGGGCGATCGCCGCTTGTTTCAGAGTCTCAGGAACAACTGAGACAAATGCAACTCCACCCTGCACTTTTACACGTAGACCCAGAACAGCGCCATGCAGGTACACAATTCAAATGCGGGAGTACCGTTCAGCCTACGGGTGTATCCGCCGGTTTGTCTACTTTTTGGTTGTACCGCCGGGTTCCTGGATAGAAATAGTGTGTGTCTGGAATTCAATTGACAGTTGGACCTCCTAAAAGTTCCACGGTTAAAACCAAGGTTGCTCCGATCGTTTCACCATTTCAACACTCTTATGTACTGAAAAATTTGTTTGGTGATTACATATGTGGACTTGCACGAACATTCCCCTTGGTCCTAGAGGACGGCAAAATGCGAAATCGCGAAACTCGCAAGCCAAACTGGGGGACATTGAAAAGCTAGCTAAACCCTCCCGTGTAAGGTATAGAGCGACAACAGGTGATTGACGTCTTCTGCCTTGACTCGTCCCCAGGCAGGCCGTAACTAGAATGCGCAAACACATATATCATAGTACGTACGCAGCGTGAGGTGGGACGACGATCGAAGACAGTACAACGCGGTGATTGACCAGAAAACTTTGGGTGTCGCGCGGAGAGAAACACTCCCAGCCAGTGATACACTGATGGGAACACTCCGCGCCAAAGCGTCCTTTCGACGTTGTACTGAAGTACGTGGATCCATGACCCATGAAGGGGGGATCGTCCACAGCGTCTCCACTCCAACTCGATAAACGAAAAACGCATCCCTGCCGCGGTTGGATTGGGCCCTGGAGGCCCCGATGTCTTGTTCTCAGTCTCCGGGTTGATGACCGAGAATATGAGCCACCTTCAAAGCATGCAGCCGCGTAGGTTGCCAAAGCAAAGGACAGAATGGCTGCGTGTATGGAGTATGTGTTTGTGCCTGAGCCTTCCAAAGTACCTTGCCTGAAGCTGTGATTGCTATTGAGCAATTAAGGATATATTGTGTCCTCGGGTAACGAAAGTTGAAAATCTCTGGGGACAGAGTGATAGCCCCTGTCCCCGTAGTTAGCATTAAAGCTGCCTTTGACAATGCCTGTACTCTGGAGACCAGGAGTAAATAATCATTGTCCCTGGGTATAGATATTTCTGCTTGGACTGACGCTGCAGCCGACAAAGCACCATTCACTGCTGCCCTTTCAAGAACATCATCTCATCTGTGAATGCCTGGTATAATCCGCTTGTTAATTGTCCCGGAGGACACAAAAAGTTTTGGGGCCTGGTGAAACGTCTGTGCGGCATGGATCTGAAATCTAACAAATATCACAACTGATTTTTTTTTTATTTTCATCTTCATTTTCATTTTTATTTTCATTTTTTTTATACTTAAGTTTATTTTTGCTTCCTTCTCCATATCTTCCAGTGCCTTTCTCTGGAACCGACCTGCACTCTGTCACTTGCGCAATTGGCCGACATCCTCAGGCGCTGTAGGATCACTATTGGGACGCAAAGCGAACACCCGAAAGAGGGGCCACCAACCAGCTCCAAGCGTTGAGCCTTGACTCCAACAAGCTACGGAGCACCACACCGGAAAAGCTAACCAAACGACTACTGCAACAAGCGCAGAAGCGGGTCAGCCACCCCCTAACAGTAGCATTCTCACCATGCGGCGCTGGGTGTGCAATGCACCGTTTTCTGCAGCTGCTAAAACATATTACTAGGGTCAGGCCGCCGGTCGCAATCGTTATCTGAACTTCCCGCCTCTGTGACCGTCGTTGTCCTGTCCGCCGTCTCAGAACGATCTCTCCCTTCCCCGAGACCCTTCGGCCGTTTCACCGAATCCTCCCTCCACCAGATGAGCTGGCCAGTCCTTTTCTAGCTCCTTCGATGCTATGAGCTGGTAGTGCGGGGATCCCACATCTCATTCGCCAACGCTCTCTTTTTTTTTTTTCGGTGCTCCCAGAATACGCACTCTCCCCCAAGGCACCGTATCACAGAACACCATGGCGCCTGCATCATCTGTCGACGCGCACTCAGCCCCTCTCGCTGACTTTTTCTGGATTGCTGGTGTTGATGGCTCGGAGATAGTTGACATATTCTTGAAGCTAGGGGAGGAATACAATAACACTCGTTCTCAGCCGAGACCTATGGCAGATACAATTGAAGAAGATGCAGATGCAGAAGAGGAAGAAGATGCTCTGGCTGCTGACTCTTCCCTGCCGTCCTCAAAGCGAAACTCGTCCCAGCGTCTATCGTTCAAGCCCGCAGATGACAGAAGACTGTCTTTCCAGTCTTTGACAGTGGACTTCAAGGAGTCGAATAACGCCTCACATAGCAATCGAAGCAGTATGACCATCAAGGGCTCTTCTAACGGAACTTCTTTTCTCAACGACGCAGACTTCGATAAAGCATTACTGAAGTTTGCCGCTGAAAGAGACTCTTTTCTAACTGACCTTAGCCTGACTGCTGGAGCTGTTGTGTCTAAGCCTACAAAGCCTAGACCAAAGACGCAGAAAATTGTGGCCGAGGATATAAGCCCCAACCCTTTGAAATCTAGCATTGGAAGCGTGCGAAGGCACATGTCCTTTCGAGATATGAGCAGCATGAAAAGACAGCCGTCCCTAGCTCGCCAATGTAAGTGTCCCATCAATCGGTTTATATTATCCATTGTTTTATTGCCTCAGTTCTGCTAACTGTGAGGACCTTACTTTTTATCGCCATAGCTTCTATACGAACGTCGCGACGCCTAAGCAACTACAATTCAGTGATTCCAACCCCTCAGCCCCTAGAAATGTCCCCGAACATGCATCCTCTTAAACGCAGATTTGAACCGGTCCTCCTTGATAGATACCCGCCCAAAGGAGCACCTGATGAGGGCCATCGAAGGGGGAAGTTTCCAGACTACGTGCCGATGTTCGCATTTCCAAATGATATCCATATTGTCTCTTCGGATCAGCGGCCGCGATCTACGTGGCATGGCTTCGCGATGACCGGCGGTGATGGATCTAAGATTCACGGTGTTTGTGTCACCATCTGGATTCCACTCAGCCACAGAGCAGCTGACGAACTCGAAAAAAGATGTGAAGAATGGAGACGAGATAACATGACAGAAGAGGAACGCGAACTTGCAGCGAGCCTGGGTGAGAGATTGGGATCGGAGCGAGCAAAGCTATCTAGGCTGCTTGCCCAACTTCCGACCGTCCCTTCTGGTTCCGCTGCAAGAGAGGAGCTGGAGGACGAAATCAGTGCCGTGGAAGAGAAGATTGGGTTGATGGCCGACTTACTACGCCCAGTCCGCCATGGTGCCGCGTCAAAAATAGATGGGTTGACCGATGGTGATACCGGCTTCTGGATTCCACGTGCATACGGAATCCTTGGAAGAGATCCCTCAATGACAACCTTTTGGAAAGAATGGTTGAGGTCCGTCGTTATTCCCATGATGGACGGAGCCATTCTCAGAGTTCCTCCTACTTCACCGAGGGTTGGAAGATGGCAGCCTTTGGAAAGATATGTTGTCAACCTTTGCATGGAGGCGTTTAGCCCTCTATCATCAAAAACCCAGGTGGAAATCGCAGTTCGAGAATTACGTTTGTTTGCCCGCAAAGAGGCAGATAACGAATTGCCAAGTTCACGTAACGTACGTTATAATATGTCCCATATTCCATCGTCTAGAGCCCTAACCTCTATAGACGGATCTTTACCCGCTTTTCCGATCGCTCTCCATTTCTAACATAATCATCCTCTTTGAAGTAAGTTCGCCCTGATTCAGAAGTAAGCCGCTTCGTATACGCTAACCGCGATTTAGTATGTACTTGCCGAATCACGAATTATCCTCCTCTCCTCCCATATCGCCATGTTAAATCTCGTTAGTAGATCTATCACAGAGCTCCTTTTCCCCTTCCAGTGGACAGGCGTTTTTATCCCGGTCCTCCCTGCACGTCTCTTGCAAGCACTCGAAGCTCCGTGCCCATATATCGTAGGTGTTGAACGACGATATGAGAATTTGGAGCTCCCATCCGATGATTTTGTTCTTGTGGATCTTGACCAAGATGTCATTGAGAGCACACAAAGGCCAACACCTCTCCCTCGTCATCAACGTCGAAAACTACAGTCTCTGCTTCAACTTGCGGCTCCGCTCTATCGATTCGGTGTAAAACCGGGTCCCCCCGCCTATGCCATTGAGGCATATCCCTTCGATGCCATGCCTGCAGAGATACCATCTATCTACTCTTCCAAAGCAGCCTCGACTCAGCTTGCAAAGTATGTCAATCTGAATTCTGGTTCCTTTGGTCAAGATCCATATGTCACGGCACCACCCCCTATTTTTAACGTCTTCCTCAACGCTCGAAACGATGTATCCTTCCCGAGAAGTCAAGATCGCCCAGCTACCGGCTCCACGTGCAAAGCGAGCACACCACCTTCCCCTAAAACATCACCTACTTCGAGCAAATTTCCTCCTTTACCATTAACCCCAATTTCAAGGAACGACTCTGGATTTGCTCTTCAAGCATCACTGCGTGAAAAGAGGTCCGGCCATTTTGATGCAGTATCCCGTAGAAGTTCCTCAATGGCCATTGACCGACGAGCCGGAATACCAAGGAGGCCAAGTGTTCCTTTCCTGGGTCATTCTTCCAACCTGTCTGTCACAACTCTAAACACAGACGCCAGTACGTCAGTGTATGCACCATCGGTATATGCTCAGTCTACGATTGCCGCCTCGACCATCATGCCTCAGGCATTCCAGCAGCCCATGAAAAACCCCGTTGGTAGCACGTTGATAGAAGGCCATTGTTTGCAATTGCAGCAAATCGATGACAAATCAATTTGTTCCATCTGCGATGAGAAGGCTGAAGATGCGATGTATAGATGCTCTGGCTGCAAGATTATTGTCCATGGTCGCTGTGCTTCGCAAATTTGCCTGGTGTGCACGGTAGCTTTCCACCCGGATCAAATTCGAGCCGCCTTCGTTCGATGTTTTGCCAGCCTGCTCTATACTTATAAGAAATTTATGCGCCCCGCGACTGGAGACAAGAAGAAGGCGGGAATGACATACAGTTTCCAGATGGATGCGTTTTTGAAGAGTCTTCCGCATGAGCATGCAGAGTACATGGCTGTGCTCCAGCAGACACAAGGTTAGCCTACTTGATCGCAAGCTACATTTCCATGCTAAATTTCTAATTTGCTGTCTTTAGGATTCAATGAGTTTATCGGTGAGCGCGAAAGAGTTGATTCCAAATCGAAAAACCCTAGGATTGTCATTTTCGATGAAATTATCCTCTCCAAGCGAAATCGTGGCAGGTCATCGATATTCTCTGGAAGAATGACGACCGATTTCTTGTCAGATACATCAAATCACCTTTGGCGGTCCGCAAGCGCCTCATCTTTTCCGCCCAGCAGTCGACGAGAGATGTCAGCATCCGGAGACTGGAAGAGTGTGGTCACTAGAGGTTAGCACTACCGAGAATTTTTTGTCCAGTTTGTTGGAAGCTAACGTTGACCATAGTGCCTGCAAAACTTGATCCAAACTACATGAAAGAGCCCCGAATGATCCAGGGTGTACCCCGGATACCGAAAGTCACAGACAATTCCAAAAGAAAGCCAGTTCCTCGAATGGCCAACGGAAATTAATTTTAGCAATGAGTTTAAACGAAAATCATAATTTTCTAATATGTGACCGTAACGCCCTTGCTCTAAGCTGCGATTTCCCGCTCTCGAATTTTGAATCACCCGAGCATTTCATTCCTTTTCTCTCTTTCTCTTTTTCTTTTCTCCCCTTTCCTTTCTTATTCATTGATTGCCATACATAAAAATAATGTCTGGTCTCCTGCATTATTCCCTTTTCCTTGCTTTCATGAGTTAAACATACATTTTAACCCTTTTTCTAATAATTTCCTGGCTCAGTCGGATATATCTGAGTTTTTGCCGATAAAATGAGCCTGATGGCGTGAGACTGATGCTGCAACGAATTTATTCTGCCTCTTCTCTCTGATCTTATTATGGGAACCGGGCAATTGTTTCATGATATGGGTGAGAGGAGATTTGTGAATCGCCCATCGCTGAAAATTAAGGGGAAAAACGGTAAACTTAATTGATTGCTTGGGTATAATCTTTCTTGGTCTGGTTCAAATCTGTCCCTGTTCTTGGTTTGTGAGATGCGCAAGGCTTTTTGCTTTTCAGCTGTAATATCTTTTTTGATCATGGATGGATTTCTTTTCTTGTGTGTTTCTGAGTTGATTTCATTGTACTATTGTGGTCCTTTTTCCGGTTTGTCAAATACCCCTTCGCCAAGTTGGCTACGAAACAGAGTGCACATGAGCAATTGCCGATTCTTCTTTTGGACTGCTTGGAAATAATGCGTTTGGTTGGCCATGGCTGTGATGTGAATCTCTCGCATTGCCTCTAGAATAATGATATAATCTGAGTGCAGTACTGAGCTATGCGGGAACGCTTGAACTTTCGGTGCTTTTGAGTGGAATACAGAGTATACTTTAACAAAGGAAAAATATTGAATATGTGAATTTAGGGGGTGAATGGAATGTTGTATACATAGGATGGATGTTGAGATCATAGCAGCATCAACTTCCCCTTCCATGTATGTCCAGTACATATTATGCACAATTAGCGAATAGAATTGCATCGATACTATATACGAGCAAGCAAAAATGTGCCAGGTGAATGGAAATTAAATATCATGAATATTATATATAGTCCATGAGGTGAAGAAGCTTTTTCAGCTGCCTCCTGTCTCGGCACACCACATCTTGACAAATGGCCCGGCTATGACCTTCATATCGAACATAAGCATTAATTTCTAAATTCGGACAAGGTATGGTATGCTTTGTCACGGGGTTACTCAAGCGTAGACGGCCGGAGCAGCTGGTGCAACAACTCCGCCGTTGTTGAAGCCATTCAGATTGATGGTCACTTCGAATTTCATCATTTTGTTCACCTTGTGGACCATCCTGCAGCCCCAGACAAAGATGCCAAAATGAGCGAGCCTAAAAGTGGTTTGAACATGGTCAGGAATTGCTTTCAAAAAGAGTATGTGACCACTAGCATGATCAGCCTCAATGCAAAACTTACCCGTTGAAGATAGCAAGCGCATTTGCAGCCATCTGCATCTTCCATGACTCGATCAAGACGCTACGGCATCCTCGCTCGGGACGATACCTCCGGTAATTGTAGCTGCAGGCATACCCGTCCTGGCTTCCAAGGAGGATGACGATGCATATCGAGATTCCGAGGATGGTGAGCCAGAGAAGAAGATCAAAAGCAACGTAGAATGCCGGATGGACAGGTGTTCTGAGTCCACGAGATATTCCCAGCGCTACAAGAGCCCAAAACGCGCTGAGGCACACCTGCCGTATTTTAAGTAAACATCATTGGGTTAGTCCAAACGTCGCATGTAAATATCATAGAGTAACAGCACGACGCGAGGGTGAAAGACGTCGGGAAGTGTAAAAACGCACTGGAGCAATCGGAACAAACGCCAAACCGCTGTAGTAACCCCGAACGTTGGCATTTTGCTCTTTTGTTATGCTGGAACCCAGCAGAGCGGCGGAAATAATACCCGAAACAAAGATGGCGCCCTGGGCGATGGTAATGCCGATCGAAGTGTTGATCTTCCGCTGGACGGGTCTAACCGAGACAGGGTTCAAAGCAGAGGCCGGAACATTGACTGCCTTTTCATCCATCGACAACGTGCGAGAATTGACGGTGAAAGTGATCGTGTCTGGGTGCGGATTTGAGGGCGCGGGTTGGAGAGAGGGATTTGCAGGAGCGTGTGAAGGCTCGGGCTGAGTGACCATGATGAATGACTGGTGTGGTGCGGACCCTGCTGCTTTGGAAGACTTTGCAAAACGACTCTCGAGAGGGGTAGGACGAAGATATTTAGATCAGAATTCAATAAACAAGAAAGCGAGCGACTGAGAAGTATGGAGTGTGGAAAAACGAGCGACAGAAGGATGTCCTTCAAATGAATAAATTTTTCTTTTGGAAGAAAGTCCGGATGAATGAAGGGGGAAAGCAATGACCCCGGCTCTAGTGTATTCTAACCTCGAATAGATTGAACCCCCATGGATGCTTGGGACCTAAGGGCAGCTAATGACCAACGGCGTGAAGGGTTACCTCGTGCTGCCTGGGTGGTGGTATTTTTAGGCGAGCTCCCAACATCTCGCGCCACGGTTTGATTGGCGGGACTACAGCGCCAGCGCTGTAGGCAAAACGTGTGACTGAAACAAAGACTTTGTGAAGCAGGCTAGGAGGATGGATGTGTTGAATTCAGCAGTCAGAATGTCTGGATGATGCTGCTCTTTAATTCGTGCCAGCCCCTCCCGCCTTGAAAGCAGCAACTCATTGCTGAACTATAAGTTATGTGGCTCGCAAAAAGTCGGACGAAACTGCCCCCCACCTTGATGGCCCAAAGCGGATAAAGGTGCGCTCTCGAATCCTTCGCTTGACAAATGGCTGCAGTCCATGGATGCAGGCGGCATGGGGCTGCGACTTTATCCTGACCAAGCTTCGCTGCAACCGTGGTTTGGCAGTGCAGATTCTCAGAACGCCAGCCGAAGCGGCTCTGCGCGAAACTCAAGATATGGTGCTGAAAGGGGCTGGCCGCCAGCCTTTTAAGGCATCAAGGCACTGTGGCGGAGTGGTTATCGCGTCAGCCTAGAATCGAATGATCTTCGACAGCTGATCCCTTCGGGGGCCTGAGTTCGAATCTCAGCGGTGTCGCTTTCTCAAAAGTTGACTTTCTTTCTCTTTTTTTCTTTCCTTTTTTTGGTTCCTTTTCCCGTTGCTAAATTATTTCTTCTCTAATTTGGTTCTCTTTCTTATTTGCTTCTTTTTGCTTTAACGGACTGCGAGTTCTCTCCATTTTGACATGTATTTGCCCGCTTCTGAAGACTGGATGTCGTGAATATTGCCTCGTGCGTCTCATCCCTTGAGCCAAGTGGCGATAAATATCCTGATAAGCTGCTCTTGTATCTCGCAAAGATCTCCGCCGCCCCAGATAGCTACCAGACTTCATTTGCTTGCAGGCGCCCGGAATATGGACTACAGGTTTGTAGAGAGGACGTGATGATGCAAACAACGTCCATCGCGCTAACTCTGCTGCTGATGAGGTGGGTTTCCCCTATCAATCAGCCAAAGCCCGGGCTTACAGAATGGTGGTGCCATGGAAGCCTTAAACTTATAGCCAAAAGCTGAAGCCATGTCACTCAAGGTTAAGTTCAACAGCATGCGCAGACTGCTGCGTGCAGAAATGAATTGTCATCTGTCTAGTCCTCTAAACAAACCAGGAGAAAAGGTTGAATCACAGGCGTCATCAGCCCAGAGATTCAACATCAGATACCACCTTCGACCCGGCGAAGGAAGCACACTCTAGTTCTCTTTCTCTTCGGGACAATGGCGTTTCGTCCGTTGACAAATGCCCATGGATTTCCCCTTTACATCCCCGTGTACATATTTTGTCGATTTGGAGCAGCCTCTCCCAAATCCAACTCCCACTCCTCAACGGAAAGTTCTCACCATTGCTGCTCAATGTACTGTCGCGCTGTTGTACACTCCACATGAAAATTACCCTTTCTGGGATTGCGCGGGCATGATCCTTTCAAGTTTAAAAAACCTAGCAATAATCATATGAAATTGCGCCAAACGCCGCGACCGTGCCGGACTGCGTCGATAGAAGCCTCTGGGCCAAGGCAGGAATTTACCAAGATGGACAACACGGAGTATTTGAAGCAGGCGCATTTTATCTGCGCAGATTGCGCGTGAATATTCTTGATATTCGCTGCTGGGGCGTGGCTGCTCGGGTCAAAAGTCACCCTATCGAAATCTTATCTTCTCCCATTCCACCATTAGGTCATTGTATTGGCTGTTGGCGCTAGACATAACGGCCTTTCCCTTAACGATCGGGTAATGGCAGCATACACTCTAGCTGCCTCCGGGGCGGATTTTCCGGGGGTATCCCGAATGCCATCGCAAATGGATGGTCAAGAAGAACAAAAGACATCATCAGATGGGGATTGTGTGACTGAGTGCCAATCATAAAGTGCCCAAAATCAGACGTTTGCTTGGCTTTGACATTCCTCTGCAACCTCAGCATTTTCTAAGGCAGCAACTCGCGGAAAGTTACCATTTTGTTTCCTACTTTTCGAATATTTGTGTAGTCAACCATACGGAGTACAAGACATTGATTTTCGCCTCAGCTTCATCGCAGTCAAACCCCCTCGCCTTTGCAGATCCAACAGTTGACGGGGTTTCTTCCCCGTGTCGTGTGTGAATAGCCAAACAAGCTCATTGGTGCGAAGTATTCGAGACAAGACGGAGCGCCGTGGACAGCAAGAAATGGTTCGCTGAAGAATTATTTGAGGCCGGGCCGATATGATTGCCGCTTATCCGCCCCATCCAATACTTAGCTTTCTTCTCTATCCGGGTGACGGCACATTTAGAATATGCCCAGAAATCGACGTGTCGAAAAGAAAAACAATATGCCCCCTTTAGTCATTTTCAGACGGGTTGTGGATTATCTGCAAGCGGATCAGTAAATCATTTCTCTGCGGAGCTGAAAGAATTGAAAATTTTGTTCTGTCATTGAATTGGATGAATGAGCGCTGCAGGACAGAGCTGCCTTGCCATTCGAGTCACACCGCGGCATCGGAACGCATTTCAATTGGATTTTTGACGACAGATATTGTGCGCATCTTTTCTGGGTGAAGGGAGCCGAGAAGGAACGTTGGCTTGAAAGCATTCACATTATAATTTCTTATTAACTCAATTATTTCACGCATGTGAATATCTTGTTTGGAGCCCTCTAGCTCTCCATGGACTCTCTGTTGATTTGAACAAATTCCATGATTTCTAGTCACTCTCTCCTTTTTTCTTTTCTTGTGCAAAAGGGCAAGGAACAAATTTTCAGACAACGATCCGGGATGTAAACGATCAGTTTCCCAGGGTCTCAACACAGAAAGCTGCTCGACCTTTTCTCTTTAGATGACGGTCCGGACAGGCATTGCTATTCTGGTTGACAGCACTGCCTTGTCATGCTTTGATCGACACGCAAACGCGAACATGGTCTGGGAGTCTGGAGTAGCTTAACAGTGAAAACAAGGAATTGTCCTTTATCAACTTTGGCCGAGGTAGAGTGACAACCTCTCATGGCACCTTCACACGACTGTTCGGTGTGAAGCTGTTGCAAGGGGTCCCTAATCACTTGTGACCCCTGATAGTCAGGCTGCTGGTGTTGTTGCCGACATGATGGCAAGGATGATGATCCTTGGAGGGGAGTCGGAGAGACCTGCAAACCTCTCGCATGTCATTCCGTGTCAATTCCGTCCTTCGGGACAAAGGCTGGCCTGGCCGTTGGTTTGTTGTGGTGTGGGTATTCCAACATAAATTCTTGTTTGATGAGAGCCCGACGATCACCATCAGCTCTTCAAGGTCTTTTTCTCTCCCATGTCATATTTTCATTCCAACAGAAAAGGACATGGGATATCAGTGGGTGTTCCCTTTTAGGTTATTGCTCCATTTCCTGAAACTTAAGGGTCTCATCAGGGATGAAAGCCATAAAACCTATGTCTGCTTGGAATTCCCTGCCATAATGATGCTCACTGTTTGGATACTTGTCTGACGACACAACACGATATATTCTGAGTAGCTTGGCACGCTGCTTATGGCTTCTTCCAAGTATGCTTGGGGCACAGAGAGTTGTAGAATGAAGATTTTTGTGTATTTCAAATCAAGCTCACATGGCTAGTGGAGTTTGAAAATTCTCATTAAAAAACATATCCCTTCTCCCAGCAATGTAGCCCAGGAGGGTGACATTGTCCTTGCGACACTCCTTAGCAAGAGTCACGTTTTGGATTTGTGACAGGCATGGTATGGATACAACCTTGTGTTGGCCCTGTCTCGTGAATATTTTTATTTTTTTCCCCTTTATCTATAGAGTATGTGCAGGCTTTTTCACCAGAGGACCCCGTGACAGAGTCACAGTGCACAGTAAGTAATCTAGAAAGATTGTGAGAGAGTTGAGGTAGGGGTCTCTCCTCAAGCTTGAACTAATACTGATAAAGTTGGCCCTAGCCGGACTGAGGAAAGGATAGCGCACAGCCAGGTGTGGTTGCAGGCTTCCCAAGTACTCCGTATTCGGAGAGAAATATCTCATGTTTGACACTCTCATTGCTGCGCGAATTTGAGATCCCATTTTAGCCGTTGGGCCTTGAACAAATTTGGAACGGTTGTCAGGGTGAATAAGGTCCTTCTGGCATGGAACGCTGGAGAGGCGGGCGGCTCAAGGGAATAGACGCCCTTCACTACATAAAGGGGGAGGTGGAGGCCGTTCTGGCCATGGATCGTATGACCTAACTAAGTACGGAGAGCAGGACCGTCCCAGGCGACTGGAACTACCTTGTCCGGAGTAGCGGTAGTCATGCAAAGAGAACCGAACTCGTGGAGAGAGCTGTACGATGTCTCAAAAATGGAAGAGGCCCGACTGAGAGGCAGCAAAAAAAAAATATAGGACTAGTATGGCAATTGTACGCCATATCCTTCGTATACAGAGAATCTAACATGCCGTTCTATATTTCTTGCTCTCAAATTCAACGTAGGACGGCACGACGAGAGCAGGGAGCCTAATTGCAGTTTTTTCTGGCACAATTGTCTTCGTTACCACCGCGGGATTTGGGACGACGAGACTGGAAACATGCTCGTTGCGCGACAAGGTCCCCACGAGAGACCCCAAGGCAGCCCCCGGGGGGGGGGGCTGTGGGACATGGACAAATAGTTAATTGAACAAGACAGGCCAAAAAAGAAATGGGGAACGAAAGAAGATGATGGAGAGATGATCAGCGGGTGAGGCGAGGGTCGCTCCTCCACACCTGTGGTCCTTTTTCCGCATGCAGGTCAACAATCCGGGAGCTCGTCCTCTGTGCAATGCGCATCAACTCACGATAAGTTCATGGGGAAATTCGAGAGGCCATTCGATCTCTTTGCCGAGGGAAATAAATTTAAGCCGTTGAACTTTGTTGCTCTTCCTGATGATTTTAATTACGGGGTGGGTTCTCCGGTGGGTTCTGGGCTGGGTATTTGTGGGAATGTTTGCTGTCGATCAGAGACTTTTCTCCTCCGACAAGAAGAACCTTAGTTCTGCCTCTGGAAGAAAGTTCAGTTAAGCAAAGAGGAGTTTCTCTTGTTGATTGGGAGCCGTTCGTGTGGAGAAGCGGTTGTCCGGCTGGCCGAAAAAGGCTCCTCCACAGAGTGGTGAATAATGGGGAGGTTGGAGAGGGCAGATCAAGATGGCTTACTACGAACCCGTCGATGCGGCTCTGATTTGAGAAATTCGAGTGCAATTCTCCATCCACCGTACGGAATACTCTGTACATACGGAGTACACAATATGAGTTGAATGTAACGAAGCGGTGGCTGTTGAGTTTGACATGTCTCCTGGTGGAAAATGACAGCTCAAAGCGCTGGCTTGGCTGGTGTCACGGCTGGGCTCGTGCCTCCTGAGCGGCCATTGGGCAAACCGCGGCCAGAGCTCCTGACTGGAAGATTTTAGCGGAACTCCTGAGCGCAAGTGCCTGGGGGTTGAGCTTGGGCATCTGTGCTCCTGCATAATGTGGGCATGCAGTTTGTCCCTCTGGCTGCATGTCCATGGATAGCTTCGACCTACATATGCAGAGTGTGAAGATTATTGCTTGATCGCTCGTCCGGAGTAATTTACACAGGGCCCTCATCAGGCCAAAAAAAGGATATTCAAAATAAAAATAATTCCATCCCACGAGAGCAAGGGAGAATGAAGAAATCACACACGTGCCTCTCGAGAGCAGTTGCAGATTCGGATTTTTCGAGCAAGGCAGGGGAGCAGAAATGAACTAGGGAAAAAGAAAAGAGCAAGCGGAATGAAAACCGTTTGGTGGTTGAACAAGACTGTCGGTCTGCATTGCCTTGTCATTTGTCACAGGGGGGCTTTTTCATGCACGATGATGCATAAACGCCTCCCAGCACGCCCGAGGTGAAACCTCCCCTGCAATCCGCTCGAGGGCACTCTCGGAAGGACATCGGAAAGTGGGGCGTGGCGCCATTCCCTTCCACAGGCCGCGCGGTAGTGGTGACAAGGGGGACCCTGCTGCTGCTGCTGCTGGCGCAATCGCCCTTGAACCCGGCCTTGAGGTCGCCCTAAGCACAACCAAGCCGAGCAGCTCGAGAGCCGTCGCCATCCAAGTGGAGCAGAAACGGGATGCTGGGAGGCGGGCAAGATCGAAGAGCGGAATCTACTACGGCTGAGGGGAGATGCGATTGATGGATGGCGATGAGGGAGACGCAGAGACGCAGGTGGAGAGAAAGCTGCACCCGATGTCTATGTGATGCTGGCTGCTTTTCAAACTATCATGGTATCACCTCCCGAGAGGGCTGTCCTGTCCTGTTGCCGCCCCCTTTTCTGCCGTGAAAAAGTTTGGTAAGGATGGAGGCAGGATTTCGGTGGGAACTGTGGTTCTTTTTTAGTCGAACCGGTGGAGGATCTTGGCCAGCGGGTCCTATATCAAAGCCCGGGACACGCCAGAACTCCGGTCAAACAACAGATGGATCGCAGCCAAATGCTGGGGAGTTGCCATCCTTTTTTTTTCCCAGGGTGTTTTCGGCAACCTACACGGAGCAGCATCGTCCGCATTCATCATCGTCACCATCAGCAGCAGCAGCAGCATGGCAACGAGGCCGCACCTCGCAGTCCATCGGAGTGGATTGATGACTGGGTCACAGCGTAGTCATAATAATAGCAGGGCAAATAAACCCCGAGCGAACCTGGATCGGTTCCTGTCTGATGTGACCGTCCAGAAACCTTAACGGTTCGAATGCAGACTATCACATACCGTTAGAACTCTCTCTGCTCGCTGGCAAGACTCCACCGGGCGCTAGGCGGAGCGCAGACTCCTTTTTTGCTTTGCCTTTCTTTTTCTTTTTTCTTTTTGCACCCCTCGAGCAGCGCGTTGCCTCGTTGCCGGTGTTATCAACGGGCTTCCAGACCAAAACACCAGAGAAGCACGCTAGACGAAACATCCCACTTGTTCTCCGTCCTCGCCCTTGAGTTTGGCTCATTAGTCGACGACAAGCACGTCTCCACCATCGTCCGTCCCGTTGTCCTGGGTTGCTGCCAATCAATCCCGCCTCCATTCTTCTTCTTCCTCCTCCTCCTCCTCCTCCTCACTCCTTCTCGCCCGCCTGGCTTGTTCTGCCTCAGTCATCTCTCTCCACGTCCCGCTGCAGGCGTTTTCCTTTCATGCCATCTCACATTTGACAAGTGCTTGTTGTGAAGAACCCTTCCACTCTCTCCAGCGCAGATCCAAAAAGAAAAAAAAAAAAAAATTAGAAAAAGCACAATTCTACTTCTGGACTGTTCGCACAGTGGGCATATCGAACCTACCTTTAGTCTACTGGACCCGAGTGTCTGCCGATGCTTTTGTTGCCATTGTCCCAGTGACATCGATCTGTCGTTCTGAATCTCCTGATAGCAAGTCGGCTTCCACCCAATTGCTCTCTTTCTCTGCGATTCGGGGCCATTCTACTTCCAATTTTGTCGCTGGTGCCGGCACTGCAAACTTCACTCCCTACGAAGGATCCCTAGTGCATCCTAAACTCTGCCTCTCTTTCTTAGTATTCCTTGAATACCGGTATTGTTAGCCTCAGCGAGCAGTTGTTACATAGATCGCAATCAGCCAGCGCTGCTCTGACGCGATATATATCGTTTTGAAAGCTTGATCTTGACAAATTTTTGTGGGATAGGTACGAGCGCCCATTGCTATTAACCCCTAAACTCAGTATCCCGCCCACGATGTTCGCTCATGATGGCGCCGTGGCATATTGCTTTCCTCCCTGGTCCAACATCTGCTAACACCGTCAAACATGTTAGCCGATCGCGAGTGTTTCGGTATCACAACATTATACACTGCTAAACTTGACCTGTCAGGGTCATAAGTACGAGGAAGGTTTCACCAAGTCTATGACCATGTTGTCACGTTAAGTGCAGGTTCACACATACAAGTCGGTCAATGAAATCGGGACCGTACATTTTATGAGAGCGCTGGGCCATCTGCGAATCGCTATTGAAGATGGAGCCACATCCCGAATATATCGCTCCGCTAAACATATCTAATGGCAAAGCTCAGTCACAGTTTCGAAATGGATCATTCTCCACGCGAATTGCATCCAACCAACGCTTGTTCTCAGCTCTGAAAACACAGTTACGGATGACGCCACCATTGACGCCTCACAGTTCACGCGAGGATATGGTTGATCGAAGCAATTCAGAGAGATCGGCATTCCCAAATTATCTTCGTGCGTTCTATCCTTTTCACCCTGGCGCTCCAATCTCATCTGCCACTGTGACTCTCCCGCTGGATCAGGGCGATCTAGTGCTTGTGCACTCTGTTCATACCAACGGCTGGGCTGATGGCACACTCTTGGATACCGGCGCCAGAGGCTGGCTGCCTACAAATTACTGTGAAGCTTATGACCAGCAACTGATGCGCCCGCTGCTGAAGGCCTTGATGGATTTTTGGGATGTCATCCGTGCAGGATCATGTGCGACTCTCCATCAGTTTGGGAATCAGGATTACATGAGAGGTATCATTGCTGGAGTGCGATTCCTTTTGGTACGAGCTCTCCTTACGAAGCCTCTGTTTTGATGAAAGCTAACTTGGACCAGGAAAAATCGGAATGCCTGAAAAGGGAAGACGAGCTTGTTCAGAAACTTGTTGGACTCAGGCGAAATCGGAAGGCTTTACTGTCCGATCTCTCGTCGTTGGCAAAAATGGCCAAGAATCTCAGAGATATTGCCAATGGTGCGCCGCTGGACGACTCGCTGGATAGTATCTTTGACCAGATGCTCCTCAAGGCTTTTAAGATAGTCACACGTGGCGTCCGATTTTTGGATGTGTGGAACGAAGAAGTTGGCCTATCTCGGGTAATGGCTGAACTTAGCCCCAGCGATTCGATAGCTCGCATGTACGATGAGCCACTCACACCACCTGTTGAATCATCGTTCAGCATATCAAGCAGCGCTTGGGGATCGACACAATCTAGCACCCCAGAGTCGTCCATTAGCGCAGCTTCACGCATGGAAACCCGAAGTCGCATCAATGGATCATTCATCTCGCGAGCTGCTTCTCAACTCTCCTATAACGAGCCTAACCAACGTCGCCATTCTCCAATTCAAACCAAACGATCATCCGTCTCACATCGAATATCTTACACGGCCACATCCTCTACCTCCCGAAATCCAAACCTCGCCAGCGAAAGGCTGAACGTTGCCATCGATGACTTTCTCGGTGTGTTGGGCTCCTTCATTGGTCTTCACCTCCACTCTCGATCGTCGACGGAGCTCATCGTGACGACGCAACAAGCTGTTCAGTCCTGTCGAGTTTTGCTATCGGTAGTCGAAGAAGTTTGGGAGCACGACCTGCACCGTTCGGAGGCTCTGGAGGAAGCCAAAGACACGATGTACGAGCGAATCACAGAACTCGTTCATGCTGCTCGAGATGCCTTTCGACCCGCAAATGGGAACGAGGACGAAACAATATTCATGCCAGACGAGGGAAAGCGTTTAGTTGACGCTGCGACCGTCTGTGTTCGCGGAGCGGGTGACTGCGTGGCGAAGGCCCGACAGGTTCTGGAGCAAGTCGGGGATTTCGAGATTGAGGCCGCGGCAATTGGCTTGGGTATCTCGACTCCTGATGTGGACAAGACCGACACGACAACAGACGACTTTGGAGGTGCTTTGGACACGGAGACGCCGCCGAAAACCGAGTCTTTATCAGGCAATGATAACAAGTCAGAGATAAAAGAAAGGTCAACTCGGCTCCCTCCACCACTACAAATTCCTAGCGGCTCACTTTCGACGCTATCATTGACGCCTTCCCTCACAACCGATGGTGGCACTACGCCATCTCCAAGTTTTATCACTACTGCCGTTGAAACACCAACCTCCACCTTAGACGAACCGTTTAGCGCTGCTCTCTCCTCATTTTCAGACCTTAATGACTCTCTTATCCCCTCTACTGACCTTAAGGAGAGCCAGGACCTTGATCTTTATCTTCATACAAAATCTCAAGAACCTGAATCACAGAATGAACCAACTCGAGGTGTGACCAGTGCAGAGAGTGAGCGAACTTGCGTGAACAATATTGATGACACTGAAACTGCTGATGGCACGGATGACTCGACCCGTGTTTCTACGCCGGTCGATGATAGCCAGCCACCTCCGCCACCCCTGAAAGACGATGTGGCTTCTCTTCACCATAGCGGTGGTGAAGATGCAGAAGAAAGCGAGGAGTGCATCCTCGAAAAGACCTACGCCCACGAGCTCATGTTCAAGGATGGCCAGGTCATCGGTGGAAGCCTTCGAGCTTTGATTGAGAAGCTTACTGCTCACGAATCTACCCCAGACGCCATGTTTGTCTCGACTTTCTACCTTACCTTCCGCCACTTTGCATCCCCCGTCGAATTTGCTGAAGCGCTGATTGATCGATATGACTATATTGGTGACAACTCCAATGCCGGTGGCCCAGTTCGACTCCGGGTGTCAAATATATTCAAAGGATGGCTAGAAGCTCACTGGCGACATGATTGTGATGATGTCGCTTTACCGTGTATCTTGAACTTCGCACGTTCGAAGCTCCTAGTCAGCTTGCCTACTGCTGGAAGGCGCCTGGTTGAACTGGTGGAAAAGGTGTCAGATCTTCACGGCCCACTGGTTCCGAGGCTAGTCTCATCAATGGGGAAAACAAATACTTCTATTGCTCAATATATCAACCCTGACCAGCCATTACCATCCCCTATTATCTCGAAGAGTCAGATGAACTTGCTCAAGCAGTGGAGAAATGGCGGTCAGAGTATCACCATTCTGGATTTTGATCCTATGGAGTTAGCTCGACAACTCACCCTCAAGGAGTCAAGAATATTCTGCTCAATTTTACCAGAGGAACTTCTAGGTACCGAGTGGATGAAGAAGACTGGTTCACTGGCGGTCAACGTTCGCGCGATGTCGACTCTCTCCACGGATCTTGCGAATCTTGTCGCTGATTGCATTTTGCAGTTGGATGAGCCCAAAAAGCGTGCTCTTGTGATTAAGCAATGGGTCAAGATCGCATCCAAGTGCTTGGAACTTAACAACTACGACAGCTTGATGGCAATCATCTGCTCTTTGAATTCCTCGACCATCTCGCGCCTCAAGCGAACATGGGAACTAGTCTCCCAGAAAACTAAGAATATCCTTGAAACTCTCCGGGAAATTGTCGACGTATCTCGGAACTATGCGGTCCTGCGACACCGTATTCAGAATCATGTGCCTCCATGTCTGCCATTTGTGGGAACATACTTGACAGACCTGACCTTTGTTGATCATGGCAATCAAGATACCCGTACGCTCACAGCGGATAGCGGTTCCATCGAGGTGATTAACTTTGACAAGCACATGAAAACAGCCAAGATTATCAGCGAACTCCAACGGTTCCAAATTCCTTACCGCCTCACGGAAGTTCCTGAGCTTCAGACTTGGATTCAGGATCAATTGGTTCGCGTGCGATCGGCCGGCGAGAAGGGGTTCCAAAACTACTACCGACGGTCGTTAATCCTTGAGCCACGAGAAAGATCGACACCACGCAATTCACCGGGAGATGCGAACGCCTTTTCTCTCTTTTCGCGTGAAAACGCTAAGGAGAAATTCGATTTCTTAGCCTGGACTCAAAGCTCAAAGATTAAGGCTGCTGTTAGCTAAACGCAATCTTTCCCATCTCAACTCGAATCTTTCCACATCTTCCGATCCTCTTTATTTATTCCAAAACATCTCTGGTGCATAACCCCTGATGCATTTACGATTTTATGACCTTCATGTAGTTTCGATTCACCAGTGTTTATATTGATACCTATTTTGCTTCGTTATCCGCTTTCGGATCCCCATCGGGTTTTTGGCTTCAACTTGGATACATTTTTCTCGTCGGCGGCGGCTCTTTTTTTAAGTTTTGGGATTAAAATAAGGAAAAGGGGAATTTTACAGGATTCAAATCGCTTTTCACCATGGAAGGGGTATTATAGACGCCTTTCCTGGGCTGGTGAAGAGAAATATAATGGGAAGACCGAAGAGCGCACACCAAGTGCCCTGCTTCGGCCGTCTTGTTGTCTTGTTTTGCATGAAAAAGGATGGATACCCGGGGGATCTGGTTTTCTATTTTACTACCTTTCGCTTTCAAAAGATGCGGTGGTTGGCCTTGGTTTCAAAGTATACCTGGAGTTGCAAGATTACCAGTTTTGGATTCTAATTTTTGTTTACTTTTTCTATTCATGTCTTCTACCTTTTTTGGCATCGGGGTTCCTTTTTCTATACATTTCTTGGGGTGTTTTGACTTCAAGTTGATTTTTGGATTGGTATATCCCCCTCCCGTTGGGCTTTTTGAGATTCTTGTATACATTATTTAGGATAGCACCAGATTGGAGATTGAGTAGAAAATATATTGAAATATAGGAAAAATATTTGCTCTCTTGACCAGCGACAGCCTCCGATAGCCAGCAGGTGACCTTTGTGAACATATCCAAGAACTCCGTCACATGATTAGAGCGCTATGCAGGCCAGTATCCGGGTTGAAAGTCGCCCGATGTGGTGCACACCTCACCATCAAGGGGAAAACTGGGATCACAAAGAACGGGATTCATCCACACGCAGGTTCCAATTTTAGCTTTCATTTGACTGGTCAGAGCGGCCCGACCCCATGCAAATTGCAGAGTGCGATATGCAGCGAGAGACTGCAAGGATCAGTTTGCAGAATTGCTGACATTAACACCATCCAATATCTAATTGCAACCAGTTGCTCAGGACTTGATACCTTTTGCTGTTCTGTGGATACATCTAACAAACTCATAACAATAAAAAGCCCCTTTCTCTTTGTGGAGCGCAGTTCAAGTCCCAGGCAGGACAAACAACCCCCAGTTCAGCGTTGAAAGTATGCCAGGCCTCTTGATAACGGCTTCCCCGCTCTTAGACCCCGTGGGTCCCGTACTCTACTTGTTATTGGCCGTCACTGGCGATTTAACCTCGAGGTTACGAGCCAAACGGACCTCGTCTCCCACAGATCTCCCCCGTACCAGCGCCTCTCACATTTTCGAACTCCGTAGGGAGTTCTCTGGCCCCCATCCGGCTTTCTTGAGGGTGACCCGACGCGTGCCACACTGCAGCAGCACGAAGGAAGTAATGCTTTTGCGAGAAAACAGAGACCTAAACGCCAATATCATCAGACATTTAGCAAGCTTGAAGACTAAAATAACAATCCTGAAAACGGCATTCTCGATTATATGAGAACCTTTCTGGATCCCTAACACCGAGGTGGAGAATCTCGAGATGCTCGCTCTGGGGTCTCTTTTTTGTCGTTTTGAGCATGATTTCTCCGAAAACATGGGACTGCTAGGGTGTGGGGGGCTTTTCCAGTATTTATGGAGCAAGAAGTGACCGCCTCCCCGTGTATGGGCTTAGTTACATAACCTTTCTCGGCTGCTGGCAGTAATTTTTCTTAGGGAGGTTCGGATTCGAAACCGTGTCAGTTTTGACCCTGCCTCCGCTGCCTTCCAGAGCCAATACCGAAACGTTTTCAATCCTTTCATGGATAATTTTGTCGGGTCACAATTTGAAAAACAAGACGCTCAAAGTGAATTGAAGATGGTTTCCAACGGATTCAGCGGTGCTACTTCTACAGCGACAGATGACTGGACTATTGATCCGGAACTATTCGCGTTCACACCAAGGAGGCTCCGGGTTGTCTGCATTGGTGCTGGCTTTGCCGGTCTGACTTTGGCCTATAAACTGAAACATGAACGACCATTGGATTTTGTGGACTTTACCATTTACGAGAGGAATTCAGAGGTCGGAGGCACTTGGTTGAAGAATGTATATCCTGGTGTTGGATGGTATGTGGCCCTTCGAAGTCTAAAAACACTCATGGTATTCATTTCAATTGCTTACGTGCGTCGTGTAAAGTGATATTCCATCTCGTGAGTCATTCACCTAACCAAAGGTAGTTATCGACTATCCTGATCAAAGAAGATAGCTATGTATTCTCCTTTGAGCCAAATCCAACGTGGTCGAAGTTCTATGTTAGCGGGGCAGAGATCCAGCAGTATATACTTAACACCACGGAGAAGTATGGACTAAAAGACAAAATAATATTCGATAGACACCTCGTGGAGTCTATTTGGGATGAAGAACAAGGAAAGTGGGAGCTCAGATTGGAGTCCAAGGAGGGTGTCATTCAAGATAAGGCCGACATCCTGATTAACGCAGGCGGCATTCTCCAGTAGGTGACCTCATTGCTTGTGGTCGATACTGTAGGGGACTGAATATATGACCAGCCAGTGGAAGTGGCCTGAACTCGAAGGGCTCGAGTCCTTTAAAGGCAAGCTCATTCACAGCGCTCGATGGTACGTTGTTTACCGATGCTACCAAAACAGCCTTCTACAGTAATAGATCTAATGAGTGTATTAAAGGGATTCAGCGTACGATTGGACTGGAAAGAAGGTTGCCGTCATTGGTAATGGGTCGTCGGGGATTCAAATAGTACCAGCAGTGCAACCAAAGGCTGCAAAGCTGGTTAACTATATACGACATGCGACTTGGATTGCAGCGAATATTTGCGGTCATTTGACTAAGGATGGAAGCAACTTTGAATTTACAGAAGAAGAAAAGCAGCGATTCCTGGAAAATCCAGAGGAATTCTCTCAATACCGAAAAAGAATCGAATCAGAGTAGGTCTTTCTCTGCGCTCTGGCTGAGAACACGCCCATGCTAATGCAAACGGCAGGGTCAATAGCGTGTTTAGGATGATGATTTCCGGATCTAAGGAGAATAAATTCATGTTCGACCTGTGTGATAAATTAATGAGAGATCGACTGGCAAAGAACCCCGAATTGATAGAGAAGCTCATTCCGAACTACGAGATTGGATGCCGTCGAATCAGTCCTGGTGATGGGTACTTGGAAGCCCTGCAGGCTGAGAATGCTAAGTGCTGTTTCAGTGATATCAAGCGCATTACAGAGAAAGGCATTGAGACGGATGAAGGCGAGGAAGAATTTGACCTGATAGTGTGCGCGACTGGATTCAACACAAGGTTTATTCCCTCGTGGAAGCTTGTTGGTCGCGATGGTCGACGTCTGGATATTGCTTGGAAAGATAAGCCAGAAGCATATCTTTCCGTTTGTGCCCCAGGGATTCCTAATTATTTTATGTTTGCGGGACCCAACTTTCCCGTGGGCCATGGCTCTATACCTCCAGCCTTCGGATGGAGTGCCGATTACATGCTGGATTGGACGACGAAGATAGCAACCGAGGATATCAAGTACGTTCTCTATGAGATTTCCTCGAGTATTCCGTTTTACTTGGAAGACGTGCGAACTAACCTGCGCCCTCCATAGGTCCGTTGTGGTGAAAGATTCTGTTGTGCGTGACTACAATCGCTATGCCCAAGAGAACCTTAAGCGAATGGTCTGGTCCAAGGGCTGCCATGCCTGGTACAAGAGCGCGAAAGGAGACAACAGAGTAGTCACTGCCATGTATCCAGGTAGTGTGATGCATTATAAATGTATGCTCGAAAACCCAGTCATTAAACAGTTTTACCGATGCATTTGCTCACAATCTTTTTTTTATAGCTGCACTCGAAATCATACGTGGGGAGCATTTCGATATCGGATACAACACGTCCAACCAATTCCGATTTATGGGCAACGGCCAACTGGCTTGGGAGATGGAAGAGGGAGCGGATTTTGCACCGTATGTGAAGTAGTCCTGGATAGGCTTCAAATTTCGAAGAGAACGGAAATGGGAATACATCCGAAAGTTCAGTACCAGAATAACAGAATACAATGAATTATGAGTTAGTGCTCTATGCTAGGATGATTATCCCTTTAATTGAGACAGAATTGAGTGATGATTTACAAACACAGCATCAGAATCAAAATTATAACTCGTGAAATAAACTGTAACATTGATGTTTCTGAGCAGTTTGTTTCTCTTTTGGCCCCAATTACCAGTCTTGTCTCCCCAACATAGGCTGTAGGTGCAGTCTCCTTTTCTTAGAGGAACAGTTCAGACCTTGTCACTGGTTATGTAGAATCGTTTGAGTGTGGACAAAATGCCCCTAAGCTCTTTAATCAGCTTGTAGCATGTGTAGTTATGTCAGTCGTATTCTAGTGTGAATACGTATATAGCTCTAGTCGCTTTCATTCAATTTTAAGAACTGATCCTTTGGCTAATTGGTATCAATTGATATCTCAGGAGGAGAAAGATATTGAAACGTCTGGACATCATTCCCTGCACAACATGGCATTTCACCGGAGCTATTCTTGTACAAAGAGGTAGCTATGATTCCAAAGATTAATCCTTTCTAGATCCCAATGGTTTGTACATACATATTGCTTGTAGGGATGCAGCTTAGGAAACTAAATTTGTGTCTTGGGTTTATGCATGTACCTCCCAAGTTTCTGAAAAGTAGGGTAATGTAGTACAGCAATTCAAGGCCTATCGTTTGTCTCCTGGTACAAGTTTCACAGAGCCGGACGCTAGCTATACAACATGATGAGGGTTTATTATGATGCAAGAAAAGGTTCAGTTATTATTATCTAATATACATAGGTGATCCCTAGTCATATAGCTGTAAGAAGAGAAAGAAAAGGAAAGAAAACACTCATTATAGGCAATATCTTGTCTCTATGCTCGGATGGCCCAATAAATTAACGCGTCCTATAGCGGATTTGCGGCCGAACCAGTCATAGAGATATACATTCTCCGGAGAACAGAGTTACGGAACAGTACCGCTTGGCGGAAGGGTGTGTTTGGACAACAAAATTGCGAGCACCGGGGACTTCGTGATATCACCAAATCGCAGCCCGGCTGGCCTAAAACTCGCTTGGCAAAACCCTAACTGAGTTAAACTACTTAACCTTAACTCACAGATCCGTAGCAACAGGAGAGCCGAGACTGAGAACCTCACTCGCGAGCACAAAAAAGGGTTCTACGCGCCATGACAGCCCCATCGACCTGGTCGAACTCGGGTCCTGTCCTTGGGCAATGTCGCCGACTTCTTGGATCCCTAGCCTTTTTGAGCCCGAAAATCGACGGCAGTCCCCAATAGGAAATATGCACATTCTCCGCAGACACCAGGTTATCCTGTTAGTATCAAATGTACTAATTTAGATCTTTCATGAAGGTGCAACGGTTTAAATAGGCACTAGAATAAGTGTTCAAGGTACAGCCGCACAATCTTACAGTTGTCCACCCAAGTGCGGGATGGAGCTGGAGCTGGAGCTGGAGCTGGAGCTGGAGCTGTTGGCCTTGCAGCGCTCCTCGAATGTATTTAAAGCATGTAGTCTCTCAACATCATGCGCCCTCCTAACACCAATCTTGAAGAAATCAGCTCCAGTCATATCGACTCACCTAAGAAACTCATACAATCTCACGCCATGGCTCTCAATCCTCCGATATTGGTGCTTACTCTTCTCATCTCTTTTCTTTCAATACCTGCATAAGGCATCCCCACGGATACTGTGCCCCGATCAAAGGCTAGTATAGCAAAAGATCCATTCAAAGCTATCGGCATCGCGACAGGCTCGGAAAAGGCGGATGCATGGGTAGGTTGCTTTTTCAAGCTCTGATCTCCCCGCGATCTTGGGCCTATTGACTGAGGCACCAGTGCAGGACTTCGATAAAAACCCAAATACGTGCCGTCTCTAATTTTCAACTCACAACGGCGGGCACTGAAGTCTTGAGGTCGAATGTCAAGAGGGAGGAAAGCGGACGATTGAGGAAACGTTGAGCAGGTGCTACGTTGGAGGACGAACATGCTTTAGCGACCCTCGACTTGGTGACTTCTCCATCACCTTCACAAAGAGAAATGGCACGGAGGGTGAAGGACTTAGCGACCCGATAATCCAACTCGCTTCATTCCAAAACTGGAGAGAGATTCCTGTTTCCGCTCTTGCGCTCGACATGCGAGCGCCCAGCGCTGCGAACGTGGTATTTGACTTGGATGGTTAAAGCTCGGTTCTCGCTTAATTTTGCTTGTATATACCAAACCGGCCATACGGAAGATGCCCAGTCGAATCCAGAACCTAATGTAGTGGAATTTAGGCTTGAATCAGTTGATATTTGACAGAATTCGATTGTGTGCCTAAGGCGGCTTTTGCAAGGATGCATGGTATATTTAGATGTCCAACCAGATTATCGTCCCACAAAGTGCAGCTGGGAAATGAGTTAGTCTACACGCCGTAAAATATGGTACAGGGAAGGAAGAGGCAAGGTAGGGGATCTGATCAATCATCAGAGACTTGGCCATATATTGTGTGTGTTTTCCAATGTTTAGAAAGGCGATCAGATGGACAGAAAATGCTGAGGCTGGTCGCCCTCAACCAAAGATAGAGTGAGAAAACGTATCCCAAGCGTTGCATACCAGGGCTGGATACTTGCTCTTACCATGTCTCTTCGCCGGAGGCTTGCACTTTGCCGCCGGCCTAGCAGCTACCAGATAAATTGGATTAAATCTCAAGGAGTGGTAAGAACTTGGTTTCAAATGAATATTTTGGTTTGCTTGTGCAGAGTTGGGTGTGGCGGATTTACCGCAAATCTTGTACGAAGGTCTGTTTGATGGAAATTTCCTGGATGGACTTTCTTTGGGTTCAGAAGCTTTTGGGAAATCTCTTCGAATGCCTCATAGATTCTCTGTACCTTTACCCGTACTCCGTACTCTGGGCCCAGAACTATAGACCAATAAAACTACTCGATCACCATGCTGTAGTGCCATAAGAGAACACCGCTCTCATGTGGAGGTGGAATCGAGTGTCGTTGGGAGTCCGCCAGGCACACGCAAAAGAAGAAAAAGAGAAGTCCAAAAGAAGCGATCTCTCTGGACAAATGTCTGCTTAGGATGGGTTTTTTTCGCAATCGGATTGTACGGAATAGCCGCGGCAGAGACGGACGATCAGCTCGTTCGCTGCTATGATTACGCAGCCTTGGGGGGGGCCAACTTGGCGCCTTCATCGGCCAGTAGGCGCCCAAGACTAAGCGAAGGGCCCGTCCCTTAACTAGCGAAACATCCCCTGACGGCTAAACATTTTGAAACCTGCGCACGCGAGCCTTGTCTGGAAACAAGTGGTATCCGCCCACGAAAGGGACTGCTGTTGATCGGTCAGTTAACCGGTCCACACGCGGGGATTTGTGTCCAGGAACCGCTGTCTTTCTTTTGGTCTCGAAAAAAGCTTGGTTGTCTCTTCTGGACATCTCTCAGACATAGATCTACATTTGTACTACCTTGGCCGATGGGAAGAAGCAATCTTATCTCGCCTTTGTTTTCGACCTTTTCGGTAGGACATTTCCCTTTTTTGCGATGCCGGGTAATAATGGCATCCTTGTGGGCCAGAAATCCAAGTTTCTCGACTTGATTTCTTCCGCTATCAAAGGGCGCGGAGGCTTGTTTGCGGTGACGGCATTGACCATCTTGAACATCCTCATTTTCATGAACGTACTTTACCAGCGAAGTGCAACAGCTGCTATCTCGAATAATAGCTATACTTTACGCCAGCCTGACCAGAAGAGCTCGAACGGACCAAATCTTGTCAAGCCCGATAATTTGACGATATCCGGGCTCGTGTTCTTTGGGCGAAAAGATAGAGTGGAGTCGATGCATTGTTATCTCGAGGTATGCTGTTGTTCATCTGCTTTGCTGCTTGCTTAAAGACTCTGAAGGCTAACTCTCTGAAAGCGGAACATAGTTGACAACGGCGGCTGGCTAGACGAGGTTCTGTGGGTTGTCAACACGGAAGATGGGAAAGACCTTGCATACTTGGAAACTATCCTTAAGCGCTCGCCTAAGCGTTATAAGAAATTGGATCTCGGAAAGAAAGTAAGAGGCCCGGAATTTCGCCAGATTTGGAAACATTTGGAGCGCGGAAAGATGTACGTCAAAGTTGACGATGATGTCGTGAGTCTCTTCCGAGTCGTTTCTATCAGAGACACTTTGTGCATCTGACGATCTGACAATCTCTTCTTAGGTATGGCTTGCCGACGATGCAATCCCGAAGATAGTTGACAGGAAGTTCAATAATCCCAATGATTTCGCCGTATCCGCGAATATTATCAATAACCCTCCTTTATCCTTTATGCACTATCATTTCGGCGCCTTACACCCCTACTTCCCTGAGTTAGACAAAAACGGCGACGCAACGACGAAAATCAGCTCAAACAAAGCTTGGAGACCCTCAGCACATCCATACTGGAGCGGGCCATCGGGTTTCACATGGCCCATGGATGCGAATCCTCCAGCAAGAGGCCATCGCTGGCTCCGGGTCAAAGACGACAAGGCTATTTCCCGCACTCCAGTGTCAAAGCTAAAGTATGAAGTGTGGGGTGATACATATGTGAGCTGGGCTATCGCTGCTCAACAGCACTACTCATTTCTCGAGAACCTGGAGTCCGGCAATCTGCATTTATACAAATTCGAACCTCCCTGGAATATGGATAATGAGCGAATTAGGATCAATGTACTTGCCGTCATGGCCGATGACATTCTGGATAGCAATATTGACAGTTGGCCAAAGGAGAGGAGTGACGAGGAGATGGTTGTTATGGAGCTACCAAAAATGTATTCACGACGTAAGTTTCGTCCCTACGCTCCGACATCTGATCGTGAAATTGTGAACGCGAGTAGCTAACATGAGGCTGTAGCTGTTAATATCGTCGGCTCCGCGCTCGCCGTACATTTCAACTTCCAGCATCAGCGAGGTGTTGTAGACACTGATCTTCTCGCACGATATCGGGCATTGGCGCTCGAGCAGGCGTGTCTCCCTAAATAATTTTGTCATATTATCGTATTTACGAGCTTTTCTCTGAAACACACATGCGGACCGAGGAGAACCGCCAAAGTGTGCTCAATATCCCGACCTACCGCAAACCGATGGCTGTTTCATATTGAAATGGGATTGCGTCTTTGTTTATAGTTCGTTCTCGGGAATCGAACTTGGAGTTTTGGGAAGAAGGAGGTGCATCTACCAAGTCGCAATCTGGAGTACTTCTTGTATTGGATATAGAACTGAGAAGTTTGGGGTGAATATCGCTGTACTATTACCTAACTCTAAATACCATGGCTGGAAAACTGCTGGGGCGCATCAGGTGTTTTTTTTTCTTTCATATTTCATTGTATCTAGTGCATTTCGAATGGGGATAGGGGCATCTATGGGGCAGAGACGAATTAGCAAGCGGGGGAATTGAAAGCGGGTTGCAAAGGATGACTGTGACCTAAACTAAGACCTATGAGGATGTGGAAGTTAATCGCGGTACATTTCTTGGCTAACATTTCCCCTTAACATCAGGCAGAGCTCAGGATATTCCTTCAGAAAGGAAGACCTGGTAGTTTAGTACCACGGTTATGACATCATCCATCATGTCAACTTACGGAGAATTTGTTTTGCCGAAACGATGAAGTTTCGGTATGCCGAGACCTACTGACGGCATGCCGAAGCTCAAAAGGTGCCACAGATGGAGCTTTAAAAGTCCTGTCAACAACCTTCCATTCTGCAGTGAAAAACAGAGAATTGCGAAGACCAGATTCGCACATAATACCCATCATTTAGGAAAATGACCTGGGATATATTCTAGCCTTATCTGAATGGACAACTACAGAAAATGACAGTCCCATAATAAAGTACTGAGGCAATGTCGTTTTATGGTGAAACCTCAGGAAGGTCAGGCGGTTTTGCAACAGACTGATCTTCACCACTTGGCTTCAAATTCTTGTGTTATGCTAGCTATCCAATCTTAAATGGAGATTCCAGACCCAGATGTCAGGATTACATACTTTGTACTCTTACTTCTTCTAACCCCGCACATGAAAGAATTCCTGATAAAGCAGATCTTCAAATCAATCCCTCTTTTTCTAGGGAATACATGCTGTTTGCTTTCTTCCTCCACCCATGGAATTCCTCGTCACTCAAATTTCACAAATAACTGGCTGACGAAGACGGAGAAAAAAAAATTAAAAAAAATAAAAAATGTGACATATGAAAGTAAGGGATGTGTATATGTAGGTAGCAGGTGTGTAATTTCGGACAAGGCGATACAGAGGCCCGGGTCACGCCGCATCAACACAGATTTGTGCAATACAGGATTGGCACTGTTATCACCATCTAATAAAGGGAAAAATACAAACAGTCAAGGGAAAAAAAAAAAAATAACACACACAGCTGATGAGAGCAACAGAGGTTAAAAAAACAAGTACCAAAGATCGAAGGAAAGTGAAATTGGGACACCAACGCCAGAATATCTTGAACTCCAATAATGAAAAGTAATGTAATGAGAGGAAGAGCAAGCTGAACTCCGGTCACAAAGCCCCGCATCTATTGGCTATCGAGCTGGTATCGTAATCGTCTCAAGAGGATCGGGTAAGATGGTATCAATTCAACACAATGTGGACTGTTGTGGTACGAGCAGGTATGGTTATTGCCATGAGCGTCTAATATTCGAGAGCTGGGAGAATGAATTAAAATGATATCACCAAGGGCCGACCTTGAGGGGTAGGCCAGCGCCATATGTGCCTGAGAGTAACTGTTGCCGAATGGAAGCAGTATCGGTCTGGGGACAACCAGGCCCTGGATGGCTTGGATTACCCGCCATCCAGCCAAGACTAGCACTTAATGCATGGACTGCGTCTTGAAGCTTCCCACCAGACGTTTGATTATGCTTTGCTAGCTTTTGATCCCATTCCCCATACTGCAACTGGATGCCGCCACCCCGCTTACTGGCCTCACGGATTACCAGCGCCCAAGCTTTCGCTATTTCTTCATATGCAGCCTCTTTTTCCAAGTTATAATGTGGAGTATCCCATCTTGGCAGTTGGTGAATGATTTCAGTCACACCATCGAGGTAGTTTAGAGAGGTCGAAGGGTGCGTTTCATTCGGAGGAAGAAAATGAGGCGTAAAGTCATTGAGGGCGTCTAGCAGATTCATCACATGTGGCCTGACACGGTTATAAGCATAGTCTGAGGAGGGATTGCCGCCAAGAGGGAAAGAGGACTGAAGAGTCGACTGGTAGTTGCTGAGGACCTGCAGAGCAGATGTGATATTTGGCCGAGGAGCGGTATCGACCACTTCTTGTCCAAGTTCGGGATGGCGATCACACAGGGACCGGAGCACGGATCGAAGAGCGTCGCTGTCCAGAGTTTCGAATAGACGTCCAAGAGACAAAGGCCGTCCCGAGAGGTTTGGTCTCGGCCGTTTTATCTGACGAGCTGCTAGGGGTTTAGTGGGCAGTGCAGGCGAGCTTGTTGGCGAGGCAGACATGCGAGTGTCATGATCACTTGAACCGTTGTCATCTTCTGCTTTGCGTTTCCGGCTCCCAGCTGGGTTCATTGGGGAGACTGCTTTCACAAGTTATCAGTATGATAAGGCTCTTCTGTCGCCGGCGGTTTCGCTCTTGGCGGCAGGGACTATCTTACCGAATCGAGATGTGGTGTTGAATCGGTTATGCTCGTAAAAGTGTGGAGGGATGGGTGGGGTTGCCACCAAGCTGTTCATGATGCCGATAGCAAGAGGAGGAAATGAAAAGCCACTTGCACAGAAATAGCTCTTGGGAGGAGAAAAGGAGAGTGTGGGATGTTTCGGGAGGATGTTGTGGTTTGAAGGAGTAGGAAACATTTCTTGAGGGTTTGGTCACGTCGGGCAGCTCACTAGTAACAAATCCTTACAATACAATACAAACTCTGCAGCTGACTGGTTGCGCCGGGCAACAAAATACATGTAAGATACATGAAATGCTGAGCAGCTCTTCTCCTGAGTTCCTCTTTTTCTTTTTCTTTTCTCTCTTCTTCTTTTTTTTTTTTTAAAAAAAAAAAAATTAAACAAAGACCAAGTACATATAAATGTAGAGGAATCCGCTTATTATTGCTATAGCATGCATTTTTACCCTCTATCGGAACGAATAAAAACGCCTTCGGGAAAGGACCCTGCTAATAGGACAGTCATACGCCTTACCCTCGGCCAAACTCATACACGTGTCGGGAGTATAACGAGAACAAGCCTCCGATAAAAAGAGCGCGAAAGAAACATTGGATCTCGTTTTCGTCTCTTATAGATACAAAGACTGGGCCGCGACAATATCACGTTTCACTAACGATAGTGAGGCTTCGAATTTAGACTCCAGGTCGCTGCTGCCCATCACCTTTGCAGCCTGTGCCATCTGTCTCATACACTCTTCTAGCCTACGGAATGTTCGAATCAAGCTGCCTTCGTAGACATCGGTCATCTTGCTGCGCATTACATTAGTATAATTCTTTCGAATCAAGAGCATGCGGGTTGAATACCATATTTCTGCAAACGAGCCACCTTTGGCCCACTTATAGATGACTTCCATCAGTTCCCACCGGAAGCTCTGCACATACTCCTCTTCATTCACTGCAAGTTTCGATTCTTGTGCAATTTTTGCAACGGTTCTTGCCTGTGCTTGAATTTCGCGAAGTGGTTTTGCAAGCTCCTCGTTCGTTATAGCCGGAGTTTCCTTTGCTGTCTCCTCGAAAACAAAGACACTCAGCACTGCTGCACACTGCTCGGGCGTAAGGGTGTTGAAAAAACCATTAAACAGCAGCTCGCTCAGCATCAGTTCGTCACCGCTGCTAATTTCGCAAGCAACTCGGGCCTTCAGCTGCACAACGTCGGATGCATTGATGAACTGGAACCGGCGCAGAACGCGCTTTCGACATTTTAATTCATCAAGCTGAATAATCGACATTGCGTCTGAAATCTTCCGCTTCGTTTCCTTAATCTTGTTGACTAACTCCACCTTTGTCGCATATTGATCGTACAATTCCGGCAGCCGCGGAGAGTTGTGGAGGGGATTTGATAATAAACGTGCCTCGACAACTTCGACTTTCTATTCAAAACGTCAGAATAATCTTCGAAACAAGCCATAGTACGTCCACATACCCTCATTGTCATCTTAAATGGCTCCTCTTTGATTCCCATGTCTTGAATGGGATCCAACACCGCAACGCCATCTGGGAATCGCCGTTGGACCTCAGTAAGAATCTTTTTTGTGTATTTCTTTGATTCGGCAGACTTTAAATCTTTGGGTAGCGTGACTTTCACTGTGGAAAATGCCTGAATGCAGCTTAAGACGACGGGGACCACTGCCATAGTAGACTTCTCGCCTTTCCTGGCAGGTCGGACTCCGGGAGGTAATGTCTGGTCCCCTGTCATGTGGAATGATGCATTCTCGCAAATGTCTAAAAGCACGTCTACTATAATGCTTTCATGTGGTGGATATTCTTCCAAGACATTCTTGGGAGGTTTGCGCTGTTGAAAATTGACAACCAAGCCCCAGCCAAAATCGATTTTTCCATGTTGAACATGAACAAGCCGCCCAGGGTCGAGGAAGCGCTGACAATAAGTTGGTCTGCACATCGTTATTCGCATTTCATCGTTATACGTAGCCAAAAGTTGTCGTGAATCGTAATACTCTCGAATCGTGCCTTCGTCAGAAATGGTCATATTTTCCCGCTGATTTTCCAGATCCTCAAGTTCTGATACCGTCAGTGAAAATAAATCGAGTAGTCAAGTGTGAGAGAACTCACCTTTCTCCAATGTTCCAACACTGGATGCGCTCTGGAACTGCGCAAAACAGCGCTCCAACATGAACTCTGGAGATATCCCTTCCACTCTTAGCAAATTGAGAATCATGTTATAGCCCAGGTAGAATGCCGAGTTAAGTTTGTCCTGTTCACCACGGACTATTTCCTTTACCACAGTTGGGTCCATCTCCTCGTTGACCATCATGATGACAATTCCGCGGTCATCAAGGCCTCTACGGCCTGCACGACCCGACATTTGCACGAACTCTGAAGGCGTTAACCATCGCTGACTGGTCCCATCAAATTTTCGGACGTTTGTGAAAACCACTGTCTTCGCCGGCATGTTCAATCCGATGGAGAACGTCTCCGTAGCGAACAAGACTTTGATGAGGCCTTCCTGAAACAAAATCTCGATAGTTTCTTTGAGGATTGGCAGCAAGCCGGAGTGATGCACACCGATTCCACGTCGAAGGAGCGGAAGTATATTCTCGATCTGCGGCAACTTTTTGTCCTCGTCCGAGAGCATCTCAATAGCACTATTGAACACCTTGGTAACCATTTCCTTCTCGGAGTCATCGTTGAAGCTTAAATTTTTCAGGGTTAAGGCGTGCGCCTCGCATTCACGTTTGCTGAAGCTGAACACAATAACCGGATTATAGCTTTTCATCATGATCATTCTCACGATCTTAAACACATCGGACGGACCCTTTTCGCCCCCTTTATTCGTCTTTTTATTTTTCCCCTTCCCTTTTCCGCGTGCATTTGCGTCCGCGGGGTCATCTCCTTTTTTATCCGCAATTGCGCCCATAGCTTTTTGAAAATTTTCCTCCTTGAAATTTCCCTTCTCGTTGACTACCAGGAAAATGCCTTCCCCACCTGCAGGGAAAAGGTAATGCTGAAGGGGAGTGGGTCGAAAATCGGTATACACAACGTGGCATGGTTGGCTATGGGTCTTCGTGATCCATTCGGCGAACTGCATGGCATTGGGAATCGTAGCGGAAAGGAATACGTAGCGGACCTTATCAGGGAGAAGGATGATCGTTTCTTCCCAAACAACACCACGGGCTTGGAAACTGGTTTAGCAGGCTGCGCGCGTGGGCGGGGGCATCCAGTTCAACTTACTTTTATCTCGCATATAATGGATCTCGTCAAAGACTACCCACGCCACTTCTCGCATTATCTCGGATCCGCGATATAACATGGAGCGTAAAATCTACTTGCAGAGTCAGTTGCTCTTCCAACTCGAATTTCTGAGAACAAGCCTCACCTCTGTGGTCATGACGAGGCAAGTTGCCGTTGGGTTAATTGTCACATCGCCAGTCATCAACCCTACATCCCCGAATTCAGATGCAAACTCTCGGTACTTCTGATTGCTTAGCGCTTTGATAGGACTTGTGTATATGACTCTCTGATTGTTCTTCAGGCAGTGGGCGATAGCATATTCAGCGACGACAGTTTTTCCGGCACTGGTATGAGCGGAAACAAGAACGCTTTCACCTCGTTCGATGGATGCGATGGATACTTGCTGGAAGGGATCAAGCTTGAACGGCCACGTCCTGGCTGGTGTCTCAGGCGGCTTATGTTGGGAGATAGGCACGTAGGGGTAATTCGGCGGCAGAGCAACCTGATGTCGGACTTGATGCGAAAGGACGACAGCAGCGCCCTCTTGGGCTGGCTGTAACCCAGCCGAGGCCGCAATTTCACGGGACTGCTCTGTTTCGAAGGTGTCGGCGACAACGGGCTCGGGCTCGACTCTGGGTCGCTTCGCCTCGGGTTGTTCGGCCTCGAATTCAGCAAACGCCTCGCTCTCATTTTGTGCCGAGTCTCCAGATGGCTGCTCAGCTCCATTCACATCCGCAATGGGCGTATTCTGCTTGACTTCTCCATTCGCCTGTCTCTTCTTGGTTGTATCCTTCTTTGCTCGAGGTATCACAGGGTGAGTCGACGTAGCTCCGGATGCTGGAGCATCTTCAAAGACGTCAAAAAGCTCCTGCATGGCGCTTAACCGCTTAATAACAACCCGCGACAGTCGTGCAATCAAACAGCCAGAGGACGCAGAAGCTCTCTTGCGGCGTTGCTCCGGTTGCCGTTCGAAATAATTTCAACCCTGTCCCGGCCGGACAAACTTTCCGAAGAGGGACAAGCACCGCTATAAATCACGTGATAGTAAAACTAACACCCGATCTGGACAGGCTTCGGGTTGTTCCGTTCCGCTCCAGCGCCGTTTGGTGGGAAAACCAGCCCATATTGTGATCACCTCGCTCGCTTCCTCGTCTGACCGCAAGCCCCAATCACGCCCGCCTCGATCTTTTTTTCCAAGGTATGCCGTAAGAAGCGAAAAAACCCGGCTTGCCATCGCTGACTTACCTAGATGTTTGCTCGATCTGCACTCCGCGCCAAAACGGCCACCTCCCTCGTCGCCCGCCGCGGCTTCCATGCTACCCGTCCTCAGTTCGGCAGTCCGTTCCACTACCCTGAGGGTCCGCGCAGCAGCATTCCATTCAATCCTCTCACAAAGCACTTCTTCTGGAGATACTGGGGCTTTATGGGTATGACCCTGGGAATCTTGCGGCACACTACAAGACCCAATGGCTGATTTGTTTTCTAGGCGTCGGCTTCTTCATGCCCTTCGGAATTGCTGGTACGTTTTTACATCCTCACCATTGCTTCCTTGAAAGACCCGATGCTAATTGCCCTATCTTCAACTAGTCTGGCAAACAATGAAGTCCCAATAAACGACCCCTTGTTCCATCTATCCTTTGACGTTACTGAGAGGTGGTTGCAGGATTGGAATCAACGCCACTTCGGGGCCGTAGGAAGCATGTACAAAATTTAGAATATGAAAAAATTTTTATGCAATATCCTGTACTTCTACACAATCTTGATCAAATACATGATGTATCTGTCATTCGCTGTAGTTTTGGTGTATGTGTGTTGTCCGACTGATTGTCTTGTTAGGGAGTTGATGGGCAGCGCGGATGAGATCATTGGTCGGAAAATGCTGTCACCCCATGAAAGGCTCGAAAAATTAAAATCGTAAATCTACTCCATACATACCTAGTTGTGTGCAGACAACGCAACACAGCCAACCCAGGACAGCAGTGAACTGATGCGCAATGTCTGTAATTGTATTCTGAGGACAAATTCCTGGCACGTCAATGAACTTCCGGCCGGTTTCCTGATTGCCCACCGAAATCCAATATAAAAATGCGCAACCTAAGAAATATCCGCTTCGCGGAAATCCCACTTCCAGAGGGGCTCCCCCTAACTGCGACTGCGTGGGATCCCACCACGGACTCTGTTCTCTGTGCCTTTGGTCCAACAGAGACTAGTGCTGTTATTGAACTGAGGCGCAAAGAGGAGGATGCATATATCAGCTCAAGCCTGGAGCTCCCGCTTGTCGCCTCGTGGGACGCGCCATGTCCTCTCCCAGAGCTAAAATGCGATCGCATTTTGTCAATGCAATATTTTGCGGACACCCTCTCTACGTGTCTAGTTCTCGAAGGAGGAGATATCATCGTTGTGCGTGAGGAGCCACAGCCCGAAGAAGACAAAATTGAAATTCTTGGATCTGTGGATGTTGGGATTACGGCCGCTGCTTGGGCACCAGACGAGGAGCTCCTGGCGATTACTACGAGATCTAATACGTTGCTTTACATGACCCGTGATTTTGAAAATATTGCAAACATTGTATTTTCTCCCGAGGACCTCAAGATCTCGAGACATGTCTCCGTGGGATGGGGAAAGAGAGAAACTCAGTTCCAGGGGAAACGGGCCAAAGCTCTGCGGGACCCAACGATGCCGGAGAAAGTTGACGAGGGGAAATTAAGCGACCTGGACGATGGAAAGACCTGCATTAGTTGGCGAGGGGACGGTGCCTTCATTGCTGTGAACAGCATCGAATCCGGATCTCGACGTGTAATCCGTGTATTCTCTCGGGAGGGCGCTCTGGACAGCGTCAGTGAGCCGGTGGATGGACTGGAAGGGGCTTTAAGCTGGCGCCCTGCTGGTAACCTGATTGCCGGCATACAGCGCCTTGAGGGTCATATCGATGTTGTCTTTTTTGAACGAAATGGCCTTCGTCACGGTCACTTTCCGCTTCGGCTGGAAATGGAAGATAGAGACACTTGGGCTTCATCTATCGACCTGGCCTGGAACATTGACTCAACTGTGTTGGCTGTCTTATTCAGGGACAGAATTCAACTCTGGACAATGGGAAATTACCATTACTATCTTAAGCAAGAAATCCCGCTCACTTCCGAGTCTGATCAAACTGAGCTTCTTCGTACATTCCGCTGGCACCATGAAAAGGCGACACGATTTGTGACTGCTTCTTCAAGTATGTGAAAAAATTGTCACTTTCAAGATATATATCATCCACTAACTGCGATCGTAGGATCAATGATCGACTCGGATTGGGTTTTCGATGTTGCGCGAGGTTCAAGTGCACTGCCCAATGATTTTGGCGCGGTTGGAGTCATCGACGGGAGTATGTGACATATCTCTCCATTCCCAATACCATATAGCTCACTGTCTTTTAGAAACGTTAAAGCTTTCTCCATTGAAAGTCGCTACGATCCCCCCTCCGATGGCCCTTTGCGAAATGCCTTTAGATTATAATGCGATAGATATTGCATTTAGCAAGTCAGGGACGAAAATCGCAGTCTTGACCAGTGAAGGCATCGCCATATATTCATGGCAACTTCGAACCTCACCGCCACTGGAACCGAGTCTTGATTATTTCTACCCATTCCCACAGATGTCAAAGCGGCCGAGACACATCGCGATGTTGGACGAAAACACTATCTACGTGCTGATGCAAACCGACATGTTTTCGGAAGAGGTAGAAAGGATTGATATTGACACGAAGGAAGTAACAATCGTCCTATCGTCGACGGAGTCTGATCGACTTGTATCAATCTTCCCTAACCTCGAGCAAAGTATGCTCTGGATTGCACAAGCAACTCCAGGTCGTAAAAATTTCTCATACTCTTACATCTCGAACGAAGGGGCCAATGATGTATCCCCAAGTTCCTGGCCTGAGAGCCCAGCTCAGGAGACAAGCTGGGCGGCTGCAACGACATCTACAGAAAACAGAGTAAGTCATAGGCCCTTCCTTACCGTTCGTAGGCCGACTAACTTTCTGCAGGACATCCTCTTCTCGCTTTCGAGATCTGGTTCCCTCTATGCCAACAAGAGGCTCCTTGTAAAGAACTGCACGTCATTTTTGATTACCTCCGCGCATCTCATCTTCAGTACAACTCAACATCTGCTGAAATTTGTCCACATAACAGACGTTGATGGTGCGAACTCTCTGTCTCAACTTTGAGAAAAGACACTAATAAAGGCTCCCAGACCTTGAAATACCAGGAGATGTTCCTGAAGCCGATGAGCGTTGTAGAAGTATCGAGCGAGGCGCACGATTGGTTGCTGCTATGCCATCTATCTTCGCCCTGACGCTGCAAATGCCTCGCGGGAATATCGAAACCATTTACCCTCGCGCGCTGGTTCTCGCTGGAATACGGAAATATATTGAGAACAAGAAGTATCGATCCGCATACCTAGCATGTAGGAGCCATATGGTGGATATGAACATATTGCATGACTATATGCCAGATCAATTTATGGCCAGCATACAGTTATTTATTGACCAGGTGAAACGAATTGATTTTATCGATGAGTTTCTATCTCGTCTGAGGTATACCATGTCATGTATTTTCTTGTCAACATATACTAATTCTCATGATTAGGGATGAAGATGTCTCCGAAACTCTATATAAGGACACTCTGAAAATTGCACATACAGAAGCGAAGGACGCTACTGCGAAGCCTGAACAGACCTCCGGCCTCCTACCTACAGTTTCCACACCAAATAAAGAAAACAAGGTCAACAAAATCTGCGATGCATTTTTGTCGGTTCTCTCAAACCGGGTCGCGACCAATCTTCAGAATCTTGTCACAGCTTATGTCTGTAAATCTCCACCGGACCTGGATGCTGGTCTTCAGCTTGTAGCAAAATTGCGTGGTGCGTTCACATATGTGTCCTTATCATGCTCAGCTGCCAAACTAACAAACCTGGCTACAGAACAAAGTGCCGAACAAGCCGAAGAAGCAATTGAGCACATGTGTTTCCTGACAGATGCAAATAGGCTTTTCAGCAATGCTCTTGGTTTGTATGACCTCGAGCTCACCTTGCTCGTGGCCCAGCAAGCACAGAGGGTAAGGATGACATTTCTCTTGCCTTTTGTTCGAGCTGTAAAGCTTACTGCGCAAATAGGACCCGAGAGAATACCTCCCATTCCTTCAAAAATTGCAAGGACTTCCTGAACTTCGCCGCAGATACGAAATTGACAACCACTTGGGTCGATATGCAAAGGCTTTGAAAAGCCTGCATGCGCTCCACGAATATGACGAGTTGAAACTGTACACGATCAAACATACTTTGTATCGTGAAGCGTTGGAATTATACAAATATCAACCAGATCTCCTTCGTGACATGACCCAGCTATATGCTGACTACTTGCACGACCAGTCAAAGTACAAGGAAGCAGCAATAGGTATGGCCTTCTAGTCGGGATTTATCACCAAGTCATGGAAACAGCAACTGACAGCATGGGTGCAGCATATGAATCCCTCAACCACTACGAATCAGCCTACGAATCATATAAGATCGCAAATATGTGGCAAGAATGCCTTTACTGTGCAGCCCTTGTACCCCTTTCCGAATCTCAAATGACGGACCTCGCTCAATCCCTGGCCACCGCTCTTGCTGAGATCAAAGACTACATTTCAGCTGCCAATATTCACCGTGATTACCTCCAGGATATCCCTGGCGCAGCACGTCTTCTCTGCCGTGGCTCAAAGTTCGGCGAAGCTTGTCGCATCCTCGCGCTAAACGGTCATCATTCTCTCGTCCCCGACATCGTTGATGGCTCCCTTGGGGAAACCATGGGCACAATGGTCGAACTCCTCGCGGATTGCCGGTCTCAGCTCCTCGCTCAAGTTCCCCGAATCAGGGAATTACGCATCCGACGAGTCACAGACCCCCTAGGATTTTTCGGTGGCGAACCCGCTGGCGGAGCTGAAGGGCTTGATATACCGGACAACATTTCCATCGCACCCACCGATGCTAGTACCATGGCAGGAAGGAGTATGTTCACGAGATACACCGGCTCAACATCCGTTTCTCGAAAGACTAGCAAGACACGACGTCGCGAGGAGCGAAAGCGCGCGCGGGGCAAGAAGGGTACCGTATATGAAGAGGAGTACCTGGTGAACAGTGTTCGTAGATTGATGGAGAGGGTTAATAGTGCTGTTGAGGAAGTAGAAGTCTTGGTACAAGCGATGCTGAGACGGGGTATGCGAGAGAGAGCTGCGGTGGTGGAGCAGAACCTCGACGAGGTATTGACTATGTGTAGGGGTTGTGTGGAGGAGATATTTGAAATCAAGCCTCAAGCAGTGCCTGGTACCGAAGGATCAGAAGAAGCCGAGCCGAATGGAGGAGCGGTTCAGAGGGTTACGACCGGGGCAGAAGGTGTATTTTGGGACACCTTGGAAGCAAATGCGAAACCGAAAGAGCCGCCCGTTGTGAGAGAATTTAAGAAACTGGCGCTACTGAGTGGTTAAGTGAGAGGGTGTGTCACAAAAGAATAGAGAGTTCATAATCTGAAGATGCAACAAAGAATGATTACGCTAAGCCTATCTGCGGTTGGATACTGTTGCTCTATCATGGTGGTATCTTCGCTGGATTAAAGTCGTGTCTCGTAACATATAACTTTCGCGACCAAGCTTGGATCTCGCAATCAATATCAAAAGATTTATCAAAGATTCCATAGTATTAATTGCCAGCGCCGGTCAGGATATCCCCGGACTCGCTGACAAGATGTTCAACCACTTTCATAGGTCCTTCGCCAACACCTGATAGGATTACGCGGTTCACACCCACTGTAAGCATGTCAACAGCTCTCGGGTCAACCTCTCCTAGGAGCGATTTAGCGTCTTGAGCCGGCTTGGTTTCGCCCCAACCTTCTGTGTCCGATTTCAAAATTTTTCTAAATGTGCCCAGAACCCGGTCAGAGTCCTTCTCGAGGTAGTAGATAACAGCATTCGGACCAGCATCAAAGGTATACGCGCAAATTGTCTCTCCTGCGGCCCGGTTTACGTCGTGAACCACCCTCACAGCGGCGCGAGAAACGTCATTCATATAGAAAATCGGTGGCCACGTGTCGAGACATGTCGCATGGAAATTATTACTGTCTCGCATTGTGATCTCTGCAAATGATGCAAAATCTCGGTTCTGAATGGCTTTCTCCATTGCTGCCATTCTCTCAGGTACTACAGACGTAACACGGAAAGGGAACAGAGTGGAGGTCGCACGGGTGGCCTGCATCCCTTCCGTACTGGGAACATCCTTTTTCGCATCGCTCACAACGAGAATCAATGCACGCATCTCAGGCCAATGGCTCGCTGGCGCCACTTGCTCGGCGAGGCTATCACTACCATCTTCCTTCGCACCGGACTTCCAGGCGACATAGCCACCCATCAACGAACGACATGCAGATCCTGAACCCTGGCGGGCGATGCGACTCAGCTCGCTCGGAGACTGGGGGAGGTCGTACAAATCGGCAACTGCACGAACCAGAGCTGCGAAACCTGCAGCCGAACTCGCGAGGCCTGCGGCAGTTGGGAAATTATTTTCCGATACAATGCGCAGAGGAAAGGCCGATAGTCGTGGCAGGGATGGATCTGCATCCTCTAGAGCTCGTCGAAGAATACGGAGGTCTGCGAGACATGCCAATGTTCTTTTGGATGCGTGGATGTTCTGGGGTTTTGAGTTGAGAACCAGGGTGTCTCCTTCAGCATGCGGGTAACTATCTGAGCATGAAGCTGTGGTGTGCGCACGCAAATTGGCTTGTGAAAGAGTTACAGAGAGAGAGGAATTGGTCGGGAGGTTGAGCGTCGCATCTCGTTTTCCCCAGTACCTTCAAAACCAGATCAGCTTGGAATAGTGTCTCAAGGAGGGGGCCAGACGTACTTAATGACAGCAATATTCACTGGAGCTGTAGTGCTAGAGCGGTAGACTCTGTGGTCATGGCCTGCCATGGTGATGTTTGTTGGAGATTTTAAGGTTGCAAGAAATACCTTCTGCAGTTTGGAGGGATGGTGGGGTTAAGAGAAGGGAGCTGAGCTCTGTGAATAGGAGTTTGGCTAACTAACTAAATAACTAAATTAAGGTTCGCTCCACCACCACCTTTCTCACGACGACGACCAGTGAGCTGGTTAACCCGGACAGAATTTCCTATAATCTAGTGCAGTGTCTCTGAGGATACAGGTAGAGCTTGCTGTCATGAATGAATCTCTTAACATGAATGAAATAGGGGACTATCCAAGCCTATTTCTGTCTCTATACTCCATCATACATCGCTTGATACCCGATCTTTGGGCACCTTTAGAATGATATGACATCGCTGAGAAGCCGTAATTTGAACCGTCATCAGCTATGTTGTTCCCGTGCCCTGAGAGTCTAACGGATAAAATACACTCACCAGACCTTTATCCGCAGTAGCCAACACCGCCCCTAACCTCGCAGTCCTGCCATTTCTCGCACCGTGCTGCAACCTGCCAGCCACCTTCGAGGTTACAGACTTTGACCACTTTTCGATCTCTTTCAATGCCGCAGTCGTAACTGCCCGGGTCACAACCTCTCTCAGCGCTAACAAACATGGCGAGAGAGAGAACACTCGCAAGAATCACGGTGAATTGCATTATGGAGTCTGAGGTCTAGTCGACAGTATTTTCTCTGAGCTACATGATCAGATACCTAGACTCGGAGGTAGAGTTGAGGCTGGCTTTACCTTTTAATCAGTCTTAGATGCTTCAGCTGGGCTATAATTTCTTCCTTGAAGTCAGCTGCTGTCTCTTTTATCTCATTGCAAAAACAAAAGGAAAAGGACCCAATTCTCGTTGTGGCCCATCATTATTAATTGTGCGAAACTGGAAGGGAAACGAACCTTAATTGCTGGGTGTTGAAGGAATGCCTTTGTTTTCTCCTGGTAGACGACGTCTCTGCTAGTGTTTAGGCTGATCAGGGAGGGGAACGGTGCTCCTTTTATACCCAACGCTGCAACTGAGGGATCCCGTGGACTCAGCTCGGTTATCACGGCGGTCTGTTGAGATGACCTTGTGTAGCTCCAGTTTTTTTCTCCCATGCTTCTGCAAATGGAAAAAATACATGGGACAATGTAGCACAAGCAATCTCTTTCACATACTAGACCTCTTGCATAAGCCTTCCCAATCAATGTTGATGTGCGAAGGACGACCTTGTTCACCATGAACCAACAGATGAAGGATTAGCGTCCTCTATGATATAGCCAGCAACAAGGATATGGCTGTTTGCATCAAATCGTCACTTCAATTGTAGGGTGGAGCTATCATTTCAAGGCTGTTGAAACCTGGTATAGCTCGATAAAGAACTCAATAAATTAAAATATAACATGGATCTACAACATCTGGAATGGTTACCTAGGTTTAGGAGTGCGGAAACCCACCACCATGATCGATCTTCCACAGTGCACAGAATATATTGTCCCTATCTGCTTGGTAAAGGAGCTTGAACTTTGGGACTTTCAGCAACATAGCTTCCACCACGACATTAACGTCTATCATACCCAAGGCTAGAAATCCACTCCGTTTGGACCTTGCTTTCGTTGATGGAGCCCTTATGAAAGCGATTGCAGACAAGGAATAATACGGAGTACTCTATCCATCGACAAACTTCGCACGAAACTGCAATTTGAGGATCCACCAGTGGGTCCTGCTGCGCCCGATGAGACTTTTTCGCAGTTAATTCACTGCATTTGTGTCCGCTTGAGTCGAATACGTTCCGCCAGGCGAAGCAATAGCCGGTGTAGTTCTGAGCTCTCGGCCCTTTTTTCCCAGGGCGATGGGACGGTCCAGCGCCAAGGCTCAGGGATACGCTGACTGGACTTTTTCTCTTACCTTCGCAATGCCCATCTACCCCTTGATAAGTGTCACGGACCACTGCCATGTCGGCTATGGAGGGCTCATGAAGGCCTCATTTATGTATATCGCCTATCGGCACCCGGCGCTCATTTAATTCTGATGATTTTTTCCACGACCGAGGATGCGTTTGAACGAGTCTGAGTATTAACACTTACCGTATACGCAGCATAACTCAAAAACGAGTCGGATACGTGCACAGGTAGGATTCGGGTTGAAACATCCAAAATGCGAAAAGAGTACATGTAAAGCGCAGTTGATGCTTAACCTTTAAATAGCTTCGTATTCGGATGTCAATCACTGGCGCATTTAGGCATGTATGCAACCGGCCATAAAAAGTCAGAGCTGCATTAAATTCCTTGCAGTATGCATGTGCGCATGCCATGCAGTCCCGAGAGTAGACATGGCCAAGAAAGAAAAAGAGACTGAGTTACTAAAAGAAGATTCTCCAGTCAATGGCGCTAAACAGAGCTGTAGACAACTATGATGAACTTGCTTCTTTCAAGCAAATCAGAAAAGTGGTACGGTTGTTTCAAAATGCAAGTGCCCAGAGAGCAAAAGACGCTTTGAGAACAGAGAAGAACAGGAAGGCTAAGTATCAATTGTCATCCGGAAAGGGATATCTCGTCACTTTGATGGCCTTCCTGCCTGGCAGCAGAGCTACAGTTCCCTGCTGTCAACAGCCGATTCGGCATGGATTTGTTTAGAATAGGATGTTCTATGTACCAGCATATCTGTGGCTACTCTAGTCAGTGGTTGATGCTACATCGACATGCACATGGACCTGGACGATTAGTATGACAAAAATATCCCACAGGAGATGGCCGCATTTCCGATAAGGTCAATTCTATCAGCTCCAGGGTTGCCAGGATGTGGGTACAAACATCACTGGTCACATTATGTTGACACAGGCAGAAGCAATGCAATGTTGATTGCCTTGGGGTACCCTGTTAGGAACTGGACTTTGATTTAGCCACTTTGAAGGATGGTCCCATGCACTGCACCCAAGCCTAAAACAAAACTGCAGTGACTGTTGAACAGTCCTGTCCGGGAGCCAGCGATTGATACTGTTGGTTTGCCAAGTGGTTAAAGTCTGGTCCGGCTGGGAGCTCCCGTGAGGTCCGGTCTAGCTTGGCACGGATAATCTATAATCCGTTACCGAGTAGATAGCATTTAACTGGGATAGGTTAGCTTATTAGCCACATAAGTGGCTGGACTTGCAAATGACAGCGGGAGCAACTTTTGTTCGCGCGAGGGACGAAAAGCATTCGAAGCTGAGCGATCTCTGAACAATGACAAACATGATCCTCAACCTTTCAATGGACTGTTTGGCATGATTTTTTGAGCTGTCATCATGGGAGCTGGTGCTAGTACGCCGTCTTCGACGGAGAGCACTGCCGCTCCGCCAGCGGCATCGTGTCCTGTCGACCACAAAGCGCGCGAAGTCTGGCTCTCAAAAAGCCAGGCATCAAGTCCTCCTCCACGCCCCAACCCCGAGGAAGTTCCATCGTGCCCGGTCGATCATAAGGCCCGTGCCGCCTGGCTTTCAACATCCGAAAAATCCACGAATCCCACCCCAGACCCGTCGTCCACTGACTCAAATGCACCACAAGTGAAGCTCCACAGACCCCTTTCCACAGACAGGGAGGTTAGCAGTATCCCACGAGCCTTATCCGGCCATTCTGAACAAAAACCGCCATCTCAACCTCCTTCGCCATATGCCCAGCAGTCATCTTCAGCTGCGTCACACTCTGCTCCTTCAAATTCCGAAAGTGAAACAGGCCATGATCAAACCACGGGCAACTGGGTCTATCCGTCTGAACGCCAGTTTTTTGAAGCCTTAATGCGCAAAGGAACTCCCACGTCTACAACCTCCGCCAAAGAACTTGCTACTTCTGTAGCATCAATAATACCAATCCACAATGCCGTCAACGAACGGGCTTGGTTAGAAATCCTCTCATGGGAATCTCGGGCACCTACTTCGGACCCGGGAAGTCGAAAATGTGGTGGTCCAAAATTATATTCATTCCGAGGATTGGGCACGGAAACTCAATTTTTGAGCCCGAGAGCGAGATTAAATGGCTTATTAGGCTACCAGCTTCCATTTGACCGCCATGATTGGGTGGTAGAGAGATGCGGTGGTGAAAGAGTCGAATACGTTATCGACTTTTACCAGGGGAAATCTGGGGGCGGCTTAGGATTGGGTACTAGTGGTCCAGACGGAAAGCTGAGTTTTTACCTGGATGTCCGCCCAAAGCTGAACTCATTGGAAGGGTGGAAAATGAGGATTGGCCGTTTTTTGGGGCTATCATGAATATCCCAGTGGCTATATCCTCGCAGCAGAAAGTCACTGCTCATGACATAAAACAAAGCATGTATGATTATTATTTATTATTATGAGAAACTAGGAAAGATATTGTATGATATGTAACACCAAATGTATAGAGAATTTCGACCAATCATAACAATACACTGCTATTATCATAAGCTGAGAACGATGACCAACTGAGAGGGAATCATAAAGCAAGCGCCGAACCCATATAACCATACAACACTGGCGGCCCCGGGGAAATGTTTCAACGTATCATCCGAGGGTCACAGCAAGGACGATAATGACTAGGACAATCGCTAGGATAAGCAGAAGGCAGCAAGCTTTATTCCTCGCGTTTTTCTGATACCTGCTAGCACTTCGTAGCTCCCTATCAGCACCACGCGTATCATCCCTCGTTCGCTCCACGTTCTCACTGATTAAGTCTAGCTGCCCTCCTTGTTCCCGGACAATGTGGGCGACGTCACGGAATAGCTCATTCAGTTCGCCCACACTCTGTTCGATATTCCTAATCTCTGCCTCGCGCTCGATAATCAGAGCATCCTGGAAATCAACTTCTTCCTGAGAAGCAAGCCGCGGTTGTTGCTCCTGTAATTGCTGAAGAGATTGTCCTTCCTGGGGCGATTCGACGGCAGCAGTTTCCTCAAGAGCTGACCGTGCAGCCGCTGCAGAGGCGCGCTGTTTTTCGAGGGCGCGGCGTTGAACGGATTGGAATTCTTCAAGAGTTGACTTGAATTCCGACGACAGTTTCTGCTGTGTCCATTTCTGCGCAGGCTGCGGGCACCAAACCCTGTTACTAGCGGTCTTTGCATAGGTTCGAGAAGGAGATTTATGCTTACAGTTATATCCTCCCATGTCTGAACCTTCTTCACCCCTTCGCCAACTACTCGAAATCCATCCCGGGTTTCCTCTAAGAGATCATGTATTCTTTCTCGAACCCGCTCGGTATCACGCTTTGTTCCAAGTAGACCAATCTGGTTTGACAATCGGGATATGTTTGAAGTCAATGTAAATAATTGATTTGACAGAGACTCCGTCAAGCGCTGGAAGTCGGGATCGTCATGGTATGATGCACCAATACCTGGTCCACCAGAAGAAGTTCCGGCTTCTAGCGACGAAAGACGATCGAAGGACATGATGTGAACTGAACCGGTGGCTTAAGGTATCCTCGAATACGATGTCTAACGAAAACAAAAAGGAAAATAAACGAATGAAGAGCGACTCGAGTGCTTCCTTGCAACTCCGTCCCCTCACCGAACTGGAATGGTGCCTTTGAAACCACATGATGTAACTAAGTTACTGCCGATTATGTCATCTCCAGTTTTGCTGTGCCACAGCTCGCATGTGTGGCCGGGCAACGAAATCTTGTGGCTGATACTTGAGGCTGTTGTTTTTGTTGCTTTTCGGGAGATGCAGCTTCAACAGCTTCTAATCAGGCTTGTACTGGGGCCATTACTCGGGTGACTTGCAGATTCGCGCTCCGGACTGGCTCAATTTCATTCTACATTTACGTCAATGATGAGATAACAAATACGCGCTCCTTTTATAAAGTCTGTCTGTCCTCTCTTTCATCTCGCCATGGCAGCACTCCCCGCCGTTATGGCAAAACCCTACAGGCGAATCTTAACGTCGACTCTCCATCGGAGATTTGTTCATGCTTCAGCTTCGGCTCTTCTTGTGTGTTACATCATATCTATTTTAATTGGCACCAAGGCGTCTCGTAAGGTTTCCGTTTCTAGCCTCATTTGGAAGAATGTGAGGACATGGCAGCTAACAGCGGCATCGAACCTTAGTTTTCTGGTCATGGTTTCCGCTAGGTTCTTGCGGGCTCCGAACACTGCTTCTATTCATTTCCAGCCTGTCGATATTTATTCTTCGCGTAGGCCAGCTTCACGTTGGCGCCCGTACGACAGTTTCGTCCTTTCAGACATGGCGGCAAACAATGTTTTCTGTAAGCCTGCTTCAAACCTTCGGCTGGTATCTATTCTCCGCATGGTGGTTTAGCGAAGTGTATATCTGGTCAGCTTCAACCGATGCGGAACTAAACTGGGTGAAACCAGGAAGGTTGGTGAACCCTGAGTCTCTACCAAAGCACCCGCCTGACAGATCCGCCTAGGTCCTTTGAACGGGCACAACTCAACGAGAGACCAATATATCTTCATTCCTTTTACTTCCTCCTCGCAGTCACCCAGGCGACCTTGCACCTATATTATGATTGGGATGAGCTTGTCATTCCAGTGGCTAAACCTTCCGATAAGTCTGACGACCGGCGAACTCATGCACTGGAACCACTACTGCCTCGTATCGCGAGGTCGCTCCAAGAAATAGTTCGCCATGCTGCCGTCCGAAGTGGAATAACCGCCGTTGTGGGACCGTTCATTTACGTGATATTTTTGAGAAAACGGGCGTGGAGTTTCACGCTCTATTTTGCAAAATTATTCTGGAATTTCCCAAGATCGGCAGAAGAACCTCCCGGAATTATACCGCCTTTACATATAACATTTTTGCTACGGTCAGCAGTGTCAGGCATGTTGCTTGTTGTATTGTGGCAGATGTCAAATTTTTTGTTTTCGGTATTCTTAGGTCGAGCGCCGCTCAAAAAGGGGCTGCCTTTAACGAACGATGCGAAAGATCCGAATGGAAGTCTTCTCAATGGCTTAAAAGCCAAAAAGGCACCAGTTCTTACATTTGCTTTGTGGGAGCTATGTCTTATCAGTCAACAATTTCCTGATCGTCGGAAAGGAATTTTTAGTGATATTGACCGCGAAGGTGGTTCTGCGTGGAGTCAAGTATTTGATGCGGCTTCGGATGTTATTAAAGGAATCACCAGACGGGTAACGCAATTCCAAAGTCCTCTACCAGCTCCTACAACCATTTCCGCCCCTGAAAGCAAAGAAATGAAGCAAGCAACAACAGACAACCACTCATTGCAGATGTTACCCCGTCTAGCTGCCGCACCGAAAGAAGATAACATTTTCCTTGCTATGCCAAAAGGAAATACGAGACCCGAGAGGTTTGAAGCCGCCTTTGGCTCTGTGGCCAAAAAATACGGCCAAAGCCCTGATTGGACCCCCCCGGCCAAAGCTAAGGCACGTCAAATTTTCGACCGAGCTTCAGCGATGGTGCTAAGCCCAGAACAAAAACAAAGAATTGCTGCATCTGCACAAGACTTAAAACTGCTTACGAATCCAACAGCGGGTGCCACACCAGCTGGGAGCCCATCGACCATTCACCCGCTCTTGCAGCGCTTTTTACGTAGTCCCTTTGGCATGCCGTTCCGGAGGCCCTATCAACGACGCCTGCGTGAAGTCGTTCTGGGATCACCATACGACCAGGTTGCGCCATTAATTGATGCAACTGAGTCTCTCACAATGCTTCTTGTGGCCAGCTTGGCCGAAGATCAATTTGGAAAGGTGCAGAACGATGTTCCTGCAGTGGTGAGACTCTTCACGGAGACAATTCTCGCCCTTGAGGCATTCGTTGGCGAAAAGGGCATGAATGTCCACTGGACAGATGTTGATTTCCCAGTCAATGCTAATGAGAAGACAAGGCGTAACGCACGGAAGGTGGATGAAGTCGAACTTGTGCTCTCTTCGTTAAAAACTGGACTATCCAAACTTTTAGCTACTTTCCGACTTTACCTTCGAGAAGTGGGTGTTGTAGGAAAGGACCTTCAACTCGCCAGGCAGGCTGCTGGTCTATCAGCGATGGATTAATTGGTGTGGCATTGTCTCGTTTCAATCTCAATTTTTATTAAAAAGCAAGGTTTTGGCAAGGTAGCGGGCGTCGAATAGATAGTTTTTTTCAAAGTCTTGGGTGTACTAGTAAGTGACGATACCAATGTTCCATTGTATATATTACTCTAGCATTTATTTGGGCCTTACAACTTTCGCACAATATTAAAAACTAGATTTTCCAGTTCTACAAGAGCACGATGGCCATCTGCCTAATCCAGCAATACGGAGTACTCAGGCATGAAAAGGTTGACGCCAGCCGCAGTCCCGATACTGACCAAAAACCGCCGGCTTGTTGCGATTCATCCAGGCCTTTTCTATTTAAAAGAGAGAAAGGAAAAAGAAAAAAGGAACTTGGAACGCTTTAAAATGTCGTACAGGGTGCCTTTTTTCAATCTCAAAAAAAGCTTGTCGCCCAACCCATAACTCGCAAGTTAGGCAACAGCAATATAAATCCGCACATGTCCATCATTTTGAAGTGGAAAAAAGAGAACAACCCGCAAGAGACAGTTGAGGCCCGTGTCTCGAACCTTTCCAACCCCCAGTTCTGATCCCTCCATGCCCTGGCTCGGAATCAGGCGTTCCCCATCACTGCGCTTTGGTTTCTTATTTGACTTATACCTACCTAAGACCAAAACTCAATGCTTAACTTTTGACGAGCGGCCCTTTTACTTTTATTTTTTTGTAAAAACATTTATCTATTAAACTCATACAGCTGCCTTCGGGAGTACATAAGCTCTACCGATATAATGCTGCATCTCTCGGACTCATTTGTTATCTCGGCTGGCACCGTCGCCATTGACATATTCAAAAACGTTGTACTCGTCCTCTATTCTCCTAGTATCCAGAAATATTTCCTTCCCAAAGGTCGAAAAGATATCCACGAATCTCTGCATGACACCGCCGTCCGCGAGACACTCGAAGAGTCAGGTTACGCAGTTAAGCTCCTCCCGCACAAGCTAGCCACAAACGCGGTACACGCACACCGGCTTCCCGAGAGAGATCCGGTTGTAAATAGCACGAGTACAGATCCTGTTTCCGGGGCGCAAGATGTGGCTCATCTCCCTCTTGCTGGTTGTTCCGCTGCTCGTCCTTGCCCCGCTCCTCCTAGTACTATTGTTGGTCGGGATAATAATCATCCTGTGTGCGGCCATCAGCCTGTATCTGCTTGCGCTGAAAGCACTGGCATACCTCAGCGGGAACGATCCACCGGGCATCTGGAGCCTCTGGAATGGCATATAGAACCCATTGCAGTTCAACAACGTGCCTATCAGCATTCCTACAAGTTGATTTTTTGGTACCTAGCGGAGGTGGATTCGGAGAAAGCGCCAATAGAGGCGCCGCGGGAAGCGTGGGAAGATTATGAAGTCTGCTGGGTTCCGGCGGAGGAAGCGGCGGGGAAGGTGACTATGGAGGAGGACGGAAAAATCATAGAATGGGCACTGGAGGGGGCAAGGGGGGTTAAAGCGGAGCGGAATGTTGGCGGGGTGCCGGCGGAGGCGTGATCTTAATTAACGCCTTGGGGCTAGCCGAGGCCTTTGGACGAGGTATATACCTACGTATCGTGCTGTGTATGTATGTACATACACATATACATACCCGCCCATGTAAATAGGTAATCCGCCGTTGAAGCGAGCTGGCAATGTTGTTGTGTAGACAGGAGGTCTTCGGAAAATGATATGGAGAATTCTATTCTTCTAGGAAGCCTGCAAGGAGAACCCGACGCTCTTCGCCTTCGAGGCGCCAAATGATTGAAGAGAAAGACGGAACACAGTAAAGGTTCTCAGTGTGTATATATCTCATCTTCATGCGGTTGCAAACCCCCCTCGCCCAACGCCGAGCCAGCGAAACTAACAATCCAGGTTAGTCTGTATGCAATAGTCTCTACAACAGCCCCCTCTCTTCTTCGACCTTATTTCCTTGTACTCTCATGCTTGGAGGCATTCTTATCCCCGCGCCACCACCCGCCAACCCTGCTATCCTAATTCCAACGTCGACAACATCGACCCTAGCCCGGGCCAGCGCGATTGCCGGCACAACCCATGTACCACAGCTGCATCGCATACCAGGCCAAGCAAATTTTCCTATATTTGCGCCACATGTAGCGTTGGGACAGACGAGCCGGCCAGCTAGAGGGGACTCAGATGGGGTTTCCTGGGCGAGCGGGTCATCTGTGGATGGGAAAAGTGAGGGCCGCATCCAAGTCAGCGGGTGGAGGAAAACGTGCGCGCAAGCAGACGAGAGCTGGGTGGCTTCGGGCTGAGATTTAGTTGTATATTGTTGCTGGGGTGTGTCATGGGGGATGATGAAAGGTAGGGCTGCTAGTTGGCGCCTAAAAAATGAGTTAAGAAGGGCGGGAAAGGTAACAAAAATATTGCAGGGGAAAGACATCACATACCGACATTTCCGACACCTCACTTCCACCCCCTTATCGTCACTGTGGTTAGCACTCTTAGCCTTATCTTCAAACCGAACTTCCTCCAACTCCGGACCACGCCCGCATGCTACACTTTCCTCCACTGCTCTCTGATACAGCCAGCGCTGATATATTGGATGATTCTCTACACTTTCAGGGCATCCCATCTCATGATACAGCTTCAATTGTTCCATGAATCCATCATTCGGCTCGCACATCTGTCGAGTTTCACGGAGGAGCCTGAGAGCTTCATGTGGATCAATAGCAGTAGGATCTCGATGGAGTAGAAAGGCTATGCACACTGTAGCCGACCGAGACTTCCCCATTGCACTATGCAAAACGTCAGTGCGTGGACTCGAGGCAGCACAGAAAATCGACGACTCAAGTGGTGACTGTCACGTGCAATAAGGGGGATTCTCGAGGCCAGAGAGGAAGGATGATCTTCGGACTGGAGATCTCTGATTGGGACAGTGCGCCACACAGCATTCCATGTTACACAAGTCGCAAGGCGACGAAAGTTTGTGGGAACACAGGAACTGCTGTATCCAGCCAGCCAAATCAACGTGGACCGAACAGTCTCTGTGGCCAGTTTCTCATGCGGCCAGGGTATCACAAAAACACAGCCATGGGGGAAAAGAGATCCGCAAAATCAGAAAAGAGGAAGAAATGACAGGGAGTTGTCTCACCAATGGATAAGAACACCACCTCCTTGCTCGAGACCTGAGCGGATGAATGCATTGGTAGTTGGGAAATGTTGCAAAAGGTCCTCATCACTGATGTCATCAACGGCGATGTGTAAATGTCCTTGAAAGGATTTAAACCGATCTTTGTCTACGCCGCCGCGCATTACTGTCACGACGTGAGTGATGTTTGCATTTCTGAGGGCGAGCGTGTTGCTCAGGGACATAAAACTGTAGGCACATTTTAGCTATGATTCACAACCGGCGAAGTCAAGGCCAAGTTTCAACACTTGACGTGACCCGTCAGAGGGCCAAAATGGAAGGACGAACCCGCCAAGGTAGAGATTATCATTTCCAATTTTGCTTATCGACATTTGGCGGTGTCGAACAGTATCAATAGCTCAAGTTTTGTCGGGTGTGATCTGCTTTGAGATGCGGCCGCGCAAACCCAATATCCTAGGACGTGCCGTGGGATGCGAATGACGGGTCTGAGTGAGTGAAACAAAGAGGTCTCGGCGTGAGCATGCAATCTAGCCCTGTTGATTCAACTTCTCTCCTGGAAATTGCTGTAATCGTGGTTTTATGCGGGCCTTTCCCAAGGCTGGCTGGAACCTGCGAACGCGAAGGTTAGTTAGGGCTGGGCGGCAGAATTGGTTCTGGTCAGACGGGCTGGCCAATGGGGATGGCAGAACACCCTGGGCGGTGTGACGGCTCCCCGCGTCTGGCGATTTAGGGTTGAAGCTCTGCCGCCGTGGCTGCGGTGCGCTGCCTGTTCAACCGCATTCCTCAGCCGGGAGATGTTTGCCTTCATTTGCCCTACAACGTCAATCATCTACAGCACGTGTCTCCGATCCCGCAGGTGGGCCAAGGGGCAAGCACTCGCACGTATCCAAGCGTTCTGGTTGAGGTATTATCGGTGCCAGGCCACCTTCACTCGTCCAACAGGGGGGGGGGTGGTACGGAGAACTGGGGTCTGGGAAGCATTGATAAAACGGCCCGATTCCCGCCGTATTCACTTAAAAGGCTGTGAGGTCTCATATCGAGCCCGTCCGCTGAGCAGCAATTGGGCCCAGGGTGCTCATGGACGATGCGGGGTAAGCGCACGGGAGCTGAGACGGGAACTCATCTTGTCCCTATTTCCTTGTGATTGATAATCATAGCTATGTATAGGGTTTGCCAGGTGGCAGGCGCACCATAATACATGCATATTATAGTCTCATTGTTGGAAATCATCATGGGAACATGGTTCACGGCGCATGAGTTTTATCCCTACGGGGCCACGAATGAGCATACAATACCTGCTTGTCACGTTCTGGCCAAAATTTGCAGGTCGATCAAGGTGAGCAGTGGGTACTGAGAACCGGGAATGATAACGAGTCTCTGTGGGATTCCTGACAAGCTCTGACGTAGGTGCGTGTCAAAAAAGGAATGCCATTGGTCTTCCATTGGCTGGCTTACGGCGAGAGAGGGAGTGCACAGCCGGAACAAGTTACAGGTAGCATTTGAAATCTTCATCTGGAGACTGGCTTCTTACTCTGAATTGCTACGAATTGAAGACCGCGGGACAGCCTTTTCCCAGCTCGGGGAATGAACAAGGATGTTACGGAGAAGTTAAATGTGATCTTCACGAAAAGCGGACCAGCAAGCTCGTCGACGATCATCAGGATACGAGTTGATTTTAACAAGGCTGTCTCGGCACGAGATATTGTGGTTGACATCGATGCCCGTCTGGTGGAAGACACGGAGGACGGAGTTCTACACAAAAACATGCACTTTACTAGGGTTGTTCGCGCCTTGTCAGACCAGAGGAGTGCATGTTTCCCCCTGCCACGGCGGTGGGAGCACAAATAATGGCATCGTTTGAATCTGCACCTTGAGCTCGTTAAGGCTGAGATGGAACCGAGGAGTGAAGACTCATCTCTCATGACCGTGAACTTAAAAAAGCAGAAATATTTCATTACCTTGAATTCAGATACCGGCAGACATCAACAATCCGGGCAATTCTGCGAACTTTGCCTTACAGATGTTGCGTTCTTGTACCACGATAACGGAGCTCGGGTAACATGGTGGTGGGCAGTTCTCCATACTCCGTCCAATAACTACGTTGTTTCATACAGAGCGGCACGATGCTTTGAATGTTCAGTTCTTGCTGCCCTTGCTTCGGGGGTCTTCGGCTAGCTGTTCAACATGCAGGAAACTCCGCACTGTCCAGCGTTGATCACAAAATCCCTCACTATTGCCGTTGATGATGGATGTCTCATGCAGCTTAAGCTTGTCAACGAGCCAACCGCCAGCGATTTGGCTCCACACACCTCCGCTTCAAATTCTTTTTTTTTTTTTTTTTTTTTTTTTTTTTTTTGGTGCACGGGAGCGGGGAGTGGGACAATACCAGGGAAATTCAGCTTTGCCCCCGCGTATAAGCTTCCGATCATAACAGGGACGAATAGCCGCAAGCCTCGGAGTACATTCTCGCCTCTGCGGCGCTTTGGGGCACGCAAGTGCAGGTAGCTCAATTTTTTTTTTTTTTTTTTTTTGGTGAGGCAAGGCGAGCTGAATTGCCATCGATCCGAAAAAAGCTCCCAGAGCCAGCTCATCCAGACCAAACCCTCTTATTCTCTTTGCTTTCCTTTCCTTTCCTTTCCTTTCTTCCCCCCCGTATCGAAGAGTTATGGTGGCTGGTCCATCCAGCGGGCCGATTCCAACCTCTGATCAGCTTTGGCTGTTGATTAGTCTTGGCAGCTGGTTGCCACTCAAAAGAGTAGCTCCCACATGTACTCCTTACTCCGTAAACTCCTCTGAATGCTTGCGACAAAGAGCCAGCACATCGTCTCGAGATTGCTGGGTAAACAGGACAGTTCCCACAACAAAGCATTATTAAGATCAACAAGAGAGAGGACCACAAGTGGACTCTGCGGGGAACTCAGAAGACGTGAACAAAGGCTTGGCTTTATGCAGCGTCCTGTGAGGATTCTCACCACAACAAATCGGAACCCGGGACTAAAGCGGCCCAAGCAAGGAAGTGAAGCTAGCTTGGCCAGCCCTAAAGACGTCAGGTGAGTCCAACTCTCGGCCGTCAAACCGAGCTGCTTCCACTCGGACACATCCCCATCACTGGAATAATAGCCGTTCCGTCCTCAGCGGGCAGGCTTGTGTTGGGCGCACGGTCTCCTTTGTGAACGTATCATGCAGTTCCCACCCTTCCACAGGAGGTGTTTTCGTCGCCGTCAGGGTGCGCGGTGGGAGAGAGAGCATTGCTGTCATTGTGGCAGTGCAAAATCGTCGGTGGGGGCAAGGTGATGACCCCCCTGCTAACCCTATCAATTGACCCCTGGGCAGGCCAATCACGCCGGGGCTTGGGGTGCGGTCCCGCCCGTGTCGAGGCAAGCCCTGTGGTTTCCGAGGACATTCTGGAATGCCCCAAGCTTAAATGCCGTAATATAACAGACTGACCATTCCGTTTCCTAGCGCCAAGCCCGCTAGCCGCTGAATCTGTTTCGTCGCAGGCGGTAATCGAACGGGTCCGTCCTCAGCTGGCCGTGGAATCAGCCATACCATAGTTACATACTTACATCCATTGTACGAGGGTCCCTGTGACATCGCGAAGGAGTTTAAGTTGCTTCATGTTTAGAAGAAAATTGAATAATTAAACTAACCCCTCGAGTCTGGTTCACTGAGCGCTTCTTGGGGCCCAGTGACTTCCATTCAAAGGCGTTCACGCCGTGCGCTTCACCGCCCACGAGGACCCTATCCCTGGATACGACGTCAATGCACCGTTTTGTGGTGCGAATTTCGGCTCCTCGTGCATGTAAAGGTGCGGGCGGTGATGTCAAGCGCATATTCCTTGTAACCACATTTATTATTATTGTTGTTTCCATACATTACGGTCCCCGCTGCATGCATACACATGTATGTATGTGTGTATCTCCCTAATGTATCCTCTTCTTTCTAGTCACCTTCTTCATTTGTCTTGAGTCCACAGCTGCTGTCCGCCTTTTTCCCATCACTTGTGGGAGAGCGAGGTAGGAAGATAACACTGAAATACTCGATGCTCCCCCAGATCGAAGAGGCCTCGACGCTTCGGATGACATGGAACTCCTCCACGCATGATAGCCCGTGCCGACATGAGAAACTGCCTTCAGGGATCTCGAGGTTCTCCTGACCCTTCCCTAGCGCCCTCCATACTTTTCAGACCAGGACGGTGTACGGAGTACGGAGTACCGGAGTAGGTTGCAGGGCTCGCCCATCCTTGCCGCTTTCCTCGCAGATGGAGCAAGTCGAACCGCTGCTCACGATCCATGAATGACATTTGTTCTTTTTTCCCTTAATCGCATCACCCGCCTCCTACGCAAACTGCGATGGAGAATTGAATTTTGGACAAACTTTGTTTTGTAAGGATGGGTTTCTGCACATTGTTCCTTCGCTTTTTTTCCTGTTAGCCCTTTCAGGTGCTTCTACCGGCTACCCGAACGATAATATAGGATTTGCTATTCGCAGACCGAACGACTCATTTTGTGATTCCGCTCCGCAATTAAAGGATGAACAGTTAGTTGTCGGCGTTGAGAACAGACAGGCGGGTTGGTGGTAGGGCCGAACTACCCGAGTACATGTTCTGTTCTGGTATTTCATTTTCCGGGCTTGTATTTATGGTCCCCGAGAGATCAACTTGCAGTGCAACAATGCGCATCTCATCTTAACCGTGGCTCCAGCCCACACGCTTCCCATGGAAAATGTCACTTCTCTTCTGGATTGTTCACATTAACGCTTCAACCAGTGAAAGTATCGTTGTCAATAGCGCCGCGCCGTTTCATGTCTCGTGGGGGGGGGCATCTGCCCTGTTTCAAAAGCTCAAATTCGATATTCAATCTCCCCAAGGTTGGATCCGAGATGTCTGGGCATCCAGGCTTGATTCGCTCGGCGTGGGCAGTGGACAAGGGCTAAATTAATCGACAACTCCGCACAAGTCGTATATCAATCTTCAAAAATCCACAGAAAAAAGAGACAAAAACGGAAAAGAACAATTTCACCAAAGGGGAAGAAAATAAAATAAAGAAATTCGAGCCCCCTTATTTTTGGCTTTGTTCAATCGACAGCCGGTTTCAATTCCCCGGATCGACATTAAAACAATTTTGGCCCTGGCTCATCACGGCGACGAAGGGGATTTGAGACACTAATCATAATGCTGAATTGCAGAATCGACCGGAAGACGCGCTGTTCCCTTGATATCAGGGACCCAGCCGCGAGGTAGCGCACTCCCGTCACTCAGATCGGCGTAATGTAACAGTAAAAATACACGTTGTGACTGTCCAACGGCAGAAACAACAAAACCAAAACCAGGTATTATTTCAGCCCTATCGTTTTAGCCCTTTCAACAGAGCCAACGAGGGCAAATTCGAGCAGGGCAAAGCTTAAGCAAGGGAGGGGGAAAAAAAGGAGAGCGCCAGGAGATAGGAGTCAGGACAGGACAGGACAGGAATAGACAGGACCGGCACCCGGCGCAGACATGCAGATGGAGAGATTGGGATAATCAAACAGCCAGGTACAGCTGGCGGGAGAACACAAACACATACCGGAGTACACACACGCTCACTCACGCAAACACACACACACACACACACTTCCTCCCACTTGGAACCTTAGTTGCTGTGGTAGTTTCGCTGTTCCCAGTCACTCCCAGATAGTAATAGTTGCTTCTATACGATCCTTTCCCCTCCAGTTTTAGTTCCCCGTTAATCAACCACCATATCCTCCCCCATCCTACCTCGTCGTTCCCCGTCTTTATTTCCTCCCTTCAACGCCCCGTTGCTCACCCTCTGTCGTTTCCGTTCCCCATCGCCGCCGTCCAGTGTCCATTGCACGTCCCTCTCCGTGGCCATTCTCTTCCCGCCTCTTGACCGACTTTATGATCCTGGCGACCGCTCGACCTTCCCCCCCAGCTGAGACTGATTTAGACCCGCAGCCCTTGCCACAATTGCCACTCTCTACACACGTCGCGACGCTCCACGAGCATCATTTCACGATCCGTCGTCCTTGCAGAACTTGGTCGGCTGGTCGATGCGGATGTTGACTGCGTGGCTACCTATGATTGAGTATGGACAATCGCTCCCTGGCCTCGCCGCCCTCGATACGCGTGTGTCACTCAACTCCAACCACTGCTACCAACACTGAACAGAACCACCGCCTGCCCTCGAGATCTCCGTCGTATTCGAAAAATTCTGATCGCTCGCCGTCATCGTATGGGCGACCAATGGCCATCCCAAACTCCAACGAGCCGCTGGCGCCGCCGCCATTGCCTCCGCCCCGATTCATTGAGGATCTCGCGCAGGGCCACGACTCCGGGTGGAAATGGGGCAATTCGTTCGAAGGAAAGCCAACTCTGGCCCCTATAAAGCCGACGTCCAGCCTCTTCGGCGGTCACAGTCGCCCGCCTCTTGTCCGCCGGGACGAGACTTTTTCGTTCCCTGACGAGTTCAAGTGCGGAGCGGCGATGTCAGCTGCGACGAGCCCGTCGTCGGAAACAAGCCCATCTGGACAACTGACTTCTCCGGATGCGGCTCGATCAGGCTCACTTGGCTCTAACCCCTCCGGCTCACGGTTAGTCTTTCGCCTTTTTCTTGCCCCTAGACGAAGAATAACCCATAGCCTTACGAACCCAAAAAAAAATTAAAAATTAAAAATTAAAAATTAAAAATAAAAATAAAAAAAAACACTTTTTGTCGCACCCTTTCGGTTACAGAGCACATTTCTTGGTATACATTGATATTTTCACCGTTCGATACCTGTCCTCTTGTTACCGTAAATCTTCCTTTTGGCTAGTTCGTCCGTTTTTGCACCTGAAGTTTCTTTGAGGATCTCTGGCTGATTTGAATCCTCGTGGTTTACGTCTCCTGGAATTAGGATGGGATATAGTCTGGAAGGAGAAAAGCCTCTTTCAAAGAAATGTGTTGAGCGTTCCTCAAATGCCTACGACCAACACCTCTTGTCGAAAATCGGGAAACCGGGTTCCCCTCCACGGCTTGCGTCGAGCTTGGGCACTTCCTTGAACAGCACAAGCCTGCCGTTCCATTCGAAAACCAGAACACTTTCGACCTTATCGATTGGGGATGGGTCGTTGAGCCCAAGGGATATCCCTCCAAGATGGGGCAGTGGTCCCCCGTCCGCCGCAATTTCTCCTGGCACAAAAATGGGGGCCTGGCAAGATTATGTTGGGTACCACAGTCCGACCGGTGATAGCTCTGTGCACTCTCCCATGGAGATCGACAGCTTCAACCATCCTCGGGAGCGGTACAACAGTAATTCCTCCGGACGTCGTCCAACAGAAGAAAGACCCAGCATTTCGGAACGGTCTAGCAAAGCGAGCTATGATCAAGGAATGTTCGCCGAGCAAGATACTGATTTTGCAATGGATGATGCGGGACCGACTTCTCAACCCAGTTTACCGGGGCGTATGTCCTTTACAGAAGGCTTTTCGTCTATATCGCGTAATAGCATGAAACGAAGGGCCTCGTCACCTCCACGGGGTGCAGCTGCGGACCCAATGTATGGATTTACGGATGTAGATAGAGACAGGCGAGCGCTGGGACTCCGATCCAATAGCTGCACCTCTCCTACTACCCGGTATCCAGGAAGTCACGGATCCATCTCCTCGATATCATCAAGTCTGCGAACAGAATCATATGCATCATCGACTGGGCTCTCTGCGGCGGCGAGCAGCATTTCTTCTTTTGGAGGGCCGTCTCCAGGAGGAATTTCACCCGCTTCCGATTTGGACACATGCTATGAAAGATCGTACTTGCCGCCTACATCACATCGCTCGCAGTATGCCGAGTCCGTGGACATGAAAAGTTCGGTTTCACGAAAGGGTTCAACACAGAATGGTATTGGTCTCTCAAAGCCTACTGCACCAAGAATAGGAAGACTATATATTTGCGAATGCTGCCCAAAGAAGCCCAAGAAACTTGAGAGCCTGGAAGAATTACGGTATGCATATCATTTGTTATTTTTTACTTTTATTTATTTTCTACATTGGTCACAGAACTAATGAGTTTCCTCGGCTCCAGTGCCCATGAGATGGAAAAGCAATATACGTGCCAGTTTTGTAATAAGCGATTCAAAAACAAGAACGAAGCCGAACGACATCAGAATTCTCTGCATTTGCGACGGCATTCTTGGTCTTGTGCTGCGTTGTCAAATCCCGAGTCTGCATTCCACCCTTCAGCTTCGCCGACTTGTCAAACCCCTAACGGTCCTTCACACGATACTTGTGGATACTGTGGGGTGGAATTTACGAATTTCCCAAAGCCCGAATGGGATCGGAGAATGGAGCACCTCATCAACATCCATAAGTTTGGGGAATGTAATCAGGCAAAGAAATTCTACCGCGCCGATCACTTCCGTCAACACTTGAAACATAGCCATAATGGATCAAGCGGGAAATGGACAAATACGCTGGAGAGTGCGTGTATGAAGGAAGAAGCACCCCACGAAGGACTCCCAAGCATTGGAGAGCAGCCAGGTGATAATGGAGAAGGAGAAAATACGGAAGTTGGACCTCGATCAGCGACAAGCAGAGTCGCAGTACATACCATTGATGAAGTGATGACGGGTTCTTGACATCGTTTAATAGCCATAATTTTTCGCCGCGCGAATATTCCTTGTGTCTCCTTCTGGGGAATAACTGGAATTATTCTTTCCAATTACTCGAGATTATCCGTTGGTTGGCTCAAAAACTTTCAATTTTCCAAATTGCAACGGCGGTTTTTTTTTTTTTTTTTTTTTTTTTTTTTTTTGCTAGACCCTTTGATTCTAATATGCCCCTTGCGGGGGTTTCTTATATTCATACTAGCTGATTGGCTTCGTGATGTGTTTACGGCAGACTTGGATGCGAACGTCCTATTCTACTGTTTTAAGGGGCTGGCTGAATGTTCTTTATATCCCTGCTCGAACAAGTTTGTTTTGCTCGCATTGAGAGTGCTGAGCGTTGAAATCGTTGGCAGAAAATCCCCCTTTTTTTTGTTTTCTGGCCATATATACACATACTTCGCTCTCCTTTTTTTTTTTTTTTTTTTTTTTTTTTTTTTTTTTTTTTTTTTGGTTCTGGCTTGGTACCTTGATACATATAAGAGACATACTTCACGGCCGAACGGGATTTCATTCTCATGGATCAGTTGTGAAATTCCTTGAAGAAAAAAAAAATATTAATACAGATCCTTGAACTTTCTAATATAACATCAGAGTGCGGTTATAAGCTTTGCTCTGTGTTGGCACTGGCCGGCCTAGCGGTTTTAGAATATGTAATCATACACAGGCTCCTACCGATTGCCAGGACCATTGGGATGGTGAGGTTCTTGGTTTCGAACAGAAGTTCTATAATAATATCCCACGTATATAACCCGCATAGGCAGGGCTGTGAAGCTCATGGCAGGGGAGGGCACAATTCATGTGACCGTATGCTGTTCCCGCTGACAAAACACACCCCACTTCCCCCACGAGCACTCAAAACCAACTGCGCTACATACACATATCAGGGGTCCCAGGGTTTCGCTGTGTGAAGACGATCATATATTGAGCAATCCAAAATGGCTCAATCACTTATCCCGAATAGATGGCATTTACGCAGAGTCGCGGACTCCGCAGCACGGTCATGTTATATTTGCTATAAGCCATCTTCAAGCGTGCTGATTACGCCGGACAATAAGGTACATACATGGATTTTGGCCTTTTATTGACTATTTGCTCAGAGGATTTCTTTCCTCATTCCTCATTTTGGTGATTTTATGTCTCTGCATTGTACTTATTTCTGTGGGTAGGATTTCTTCTACATATGTCCAATCCACTTGAAGGACAAGGGATTCTGCTCACCCATCATTGAAGAAGAAGAAGTGGCGGCCAAAAAGAAGAAAGAAGAGATGGCAAGGGAAATAGAGAAGGTTAAAAAGGAGTATGAAGAGAAAATGAAACGTAAGAAGGAGAAGGAGAAGGAAAAAGAAAAGGAGAAGGGAGAAAAAGACGAGGGGAACAAGAAAAAGGAGGACGAGGACGAGAAAAAGGCTGAGAAGGAAAAGGATGAAAAGGTCTGTCGGCATGCGTTAATGGCTCGAATTCCTGTTATGAATGGGTTCTAACGGCTCTTGCAGATCAATGCAATACAGGCTGCTCATACTGGAGGGGTTACAGGTGAGGACGGCCCTCGGATTTTTACACTCCACAAGTACGTTTTACGGTGATTCCCATTGGGCTACACGCTGATCTGTTGTTTCCAGGAACTTTTATCAGATGCGAATTGATAAACTACGCAGCATGGAGCTGGCAAAGCGGAATCGCGAGCGGATGAAGGACGCTTCATTCTTTCCTTCAGCTCCAAAGAACGATTTTTAAATTCTGCGGCATTTTCTACGTTATGATAAAGCGATACGCTACGTGCGCATTTGAGACGGAGGTGGAATTGCTCCGCAATCCTCCGTAACTTTGCAAGATCAGTTTATCACAGCCGCTCAGCTGAGGCGCAGGCAACCTCTTCCCATCTCCTCCGGACTCAAGACTGAAATCAAATGGACGACGCACCATACATGGCATCGATTCCCTTGGCTATCTTGGCCAGCTGAAGGTGCACGGTGTTGTCTCACGCGAGCTGGTAGTGCACTGACAAATACCATCCAGCACGGCTGGCACTTGGATTCTTCAGCGGCTGGAGTGGGTCAGGTCATTCTTCATGGTAAGCACTAGCCTCCGGCTGCGACGTCACCGGTGAGTCCAGGTCCATTCGAGTGTTTTGGCGTTCGTGGGGGGATGATGTCAAAATTTTAACTCCGCGGTCTGAAGCTCAGCCTTATCAGACGGCCGATGCGGCTTTAGCCAAGCGCGGAAATGACTTCCGTTTTGGAGTCGGAGATCGGACTTACTTGGATTTTCCACCGTAACTTCGTTACGACGTAACCTTGGTAACTTATGCTACGGAACCGGATTAACCGATCAACCCGACGCTTCCTCCCTCGACAAAGCGTGTGATATCAGGGATTTCACTCACCCTGTGACGAAGCTCCCGATATTGTTCAACAGAGGATTGCTCAGTGCTTCAAATCCAAAACTCAATTTACGACACATGCAGGTGATTTTTGACCAACTTCCAAGGGATGAAATGGTTGCATTACTACGTTTCCAAAATAAGTCAAAAAAAAAAAAAAAAAAAAAAATACATACAAAACAAGGGCGGGTTACTGGCTAGATATTTCCAGTCCAGTAGGGCAAAGGAAAGAAACTCCAAACGACCTTAGCAAAAACATAGACGCGGCTTCAGTATTAAATGCGGCATTCCTTTGTTCTGAAATGCATGTTCAATTCAAAGTGATCCGTGGACCTTTGTGCCCTTAATCTTCCCCTTCTATCCTATCCACCGAGCGAAATATGAACCGTGTTTCTCTGTCAAAAGAGGCTGTATGTGGCCCCTCCGCAGCGGCAAAGAAATAACCAATGCCCCTATGTCGCGGAATAGTAGGGGTACGGGGGTTCCAATGCAACATTACTATGCTTTGACCAATCCCTCCTTTTTGAGTTTCCTGTAGATCATGCCGAGAAGCAAGCGTCGAAACTTGCTGGAATCGCTGGAATAAGTGATCCTTGTCGGGAAGGGGTGGCGCCGATTCTCGCTCGCACCCTCAAAGTCGAAAATATACATGCTGTACCAGTCAAACAAGACGATGTCCTTGCATTCCCTGGAGTACTTCTTGAGTTGTCTAGATAATTTCAAAGCATTGTCTTTTAGGAGCGAAGAAGCGTCGGCGTCCAACCCTGAGTTGATTATTGCAGGAGCACCAGCCACATCGGTAATTATGGGTTTCCAATCATCCAACCGCAGGGCCTTTGTGTTTTTGTACTCGAGAACAGCCACAGTGACTGTCTTGCTCCCTTTTTGACAACGCCATATCAAATCCACGCGAGCTTTGCCCTTCTGCGAGACCACCTCAGACTGGCATCGAAGTGTTACACCTGCTGCGAGTATGCCAGATAAAACAACATTCACAGGGTGGATAAGCTGCAATTCTGAAGCTTGTAGAACGTCACACTCTGTATGGAGATAATGAGTTTTGTGAAGTAGTGGCATCGGGCGTTGAAGGCGTTCAGGGATCGACGGCTTAAGTTGAAGTGCCTCTTGAGCACTTTTTAAAAGGATGGTAGAATCCTTTTTGGTGAGGACACGGATAGGGTCCTGGTTCTGAGTTGACATGGTCTCCGACGTCACTGCGCGGTATTCGACATTGTCCGAGTCAACATGCGGCAGTGGCTTTGAGAAAGACTGGAAAATAGTGATGGCTGGCTCCATAGTTGATACTCGGCTCGAGGCTTTTTATTATAACGAGGACTCTGACAGAGGAGCTGGGGAGGGGTTTGGTAATATAGACAATAGCTTGAGAATGTATAGAAATATTGCTTTGTGCTTCGATAATTGTTTGAGGGAAGAGAGTTCTGAGAGGACATTCAGCTTCTTCTGCCCTATTTATGTAGTAGGCTGAATATACAGCTAAGCGCCTGGAGTGGTGGCAATGGGGGCAAGGCGGTAAGTATGAGAGTGCCTAAGCTCCTATCTGTAGATCAACCATTGGGAAGATGATACCTAGGCGCCCGGTATAGGGATTGATTCGCCGGCATTTCTTTCCCTTGGTAGCAAGTTTCAAAGATGCAGGAAGAAGCTCCATCGACTGGTATTTAGTTAATCACGCACTTCACGAGTTTCAAAGGGGAGTAAATAACAGACTGATCACAGAAAACATCGCTGTTCATTGGCGGCTCTCGTCGTAGGGCTCGACTATATTTATATTAAGCGTATAGATATCCATAAATAATTTTGGCGGACCCGGAGACTGGTCCCCCATATGCAAAAAATATGGATGGTCGGTGCCTGGCACTAGATACCGTTAAGCGCCGGTGTTGAATTTCTGGCGCCTTTTATGCATGAAGGGGGCCACCAGGGCGCCCTTAGTCCCTGCTAGCCAGTCATGTTGCTTGGAACCAGCTCAGTCGAATTAAGCTGCTGTCCGTCTTCCATGCTTTTGCGTGATATTGCACCACACGAGAGCAAAGTAAGGCCCAATGAATATGGAGTGAGGGCAGTCCGATTCAGGGTCTATTCAGTTGTGCTTTTTATAGAATCTAATAGTGCGGATAAGATGTGAGTGAGCCTTGATAAAAGGTTATTTTATGGCTGTAAGGATTGGGGTTTTCTCTGGTTGACGGGAGCTTTAACCATAAGTAATGTTCGATTGTGATGCCAGCTAACAAACAGCCTGTACCCTGTATGCCAGAGGAATCTCTGCGATCACTGATCATCTGCTCAAATAACTTCCCAATTGAGCTCTGTAGATCAACCTCTATGTTATACATAGCACGGAGGTTCATAACCTAATCGACGACAGGATCCTTATCAGTGGATACTATGTAGTTAAGCTCAGTATGAATGAGAAAAGACAAGTACTTTTTGGAACCCCACGGAAGTACCTTGTTAATCTACATTGCGTCACGTGAATGAGATTTGTGTACTCCGTATTAGGTAATCCAACTGGCGTCCTCCACATCTTCCACGCAGTCCTAATTGCCCACAATCCCTTCAAAACATCAGTGCAGCAGTTGCCAGGCTGTACAATCCTCTATACTTTGACCAAAGTGACGATAACACGGGCCCTTTTCGTTAATTTCGAGTGCCAGTATTCGCATGAGACAGCATCATATGCCAAACTCTCTTAAGAAAGTTACAAATAATAAGCTGACTCGGCAATTTGGTCCACTGGCAAATTGGCAATTTACTAAGGATAGCCCGGATCTGGAGAAAGAGGATAGCCAAGATAGATAATTGAACGCTTGGAACAATGCCAACGAATCTTTGGGACAGAGTTATAAACTTAACTAAATAGATTTAATATTTCAACTTCAATCACATTCAGTAGATCTTGTTATCTTCACATGTTTGACCTAGCCGCCGATATCACCAACAAACGGGCGGGAAAACACCCAATCTCTCCGTTGTTTGACCAAGAATATTAGGGTGATCCTCATATACCTATTTAAAATCGAGTCCATTTTTCCAATGCCATGTCACACGCATTTCTGATATCGCCCTTGAGGAAGCCCTGGCGTGAATTTGGAATTGTGTGGAAGAAAGGTAAGGGAAACGTGCATTGATAATGAATGTAAGAGTTTCCAGTGAGAAAAGGGGCTCCCTCGGAATAAAATCAGGACATGCATTATCATGATTCGTATCTGCTCACATGTAGGGAGCACGTGCGTACAATTCTATAGTTGACTGAAAAAAAAAAAAAAAAAAGGAGGTCTGGCCCGGGTCATATATTATTCAAAACCATTTCCTTTGCCTTGCCATCACCTCCCTGAGTTGTTCTCGTACGCTTCTCAACTCTTCGATCTGAACCGTTTCGCGCTGGAGGACTTGCATATGCTCTTTCTTCAGGGCCTCGAAGCTGTCGTCTAGCTGCTTGTGCCAAGGATATAGGACAAATACTTGAAAACACAGTGCCGAAGAAGCGACTATGAAGTTTGTTAAGGAGACGGAGCGCGTAAATAGCATTGTGTGTACTTTTGAGCGGGTTAGTCCTCTGGAAATGATAAAAAAATAAAATAAAATAAAAGGTCAAGTACTCACTAGGAAAGTGATAGGACTTTCGATGATATTATTTATTATCCTCGAGCGGTTAACGAACGGAGAATTTTGAGCAAGGATTATTAATTAGGAGGATTAATGTGATCTTCTGCAGTATATCGTTTCAGTCTGCTCCGTATGCACTATACGGGAGGAGCAGGCTTCGAATGAGCGACACAGACGTGAAAAAAGAGCTGAATATCGTAGGAAGGGGAATGTATGTACTTGTGAACGTGGAAATTTGGCAACTCTCCTCGACCCTGAGCTTATTTATATCTGCTTCGCATTTTCCCCTACATATATACTCCGTATATCGCTCTCATATCTTCTTAATCCGAATTTTGTTTCCTATTCACCCTGGTTTGCCGCCATACGCCGAGATATCGCCGAAGGCCCAAACAGTTTGGAGGCAATTTTAGGTTACGGTGAAGCCTGAATCACACGAGTCAGCTAACGTCGAATTAGGGTCTGTGCCTTACGTGGGACGCTGTTTCGGAGTATATGCAAGGCATATCGGCTGTGCACTATGCTATGGAATTCATGTTGGCATTCTGTCTTGATATCTAGAGCAAGGCAGGTCTATGCTCGAGATGTTGTAAGTTTCACCACATAATAGTCTATTCTGATGAAGGTAATTCCTGCTAGTTATTATACTTGCAGCGACATGTGAGAAATAGCATTCCCGTATTGCACTCCATGCTATATCGCAATTTAGGTGATATTCTTCGAAGGATGACTAGTCCATACATAATAAACTAGTTACATCTGAACGGCCGAGGTACTAACCAGTTGTGCACCCGCTACTGCAGGGTGGGAACTTTTGTTGCTTATGATCTTTAGTAGGACGTCAAGTAATTTCTGCGAGGAACAGAGAATCTGATTGTACTTGTAACAGTCCATTACCTTTAGTTGTGAAATCTTGAATATGTACTCCGTACGGAGTACTCTGTACTCTGTATTCACATGGAATTTGATAAAGAGTTGGACACGGACCTTCATATCAAGCACATCCCATACCCACAAAAATAGATGTCAATATCTTAGCTGATGTTGTTGTATCTAAACCAAAAATTTGTATATCTAAAACATACCATCACAAGATCTCGCCAAATTCAATCAAAATGCTGCTCAAAAGTGCCTCTTTAAAATAAAATAAACCATGAGAAGATAGTCACAGAAGACAGAGCCTGCCATGTAGATTCACAACAGGCCGAAAGCAAGATATTGATGGACCAAAAGAACCAATAAAAGGCAAATCTAAAAACAACACTGTTCTGGAAGGAGATGTGAAATCAAAAATCAAATCAACCACTAACCACGGGGAAGAGCCAAAGCCAACGCTATGCAATGATGTATAAATGACCTCACGAACATAATGAATTGTATGAACAATGCAAACATAAAAGAACCACCAGATGGAGCACATGATGGAAAACAAACCAGAAAAAAACAAGGAGCAAGGAAAGAAATGCTGTGAGTTTGGTGTGAAATGTTGTTCAGGAGAAACTCCAAAAAAATGTGGAATCAAAGGTATTGGAGAAAAGCTGGATGCAGGGAATAAGGAGACAAGAATCTACAACAATATGTATCGTGCTCTAAGATATGATGTGTAGATGCTTACACAAAAAAATCTATGAATGTGGAATGCGATCACAACATTCCCGAGCTCGACAGATACCAAGAATATCCGGTCGAGAAGAAAACAGCAAGCGAAAGCCAACCGGGAGTCGAAAGGAAAGCTGCAGCTCCCTCTTTATCCGGTGTGTTTTTGTCGCTCGGTTGACTCGAACCTTCAGTCGGATTAGCATTCGCATCCCGTGGAGGAACGGGGGAGGTCGTTGGTTCGGAAACTATTTTGACACTTGAAACTACAGGGTGTTGGCAATGGGAAACAAAGATAAAAGGGTCCGTTGGAAAGCTTACCAGCGTTGGGGGGTGTGGACTTGTTGGAAGGAGGAGTTCCTGGATATTCTCGAGCGGCAAATCCTGGAGACAAGCTTACGGTTAACGTCACAACTGCAAAGAAGGAACGAAGGAAAGCTCACCTATCCGACTCTCGTCATAGTCGAACACGGAATAAACGTTTTTTAAAAAGGTATCGCCCAATAGCCATTGATCTGGACCGAGGGCTTGACGAGGGAGAATGTACGAGTTACAACTATCTCCATTTCGGCTTCCGACATAGTCTTTGGGAGACACGGTCCATCTCGCGCCGGAAATTTCAATTTCTAGGGAGAGGTTTGTATCGCAGGGGATGGTGAAATACTGATCACCTTTGTTCGACCCTGGGATCAAGGCATGCATGGCCTCCGCATCCTTCATTGGCACCAAGATGAACGAAGTTCCCGTATCGATGACGGCGCTCTTTTTGGTGAAGTTAACGCGCTTACCGCCAACAATGGCATCACTAACTGGAATTTCCCATCGATTGGTACTCTTGATGACATCCGTATATGTAATGTCCCCGGTGAATTTGCTTTTGTCGATATCGCCAAAAGTCAGCTGTCCGTCCCTGGTATCGTCGGCGGCGCGCTGCAAACTGATCCCAAAAATGTTCTTTTTAAAGAGCTTCTGGTCCGCAATGACCTGCAAAATTGGCTTCAACTTGGTTATTTTGGATGGGCCTAGTCCTAGAATCCCATCCATAGGGTAGTTGGCAAAGTCCTGGGAGACATTCAGTGCGGAGCCGAAATCGAGTTCGAGTTGGAAACCAGCCATCGACAACGTGTCCCTCACTATGACGCCCTCCACATGTCCAGTGCCGTAGCTCACCTCCCACTCTTCGTCTGTGACACTTAGTGTCTTCGAATGCTCGATTCCAAACCTGTTGTGTTGCAAGCAGGCTGCAGCCGTGCAGTTTGAGCCCATCACCCAGGACTCCGAAGCACCCGAGTCCAGCAGCAACCACATTTCCTGGCCCCCCGATCCAAATCTGGCAACGGAGAAGTAAGAGTAGTCTTGACCATCCTGATTCACGGCAACACTGTTTTCCATTCTGGGATCTGATCCCATTATAGCACTGTATTTATTCTCACGACGGACCTACATACAAGCTCAAAGTGTCAGCCAATCTCTTCGAGCATATGTAGTAAGGACTTTGGATATCATTTCTCACTAACCTTCCGCGGCACCTTCACGAGATCTAGAGTCAATGGCTTCTTCTCATCTTGAAGAGGCATCCTCGTGAAGGGTACTACTGGATAAAACCGTCTTCGACCAGAATTCGGAAGGCCGGGGGCATCCCATTTTGGCAGTTTGATAGGATAGAATGCGGACACACCCGTCGAGAGTATCCCCGCAGAAAGGAGCCATGAGGAAAGATGCATGATCCTAGAAAAGGATGTATTGTACGTCGGCCTTCTGGGTCTTCATTCAGATAATTCCGGGGCTGGGAGTATGAGGATCTTTTTTCAATTTTGGCAAGGGTTTCGCAATTTCATCCCATATCTTGATCTCAATTGAAAAGCGTACGGGAAACTAGTGGGAGGTTTACGGCAAAGCCGCATGCGGAATTGACTTATATAGTGCTGGGTTAAGGAAAAACGTTGTGCCAGAGAAATTCGAGAATTCGATGACCAAACGCCACAAGTCAAGCAAACGTGAAACGAAACATGTAGAGAGGGGCAAAAAGCAGGTATGCCGAGAGCGTCGTGGCAAGTCTGAAACTGGCTGCGAATGAACGTGCAATATTAATAAGTTGTTCTAGAAAATTTGTCAGGGCGGAGCGGGCAAGCAGCAAATGAGATCCTGATGGCGAGGATTAGGACCATGGAAAAGTTAAGCCATGAAAGGAACAAAACCGAGACGGCATTGGAAAAGACCTGGGAAGGACGGATAGCAATTGAGAGCGCAAGAACGAAGGGAGATAGCAGATGAGAGCTGAGGAGAAGAGAGGAGAGGAGAGGGAGAGGTTTCAACCAGGGATGATGTGAAGGAGATAGAGAGAGAGGGCACGAATCGTTCGAGATGGACGTCGTGCTGCCTCCTTGCCTGCGATGCAAAGGGGGTTGAGCTGGACCGTCGACCGTGCGGGCCCGCGCATGTGATTGGTCGGCTGCGGGGATCGTCCGCGCAAGGAGCTTGGGCCAATGGCATCGCGTGCATTACTCGTGGGTGGGCCTAGTGGGGTCTGCTCTAACTTTATCCTGGACTAGTGGGTGGATCACCGAACATGAGCCTAAACCGCATTTCGGCCTAGTGTCAACCTTCTTAAGTCCGGCTAAGCCCGCACGCGCTTTGCCTCTTTGCGGGATCCGGGGGACTCCGCCGGGGTAAGCCAGGGACGAACGCCCGCACGGAGACCGCAGGGGTAGCCGGCCAGGCACCTACAGGCGTTGCACGTTAGGGGGTTGGCTAGGGGGTTGTTAGGGTTCGAAGGAGTGGTGCAGGGGCGTGTCGGCCTCCCACTCGTTTGCTTTCTCGGGATGGACCAGCGCGAAGCGAAACACAGTCTGGGCGAGAGAAACCAGGACTACTCTATTTTTACTCGTCTCTAAATGATATGTGGAGCGGTTCCAAATCCGCCCTTGGGTACAGTATGCCTGTGCCCCAAGGCCTCGAACTTCGGAAATGATGCAGTCTTTTTTTGATCCAACATATCACGGCCGCTGTCCTAAGCGCCTTTGACAACAGAGTGAAAATTATCACTTCCGTTCCTCGACGCCCGATGCCACAATCCAGGGCGCTTAGCCAACTATTCAAATTGAATCCCAGTCTGGCTCTGCATCTTCATGCCGATTAAGTCACCGAGACGCTTCATTTTCACACGTGTCCTCGGACTGCCAGCTGAGGCTGCTTTATATTGTGAGTGACGGTGGAGTGCCCACCGTCACAATCCCCCCGTCGAGCCAGTGGCCGGCCTCCCACGGTCACCCAGCAATACGTTATATATGTAGTACAATCGTGCTCCGTACCCTGTCCAGCACTCTCTGCACCGTTACCACGCATGAATCATCCGAATCACTTGGTTTATATACCAGCGCATGTCATTGGTTTATTGGTAACGACTATTACCCTCCCGGATCTTCGGTGCCTGTCATCCGCAGCAGAGAATTATTAGCAATGGCATGAGGAGATCAAACGCGTTTAACCGTCAGCTGTAAAGGGGGCTACGTGTAACAATCTGCAGTTCTGACCAAGTCCAGAATATTCATAGTCATGAGTTTGCCTCTTGTGAAATAGCTCCATGGCTATGCGCACGATCAAAAGGAGTGCAATGGTTTCTCGTTTACTCCAACCGCCTTTCTGTCAAATTATCTGAAGGTCTGCAGGAATGGTAGGAGTGTTTCCAGGGCAGTTAAGGAATCGAATTGGACATAATCATCGCCCGAGAGATAGTTGAGCTGAGACTCTGAACATGGTACTCTTTATTTAGTCCTGAGATAAACTTAGCTACATCCTCTATGTAGCCAGAATAGGCCACGTTGTCAAGCTTTTAGCATCATATCATGCAAATCACATTGAAATCTCAGCCTTAGGCTACGATATTTCAAGGTTACAGCTATACCTCCATCTTCTGTGAACCATTTCCTATCCCTGATACTGTGGAGGGGAAGTCATTAACTGAGGAGGAATCACCTTCTCATCCAAGCTCATCAAATTCGTCGAATGAAAGCAGGAATATACAAAAGGCATTCATATATCTCCATGACATCAAATCACAAGAATTTATGCTTAGAGCTGATTTCTGCACCAAGATTGAATATGCAACCTTTTGAAGACATGGGGCTTTAAACTTTGATTAATCCAAGAAGTGGTTACAGCAGTAATCCGTTGCCGTGTTCCGCAAAAGAATGCATCTTTAGTGATTTTGGCGTGGACAAAGCGGAGCCTATACTCGATAATGGGCCCAAACACATCTTCGTGAGGCAAAAAATATTTATCTTCTAAAGAAGCAAAAAGGGACACGGGGTGGGGTCTGAAGGACCAAACTTTAAGACCTGCCCAGTCTCGCTTCATGTTCAAAATGTTCCCCGGCTCGGGATCAGATAACATTAAACAAGCAGTATTGATAGTATACTTATGCAGAAATGGAAACGAACTGAATATAGTGTCAACTATACCAAAAACTTGACAATGCAAGTAAAGAGCTGGGGGGGCAAGGAGGTACAGCACCGTCAATGGACGATGCGACCACTCCAAAGCAGCGTTTTTTAATGTATAAAAGACGTCCATGTCCATCAAACACTCGGACCATCCGGTGGAGTCATGGAGGGAGAAAGGGGAGAAATAAAAGGAGAATCATCTTGACTGGGTATTCGAATTTTGTTTGGGGCCAAGGGCATCGTCCAACATCGCATTCCATAACCCTTTTATCATCCCCTTTACTCCTATTGCGCTTTCTTGACTCTTAGCCGCATCCAGTGAGGATGCGGCTAGTCTTGACCTATTAACGGTCTCTGTGAGATTGTACGGGTTGATCTCGAGTGCATAGTTGTCCACCACCTCAGCCATTGGGCTTGGTTCACTGCCGTCTGATGAAGCGCCACCAATGCTATAGATCTGAGGCTTCATGGGCAAGGTGCCGCTGGCGCCCGCTGCTTCGAAGTGGGCATACGCATCTGGAGGAACCGGCATACGAGGAAAACCCGAGGTGGCGGCCGTTTCGGCTTCGAGGTTTCTGGGCATGAAGACAAAGTCAACAGGAGATGAATCGTTGACAGCCTTGCTGCCACGGGATGTGTTGAATTGTCGTTCAGAGCTAGTGTTTCCAATAAATGTTAGCCAAGTAGTCTCGAAATCTCCTTGGCTAAGGAGCGCGTAGCTTACCTTCGTCCAAACGCAGGGCCATCGATCCGCTTCATCGCGATGCTGAATGCCCTTGTTTGGAGGAAATCATGATTTGCAAGGCGATCCACAAGCTACACATAAATCGCAATGCCTAGATCAGATGGGGGCCCAAGGGAGCCAAGTAGCCGGTGGCACATACCTCAGCCTTACTCCCCCCGGCCCGGAGATTCCTCCTCTCGCACTCAGCTCTCAGGTCTGCAACGCTTCTTGCACGGTAGATTGACGTGACATCAGGTCCAGAGGCTGGTTGAGCGGAATAGGCTCCGGTAATGTGCAGAAAGCGGCGGAACGGGGCCATTGAGGCCAGAGTAGAAGCTGGAGCTGAGGAATTTTGTTGGGAAAGGAGGCGCAGAGCACGCAGCGATGTAGAACGGGGAGCTGCCATGACGAATTGGACTGAGTGTACTCGACAGACCGAACGAAACCAGTTCAACAGCAATTATGAAAGGAGAGGTCGAGAATTGAAAAGAAACAGGAGCAAAGACGGATTTCTCAAGGGGAACAGGACGTGGTAAAGCTGTCAACAAAAAAAAAAAAAAAAAAAAAAAAAAAAAAGGAATAATGTGATCGGACGATCGACGAAGATTTAGTCAAATGAATTCCCACGCAGACAATTATGAAATGCAATTTTTTTTTTTTTTTTTTTTTTTTTTGCCTTTTCTACATATGATCCCAAACTGAAGCTAACGGCAAATTTCCTGTGTTGAGAGCACAGAGAGAGGATCAGAGCTCTGGAGGGTTGCTATTTATGCCAGGAATCAGCTGACCCGAATTGAGCCGATTTAGGTTGGATGGTTGAGGCGTTGGTTGGGGAAGCTGGAGCTGGTGACGGCCGGTGCTGCAGGCTGATCCAGGCGTGTCAGCTACGGGCGCTACCCACTCTTCATGCGCCGCTAAAACAGCTTTCTCCGCAGCTGCCAAGCGCCTGGTCTCCGAGTCCGGAGCTTAGCCAGAAGGTTCTCAAAAGGTCGGGAGAGCACGATGTTTTGCCAACAAGACCGAAGACATATGGAAAAGGAAGACCAAAAAAAAAGAAAAAGGAGACTGAGACTGAAAGCACAAGAACAAGGCGGAGAAACAACAATTAAAAAGGGGGCCGGGCCTGAGAGATGAAAATGAGGGGGAAAAGCCGTGTCTGATGTGGGCTAACCCGTTTGGTCCGATGCGATGGGAGGGTGGTTTGGTGTGCGATCCATCGTCAACCTTCTTCCTGGGTATTCCCTCATCCCCCCTTCGCCTCCGATTAATCCTCGCGAATGGGCCTGTCGGAACGGCTGGGACTGTTCGGGTGTCGTCATCCTCTGGGAATCCCGACTCACTTCGCCCGGGTCGGCATGATGGGGTCCCCGAATCTTCCTTTCTTGCACGCACTCCGTATGTATTAATGGCCATCTTCACTATGGAGTGCGAAAGAAACGAATTCCATGAACCGATTCTCTGTGGTTTCGAACCCATCCACTTTCACCGAGGCGTGACACTCCTCGATCAGACCATCGCAGGGATATTTATTACCTAATTTGACTCTCGGTTAGTTACGAGTTGTTCTCGAACTTGGTCTACGCGTCCCGTGCCGCAACCACTGCCGTCCAGATCATGCCAGTTTGTGGGGGGGGAAGGGGTCGAAGGCGGTGAAACTTGTATCTCTACATACAAGGTACACCGATCTGCGTCAAAAACGTGCTTGTCACGTCCACCCCGGTCTGAGGTACCGTGGTAGTCACCGGGAACAAAGCCGAAGAAGCGTGGGGAAACTCTCCATGGGAATGCATGACACATAATTTTGAAGTACGTGGATTGCATTGGCTTTACGGGGTGTCTCTCTCTCTCTCTCTCTCTCTCTCGCTCCTTTCATGCATTGGCTTCGTAAATGGTATCTACATATATATGATGTATATACGTTTTGCGAGTACAGTAATCCCAGGCTGAAAAGAAATCAACTATTCCCGCGGATAGCAGCTTGGAAAGAGGTAGGCCGGACGGGTCCTAAAGACGACAAAATAGCTCACAGTCTAGCCTTTGGTGCTCCTCCATTCCATAATTTCGACGTAGCAAGACGGCGGGGCGGGGTCCTTGCGTACGGATGACTTGCAGCATCGGGAACTAAGTGGTCAATATCACCCGTATGAACCAACTCTGGACCAAGTTGGTCGAGGGACGTGATGCCGACAAGCCTCATGGCTCCCTCAAGCTCGTCTTTCATGACTAAATAGGTAATAAACACGTTAGCGGTGATTCTGTAGGACGAACGGGGAATGACTGACTGTCAAATAAATGTTCCACCCCCTCTTGTCCATAGTTCGCTGCAAAGAGCACACTTCTCCCCATGCCCACGGCCGTCGCTCCCAGGCAAAGGCATTTTAGAATGTCCGTGCCACGTCGAATGCCACTGTCCACGTAGATTTCCATCTTATCGAAGATCTCCGGGCAGCGCTTATGCAGCTCAAGGAGAGTAATGATGGGTGGAGGGCTGGTATCGAGGTTGCGGCCTCCATGATTACTCAATAAAATTCCATCCATGCCAGCGTCCATCGCTAGGATTGCATCGTCTGCGCTCATAACCCCTTTCAGGATCAATGGAAGGTGAGTATGCTTCCGCGCCCAGACAAGATCCGCCCAGGTAAGACCCGGATCGATGCTGTCTGCCATAACACGGCCGAGGCCCCCTCCCTTCTTGTCGTTCCTTGTTTTAGCGTCGACCATCGGGACGGTCAGGCTTTCATCCGCCTTGACCCTTTCATCAGCCTCACGCTTCCCCGGCCAAGCTGCATCGACGGTGATGAATATGGCCTTGATGCGTGGGTTGGCCGAGCATTCTCGAAGGAGCTCTTCAGACTTGGTACGGTCTCTGTTGACATATAGCTGGAAGAAGTAATCTACCCCCGGACCGGCGGCTGTGATATCCTTCATCGAGTAAGATGCATTGTTCGAGATCCCCTGTACCAGCCTCTTGTTCTCACACGCTCTGGCAATTGCAAGTTCACCGTCGGGATGCATGAGCTTCACCATAGCAGCGGGGCTGACAAAAAGAGGCATGTCTACGTTGCAACCAAGGATCCTGGTGCGGGTATCAACTTCGCGCACATTCCGCAGAACGCGTGGTCGCATGAAAATCCGGTCTAGGAATGATTTGTTGGCATCACGCGTGATTAAATCGTTCGAGGCACTAGAGTAGAAAGCCCAGGTCTTGCGAGAAGCAGTTTTCGATGCTACCATCTCAAAGTCATGGGCACTAATCAGGGTGGTAAGTGGAGGTTTCTCATGATCCAGTACCACCTTCGGCTCCGCCTCTGGAGGGGCCTTCAGCCATGCGCTATCGACCGTGCTCTGGTCGAGGACTCCTTTAAACTTGTCAGGAGTGAGATTGTCTCGAAGGATATTGGGTGCATGGACCTCTGAATACGCCTTTGTCGCATCTCGCCCAGCATATTTCAAGATGACTGTTATCAGAGGTAGACACGCGGTTAGCCACAGCTAGTCCATGGCCATAGGTAATGTACTGTAGAGAAAGTGATCAAAAGAAGAACCGGCCCACGAACTTGCGGAACCCCCAGGGTGCTTTGAAACAAACGAGGTAACATCCCACACCTCGTTATCTACCACGATCCAACAATCGGAGAACGAGCTATGAGCAGCAATCTCTTGAGAAGAGACTAATTGGACTTTTGCTACCGACATGGCTGAAAAGAAGGGGTATTTCTTGAATATTGTGAAGGCCAGGGGTAGGATATCTCGGCGCGTTAATATGAAGGGGCGAAGAGAGAGGGAGAGGAAAAGAAAAAAGTTTAAAATTCGATTTCTCCCAGAGATGTGGACAGGGACGAACGATGGATTCGGTGAGAACTAGCACTGCCAGTGGGGAATTTGACAGATTAATATTTAGTTTATTACCCCAGAAAACAACCACGGTGGATGGAAAGCGAAGCGCGGAATGCTTAAGTTCCCACCCATGCTCCTTTAGTAGCTCCCAGCACTCATCCAGGGGCTAACGGTGGCGGAAACAAAGCCGAACGGACCCGCTAAGAAAAGGGCCCAGGAAGCCGGGCAGCTATCCGAGGCTGGGCATTTTGGGAAAAGAGAAGAGGAAGACATTGCAATAAATAAGTGGTGCAACAGGTAACTATCGCGTGCCTAAATACATGTAATATTGATCCGAACCTGCGGTTTTACTGATAGCACAGCAACTATGGATACAATGAACCAACCAGTGTAAGTGGCCACAGCAAAACACCATTTGGCTCAGATTTCAGCAAGAATGTTGCAAGAGGAAAATCTGAGCCTGTATAAGTTAAGGGACGTGCAGTAGACTGGCCGTCTGCGGCATTGGGCTTCGGTCAATTATTTTCGTCTCTTTTTCCCCAATGGCCTTTCTCGTATCTTTGTTCACACATCCAGCTTACATCTGACAAAGTTTGGATTTACTAAACAACCAGAAATCTGAGAATGCAAGGATATATGTGTGGATAAAAGAAAGGGAGCACCTTGATTGCCATGCCCTGATGCTTGGCTGGTGTGGGTTTCAGCTAACTACTAATACATGTGCATCGTCAGCGTGTTCCAATTGATGAACTGTCACACCCGTCACAGTGGCACAGCATCGCAACTCACACCAGAGAGTTGGCAGCGTGGCTTCTGGTGGAAAGGTAGCTGTTGGTTGGTCAAGAGTGCGCTTCTTGTTGAGTTCGTAGTTAACCATGACTAAGCCATTTAACCCAATTGGCCAGCAACCGCCCAAAACTTGCCTCCATCAAGCACAATCGGCTGGTTAGTTGAAGAGGACAGGAGCTGATGATACGGCCTTCCATCCCAAAAAGCATCTGGCGCAACTTGTCGTCCGTGAAAAATAGCATTTCCCGTGGAGCTCTTGGAGGTATGGGCAGTCCTCTTACCCTTTTAGTGTAGTTTTGACTGATCGCGAATCGCGGGAGGGGGAGGGGGGAAAAATAAAGAAGCCCATAGAAATTTTGACTATCAGCATGATAGACATAAAGCGTGTGTAAATAAGCTGTATCCTTGTTCTCAAAAGTGGTCAAGCACTTTCACGAAGCGTGTCGAAATGGGGGAGTCTGCGAAACAATTGAGATATGTCGATGTAGGTTCGCAAAATTACTGCAATTATTTTTTTTTTTTTTTGGCGCCTTCCTCTTGCACCAGTGCTGACCTTTCCCTTCAGATCGGCGTTAATCTCGGGGACCCTGTGTTCAGGGGTGAATATCACGGCAAAAAAGTACACGATGATGACCTCCGGGATGTCATCGAACGGGCTGTCAATGTCGGCTGCCAGAAATTTATGGTGACGGGCTCTGATTTACAGGAGTCCAAACATGCCATTCAAGTAGCAAGAGACCACGGTATGAAAAAATATCTATGGTTTGATTTCTTGCTCCTCAGTAGGTAAATAGCTAACGTTGTGTTCAGCTGGTCTCTGCTTCGCCACCGTGGGTGTACATCCCTGTCAAGCAAAGCTGTTCGACTCGTATCCCCAAGGCCCTGCAGCTTATCTAGCGGAGGTTAAAGCTCTGGCACTCGAAGCCAAAGAGTCCGGCCATGCTGTTGCCTTCGGAGAAATTGGACTGGACTACGATCGTCTATTCTTGTCTCCCAAGGACCAGCAGTTAAAATATTTCGAAGCGCAGTTGGACGTAGCCGTTGGGGTCCAGCTGCCTTTATTTCTACACTCCCGTGCCGCCAGCGAAGACTTCGAACGCATCCTTTCATCGAGACTTCCTAAGTTGCCGAAGGGCGGGCTGGTACACAGCTTCACGGGAACGATGGAGGAGATGCAGCGACTGGTCGCATTGGGCCTAGATATTGGGGTCAATGGATGTAGCTTGAAAACCGAAGAAAACCTAGAGGTCGTCAAGGCTATGCCGCTCGACCGAATCCAAATTGAAACCGATGGCCCTTGGGTATGATTCCTGGATTCTTTTAGTTTGGTGATGGTGGCTAATCACCGGAGAGCAGTGCGAGATCCGACCCTCCCACGCATCATTCAAATACGTCGAAGATGCACCCACATTGCCAAAAGCCGTTAAAAAGGAGAGGTGGCAGAAGGGTTGTATGGTCAAGGGCAGAAATGAACCGGTGACGATATCCCGCGTTGCGCAAGTGATTGCTCGCGTCAAGGGAATTACAGTCGAGGAAGTTTGCGAAGCGTAAGCAACAACAGATGTGCTTGTGAAAGATCTTGGCTAACAGCTTAATTAATAGCGCATGGAACAATTCTATCAAGATGTTTGGCCTGGGTGAAGAAATCTCATCAAGCTGATGGTTGAATGATGGAGGCACTGATTGGATCAGTGGTGTTAGATCAATTGGTTTACCTGGCTCAAATTTCTATGTGTATACCCAATAGAGTATAAATTCGCCTGTGAAAATAGACGCCATAGACATTCATAAACTAGATGTGTCTGCCGGGTAAAGTGCCATACAAGGATATGATCAAGACCCGTGGTTAACATAAGGCTGACGATCGTCACGCGGCATTAAGATAATCCGGGGAAAGATTAACCTTAAATTGTTGAGCTAAGCCTAATACAGGCTAGCATACCATCGGGGCCGGATAATCCTTCTGCACCGGCCAAACCAACTTCCAACTGTCCTGCATCAGGGCAATGTACCCAAAGCAGAAAAAAAAAAAAGAATAACTACCTGATGCTGAGATAACAGAGCTGGCACTCATAATACTAGCTTACGTTATTGGACTCCTCGCTCTACTTCTCCTCCCAGATTGTCGAACTGTTCCTCTTTGCCTCTGTTTTGTCTGTGAGGTCTCGCTCTTCTTTCTTCACCATGGATCTGACTTGTGGGATCTTGTTTATCTTCTGCCATATTGGGGGTTAGTTGTGACTCTGTAGCTGTGAGATCACATCCTGAGCTTCCCTAGGAACCGGATCTTCTCAAGATATTCCTCCTCCCACCTGCCGGTCTCCTAGGGAATGTTTATCTAGCCCAGGAGTGACGTCCAGCTCCCACTTCCTTCCCCTTCTATCCTTTTCACCTTCGACCTTCCTGCATATTCCATTGTCATCATTTCACTACCCCTCTCGTCTACCTTCCTCGTTTCCTTTTTTTCCCCTTTTTCCTTCTTCCTTTCTCTTCCTCAAGCTCGACTCATATGCCATCGAGGAAAAGCAAGCTCTCTTTCTCCCTTGCACTGCAACTTTGAACTGTTCTTCTCGTGAGGTTTGAACCCACCACTTTTCTCTTTTTCCTACCCTTTGCCTAGATCATACTGCGACACATCATCCTCCTTCATATCTCGATATTGTCTGTTGAGGTACTCCAGCAGACCATATTCCCTTGCCTCGCCATCCTCTATCGCACGTCAGAATGTCGCAGTTCGCCGCGATGGATGACGGTCAGTTGAATCCGCCCGATTCTAAAATTCCCCAGTTGCTGTCTCCGAACCATGATGGTGCCGGACAGCTTGGTACGTTGATATCCTTTGGTACTGCCGCGCCTCTCTTTCCACCTGCAATTCCAAAGCCTGCATCCATACGTCTCGATGCCACCTTCGCTCGTGCCCCATTATTGCCGTGTTATGCCTTTGGACCTTTCTGACTGCAGCTCCAGCCAACAACAAAAAGGAGTACATTACCAGCGGATTTGAGAGCGGCACCAGTCGTCCTCCCACCCCTCATGGCCCAGGGCTTCCTGCCAATTTCGCTGAAGTTGTCAGTGGAATCTACCGGAGCAGTTTCCCGTTGCCTGATCACTTTGAGTCAATCAAGAAGCTGAATCTGAAAACAATCGTGTAAGTTTGCTCCACTGTTATCATGGGTTTGTCGCTAAGAGATGTCAGAACCCTTGTTGAAAACGAACACTCGCGACAATTCAAGAAGTTTATCAAGGATAACGGGATCACCTCTTATGTGATGCCTATTATTGCAAACAAGGACCCTAAGATTTTCACTTCTCAAAATACTGTACTTGAGGTGCTCAGAATCCTTTTCAACCCTGACAATCATCCTGTTCTTGTGCACTGCAATAAAGGAAAGGTATTGCTATCATTATTATTTTCGGATACCTGAATAGAAGGCGCTCTCTGACTTATCGCCTAGCATCGAACCGGCTGCATTATTGCATGCTTCAGAAGGGCCCAAGGGTGGTCGAACACGGCTGCTGTGGCTGAATACATTAAGTACTCGGCACCGAAAACTCGTGTTTTGGACCGCAAATTCATTGAAGCTTTTGACGCAAACAGGCTCTGTGAGCTGGTCGACCGCGTTGGAGCTCAGTATTGGGTTCCAAGCAATCTCTCAGAACGGAAAGATTTGCGAAGTACCCCAGGCTGCCATCTCAACGGCAATCCCAAAGAAGTCGGTGAATGCGACGGAGCTTCCGCCCTGGTTCTTCCTTCAGATCCGCAGCAGATTTATGGTCTAGCAACCTGTAAATTGCCATCATGAACATTTTCTTCTCTTTTCCGATACTTACATGAACGTGGTTAGTATCTCAATTTCAAAGTTTCTGATTATACCCACTAAGACGCGTGCAGATTTTCGAGAAAGGCGTTTAGATACTCCCGGCATTTGGTCAGCGGATAGACGGAAAGCGATAATGATGCTGATGCTAAAGAAGCAAACGGAGTTTGATTGGCGCAAACTATATCTCTGATTTCGAAATTGAGCCAGCTGCGTCCTGACGGGAGTCGCAAAGTCCATAATGTGATAATTCTACGCGACATAAACCGATTTCACAGTCTTCGGCCGCAACATCTGCACTTGCAAGCTTTAGTATTTGCTGGTTTTCTTTTCAAATGGATTCCGCTGATTAAGAATCTCAATCCGTGGAATTTGACTGTATGAATATGAGCTGTTTCCAATGTTTTCATGATGTCGCGACCCTCGCCTTTGCCTTTTTTTTTCCTTGACCAAGTTCGCCTACAAGTTCAGCCACTGGGTCCTTGGGTTTGTGCACGGGTGCTGTGATATTTCGCTTTAAAAAAAAAAAAAAAAAAAGGATAAAATCCGGACCCCTTTCCCGTCGGAATTTCAGGAAAAAGCAGCGCGAGCAAAGCAGGGTGGCGATAGGTATTCATTTACGTTCAGACGCCTGTATTAATAGAAAACAATTCTTTTTATGGACTCGTACTTTGCACTAAAATTTGAAGTCTGGTAGTTGATTGTGACTCTTTTCCTTTTTTTTTATGTAGGGAGGTTTGGTTAGTTAATCGCAAAGTCGCATAGGTCAGCTGGACGACAATGATTTATTATCGAACCTTGCACATCCTCCAAATTGCTCCACAAAATATCAGCATCAATGTTGTTCTGTTAGAAGAGCATTTCTTCATTACTACACACAGGAAAGTGGGTGATATTGCTGCTGAAGCTGTTGTTGAAGCTGATATCGTGGTCTGCATCTATTCTCATATGCCCATCGTCCTCATCATCTAAGATTGGGTCTGAATTTGCAAAAGAAGTAGGAAATTTGGGGGAAAGCGACGGCTGCGAGGAGTGATCGAGCATCTCGATCTCATATTCCAGGGTTTCATCGACAACGGCGCCGTCGAGCATAGGTGATGAGAATTGGGCAGGCGATTGCGTTGCTACTTCGAGAAGCCCGTCCAACGATTGGTTTCCGTCAGACGTATCGAGATGGTCAAAGAAAAGCTCTTCCTCATCTGTTCCTCCGTCATCGAAGAGACACTGTGCAAATACTTCGAAAGGCGTGTCCATGGTAGGTTTTGTTTCGGGCAAGGAGTCATAGTGAGTCCACCCCCTCGAAGGCGATATAGAACAAGGTATGCCAGTTTGCAACGGGCTGAGCTTGCTCATCAGATTCGAGCTGGATAGGCCATTTTGTGCGTTTGTCCAGAGAAGACATTTCAATATTGTCCTGGTATCGGGGGTAGGGTTGGTGGTCCCCGATACACTGGAATCCTGGAAGCAATATCTGTCGAAGTATGTCCTGGCAAGACTACCAAGCCTTGACTTGAGTTCCGGTGATTGGGTAGTCGACAACAGGGAATGTATCCCCTTTGCTATCACTGGGATCAAAGATATCCGTTGCGCAATAGCCTTTTGAAAGAGTTTAGTTATTAGCTAGATAAGTAGAAGATTTTAATAACTTACACGATTATATTCCAGGTTAAGTATACGAGACGCAAGATTGGAGAGAACATCGGGATTCTCATTTGTATTTCCGCCCTCGACGTCGGGCTCGAGTCGAAAAGGCTGATGGCATAGGAAGTTGCGGAGTCCTAAATCTAGCAAGGAAGCGTAGCACCGGACCGTTTTGACTGGAAACCCGGTCTCAGATGTTTCTAAATGAGCCACCGTGCCATAGCCATCTGAGCTATAACTTGAGATCGACCTTTGGCTCGAATAGGTAGGATCATTTTCGAGCGAGATCCAGTCTTCATCCGGATTTGACAACGATTCTTCCGCGTTATCACCCAGGGAATAATGAAAGAGCAGTCCGCTGCGAGTACACACATCGGCGGGGATAGCAGCCGGGTACCGTCTAAGGTCATAGCAATTTTGCGCAAACCCCAAAGAGTCCGACTCTGTTAGCATAAACTCGAAGCTTGCCTCAATATGGCGAACGGTAACCACCGGGATACCGAAAGGGGGCTGAACATGAGAATCAAGGCATGAGACAAGACTGTGCAGGTGTTGCTGCCTTGGCATTTCTAGCTGGGCCGAGTAGTTAAAGTTCCGTTTGAGAGGAAGCAAGACGTGTACCTGGCCAGCTTTTATTTCGTCAATGACGACTTGATAGTTTTGCGGAGCCACAGACAGGCATAGATCAGACCATAGCTAGCCAGGGTCAGCTGGGGAGCCATATAGAAAGGACGAGTTATACTTGCATTTGCCATGGCAATCATATCTCCCAGGGTATCCAATATGCGCATGATCAACCTGTCCTCGTGGGAAGAATTATATATCCGAATGCTAATCTTGAACAATAATGTCGGGCCCAAGCAAACCCATGCATTTTCAAAGGTAGCTCTCAATCTCTCGGGGCATGAAGCAAAGGCGCTTGACAGAGCGGCTTGAAGAGAGCCCGACACCTTTAGCTGCACATGACCATTGTCATATATTTGGGGAATTGGCTGAAGTTGGATGCTATGCGAAGCCATCTCTCGAATCACTGGGTATGGCTACCTGAGGGGAGAATTAGAGTAGAACGACAAGCCTAGCTAAGCAAATAGCCTTAGGAGATGGACGAATCTGCTCGACATCTGGCCGGACGGCGGAGGCGCGGCGAAACTCCCTAACGTGGAAGGGCCGCCGGATTTCCTTTTTGGGAGAAATGTACACATCTCGTTGTGCGTATCTTTTCGCTCATGTGTGTGTGTGTCTAAGACTACGCTTTAAAAGTGCACAGCTGTGTGGATCAGCTCAAATTCACATGTCCCTTTCTTCTGCTGCGAGCGTTGCGGATGGCACAACTGCCATTCATCTGCGCCGTTCAATTCCTGAGATTAAAGAAACAGGGGGCCGTGCCGCAAATAATCACGTGATGCTGCTGAAAACGGGCCAAGCCAACAGGGGGCTGAGACGATGCGGTCAAAAGATTATTGTCTTGGAGCGACGGAGTTCGACGGATTTCTCTCAGCGCAAGCATGATCGATTCGCGTAGCTATGCCCAAAGCCACCGACAGACTCGATGTCCGCGAGACTGAGGCAAATGGGCATGACCCCGAGGAAGCTCGCTCTCTCCTTTCTCACTCTGTCGATGACGATGATCTAGTTGACCACCCCGAGCCTTCACAGTCCACGCGGCCCCCCGCTCCGAAACGACAATCCTCTCTTGCTCTCCCTACTCTCAACAATGGACAGCCTCGCGCACCTCGAACCCCGAACCGCGTTCGTTTCGACTTAGGTGATGGCACAGAAGAGGAACCCGGGCGGGATTCCACCTCGGCCGCGCCCGACCGATCATGGCTAAACGAGGCAGATTACTTGGATAGTGAAGCTCACCGCTCGAGGAGCAGCACAGGACAAGTCGCTCCGCTCCTTACGGATATAGAAGCTCCTATCGTTACTCTTGCGACCTCGAACAGCGACTTTTTCCCCGAAGAATACCTGGAGAGTGCAAGACCAAAAAGTGGCCTCAGAAACGCATTCATGAACATGGCCAACAGCATCATAGGTGCTGGAATTATTGGGCAGCCGTATGCCTTCCGTCAAGCTGGAATGGTGATGGGCGTTATTCTCCTGGTCGGCCTTACCTGTGCCGTCGACTGGACTATTCGTTTGATAGTTGTCAATTCAAAGCTCAGCGGAGCTGACTCTTTTCAAGCTACTGTGGAGTTCTGCTTTGGGAGGACTGGGTTGATAGCAATATCCATAGCACAATGGGCATTCGCGTTTGGAGGGATGATTGCGTTCTGTATCATCGTTGGCGACACAATTCCCCATGTCTTAGCGGCTCTTTTTCCTTCACTGAAGGATCTTCCATTTCTATGGCTCCTAACAGACCGGCGTGCTGTCATCGTGCTTTTTGTTCTTGGAATATCGTATCCTTTATCGTTATATCGGGATATCGCAAAGGTATGCATGCACCACATCCCTTGTTGCCGATAATACGTTAATCCGTGTAGCTCGCAAAAGCATCGACGTTTGCCTTAATAAGCATGCTTGTTATTGTTATTGCAGTGATTACCCAGGGCGTGGGAGTACAGTCCGATCTCAGGGGTGACATCAAGGGATCGATCTTCGTCAATTCGGGCTTTTTTCAAGCTGTTGGAGTCATATCTTTCGGTAAGCTGGAGCTTTTCGCTCGGGTTATCTCACTCACACTAACGTATCATTTCTAGCTTTTGTCTGCCGTATGTGCAAGCGAATTCCACTGGCTGTTGGTTTATACTCACCGAATTCTAGATCACAACAGCCTGTTGATATACGGCTCCCTGAAGAAGCCTACTCTCGATCGTTTTGCTCTCGTTACTCACTACTCGACTGGAATCTCAATGGTAATGTGTTTGATAATGGCCTTTGCAGGTTATCTTACGTTCGGATCCAAAACCAAAGGCAATGTATTAAATAATTTCCCTGCCGACAATGTTTTGGTGAATATTGCAAGACTGTGAGTGACTCCGTGAAAATGGCCTCAGGCACTTCCAGTCGTTGCTGATACTTTATATCATAGCTGCTTCGGCCTTAATATGCTGGCCACACTTCCGCTCGAAGCATTTGTCTGCCGATCTGTTATGACCACTTTCTATTTCCCCGACGAACCCTACAACGCGGGTCGCCATCTTATTTTCACCACTTCACTGGTTGTTACATCCGTTGTAATGGCGTTAATGACTTGCGATCTCGGCTCCGTCCTGGAGCTCATTGGAGCAACGAGCGCTTGCGTATTGGCGTATATTCTCCCTCCGCTTTGTTACATTAAACTCAGTTCACAAGGCTGGAAATCGAAGATTCCAGCGGTACTCTGCATCATATTCGGCGTTTGTGTTTTATGTATGAGCGTTTTGCAGGCATTGGTCAAAATCATAAGGCGTAAGTACTGCCGCTAACTCCCTCAATTGCATATTGTGGTAGCCCCTTTCATATTCTCATACATTGGCTGATACATTTTCGGTGTTGATAGACGAAGGCGGCCCGATGACCTGTTGAAGACGAGAAACCGATATATTCCTTTACATTTTATTTCTTCTACCTGTTTTACTAGAGATATAGATGTAATTATCCGTTGAATGTTATATCCTATGGCGGATACCTTACAGGGGGGGCTATCCACAAAGCCTAAGGCGTTTTTCGCTTTTGATTTGGATTTCTCCTTCGTCCTGATACCCTATATCCCGCCGCAGCTTGAGTCGTTGAAATATGGCATACCATATTGTTCTTTTTCCTATTCTTTTCCTATTGCTCCTTCTACAGAGCGTATCAATCTTGCCTTGTGATGGCTCTGCCATTGCAAATAAAGCCAAATATATTCCTGAGGGCAGGCTAGCGCAATCACGGTGCGTTTTGCCACCACCATCATCGATCGGGATCTACCTGTGTGTGCTTTAAGGGTTCACTGGTTACGTTCCTCAGATTCAGACAGTCATATATCCTTGCACATATATTAGAATCAAATCCGTAATGAAATGATCAATTCGGATGAGTTCCAATACCTTGAGGAGTACAATGCTTCTTTACCGCTTCCTTGCGGCGAGCCACATCTCAAATAGCAGCAACTCAAAGGGAGCTTGAGTTTGGCAATGGCTTTGTTTGGTGCTTCACGCCTTTTTAGAACCTCCATGTCCAAGAACTGTGAATATTGTCAGAGAGGGTAGCGTGACCAATTCAGACGGAAAGGCATGACTTTTCGATTCACATATTTAATTACATGATGATTGGTTGCTTTAGATACGGCGGAGTCCGTTTACATTCACTGCCCTGCCTGTCGAGCACTATATCAATTCTCTTCTCTTCCTGTCTGTGCTCTTCCTTTCCTTCTTCCTCACCATCACTCTTGACACTCTTTTTCTTCAAAGATTCTCTCTGGAGCAACCTCTGCTACTTTCTGTCAGCTTCCTCACTTTCTGAGCTGCCCTGCTGGGCCAGCATTCTTCTTACCCCCTACCATATCTTGGTAAGTACAATTCCACAAAAATCATAATATCTAGAGGCATATGGGCAATATATAAAACTCTTCAACATCCCTCTGCACTGGCTACCGGTCAGACAGGCCACAGTGGTGTTGTTGTGTTTGTCTGTTGCCTAGGGAGCTCCCCCTCTAGAGATAAACATCCCCTCCCTATCTTCCGCTCTGCAGATTGCCAATATCATTGCCGGCCATCAGCCTCTCTACATCCGTCAAATTAGGAATTTATCCTTCATTTTCTCTGTCCATTCCTTATTCTTCATACCTGTTACCATTGTCACATTCTTTTTTCTCCCTGGCTTCTGGGGTTTCCGTCCATACCTTTCACTCTTGCATTCGTCTCATTACAGAGGCTTCCGTCTGTACTTTTCACTGTGCACCCTTCAGCTCATTAACAAAGGTTTCTGTCTGTTTTTCTCACTCTGCTCCACTCCAGGGTTTCCGTCTATACTTTTCACACTCTCTTCCACTAGTCTTATTGCAGAGGCTTCCGTCTTTACTCTTCACTTCCGACCATCCGCTCACTCCCCCAAGTTTCCGTCTGTACTATTCCTCACTTTGCAACCTTTAACTCACTTGCAGCAGCTTCCGTCTGTATTCCTTGTCACTTTCTTCCATCTTTCGTCTCAGAGTTCTTGGCCTCAAAGTATCTCAGAGGCTTTACAGCTCACATAGTCTGGTGAAACCCAGGTAAGACATCTCAATCGTTTGTTGGGGGCAGTTTTCAAGCTGTTGGCAAAGAACCCCCTAATTTTGCCCAGATGTGTTGGTATTTCGCTAAAAAGTAGCTGACAGACAGTGAGAGGACTGCTTTATCTCAGAAAGAAACTCATCATCGCTTCAAATGGCCGAAGAAATTGGCGAAGAGCGTATTGCTCGTCTTCAAACCCTCCAAATGGTATATTTTCTTTTCTGCTAGAGCATATTTATCTATCATTTACTTAGCTGTGGCAATTTTAGGAGGACCTCGGCATTGCGAGACGTGATTACCTTTCGACACGAGACGAAGGCCCAAAGCAAGTGCTGTCCTTGAGTCGTTTGGAGGCTTCTAGAGCCTCAAACCAAGAGGGAACGGAGTGTCACCGTCTAGCTGAAGAGAATAAGGATAAATTGGATGCGTGGAAGAGTAAGTTACCTCGTGTTCCTGGTCCTACAAGACTTTTTATTAATATCCGACCTAGATGCCTGGAAAACTCTTGGTCAAGCTGAAGGTGATGATCTCGCTCCTATGATGGAGGGACAATGGCATAGGTACAACCTAATGCAAACAATCAAATCAAACGGTGGTCAGAAGTACGAGGCCGAAACTGATACGTCGGTTCATCCGCGTGGCCGACGTGCTCTCGGAGCCCCTGGGGGCACTGGTCGAGGTGGTGGTGTTATTGGAGCTCGTGGACGTCACCAGTCAATTTCCCAAAGATCGTATGTTATTCCGTCATTCCGGTTTTCCCTATTATGGTTCTAATGCCGGTTCACCAAAGGAGTGCTACTGTAAAGGAACGTGGCAAGGAAAGGTCCAGGGGACATGATTTTACATCTGGTCGTCCGTTAGACCCTTCAAGGGATATTAACAATCCGCAGTCACCTCAAAGACGGGGAGGAAAAGGCCGTGGCAATGCACGCTTACGACCAGCCACTATGAGACCTCGCGTTCCGGTTTCGGCACATCCGTGAGTACAATGTATTTCCTTTTTGTGTCCCAGCCCTACTAACACCCGATGGAGAAATGAAAATCATGGACCCATGCTGGCAGATACGGCTTCTTTCATGGCAGCTGTTTCGGTGCTACGAACTGCTCATGTTTCTTCAAGGCCAACCGCAGTCTCTGAGAAGGGACATAATACTCCCATTAACGATAGCAGTAGGCGTGAACCAACTCATTCCGAGGCTGGCAATATCGAGCCTTGCAGGAACGCAGAGTCTGCCGAAATCGCTAAGAGTGTGGGCAAAATTGTGCAAATTGAAAAAGCGAAAATTACTCAAGAAAAGGACGTACAGAGGCTTCATGAAACGATCGCTGAGCTTTCTAATGCTGAACCAACACCGGAGCGGCCAGTTTGGGATATTATAGAAGTATTTGGGAGTCCTTCCTCTACGAAAGAGACCCAGACTGACTCCATGAAAAAAAAGGTCGACCAGGGATTTAGCAGCACCCTTCCTCAACCTGTGGCTCGCATGCGTCGCCAGAAGCAAGTTTTGGACGACGGTCACATTGATAGAGACAATACATCGATGCCTTCGGTAAATTTCAACTCTCCGACCATTATGAATGATGGATCCAAAGCCCCCACTGGTGCTCAGTCTTCGACTGCGGTTAAGCCCTGCAAGGATACAGGCATGGAACAGGAGCGTAATGCCTCCGAAAATGTTTCATTGATAACAGAGGAGAAACAAACACACTACATTGAAGACGATGACGCAGAGAGAGAGGTTGAAGAGCTTCGACAGACACTTTCAGCAGGCTATCTTCTTCCGTCTATTCGAAAGCTCTTGACTGACCGTAAGAAGGAGCTAGAAGACACTTTATATTTTAAAGAAACCTGCCCTTTGCCGGCATCAATGAGCACTCAGCCGTCCGGAGATGAAACTAAACAACTAGACTTGGCTGCAGTTTCAGCAGCTCCTTCAACAAATGGAAGTACCTTTGTGCAATCAAAAGTGCTTCGTGAGTCACAAAGTGAAGTTGCGGCGTCGAGAAAAATACCTATGAAAGGTGGTCAATCTAGAGTGAAACCGGCGGATGGTAATATCCAATCCCATGATACGACTCAAGCTTCCAACCAATTGACTTTGGTTAACGATGAAGGTAACATTATTGGCAATCACCTACTTCCAGGCCGAGGCAACGAGCCCGAGCCCGAGCTCCCCGTGGAGGTTCTTAGTAAGATGCGCGAAGGCAAATTTCAATCGAGGAAAGGTAAAGATGCGCGATCACACGCCCGTGATGTATCTACGGGTTCAAACGCGTCAAATATCCAACGCAAGACCATCCACACACGCGATAATGGAAACACCTCTACCTCTGGGAAATCATCCTCGCAACCTCTATACGGGGCTCAGTTGAAAATACGAGAGACAGCATATCTTCCCCAAACAGCAGCTGCCATGCAATATGCTGGACAACTATCCCAGAACGCCGCCGCTCTAGCTAACCAAAACGCACAACTTCAAGCTTCATCCCACATAACTGGACAAAAGACTAACAGTGTGGTTACCGAAACGGAGACATCCCCTATTAGAGGACGCGAGGGGTATCGTAATCGTGGTCATACGCGAACTGATTCTCTTGGAAGCAGAGTTGGAAGAAGCCACCCGTCAGAAGCAGTCCGTATCTCCAGTCGTGCCACTTCACCTCCCTGTAGCCTAAGAGGAGATGCATTCAAAAGCCCACAGCATGCATCACTTTTATCGGGCTCGAAAGTCAATGACGAGAATCACGTGCCAAAGAATCTAGCTAAGAAGTCCACACAAGGTCTTGAGGCATCCAGATGGGCTCCAAAAGCTCCAGGAAAGCAAGGAATATCTGATGAGGGCGCTCAACCGGGACTTGAGGCATCTATGTGGGCTCCTCGGCGTGATGAGAAATCAGACAGCCGCGGAGAAGGCTTGATGGCATCTCGCTGGGCTCCGCAAGGTTAAGAAATGTGCCAACCAAATATCTTTTGTTCCCGCCAGTTTGCCGGAAGGAATTTACGAACGGCATTTATTTATCATGGCTTTATTTCAATGATATTGCCAATATCGTTCTTTCTTCGAGATATCGCAACAGTTGGCCCCTATCGCCCTCCAAGTTGCCTTGCTCCTTACAATGAGTTTAATGTGCTAGTCCGTGGGATACGCAGTTTATTTCCATTTCCTTTCAGCTGGGTATATATGGCCCTGTCAAGTATGCCGAAATGGATTCGCCGACCCCTATGCCCCGTTTATCGGACCCCCGGCCCTGGAATCAAAAAGGCACATGAGGGTTCTTTAGGGACAATATAGCAATATTATCTTCCCCTGACAAACGACTTGACCCGAACACGGCTTCCCCGTTACTATGCTCCATTTCTCTCCCCTTGGTGTTCTCCTGGATTAACCTTACTGCATTCTTGTTCTCGGTTCTTTGCGCAATTTTTCATGCCCAATTCCCCCAGGTTTATTCCCCCCCACGGCAACACCCACACCCACCTAAGCATTGAATGTATTTCATGACAAGCACGAAATGAGCTTCTGCCTTACCCTAAGACTTCCATGTCCCCATTTGCAAAAGCCAAATCCAAATTGCTCTTCACGGTTCCCCAATTATCCCGATAGATTTGATTCCCAATTTTAGGCGTTACCCCTTTGACCAGCCCCTTGCATTTGAGTGTACTCTCTAGATTGACAACTGAATTGCCCCTAATACCCCCTTCTCCCCTGTGCCCCAAGTTGAATGATGCTTAGATAGTTTAGTCGTCACCAATGAAAAAGTTTTGCCTTCAGGCAATTGCGACGCGACATAGACAGATAATCCACCAAGGATGTAAATCACCATTGCTGGAGTACACCGAGTCGTACGGCACCGAGACATCCAACGGTTTGTTGGCTCGAAAATCCGGAATGTTCACTGCCATTCCATATGCAATACATTTCCCACTTCAATATTGATAAATAGATTTGTCATGTCCGCTTGCATCCGGCCACTGGTTAACGCCGTCCAACCGGTCCCTCTAGTAGAAAAATGCAAGTACAGCTGCATCTTTAAAAACATGACCAAGCAAAACCATCCATCAGACATCAAGCCCGGCTTTAATCCATGATAAGGGCAGAAAAGTTTCTCCAAAAACAAAAAGAAAAAAATCCGGTCTAGAAGGAGCAATGTTATAGTAAAATGTATTCCCATGGTATTCCTAGTCCTTGTCCCTACTACTGATTATTCTCAGCGGCAGCAGAGCCAGTAGTGTTGTCGTTGGCTTTGGGCTTCTTCGCGGTTTCGTTATCGTTGGAGATAGATTCGCGGTTCGTTATATCTGACAGAAGTGGTCTCTTCCCGTTTAGGTTCTGAGCTGTCGGTAGAGGTTGGTTAGAGTTGCCATGAGGAAAATTGCTTGCACTACTATTGTTGGCTGCAGCCGTCATGCTTCTTCGTGTTGGCGGCCGATATGACGAAGTCATTGGTGCGCGAGCGGGGCTTACGAAATTTCCCGCCCCTGGCCTCTTGGTCACGTCCACGATGGTGCGAGGAGGGATGGGGGTTGATGACTGGCTTGCAGGGGGAATGTTCATGCCTGCTTTGTGTGGTGTTTGGCTAGACAATTGAGGTGGCACATTCTGAAACGTCTTTCGGGACACAGGTGCTGATTTCCCGTGGTCAATAGTAAGAGTTTTCCGAATGGATGGACTTGCAAATTTAGGGTCGAATGCGGGCGCTGGTTTTCCTGGTTCAGTGACACTCGCGGCACGAGCCGAATACCAGACACCGGGCTCGACACTGGGGCTATCCTGTCCAATCTGTGAGCCGAAAGGCGACGGAGGTTTCAACGGTGAATGGTTTCTTTTACTCTCTATGTTTGTTTCGCCTTTCGTCTTCAACTGATCGCACGGCAGAGGTGGAGGTAAGTTACGGCTCGAATGTGTAGATTTCCCCACAAGGAATTTCGAATCATGTGCCGGTTGTTGTGGTCGCGTGGGAGGCTGAGGTTTAGGTGTTGTGTATTGGTTTGTCTGAGGAACGTTTTGTCGAGTTATACAATCTGTGGGGGCTGGAAGGGCGGTATCGGACTGAACTATACTCTGTGGTGGTTTAGACGGTGTAATCATATAATTCGAGGCCGCATAGTTTCCAGTACTCCTTTGAACGTTTGGCCCAGCTGGGGGATGATTGTTTCTGTGGTTTTGGATTTGTGGGGGTGGCTCATCATCCAAGATAACTTCATCTGGATGACTGAGATGACGCTCTCCAAAATCTGCCTCGTCGAATGCATCGCCTGGGTCACAGTCAGCAAGGCCCCAACAATCCCTTCCACCAGGGACTTACTGCCGAAATCATTTTCAAGATCCATAGAAAGGGGATCATCTAATAATTTTGTGGGGATGTCGGGTATTCTCGAACTAACATTGCGGGCCTCTGCATGAGGCTCGCTTCTGACAGCAACTGGAGCAATAACCGGCTCTTTCTTTAGAGGCGCAAAATCCCTATGGCGATGTAGAGCGTCAACGTCCCATTTGGTCTGCGAACGATATTAGTAACAAACACCACGAAAGCTGCAAATTAACAAAATTTACCGGAACCGCCTTGACCTTGGTCACTTTCGATAAGTAATCTTTATCATAAATGCAGTTACCAAGGACGTTACCAAATGTCCTCAGGGCACGTTTCAAAGCATCTGTTGTGCCTTCTTTCTTGGCCTTTTCAAATGCTGCAGCTTTTCCTGTGCAGTTTTCGATGTGTCCATATCCGATATCCTACGATCACCAATCAGCCCAGTTGTCATCGCTGACGGGGAAAAGAGAAGACTCACCTCATGGTATGTCCCATTTCTCAACGTCACCCTTACAATTACTGACAGCCCAAGCGAAACTTTGCTAGAGTTGGGATGCTCATCAAGCTGAAGTGTTCTCACACCAATCAGCAATCTATTCAAAAGATTGTAAGCCATCCCTAGGTCTCAAGGTAGCATCCACTCACAAAGTCAATCTGAATATTTTGAATCGCACTTGACCATCCATTAAAGCCAAAAACCTCGTTGGCAAGATTTATGCATTTATCAGCCGACAAATAATGTACTCGTTTTCCCCCAGGGCCTGCCCGCGAAGATATGTATTCCGGACCTAAGCGTTTGTCTAGTCGACTTTGTAATGTTGCAATCTCCTGCGCCGTATACTCGTTTTTGTGCTGCTGAGGTATTTCAAAGGGGTTTGCGGCGTTCACGTTTGCTGGATAGGATCTATGTTGGTCCCCGGGCCTGTGTCCCGTTGCCTTAGTTGCGGAATTCATCTTTGCTGACAGACGGGGGTTACTCACGCTGGCATCGTGGAAGGACTTCGTAGGGCATCCGCATTCAAAGAAAAAGTTCAGTACTTCATAGGAATAATAGTAACTATCAGTAGTTGCTTGAGAGGGAACTGAACATTGACTCCGAAATGTCGAAGTTGGGTTGGCGCTTTGATATCTCCGCTTTAGGCAATCGGACGCGCCGCACGCGTTTGAATTCGGTGTCTGGCACCAGGTCACGTGGTTAAAAAAAAAGCTTACATAATAATTACGTATTTCGGGCTAACTAACGTAATTCCCAAGCGAGCCGATCACCCAAGCGAGCCGATCACCCAAGCGAACCGATCACCAAAACCACCGTATCCCAACTAGTTAGTTTTGAATTCAAATTATCTCAATGCAACGACGCTCAATTAAATTCAATTAAATTACACTTGGTTGAGGACATCTTAATCTTGTATGCCCAAGAGTGCCACAATTGCTACAGCATTGTGGAGCTCATCAGCATGGAGCAGGCTCAGATGGTGGGGGATTGCAGGATTGAATAACTGCTGGTTCAACAGGTGCTGCAGGCTCTGCAGGTGCTGTAGATGGACCTAGAAGACTTTCAACCTCTTCTCTAGTTAAACCTCCTACTTCTTGTTGAATTTGGCGCCTAGATCTCTTGCATTTTTGCTTCTCTATCTCATTCACGTTGAATATATCCTGGTATTGCTTCTTCATAATTGTGGCACTGACCATTCTGTATTTGCAGGCCTTGATAATTTGGTCAAAACCTTCCACAAAGCCTTGAGGCTGACCCTTCACTAAGCCCTTGATCTTATTCACCTGTCAGTGTAATTGCCGAGGATTACTAGGTGTTTGAAGCACCCAGGATGTGGTTGAATTGCTAGGGCTGCATGGGGGAGTAGGGGTCTGTAGTTGAATATCCAGCTGCTGGAGGACATAGTCAGGTCAAAAGGGCACTATTCCAGCTGTCTTGAAGCCATTTTGAATAGTCTGAGGTTTGAAGGCTGCAGTGCATGCTGTAGGGTAAGCATCTAGGAAATCTGTCTTCCAAATGGCATTAAATCCAAGCCACATTTGCTGCTGAACTAGGTCTCCATATGCTTGCTTTAAAACTGAGAAAATGCTCACATCTAGTGGCTGCAGAAGGTGGGAGGAATGAGGTGGCATGCAAAGACATATTATAGCATTATCCTTGCAAATTTGATTAAATTCCAGGGTAAGATGACTGCTGTGCCTGTCCAGGATAAGAAGGATAGAACTGCCAACTCTGCATAGATTTGCCACAGGAATAAAGACCTGTTGAAGCCATTTAAGGCCTATTTCATCAGTAGTCCAGCCATTTGAACTAGCATCTAGCCTCCAGCCTTCTGGAAGGTCTTCAAACCACCCTTCCAACAAGCCCTGACCTTTGAGAATGATGTAGGGGGGTAGGGCCCATCCTGAAGCATTCACTGCTTCAATCACAGTCACTCACTCATAATTGCCAGGCTGTAGGAGCTTTGCTCTGCCATAGTACTCACTACTAGTAATAACCTTAGTAGTGGTGCAGAGTCTCATAGCAAAGCCAGTCTCATCAAAGTTGTATATATTCTCTGGCAGAATCCCATGCTCAGCAATTGTATTCCCCAAGGTCTTAAACTAATCCTTCATAACCTGCTGATCTTCACACTTAGCACGGTCATGATTATAGTGTCTGGAATAGTGGCTTTGGAGCTCCAGACAGTGTGCCACTAGATTTGACACCCAGTTCTTGCCAATGTGTAGGGGGGGGTTGGTGGAGGTGGTGGAATCCTGTATAGTAAGAAGATAATTAGCTGTATCTTCAACCAATGCAGGCTGGGGGGGAATTCCTTGTTTAGCTTGGTCCAGCACCCATTCAACTAGCCTATCTTCTTCAGCAGGAGATAATTTGTGTGAATTTGCGTGTAAATTCACCCGTGGAGCTCATCCTTTTAGCCGGTCATAGAGTGTAGTGTAGGGAATATTATAGACCCTAGCAGCTTCACGAATAGAGGTAATTTCTTGATTTTTAATAGATTTTATCGCGAGTTCAAGTCTTCCCTCTCTCTCAATTGAATTCGAAGAATTTTTATTGCGAATTGGTGGCATAATTGCGCGTTGAAGTGGAAGAGTTCTTTAATTGAGTGGAATTTTGAAATGGTGATCGGTTCGCTTGGGTGATCGGCTCGCTTGGGAATTACGTTAACTAACTAACGTATGGAAAGTTGGTGTCGGGTTTGATATAATATTTCCATTTTGTTTAATAGGTCGTGTTTGATTTACAAATTTTTGTAGTCGTAGACATGGAGTAGCTCGTCGCACTGTGACCTCAGCCTATGTAACTAGATCGGTATGGGTCGTTTCCTTCAAAGATCCGAAGCCCAGCCTATTTGACGATCAGGCTGGCGCTAGGCACCAGACCGAGTTCCTTCAGCGTTTCCCCAAAATATTCACTATCAAACACCTTCTTTGGGAAATTTTGGGTGAAGCTCTGAACTTCTAGCCCAGTCTCTTGGTTTAACGCAGCCGCAACTTCAAATAGGGTCGTGTCAACATGGAACGTTTTCATCACATTTCCAGATGGAGCTTGAAGCCGTAATCTAGTTTCCGTGTACGCTGATGAAGGTTTTGGGGGAGCCGCGGCAGCTGGGGCAGCGACAGCGGAGGGAGCTACAGACCGACCTTCCCGCTCTGCCTTCTCTCTCTCTGCTTTGGCACGTCTCTCTGCTTTGTCGGCCTCGATTCGGGCTCTGATTCGTGCCTTAACTTCCATCTCCTCCTGCTTCTCGCGCCGCTTTTTGGCGGCTTCCTTGAGTTGTTCTTTTCGTTGTAGGTCTTCTTTTATATCTTGTGATTCTTTTGTGCTCTTCCGTCGTATTTCCTATGGAACAAGCATGTGTTATTAGATTCCACAGCATCTTAATCTAATTGTGCGCACCTCATTCCTCTTTTTGTCGATTTTGTCCTGCTCAGACATCTTCGCACGCTTTTCTGCCAGCTTTTCACGTAGCTCTGCAAGCTTAGCACTCTTTTCTTCCTCTGTCAATGGAGTGATCTCCTCTGTTGACTCTGAGAAGTCGACATGTTCTGTTCTCGAAGCGTGGAATTCTGCCTGCGCATGGCTACGGAACTTCTTGCCACACACATTGCATAGTAAACTTCTAGCTTCTTCTCCGGGTTGTAAGGCAGGACCTTCCTCATCGTTGGTTTGAGTGGTAGCTGACTGTATTTCATCGAGGGATTTGTCTTGGTTAACTTCTAGCCATTCGAGAGCTCCTTGCACTGTAGTGTCTGTCAGTGTTTGACCAGACGAGGCCAATAGAGATGAGGGATAACAGATACGCACATCCCCCTGTCTTTGAGACAGCAATTTTAGCCCTTTCTGGGTCAAAGCCCATCTCCACAAGCTGTTCAAGATCACTGGGCATGGTTTAAGCTGCTCTTCGTGCCTTCAGGATGAGAATGGTTCAGCTAGACTAATAAATGGAGGTAAGGGAGATGTTGCGACACAGAGTGAAGAAAGGAATGATAAATTGAAAGCAATAATTATGGAGGCAGCAGTTGGTTGATGTTGGGGAAGAGGCTGGTGTAAGCTAACTCGGGGCACGGTGCCGCCGGAGCTGGGGGAGCAAGTGCGGGATGTTCCACCAGAGGGGTGGAGCTTGAGTGGGGAGTCGAGTTCACAACTTCAGGTTGCAGCCTGCAACACTCTGCCCAGAGTGCTTTTTCACACAGGTTACTCTTCTGGAAATGTGAGTTTGAAGGAACATGGGCTGATTTCAGCACGGAAGTTCAGGCTATAAAGAACAGCCTTCAGTTCATCAACACATGTCAAACCAGCCCTGCATTTTTTTTTTTCCAAATTTAAGTCCCTAATCCTCCCCCAGATATAACAAGCACTTCAACAGTGAAGCCAAGAAATGCCAAAAAAAATACACTGTACCTACGCTGTGGGCGCATCAACACCTATTTCCCCTTTTGGTCTTGAGTAATGACAAGATCCCGGGAACAATTGTACGGAAAAATCCTGTTTCCTAGCTCAGTCATCTCCCTATCATTCCTTTTATTGCTCTTCAAGCTGCAAAAGCGTTGAAGGTCTTTTGAAATCGATTACTTTTTTCCAGGTGTCGCACTCTGTGTTACCCTGAGTGATATTTGCTTGATATGTCTTCAAATCTAAGATTTCCCGTGACCAATCTTCCGTTCTCATGCAATACGCATAGTATGGAAGTAAACAAGGATATCTGCTTGGGAATCCCATCGCTCATATTAGACACGTCTCCGAGGAAAAGGCGAACGATGGATAGCTGTCATAAATAAATTTCCCAGCCAATTGATCATAAAACGAGCTCAGTCAGGCCGTGGCAACGCCCAGACCTCGAGTCAAAACCCCTCCATCATTCCCTTGCTGGTATCAGCTTAAGATAGTTACCAGGTTAGTGTGCACGGTGCTGGAGTAATTGGCTTTTGCTGCTGCATGTTTTAGCGCCTGTTGAGGTCCAAATTGGAGACATAAGGAATGGCCAATAGTTTCACTTGTGGAAAGCATTCAACGCTTCTTGTTTCGAGGGCTCTGTGCGGGAATCAAGAAGACAAAAATTATAGAAGCTGCGGGAACAAGACACTGGCCGCAGCAACTGTCGAATTTGCATCATTTGGTCGGTGATATAGAATCTGATGCTGGAGTATACTATTCGCAAACTCTACAATGTTCGAGCACGTTGAAGCTATAAGACTTATTATTGAAATAGTCCAACATGCCATTCCAATGGGTCTAATTTCTCAGCTACTCTTCGATTGGATCCATCAGATGTCATATTACTGAACCCCATCATTATGCTTTAAGAACAAATTATGGTTGATGTGCGTCCAGAGACCTTATATGCAACCAGCCCTTGCAGTATACTCCTTTCTGCTTGCTAGCTTTTTCTCGTTGAAGAATTAGGCAATTGGGAGATATGAACTCTTGAGATTCAATGTAAAAAGTATGGGATGAAGCTCAAATTGGGGCTAAAGTTGAATGAAATTTGCTGGTATTTATTTGAATTCTCTTCATTCCTACGGTTTTTACACTGCATCGAGACGAATGTGGAACGGCAGGGCTTTTGCGCAAAAAACGAAACGTATTCCCGTATGGAAACTGCCATATTCAAACTCTGACCTTCAACCAAAATTCTGGCCAAAACCTTGCCTCGAATGTGTACGGATCCTTTCCCATTTGCAACTTCTCAGTCTTCCTGTTGGAGAAGCACTTATCTGAGCTCCCAAAGATCGAATGGAAGAATTGTTTTATATATGTATCCTCGACTTAAATTACGGGTAATTCGCCCTTATTTTATTTCAAGTGCCTAGACGAGACTAGCTAGAAGCGTGTTACTAGACATAGAAAAAGTACGGCGAAATTTGCTATCCCAACAATCAAAGAGCCGCTGAACCTGGAGGAAGGGCTTTATTTCCAACGTCGTGGTTGACCGAACGTTCTAAAAACACATAATTTTCCACTTGGCTTTGAGGGTAATAATATTATGAACTCGATACCAGCTCTCTTTCTGAGCTTGGGGTTGAGATTTCTGTCAACTTGATCCTACAACCCTGGTAACGGCGAGAGAGCAAGCATTGGTCTAAAGGCGTCATCTGTAGAATAGGTATAAGCAAGCCAAATGCTGTTTTGGATAGAGAGCATATTCCCGCAACCCCAAAATAGGAGATTTTGTACTCTGGTATCAAACAGAAGAAATATAGCATCGACGAATTCTCCATGTAACTCTTCGAGATGCCAGAAGGCGTCACCGAACCATGGTTCCCGGATCTAGGTGGAATGGTAGGGCATCCGCCCTCCGGTTAGGTTCCAATCTTCTGTTGTTGGAGAACGTCGCGGAGGGCATAAGGTAGTTCGGGACAGCACGTGGCCACCGAGCATGCATACAATGCAATTCAAATAATTGGCGCATTAAGGTTCAGATAGTGTTGAGAAGACCAAACCGCTTCATCTCGCAAATAACAACCGGTTTGCTTTCCGGCACTTGAGAGCAAGATGGGGTACAGTAGGGCTGACGATCTGACCTCACTCGAAGCGGTGCGCCCCACGTGACCTGAATCCAGCCATCCCAAGCCAGAGCATTATTAACTCGCAGGCCAACACCAACCAAGACACTCCATGTCATTTGATTCCACTTGCTGTCAAACCGCCAATGTGCTCAGTCGCAGTCACTTGGACTCCATAACCCTTTGATTAATTTTTATCGACACTATCCTAGGTTCTTGCTGTCAGCTTGAGCTTCCGCAACCATGTCTGTTGAGCTTGAGCCCGCCGAATTGGGCTTTCGACGTAGGTAGCGCCAGAGTGTCTACTCTCCCGCAATCTTTATTTGAATCAACCTGCTCACATGCGTCCATGTCCAGGCCCGTTTAACCAAGAAGTCACCGAAACTTTACACCTACGCAACCCTCACTCCGATCCTGTTGCCTTCAAGGTACCGTTGTTGTTGTTGTCTTCTGCCCTCTTCCGCATGGTAAACAAACAGCTGACGGATCTCCTCACGCTTCAGGTCAAAACCACGGCGCCACGAAAGTACGGACGCATTCATCTCGGGATTTATAAGCGACTCATCTGCCTCGATCATGTGCTGACCGATGTCTAGATATTGCGTTCGCCCAAATTCTGGCCGTATTGAGCCGGGCAAACATATGGAGGTTCAAGGTCAGTCGTCGTCGTTGCTCGCGTTGGTAGCGCTATTCAACACTTACCCATTTTTCGACCTTTAGTACTCCTGCAAGCTATGAAAGAGGATCCTCCGTTGGATGTCAAATGCAAAGACAAATTTCTTGTCCAGTCTGTGGCTGTTTCTGCAGACAAAGAATTCTCAAATGTAACTTCAATTGTATGTAGTCACATGCGCCGTTCTGGTTTGCTATGTTGACTAATATCATTGCAGTGGCACGACGTTGAAAAGACTGCCAAGCATTCTATTCAAGAACGAAAAATCCGTGTCAATTTCCTGCCCCCTCTAGATGCATCCCAGCCAAACGGAGTCGTAAGTTTTACTCGAATCCTAACGTTGAGTGGTAGGACAAGCTGAAGACTGAATTTCCGTTTCCGTGTCAGGCGTCGGAAGACGATTCGGCTAATTTACAAACGTCTCCCGCAAATGCGAAGTTCGAGACACCATCGATGCCCACCCGTGCAGCTCCAGTCATCATGGAGCCTCCCATTGAGCCCCCCAACTTTAAATCAGGATCCTCCGAGCCTAGTGCCCCAGAGGCACTTAAACATGCTGCAGAAGACGTGAAGTCAGAAGCATTTTCCGGATCGTACGAGGATCTCAAGTCCCAGCTCCAAGAAGCCAGAGCTCAAATTCAGCAGCTGAAACAACAGCTTGCTGAAAATGAAATACGGCGGAGGAAAGTGCCAGCTGCAGCCAGTAATTCACCAGAACTTGCTACCATACAACAACAATCGCATCCATCTTCTGAAGCGGGCGTCCCGTTGCAGGTGGTTGCAGGTCTCTGCCTAATAAGTTTCCTCCTGGCATACGTCTTCTTTTAGGTTATCACATGCTTAATATTGTTACGAACTGCTTTCTCCACCAGTTCGTTAAATCCCGCTATTGACCCTCCCTTATTTATTTTCCTTTCTTCTTTGCGGTCTTCACCCCCATTACGAGTGCCCTGACTAGCGTGTCCATCCTCCATTCAATGTTGCATATATGGCGGTTTTGACCGCCCCTCAGCCACCCGTTTATCTATCAGCAATGTGTCCCCGACTTTTTGTGGTTGTCAACTTACGTGTTTGTTCCTTTGTTTTATGTCAACATCCTCCTTTTCCACAATTGGTTGGCCCTTGGGAGTTTTGTACCGCGTTTTCTACCTATTAATGGCTAACACCCTTTCAATACAGGGCTCCTCTGTCCTAGCATATTTGGTACCTCTGCTCTCTTTTATTTCCCATTTCATTTCTCCTTTGTTTCATATACATGTCTCATGGCGCCAACCAAATTCCCCCCCCCAAAACTATCACCCTCTTCCTTTCCCTTCTCTTGCTCAATGTGATACGAACCATGCGATAGGAGTATATGCTTAAAAGATGCTCTTTCTATCCTCACTACCTCATATTATTATATGTTAGGTATTTACACATCGGAAAGCAGGTAGATAATTGACCCAATCATTTAAATAACTCCGAGTTCAAACAAGACCGAAGGAGACACGCGTACAGCTAAGGACCGTACATATAAATGGCTGCGAACAAGTATGTATGCACTAATAAAGGAAACTGTACTTGAGAACCCAGATATAAGCAAGCCAAGACATGATATCTTAATCTGTCTGGGTGGGATCATATTCCCCAGACGGAGGGTCAAAATGTATTGTGACAAATAAGAGTAGCCAGAAATCCAGCCCTGATATATGAGAGGGGAACATTATAAAACAGATATTAAGTATTAAAGTATCAAGCAAACTCCGAGAATGCCATATGAAGAGATCGAGGACATATTCGGATAGATTTTATAAAGCAAGAAAAAAAAAAAAAAGAAAAGAAATTGTAGATAAGAAATGGTTGTAGAGGAAGAAAAGAAGGCGTATAGACTTTTCTTCTCCAAAACAAATTCAGTTTTGGAGTTCGCTCTCCTTCCAACCACTCCCGCCGACCATTCTACCTCCTTCGGCCCTTTTCACTCGGCACCACATGCCCACGTTCTTATCGAAGATAAACGTCCAAATAACCCACACCCAGCTTCGATGGCATGGTAGCGGTTCATAGAACTCCTTTGCGATTTTCTGGAGAGTATGTAACCGAGTCCAAGGGATAGCTGGAAAATCGTGATGTTCGTTGTGCAAGCCGACGTTATAGGTTAAGATATTAAGGGGTCCGTAGTAGGAGTATGTTTCGGGTGGAGAGAGCGAGTCCAATGGGGATGAGGAAGAGGAAGTGTTGGTACCTTTCTTCCCCGACTTCATCGCCCGTTGTTCTTCGATGGACTCGGTTCCTCCGGATGTATTGGAAAAGAAGTAATGTTCCGCGATAAAGTGACCAGCACAGGGGTGCAAGGAGCCTGCAAGGAACGAACTAAGGAGAAGATAATAGATTGGCTGCATGGACGAGCCGCAGAATTTGTAGAGAGCAAAATCGAATGTAAATTGCGCAATGATGTTCAGCAAGTGTATGGGTGTGAATGTAGGTGTATAGATGAACATGGGACGGACTGCGTAGAAGAGGATCTGAAACGTGCAAAAGAACGCTTTTCCTAGGATTGAATCAAGGAACACTGCCTCCAGGGCTGTCGGAAGATCTGCATCGAGGGATGCAACACCGAGGGACTTATGATGGGTTAAATGATATGGCTGCCAATGACACGTTGAACGTTAGCCGACCTGGTCTGAATACCTTCGTGGAAGACAAACAGAAACAACATACCCTAAATGCAGCGCTATATGGCAATCCAATTGGAAAATTCGCAAAGATAGCCAACAATCTATTTCCCAATGGGGACTTAAATGCCAAATTATGCGATATCTCATGGATAGCGAGAAACAGGTTCTGATTCGCAGTGGCCCCAATAAGGTACGCCGTCAGGAGGAAACGCCATGAGAGTATCGGCGTATTACGTAGGAAGGTTGCGCAGGCAACCTGAAGTGAGACGACGCCTAGGACGACGTATTTCGTGAGCGGCTCAGGGCCACATAATTTGAGAACCTCAATTCATCGCAGAGTTAACACAAGGTGGAATTCCACACAAGGCCTGAAATCTCACCTCTGGGTGCGCTTTAATGATCGCCTGGCGCCTCGACTTATGTGGTTCTTCCGTATACGTCCAGAAAAAGTGATCCTCCACAGAGGAATTGGAAGGTGGCGGAGCACGGGCGGGAACGGTCTTCGTTTGGGAGGATTGGGAACGAGCGGAGGCAGACCTCAGAGCCGACATGTTTACAACTGCGAGGGCTGGTTGTTCTAGGCACGGTGTAGGAAACTAATGCTTGCGGAGAGTTGTGCAGAGCATGACTGAACGCCCCTAGGATCAATTGGCTCTGGCAGATTGCTTTGGATCCTCGATGGCGATCTCTGCTGTAACGGAAGCTTGAGCTCCACGTGGGGCGAGTGGGTTGAGCTTATGTAATTACTAACTAACCAACTTCGTGCGCCCAACCTTGTCGCACGGACGGAAGGGGAGATATAAAGAGGGCAAAGTACGGAGTATTGTCGTGATATTGCAAAAACTATTTATAGGCTATGTCTCCAGAGAGGAATGATCGACCTAGACTGCCCTGCGTTCTTAAGATATGATAATAACCGCCTACGCTAATGGAGCGTTTGATATCGATTACTTGCTGGCTCGAAAACCATCGATATGGCATGCTACTCCTATTACCAGAGCACACCGCATACCTGAGAGCATCAGTAATCGTCTCCTCGGGTGATAACCTCTTTAACGTTCGGCCTCAGCAGAATGGTCTAGAGAAGAAAAGTCAGTCGAGCGCCTTATGAATATGGCAAGAAGCTAGCTGCACTTACATGCTCAAATTGAGCCGTATATGAACCCTTCACATCTACAAGTGGGGGATAGGCATCCACAAGGCCTGACGAAACCAGATTATTTAACTGTTTATCGATTAGCCATCATCCTTCACGATGTTAGGGATGGTAGCATACCCCGAGAAGGTACTTCTCCTGCCCGAGTCGGTCAAGATAGCGACGACAGAACGGCAACGTGCCAAAGTTTTTCGTGATGACGTTCAACAGGTTCTTGGCCGAAGACAGACGAAGAGGAACATTAGGCGCATCGGGGACCTTGGCGTAATGAGAAACCTCCATCTAGAAGCGTTGTCAGCACTCAGGCTTCATTTCGAACCAATCACAGGACACGTACGTCGTCTCTCACAAACCCCTTCCCGGTACTTCCGAATGTTTCGATGGCATAGGTCTCACCCTCTTCCATCTTTGTTTGGTCACCGCCCTTGACGATGGGCACGCTCTTCCCGGTGCTTCCACCGTGGATAAGATAATGGCCAATTGTATGGCCATTGAGGTTGCGAATGGCTTTCACTGGGTATGTAGTGCCATTGATCTCAACCTCATAGCTTTCCATCGTCTCCTGAATAGCAGCGCCAATATCGCTCATTCGCACATCAATGCCCGCTTCCTATTCAAAGAGTCAGTCTCCATTTTTCCTGTAAAAGGACTTGAAGGCTCAAAATACCCTGATACCAGTATTAGTGGCATCTTTCACCGCATTCAACAAATTGTCGTAAACGGGATCAAAGGCAACAGTAAACGCACTGTCGACAATTCTACCGTTAACGTGGACACCAAAGTCCACCTTCATAACATCGCCATATTGAAGAACCATCTTGTTCCCAGCATTCGGGGAGTAGTGGGCAGCGCAATGGTTGATATTCAACCCAGTCGGGAAGCCCATACCAGCAACCAAGCTGTCCCCTTCTTCAAGGCCCATATGGCCTGTCAGTGCGCGAACGCTGTCCTCAATACCCTCCGCGATTTCGGTCAAGGAACGGCCAGGCTTAAGGAGTTCCTTCTGAGCATACTGTCGAACTTGCCTGTGAATTTCGGCCGACTTGCGATAGTCAGTAAGGAAATCATTGTTCATGCGGTCCAAATATCTCTTTTCCTCGTTCGTCGTACGATAGGCATTATCATCTTTGTATTCTACGATCTCGCCTTCGGGGTAGTTGTTGTTGGGGAAGAGAGTTGAGAGCGGCACGCGCGGTGGGTTGCTCTGGACCTTTGCGGTACCTTTCTTCTTCTTTTTCTTGGGCTTCTTCTTCTTCTTTTTCCCTCCTATAGGCCGAAATCCCTTTGTCAGAGATGAACAACAATTTTCCATGTTTTAGCAATTGACTGCAGCCTCACTGCGGGGAATCCGTACCAGCTGCAGCGGCTCCATCTGCTACCTCCTGTTCATCCTCTTTGTCTTCGTCAGATTCATCATTTTCTGCATCATCATTCCCAGCGGTCCCTTGCGCAGCCTGTCCTTTGGCGGCGGCGTTTGCGGCCCCCTCCTCGCTGACTGCACAATCCAGGTATTCATCAGCCTAGTGTCCGCGGATATCCGGTCTTTTTTCAGGCGAGGAAAAAGCAACGGCAAATCAGCAATAAATGGCAGGAAACTCACCGCTGAGCTTGTTGATTTCGGGAAGAGCTTGCACGGCCATTTTCATTAATTTGCCGCCTCTTCCACTAAATCAAATTTTGACTATATTCCTCCGTACCACCGTATGAGATGAGAAGGATTTGGATGCGAGGCCCAAGCGGTGGCGCGGAATGTTGCCGCATTAATCTCTCAGCGCTTTGAGCCTATAAGCTGACTAAGAAACAATAGGACAGCGCCATATATGGCCAAAAGGGGAAACAGCACGGTGTCCGTAGTACTCCTTGTACCGAATATCTTCGTTTCATTCTTACGCAAACTCTTCATCCAAAATGACAACTTATCTTCCTTCAGACGTTCCCATTTCAATTCTCACCACTCTTGTTCCCAGGCCATTGCACCCTGCAGGCTGGCGACTCTCATGGAATACAGTCCAGTACTCCACCCTCTCGGAAAGCTTTAGGGGAACAAATATAAGGAGTTCCAGCTCGGCCTTCAATGAATCTGGCTCTTGTTCCTCATGCTGTTCTTGAAAGCTAGACAACTCTCCAACTCCAGAGTTTTAAGATACCTCTCGAGTCGTGGATCGGTCATAAACCGGCCCAACCGGATCCCAGTCGTTGCTCGAGAAAGCGATGACGATGGTGTAGGCTCTTATGCGAGCCAAAATAAGGCACGGATTCGTCCGTTAGGACGAGAATGTTCTAAGGACAAGTTATTACCCAAGACACGCAGCCAGTTAAACAGCTCAATCAGGACTATTTTCGGCCTCTTCAAATGCTAGAGGTAGTAGGGCCCTTGAGACCATAACCAGAACTGCATGGTCGGTAAAGTCCTCCTCCTCCAACCCGGCCAGTTTTAAGGATGCTATTTTTGAGGTTCTAGGTCAGCATATTAAACGGCGTATATGGATCAAGGATGCCTACTAGTCATCATGTTATACTCAGCCAGGAGGTAACTCTCTTCTTCTTCATTTGCATCATCCTTGGGAGGCTCGAATACCGCCTCCTTATTATTTTCAGAAGACTGGGGTGATGAGGAGTGGTCAGTGTTTTCCCCGTCAGGCCCATCCTGCTCCCCCGACGTCACCTCTTTGTTATTTGCGTTTGTTACGGGTGATGAGGACTCGGAGGGATCCGTGTTCCCATCACAGGAGATCTCTTCTTCAAGCACTATGGGGCTCTTTCCTTGGGCAGGGCTGCTCGAAATTTTCATGCTTGTCATCCCCTCAGCCCAGTCCATCGTGCCTTCAATTATTTCAAACGAATGATGGCAAGGTTATATAATAAGGAATGCTTGGGTAGGATGATTCAGACCAACTTGGAAGTTGATATTTACTGGGAGCTAGTGAAGAAAGACAAGGAGAGGGGTGATAATCTGTATCTACGCGAAACAACTGCTCCTGCTATCAAAGGTGACGCGAAGGTGACGAAAAAGTGACCTTCTTTCCAATCGCGACATACCACAGTCATTTAGTTTACTTTCTTTCGATTCATCGGCCTGAGTGACTTACTAAAGAGTTAAGATTCTCACTCCGAAAGTCTTTCGGTCCAGGGCACCTGGAAACCTGGTAAAGTGCTGACGGATATCAGATTTAAGTGTCTTCAGTGCCAATGCGAACCAAGGTTCTGTCTGAAGGATCAGATACACCCAGTGACCGATGGGATCCATGGGTTTGAAGTAGAATCACGCCAGCTCAACTTCCCAGATTCTATGCATTTATCAAGGCAGCAGCAAATGACGAAGAAAGTGCTATGCAAATTTTCTTCCTTGAATACATGTATGTCTTCTATGTACCTAATAAGCGCCAACATTTAGCAAGCAGAGATAGCTGGCAGCCGGAGTTGTGCTGGTTTTGGTTGAAACATTATCTCAGCATCGGGAGGTGAAGCCCCTTCATTCAGATTCGCATAAAAGTTTATAACCAATGTTTTCGGCCTCAATGAAACTTGGGCAGGGCTGCATGATGGTCCTTGAAGACACTGCTGCAGGAGTGTCATCCACTATCCATTGGATGTGTGGTTCCTCCAAGGGACTGTTCCGTTACTACTTCCCGGTACAAGACCTAAAATATTTTCTATTAGCTACGCATTTACCATACATTAGATAAGGTCCTTTCCAAAGGCTAAAGTCGATGTATTTGATACCAAGTGCAAACCCTACCGCCTGACAAAGAGCCCGCCCAGAACCTGAGATGTCACTAGAGAGAGGTACCCAGATATGGATACAGGTGCAACCCATATCTTATTTGAATGCAGTTAGGGATCTAGTTGGGCATTAATTTTTCTTGCTTTAAAGCTCTGCGTGCTTCATGATCCTTCGACCAACTTTGTGGAGCAGCGTTGTACTCAATTCTCATACAGCATACTGTTGAAAGTTCTGCTAACCCTATACAGTGCTCTGTTCATACGGAATATTTAATAAACGCACATAGGTGGTGGGAGAAACATGAACCCTTATGCATCACCAGCCCACTTTTGTTCTAAATCCAATCCAAAGTCGAGTGTTAACTTTCACTGTAATTCTCTATGAATCTATGATAAAAAGGCCTTGCATCACAATGATATAGCTGGTGTATAGACTTGAGGCCGGAGAGAAGGGCGTTAAGTTCTCCTTGTTTATGTGGGCTTATATTTGCACTATTTTTTCCTAGCAACTGAGACTTGACTTCATTGTTATGGACTTCTGCAAACATTTATGTGACAATCATTTACCTCTCAGGATATCACGGCAACTTGCACATGCCACCTTGTTGCATCGAGGGCACCGGAATGCAAAACGGGTTGTGTGTGTGAGGCAACGGCTGCAGAGATGCGTTCCATCAACTCGAGGCCACCACAACGCATGGTCACACAAGACCATATTTGGCCTCAAGGGGTTTGTGCTCCTATTGGTGGCATGCGAACCCCTGTTTGCTTGCCTTCTAGCATTTTCCATTTTTGTGTCCTTCTTTTGCTCCGTCCAACTACTCTGCCTCTGTGTTTTAGCAGACTGGTTATGAGATTTTTTCTGCACCTTTCCCATTTGTGCTTGAAATTCACGGCGTCTCCTCTCTTCTTCTTCGGCTTGCCTCTTCAGTACCTCCCTCCACCTTTTCTCCTCCTCCTCTCTGTGTCTCTTTTTCTCCTTCTCTCTTTCTTCCCTCTCAATTTCCTCCTGAAATTTCTTAATCTCACAATTGGTGCTTTGCAATTGAGCTTTAATGCGTGAAATGAATTGTCTCTGTTCTTCCAGGTGCTGTTCCTTGATTCTCTGAGCTGCTTTTCTATGTAACTCGCGGCGTCTCCGGTCGTCATGCTCGTCTTTGATTTCCCCGCCCCTCGAAGCTCCAAATGGCCATATGTAGGCCCACCACCCGCCTTTGGCAGCCTGTTCCTTTGTATCCATCTCCGCTTCCTCTTGCAACCTTCTCAGGTCTCTCTCGTACCCATCCACCATCCTCTGTGCCTCGAATATCTTGTTTTCCAACTCCCATCTTCTGTTGTTTAGGTGCCGCAACCCCGACTCTCGCATCTCAGATCGCTGCCCGGCCTCTTGGGCATGCTTATTGAAGGGATATTGGGAATCATATCTCCGCCGAGTGTCAGGATTAGATAATATTTGATACGCTTCCAAGAGCTATGTCAAATGCATCAATTATCAGAGCACACATGCTATCCTTAGGAGTGGCCGGCAATCCTGCTCTCACCAGTTGGAAGTCCCGTGTTGCATTGGGATTTGTAGGGTTCTTGTCCGGATGCTTGATCTTTGCAAGGCGCTTGTAGTTTGATTTCACAGAAGCTTGATCTGCTGTCTGCGCGACCTGAAGCAAGGCATAGTAATCAACAGTAGGTTCAATGTGAGCCATGCTGCCAAGTTTCTTTCATGCTCGACGACAAAAGAGAGATATAGGCCCCAGACCAAGCTGGAGGGGTTGCAAACAGCTTGTTAACCAATGATTCAACACTAACTCCGCTGGTTACACAAGGACAACAAAGCGCACATCGCTGCAAGTGCTTGCATTTCTCACCATGCTCTTCATCATGGCTATAAAAAGGAAGTATCAACCCACAAGTGATCATAAACTGCTTAGCAAGAGGGTTCTGATGCATGGATTCAGGCATTATGGCCATAGGTTTGCTGCCAGAGTGTCTGCCGGTGTTTAGTATATCCAGCAACATGGAGTACTCGTTGGAAACACTCTGTAACTACGGAGTACAGAGTACCCCGTACTAATTGTGTATTAAGTAACATGCCAAGAAGTGTATGGTTAGTTAACTAGTTAACTTAATAATAAACCACTGTATTTGGTAATAGCTTGCCATTTTTGTATACAATGCACATTTCTCGACACCCGAATTTCCGTATGCCGGATGGATGTTGACGGCGGCAGTCTTGGCATCGGATGGCGAGGACCAGCACCGCGACCAACGAAATAGTACTCCATCAGCGCATGCCCAGCTACTCCGTACATCCTCCATAACATTCCTCAGTTAAAAGAGAGACTGCAAATGATGCAGCGGCATGCCATTCTGCATCCATAGCCCCTCACCATGTTTCTCTCCTGCCTTCCTACGCCTCCCACCTGGTCTCCGAACCCACCCATTTTCTTCTTCAGCAGCGCGATGGTTTGCAGATAGCCGCGACCCGACGTACTATGAGATTTTGAATGTGCCGATCACGGCGACGACGCAAGAGATCAAGAAGTAAATATCTGTCTGCCCTTGTTGGTAAAATGCTCATCCGGCTCGCTGTGAAGAGATAGTTGCCCCAATGCACGATGATTTAACTTGCAATGAAACTAGGCAATTCTACGCGCTCTCACTGGCTCACCACCCGGATAAGAATCCCAAAGATCCCACCGCCTCTGCGAGATTCGCAGCCATATCGGACGCTTACCAAGTCCTCTCAAATGCCTCCAAGCGTGCGGTATACGATCGCGACCATGACATACACCGCGCGGCGGCGGCGACAGCGGCATCGTCCAGCACTCGAAGCGGTCATCGCGGATCATATGTGGGGTCTCGACCACCATCCGGCCTAAGCAAACGTCGTGGACCTTTTAGAGGCCCACCACCCAGTTTCTACGCCCACGGCGGGTATGGTACAGCGCATCATAACCAACCTCATAACCGGCATCAACAACAGCATCCGCATCCACACCCTCACCCACAGCGGGAACATCAGCAGCCACATGGCTCCGCCTCCTCATCCTCCTCCCACCCCGACCCCTCCTCATTCATCTACCACAACACAGTCCCTCACTTCGACGCCACCTCCCACCTCCGCACGCAAACTCACGAAGATGCCCGACGCCGCGAACGCCGTCGCAAAGCAGTCGAACGCGCGAAAGCAGAAGCCGCCGCGCGAGGTATTGATGTCTCAGAAGACGAGGGAAACATCACGATGCGGTTGATCACGGTATTGGGCATCCTGGGTTTTGCGTGGGCGGCTGCAGTGGCAGGTCAACACGTCCTTGAGAGACCACGCTCTTCGGCGATAACGTCATCACCGGTTAAGCATGCTCCGAAAAGGGTGCAGGAACATTAGTCTGGTATGGGTTCAACTAAAGTGGTTTGCATCGCAGCCAGGCGACGCAGGATCGTCACATAGAATAAGAAGTTGGGGGGGGGTGAGGTTCAAGAGCATGGGGTTAAGACATGATCCATGCGGTATTTGCAAAAATCCATATTGTGATAATCCTAAACATACGCAGCGTATGCATTGTTTGATTTTGGTAGACTGTATAGCATGTATAGCTTGTGTATGTTGACTCTAGAAAAGTGTGGCCACTTTCCAATATTTGCTTTTTAAGGCGAACAACTTAGGAGGAGGGATAACCAACATGATCTAAAAGAGGTGCGGTCTCTTTGTAACCTCTAAGGGGTATCAAAAAACTAGGAAGTGTTGTCACGCCATGGTAGCGGAAGCGGCCCGTTAAGCCACAGATGTGTCCCGAGACATACTAGATGTCAAACTGAGATTGACCAACCAGGTTTTTTTCTTTGTTCTACCTCAAGCTCTTGCTTTCATCTTTTCATGCTGGGCTGAAGTCTCGAGAACTGAGCGACGTCATTGATCAGAAGACAGTATATACCGGCTTGATCGGACACAGATTGATATAGTTTATGCATTTAATTGGCGTACAGTATAGATGTCATGCTGTAATACATAAATGATTCTGGTTGATCAAGAGTCTGCTTGGGAATCTGACCAGAGAGGGAAAAAAGGCGGAATACAAGTTTCCAAAAAGGAAACTGTAGAAGGTTCAATTGATTTGATATTACACAAGTCTTCTACCACCAACGGGCTAACTCATCTAACCTTCAAAGGTGAAGCTGGCACCAACCTTGTGGGCAGCTTGGTTCAAGTTCTGGGTATCGACGGAAGCACCGAGACCAAGGGTGACACCTGGTCTAAGGAGGACATTGTAGGCAAGAGCAGCAATTCCACGGTCGTTGATCTTGGCCTGTAAGATGAATGCGATTAATATATGTGAAAGCAGACAAGATTGATACCACACGCCGAAACATACCTTAGCGAAGGAGGAAGGATCAAGTCTGTACTTGCTGGCAACTTCAAGGCCAACAGTATTTCCTGCCTTGGAGTCCCAAGTGGCCTTGGCGCCGGCCTCGACCTGGGAATTCACGCGGTGGTAGTAGCTGGCAGAGAAGAGGGTGAGGTTGTTGGTGGCAGTGATGGCAGCGGAGTACTCAGGGAGAGAGTAGGCAACGGCGGCAGAGTACTTGGTGATGGCGGCCTTTTGGACATCATAGCCACCCTCAGCACCCACCAAGAAACCCTCGTGTCCAAGGACGGCATCGAAGTTCGCGGTTGGGCCCTTAAGGAGATCGAAGAAAGCACGAGCGTGCAGGTTGGGCTGCTTGAAGTGGAGGTTCAACTTGGCACCTTTGGAGTTAGAGTATGGGAGGTATTGTGTGAGAACCTCAGCCTTGAGGCCCTTGGCGATGTTGTTGTCCAACTCAAGCTTGGTGTCGAGGGCGTTGCCGGTGGTCCATGTCTGAGTGAGGGTAAGGCCTGAATATGGGCGAAATATTAGCTTGATCTCAAGACTTGAAAGAACGCGTGAAAAGCGTAAAGATTTTCCACTCCGACGATCATGTCGGATGATAATTCCTGGTTTCCAAATTGGGGTGGGATTTGAAAGGCGAGGTGTCAATTGAGGGGATCGAATGAAGTGCGGAGAGTATTTACCAGTTGGTGGGTCGACATATTTGGCCTCGAGCTACAATTGAGAGTTGCGTTAGTACCGTATCTCGGCCACCTTGATGGTACACGTCAAGCTTACCGATCCGGAAATGGGACCCTCATGAGCAGATTTACCCTTCACGTTGAAGGTGACGCCATTGGGAGCCTTAGACTTGACCTCGAGGCTGGCTATACACGATCGTTAGCGGTGTTCCCAGTACGCCCAGCGAGACAAGGTAACATACCGGCACTGGTGTGGTAGAAATCCTTGTTAAGGAGCTATTGTTCCCCAACAGTCAGTTCTCAATTGCGAGGGCACAACAACATTGCCGTCGGGAAAACGGGCGGCAAGGCGCAGTACGCACATCATTGACAGTTTTGGCGATGTCGCCGAAAGCAGCTGGAGCGGCCATGATGGATGTGAGAGCGTGGAAGTGAGCAGAGAGACCTAAAGGCGGGCAGTTGGGGATTTTTGGGGGGGAAAACAAGAGAGGTTGTTGGGAACTTGGAGAGATTGGGAGTGGACATGGGATCACGGGAAAGCAGAAACCGCTGAAAAACACCTCTCGAATCGGAAAAGTTAGGCATCGTGACCATCTCCGCGCTTTGATTGGCCAGTTGCCTGCTGCTTGGCGCTTGAAGTGGGTCTGGCGGCACTCTTCAATCACGTGATTTGGCGGCCGGCATCAAAGAAAGGGCCATGACTTCATGCTGTGCAGAGAGTAGTAAGAGGAAGAACTCTGAACAACGAGGAGGTTTGCAGTGCATCATAATTAACTAGGTAGGTAGGTATCTAAAGTCGTCAGAAGGCCTGGATCTATTCTATCCTCCAAAACAGTACCCAGAACAAACATGGAGCAGCTCTATCATGTTGTCTTGGAAAACAGTCCATTTATCTGAAACCAAAACCCATACACACGAGCGTCCCAAAATCTAAGACGGCAAAAAAGATGGCCAGCAAATTTTACAGGGGGAAAAAAAAGGAATGAAAAAGAAAAGGAAAATATTGAGAACCTCCAAGCGCCGTTGACGACAGGAAAGTGAAAAAAAAAGAAAAGAGAAAAGGTTTCTCAGAAATGAACCTAAGAATGGGAAGATACTCGAAGCGGCAAATGCTTTTATGGCACCTATGCGTGGTCGTATTTCGCAACGTGGGTCGAGATGGCACTGTGATCGAAGTCAGCAAAGATCATTGACGATATTTTGTTGACGGAACTGAAAGCTTCATACCGTCCACTTGGGTCCGTTTGCTTCGACCATGTGGGTGTCCAGCGCATGACAGTGGACGCGCAGCACGGAGGGAAGTGTTCATCGAACATCATTCGGTACCAGTACCTAGAACGGCGTTAGCGGACGGGAACCATACCCTGAGAATTTTTCTTGTCTTCAAAAAAAAAAAAAAAAAAAAGAAAAAAAAAAGAAAGGAACATACGCCTCCTTTGTATCAGGGATATCATCGCCCCACTCTGGCTTGGGGTTCTTCATCATCTCATCCGTAACTTGAAGCTCTGCGTTGTCCCTTAGAGCATCAATCCAGGAATAGCCGACACCATCGCTGAATTGTTCTTTCTGGCGCCACAGAATGTTATCCGGCAGGAACGGCTTGGTTTCTGGCTCATCAGACGTGTCGAAGGCTTTCCTCAAGACGTACTTCTCGATTCTTTCCTTGGTGATCATCTTTTCCTGCGGATCAACACCCATGGAGACCTCCAGGAATTGCTTATCCAAGAACGGCACACGGGCCTCAAGACCCCATGCCGAAGTTGACTTGTTTGCTCTCAAGCAGTCAGCCAAGTGAAGGTTCTTAACTCGTCTAACCGTCTCCTCGTGGAAAGCTTTCTTATCCGGGGCCGCGTGGAAATAAAGATATCCGCCAAAAATTTCATCGCTACCTTCACCGCTGAGCACCATCTTGACGCCCATGGCCTTGATCTTTCTGCTCAGCAGATACATGGGTGTAGAAGCACGGATAGTTGTCACATCATAAGTTTCCAAGTGATAGATAACGTCTGAGAGTGCGTTAAGGCCGTCGTCGACTGTGAATGTGAAAGCGTAATGCTTTGTTCCAAGAAAGTTAGCGACCTCAAGAGCAGCCTTGGTATCTGGGGCTCCCGGAAGACCAATGGAGAACGAATGCAATTGGGGGAAGGAAGTCACAGTCGACAGCTCGTTGCTATCGTCGATTCCAACCAAGCCCGCGCCCGATTCTCCATTGGTGACCGTGCCGTTCTGCGCCACCATCATCCGCTGGGTTTCGCGCTGCGCAATCGAGGCGACCAGGCTGGAGTCCAAACCACCAGAGAGCAGGACACCATAGGGAACCTCTGCCATCAGTCTCTTACGAACAGATCGCACCAAAGATTCGCGGATCAATTTGTAATCTATGGGGGTCGACGGAACATTGGTTGGATCCCACCATTTCGGCTGGAAGTAACGAGTCATGGTGTCCGTCTTGGAGTCATACACATGGCCGGGAGGGAAGGAGATGATCTTGTCGCAGACCGGATGAAGTGACTTTAATTCAGAGGCGAAATAGACAGCACCAGGTGTCTGGGAAGACCATCCTTGGTAGAAGCTGGTGATACCAATGGGATCTCTGGCAGCAATAACGCGGTTCTGTTTTTTGTCAAAAAGCACCCACGAGAACATGCCATCGAGGAATTTCGGAGCATCGATATCATGTTCCATATACTACATTAAGAGTTAGCAATAGACGGCCTTCACTGCCTCGACTCATGAAAAGCATACCAATGGAATGATAACTTCGCAGTCCGAATGTGTCTTGAATTTATATTGGGTCTTCAATCCCTTCCTCAGGATTCTGTGATTATAAATTTCTCCATTGACAGCGAGTGCCAATGTCTCGTCATCGTTAACGAGGGGCTGAGCACCAGATTCTGTTTCTCAATTAGGATCATCTCCTCCATCTTATGTCAAAGATCGATGGCTGACGGAACCCACCGACACCGACGATGCTCAATCGCTCGTGTGCAAGGACTATCTCATGGTCAGCACTTCACCGCTGATCGCAGAAACAAAATCTTCTTTCAAGCACTGACTTGTGTTGTTGGAAACAAAGTTACCACCTATAATTTAACATTGCTTATTAGCCGACTATCACACCAGAAAAGAGTTCCTGGCAGTAACAGAAGAAGCGCCAGGACAGGGATTATGTTCCACTCACTCCAATCAGGACCACGATGCCGGACGCTTTCCCCGTATTCTCTTAGCCACATATTCCACAGAAGCCGCAAAATAGAACCGGTGGTAACTCACGCTTTCGCCATGCGTAAAGCCGTCGGCTTGAATTTCTGTACATCAGGGTGACTACGTTTGCAGGGTCGTAGTTAGCATTTACCATCCAAAACTCGGCTTGCGTGTGTTTGTGGTGAAGGTCACTTTTCTCACGGCGGGGCATGGGGGAGCCTTGTAAAATGGGAAGAATGCAGGGGGACCGAGAACATACCAGTGACACGCAAATATACCACACATGTTTTCTTTTCAATGGCAGTAAATATTGATTCCAAAAGAGAGCCAAAAAGAAGGACGAAGGAACCAGGCACCAAACACAAAGAAGACAATGTTAGAAGACAGAGTGGAGGAGGGTCCCTTTTTTTTTTTCTTATGTAGTTCTCCGGCGCTGGGGGGAAAAAAGTTTGAGTCATAAGGTTATTCCTGCTCGCTGGTGGACTGCTGGTGGCACCGATAAGATAAGGGCTCTCGAAACGTCTAAACCAAAGAATTTTCCCCGATGGCGAAAAGTCACCCAACCTAACAGTGTGACGGGGAGGATCCAGAGTTGCTCAAAAAATTGCTTTGCAGGTTGCAGCTGCATGATTTGCCCTGTTTCTGACCAACAACATGCAAACCTTACGGAGTACTCTATAGTTACTCCGTACAGCGCTCATCAATCTCATCTTTCGGCACTCAGGATAAAGCAATCGCCGAGCTTTCTCCCCTCGCGATACAAGCATGTGGGAGGTTTCAAATCGTTCTCAAAACAACCTCACCCCGTTGTCAGCGCGAGAACTATCCTATCCTATCTGTCTGTTCATTTATTCATATGCTTGCAAGTCTAGTGTTTGTAAATTGTGTACTGTCATATCCATGGTTGGAATCTGAGAGCATCAAACAAAGGGTCAACAGACGTAAATTGCATTAAAGATCAAGAAGGGAGAGAAACCTAATTCGCTCGGGACGACTTAGGAAGACATTTCCCGCTGCAAGTTCGAGTGTATAACAGAACTGGAGTCAAGAACAATTTCAGTGTCGCGTAAGATCCAGCAACCCCAATCGCACCTACTCCAGCCCCAAAAAACGCCACGCTCAATCCAATGGTGCTTCGATGAAAAGTAAATCCTTCACAAAAATTATAGGAATGGAGGGCAAGAGAGGATGAAGGCATCTGCACCCCAAGGTCGCGAAATAATGGAGAAGGGCTCCATCGTAAATAATACCCCAAGATAGTGCTCACATCGCAGGATTCTCTTTCACAACCTGGCGGACCTTCTTCTCATAAGCTGGCCGGTCCTTCTTAAACAAATTGTACGCTTCTGCCTGGGCGGGAGATTCTGGGTTGGGGTCATCAAGCAGGTCCTGGATGCCTAGAAGGATCTGCTTGACAGTGATGGCCGGCTTCCACGCATCCTCTTCGCTTAGGATGGATAAGCACACGGTTCCCGAAGGGTAAACATTTGGGTGGAAAAGTGGTGGAACGAATTTGCCTGGTTGTATGACAGTCAGCTACATCAAACCTTCCAAGGTAGGAGAACTGCCTCAGGACATACACTTCGGTGGCTTCGTGGGGTATTCTTGTGGTAAAATAGCATTTCTCATCAGCATCAACGTCTCCAAATTGCATATCAGCTCTCCCAACATGTGTGTGCATACCATCAGGGAAGATAACGTCAAGTTTGAACAGTCCGCCTTCCCACACTGTCTTCGCTTTTCCGGGGATCCCGCACTCCCATCGCTTCAAATCTAGGACACCTTGAGAGTTGCGATACGGCTTCGCGTAGAATCCGAAAGGGTGGTCCCTCCGCCATTGTTTTCTGGAAGCAGGCGCGAACCGAACTGTCAGCACTACGACGGAGAGATTTATCCTGAGGCCTGCTCACCGTTCTTCAGAGAGTCGATTAAGGCAAAGTGTAGACATTTTGATTGAAGTATAAAGATTGAATAAGCTGAAAGTACAGAGTAGAGCTCGCTACTAGTTTTGTCTAACGGAGTGCAAGTGTGAGGATAAAGTCAAGTCTGAAAGAGGGAAGGGTCGGACAAGTGAGTGAAAGTGCTCTTCATATATATTCCGTGCAGGATGACTGCCGCCGAGATGTGGTGCTCTTGTTCCACTGCACTTGTGGGGTAGTTCACCCTGCACGGAGTACGGACGGAATGCTCCAATTTTAGCTCAAGCTGATTATCTAAGGCGGGCAATGGGTGGTCGTGTCAAATGCATTGACTGCTCTTGACAGTCTCGATGAGCAAGGTTGACCAGGGAAATGGATGATGTGAATCTTGCTTTGTTTTTGTCTCAAATTTGACGACGAATGCTGCTTCACCATATCACTACCTTGCAAACTGATGCTTGAGCCTGATCAACACGGGACCTCTACATGCTTGAAATGACCCTTAATACAGAAGTATTGCAAGGACCAGCAATGTCCAGAGCTTCTTGGACACACAAGAACAGGATCAGTTCAAAAAGAAATGGACAAAGGTAGGAACTCTAGGATTGAGCGCCCAATAGATAAGCATATCTACAGCCTAAGTAGTGATATATTGTTCATGAAAAGCATCTTGCTACAAGCATCAAGGTAGATCTCAGCTCGTGTGCAGCCCATCACTTGTAGATTCCTTTTTCAAACTTCTCAGTGTCAAAGAAGCGGGCGGTGATCGTATTTCCATTAAATATGCGACCCTCAAGGGCGTTCACAGCCTAAAGTGAGGAATACAGTCAATACCGTTGACTTACCGTTCAAGAGCAGTCCACTCACCCGTAAAGCAGATAGCTGGTTTGTAAATTTTACGAAGACAGGCACTTGGCCTTTGGCAGACCGATCGATAAAGACTCTCTCCACGCGTCCGTACTATGACTAGTTAGCAGCAGATTTCATACAGTGGGTGAAGAAACCATTTTCATACCTTCTCGCCACATTCGTCACCAATCTCCTGCATCAAACCTCCGTCATCCCCAGCTTCCAGCTCCGCATCCAGGTCCATTCCATCCAACATTCCATGAAGCACCACCACCTCGCTCATAGCACCAAACTTGCCTTCTTCTTGCTTCTTCTGATGTCCACCAATGATTTTACCCCGTCCAGCTGGGGTGGCAAAGCCTCCACCCTCCGCATCTGGCCTTTTCTTTTGTTTCTGAACCTTGACTTGGAGCGGATTGACTATACCCGTCCCGCTAGCACCCAAACCAGATCCCTTTGTCCATCCATATTTTGATAGAAGCCTTTCTGCGAACCCCTTTTGTCCCGGGCGTAGAGAGCGCGGTGCTCCCTCACCACCCTCTGGCTCTTCCTCAGTTTCTTTCGCAAAGGCGGCTTCGAGTTCTTCCTCAGTTGCAGGTATGTCTTCCGGAGGAGGAGGTAAAGTATATCTAACAGGCGCGCGGGAGATGGTTGCTGAAGAGTATGCGTCTCTGGACGTTGCTGGTGTTGGCTCGGGCGGAATCTCTTCCGGGGGAGGTGGAGGAATAGAATATTCCGCAGCTATATCTGAGGTCTGTGCTATGCTTTGGCTCATCCGAAGACGCCGTGCAAATGCATCTTCCCCAGTTTGATCGTCCAGCAGGGGTGCTGTAGGTGGCGGAACGACTTCCGTGACTGGAGAATTCGGCGCAGATGGCTCCCGAGGGATGTCGTTAAGGTTGGGCGGGGGTGCAAACTGTGTAGGGGGTGCAAATTGCTCTACCAAGCCAGTTAGAGAACTCAGGTCAGGCAGGTTGAAAAGATAATACTGACTATTCATCGGCCTTCTTCGATAATCGTCATCGCTTTCCATATCGCTGCTCATCCTTCTGGCCATTCGGTGAGCATACAGGCGATCTTTCCATTCTCTGACTTCCCTAATCTTCTCGTCGCTATGTTTGTATTGATCATAGTTGTTTGGGCGGGATGGGTCATAAATGTCATCCCAGTTATAAACTACCTCTGCGTCGCGATTCTTCTTGCGCTTTTTCCGGCCACCGCGTTGTCTTTTCTCCCCATAAAATCCGTTCACGTCATCATCATCCGCCGTGGCAGTCCAGTCGGCAAGGGTGCTTTTCGCCTGAGGCCCGGCTGCACCTGTTGCGGGAGCGGGTGTGGTGCCTTGGCTCACTAGGCTCGCAGAAGTGGGGAGAACAGGAGGCTTGGGTATACCGGGCTTCGCTTTCAGTTTCTGAGAAGGTAATTGAGGTCTTTTGGTGGGTTGAAATCGTAAAGAGGCTGGAACTTTTGAGGAAACCGGAACAAACCCAAGGTAACAAGTGAGCAAACCAATTCGGCCAAAAGTATAGCAGACGTTGTGCTTCAACGGGCGATGGGAGGGATAGATAGTCTACCAGCACTTATCTGCTGCTTCTTTGAAGCTGCGTCATCTTGTTGAGATTCACCATCGGTAGCTTGCTTGAATACTACCGGGGCGCGGGAGATGGTACTCGAGGCGGAGGGAGTATCTGACGGATCAAGTAGGTTGGCATAAAGAGACAGGCCGCCCTTGGGAGCAGCCGGCGGAGCAGCCATATTGCCAAATCTAACTCAAGCAGTGCAAGATAATCTCAATAAGCACGAGGAGGCCAGGGCACGATTCACACACGAGAGCCCGATGTCTTGACGGGAATTATTAAGGAAGACGAGATTATATCACCAACCCGGGGTCACATGAAAGTTTGCATAGTTTGCCTGCTCTGTGGAGGTCCGGGTCTCGGCACAAAGATTTCCCGAGAGCTTTTCCGTTCCGACGTCATTCGGCTATTACGCTTTGTGTAACCAATCTGCGGCACTTCTGCAACTCGTGAATGCGTACTCCGTACTCCGTGCATCTATGAATAGATAGAGGCTGCCATTGAATTGGTGTTCCCATCGTTTACTACTACATATAATTTTCTTTACCTCTGTTCTTGACACATCCTCTTTTAACTGGAGATTTTCTTTATCATTTTCGCTTTCGGACTAAATTTAGATCTTAAGCTTCCATCATGTCTACCCTTGCAAACTCCTTACCCGGCAAAGCTCAGAGCACTGCTATTATCATCCCCGGCAAACCCGATGCATTAACCATTAGTTATGAGAGGCTGCATGCCGATATACTTGCATTCCAATCAAAATTAGCCCGCTTAGGCATCACTCCTGCCTCCGCGGTCTCCATTGCTCTTCCGAATTCGTACGAATTCATTGTCTCGTTTCTTGCTACCTCATGGCAAAGAGCAATCGCTGCTCCTCTGAATCCGGCTTATAAGCAGGATGAATTTGAATTCTATATTGGTGACTTGAGCTCGGCCCTGGCGCTCGTGCCAGAGGGTTCCTATGGACAGGATGGCCCTGCGGTTCGCGCTGCAAGGAAGTATAACGCCGCTATTGCGGAATGTTACTGGAACGGCAAGCAGGTCGTGTTGGACATAAAGGAGCATGGAAAGCTAGCCGGACGGGAGAACCAGAATGTTGAAACTGCACAGCCAGATGACATTGCACTTGTTTTGCATACTAGTGGAACTACGGGTAGACCCAAAGCTGTGAGTAGAGTAGTCATCTAAGTCTGGATATACGCTAAAAATATATCTTTAGGTTCCTCTTACCCATAGAAACTTGACAAAGACGATGAGTAAGTTGAATGAAAGCGCATACCTCTGTGCAAGCAAATACTCACGATCTCTTCCCAGGAAATATCCAAGCAACCTATTCCTTGACTGAAAATGACCGAACCCTCCTTGTGATGCCTCTTTTCCACGTCCATGGACTTCTAGCGGCTTTTCTTGCACCTGTTCTCTCTGGTGGTTCGGCAGTAGTCCCGCTCAAGTTCTCGGCTTCAGAATTCTGGTCCGATTTCATCACTTACAAGGCGAACTGGTATACGGCCGTCCCGACCATTCACCAAATACTGCTCAAGAATCCTATCCCATCACCAGTTCCTAATATTCGCTTCATTCGCTCCTGCTCCTCACCTCTTTCGCCAAAAACTTTCCATGACCTGGAGAAGGCCCTTCAGGCACCCGTGCTGGAAGCTTATGCTATGACAGAAGCAGCCCACCAAATGACAAGCAACCCTCTTCCCCCAGGGAAACGTATTCCCGGCAGTGTGGGTATCCGCCAAGGTGTTGATGTCAGAATCCTCGATTCGGAAGGCAACGAAGTCTCACAAGGTACAGAGGGCGAAATCTGTATCCGCGGCGAAAACGTCACTAAGGGTTATCTCAACAACCCCACCGCCAACAAGTCGTCTTTCACAAAAGGCGGCTTCTTCCGAACTGGCGACCAGGGCAAAAAGGATAAGGATGGCTACGTCTACATCACAGGCCGGATCAAAGAACTTATCAATAAAGGCGGAGAGAAAATTAGCCCCATCGAGCTTGATAATGTGATTACACAGAATCCTCATGTAGCCGAGGCGGTCTCCTTCGCCATCCCAGATCAAATTTACGGAGAAGATATTGGCGTAGCAGTTGTCCTTAAAAAGAGAGGGAGCATCTCCGAGGGCGCATTGAAGGCTGAGCTAGCGCCAAAGGTCGCCAAGTTCAAGGTCCCAAAGAAGGTAGTCAATTCCAGAGCACCCTTTGATCTCCGTGTTTTCGGGAATTGGAAGCTAACTTGAGCGTCGTTCAACGAGTAGATCTGGATCCTTCTTGAAATCCCTAAAACTGCAACAGGTAAGCTCCCGAGCATTTATTGTCTTGGCTTATAGGAGTCCAGTGATAAGGAATGCAACATATTCACTAATATACCTTTTTAGGTAAAATCCAACGTCGAAAGGTCGCTGAAGCAATGCTCAAGAAGGAGTCTCCTGCACCGAAGCTTTAATATATTATTTAAATCGCCGTACACTGATAGAACAACATGCTATATACCATAATCAACCCGATCCCATGAGCAGGATAGATTGTATTTTGAACAGGCTATTCGAAAGGTTCGCATTCTCCGCAACATTTAACTACATTTTCGATATTTTTTGTCGACACACCCCGGGATCCTTCTTTCTTTGAACACCAATCTCTCATCTTGAGACTATTCCCTCTACCCCATAAGCAAAAACACAATCATTCGGATAACAGATATTTAAATTAAGAATTTTCGGATGTATGTGTGTATGTACATGTCTGATACATTAGATGAACTATATATGGGATGTTACAATGAGCAAGCCGACCTTCTCTTCTTTGGCATCGGCACTTCGAAGATCCTGGTGAAACGTATGAGACCTCCAGCGTGGCATGACGTCCAGTGCCTTGTGCTAGTCATAAGGCTAGAGAGTGTCTTTTTGACTCAGCTATTTAAGCCTTATTTTTCATAGGCATTGAATGCACATCGGAACTATATTCGCATGGGAATGGTTAGCTGGTCCTTTTTTTTTCCCTCTCTACCTTCAATGAGCAATCGAAGAAAGAGAGGCACGCCATGGATCAACAACAAAGAAATCATCAACGAACGTACCGGATACACCTTCACCTGAAGAAACACGAGCACACATATGTCAGCACTGCCATTTTCGGACCCAGGAACAGGAGAAAAGGTGAAGAATATACGTACATTGTCCAAATCCCATACTCCCGATGTGGCATAGACATCTTTTGCCAGGATGTCACGGATCTCCTCTTCAGAGTCCGCTTGGACAATCAGTGCGCTTCCCTTCATGGGGGGAGCCTCACCGTTCTTGGGATGGTGAGATAGGACCGCGCCTAGACGGAGTGTAAGTTGATTTACATACTCTCCCACGTGCGAATAAGACAATAGAAAAGTAGGACGCGGGCCGACATACCTCCCATTTTGAGGAACCCAGATTCGATGATCGGGCCTAAGTTGCTGATATGGGCGCTAGAGTACGAAATTAATAAAAGGTCCTCCATACGAATGGTTTGAAAAATAAATAAATAAATAAAAAAAAGGTGTCCAAAACACAACTTACTCTCTAAACCCCATCCTCTTCTCAAGAGTAGTGCTGGCCGCATCTGGCACGATGACAATCCAGTCCGGCTTCTTTGGTGCGCCGCTCGCCATTGTCCTGTACGCTGGTCTCCAGTTAACTGTCCTAGGGAGCTGAGATGGTAGCCTTGCCGAGTGTCGGAACACTGAATTTATTCTTGCTGCTGAGGCTGATGCCGAATGGCGGGTGAGAATTGAACGAGGGGATACGGAGAGGGGGGATGAGAGGAACATGGTGGGGCTGCGCGGCAAAACCGATGGCAGAAGGCTATCGACGGCGCTAGGGTGGTGGGTGATGCTGGTGGTTTATGACGATAGAGGAGTGGAATATCGTAGGAATAAGTATTCGAAAACACCCCATTGAATGCTGCCAGCCACATAACTAACTAGTCATCTCGGGTTGTGTTTCGGCGGGATGAAACCTCAACCTCCCCTTGTCGGAACCGCCATCGAGACTTGCGCCCTTCCGATGACAATCTCGGCATCCATCCACATCATCAGCAGAAGCTCCCAATATTTCGGACATACCGTCCGTCCAAAAAGAAGAAAAAAAAAAAAAGAAAAGAAAAGTGAGAAGGGTGCGTGCAACTTCAGCCTATCCTGGTAGATGGATTTTAACTACGTGTTGACAATACTACTGACAAATGGCAAGAAATAAATTTATGGGTATCATGCTCTCTGGAAACAAAATAGGAAAAGCATACTTGGGAAACAAGTTGATAACTAAACCCCTAACTCATGCCTCGCTTCCGTGCAGCTACAGAGCGGTAAAAGCAAGGCAACCCCTTCATATATCATTATTACTCTCCCACACAAGCATGCGTACATACACGGTATGCCCTTGGCCCATGGAACTTGCTATATGTGAGAAAACCACGCGGACCATACACAAACAACTTCCACAGGTTATGGAGGGCAGTCCTGGGAGGGGAAGAAACACCAGAAGCGTCGGAATTAAATCTGGTTTCCGGGAATCAAAGAAAAGTAAGAATACACATCGAAGCGGAGGGGGAAAAAAAGGCGCCTTGAACCCCAGTTAAAAGCGAAGAGCAAAACGCAACCTGGTGCAAGCTGGCGAAAGCGTATAAGTCAAGTGTCAAGAACTAAATGGCAAAGCTGCTGTCTCGAAGCAGGTAGACCAGCAGAACAGAAAATAACAGCGGTCGAGAAAGAAGCAAGAGAACGTTTTCCGGGACACAGACCAGTTTTGCCTGGTAGACCCAAGTATAAAAAACAACAAGCCCAACGAAAAAAATACCCTTGTACACGAAAGAAAACATACAACGAATAAAAAGCAATATAATCTATAAAGATACACCAAGAAAAAAGAATAGCCGTGAGAAAAGCACAAGCACAACCCCTTCATTCCCAGGCGCCATTAAAGTTTTAGATAAAAGGATATGATAGCAAGTAGCCTTGAGCCCACAAAGGGGAGACAATGAGGGCCCGAAGCGAAGCGCATCCAAGAAAAAAGGGCATAAATGAACGGCTCAATTATTCCGTGTGACGACATGCAAGAGAAATCCAGTGTGGGATCGATTGGGTAGAGACTAGGCGGTCATTAATAGTGTTTTCATTTCGTTTCTTTCCGGTTACCGTGCAAGTATGGATGGGTTTGCGAGGCGATATCGGGAGTTGCGCCCCATCATGCGAGTATAAAAGTTTTTTTGGGCGAATGAGTCCTTGCAACGGAGAGCCTGCACCGGCTGTAAGGTTATGATTTCGGTACGACGGTGAACATAGTTCCTTCTCGACCTGTCCATCCCGAAGGCGATATATTAATAGGCCTTCCGGCCGCCGAGATTACCGCCTTTCTCTTCGGTATCGATGTGCCATACGACGTAATTTGGAAGTCCGACAACTTGATAGCCTGCTCGCTTAGCCATCTTAGCGAAGCCTTCCGTTTCGGCCTGGTTTTCAAATGCGTAGCAGGGAAAATTGATGCCTGACATAGAAGTATTAGCCGCTGAGGGGTTATTAAGAGAGGACCGACGCCTACCTGCTCTGTGAACATCCGCCTTGACGATAATGTTAACGCCACCAATTCCATCCAACTCGACCTCTTCATCTTTGTTCTTCCTCCAATCACCCATAGATACGAGGTAGGTTCGTCCAGTATCGAATTCTTTATATCCTTCAACGAGAATGGTGTCCTTATCAAGGGTAGACGCGAGTTTTCGCCCCTTATCAGATTCGATCCATGAGTTGTAGTCAACTAACCAAGTGTCAGTAAATTTGAACGAGACAGATAATGTCAAATATAGGAGATAGCACACATTTTCCTTCAATGTCCCGACCATTTTCATCGTATCTGTGGAACCAGATGTCTGCACATTTGTGTTAGCGCGGACGGGTCTCTCCGTGTATCTGATAAAAGTGAACGTACTGGGAACGAGGATATCCTTGTCATGAGCGACAAAATCCTCAATAATCTTCTTTGGGCTATCCACGATATCCACATCGCGCCAGTACACCCAGGAATGCTCTGGCTTAAGCGTAGCAGAGAGAAGGAAATTCCTGGCCTTTCCCATAGCCTTTCGGCGCGGAGCCTGTGCCTCGTAACCGTGCTTTTCCTGGACGTTCATGTCTAACGTGACTCCAAAATCCTTCTGAACGATCGTGGCACTTCGGAACGGAATCTTGCCAGGCATCCCCTGGACGCGATCTAACTCCGCCGCCAAAACCGCAAGGGTATCATCTTTTGAATCGCCAACAAGGAAGGCCAGGTCAATAAGGTCGTGGGGATAGGTCAATTCAGAGACGAGATCGAAGTATTTTCCGAGATACTGCGAGGCGTCTCGCAGAGGGGTGAGGATAAGGACACGTTCCTTATTCTGGACTGCCTTTGGAGTTGAGTGGACAGCGTTTAAGTCAACGGTTTGAACGGTAGTTGAATTAATTTCGTATGGCTCGTGGTGGTTGAAGAGAACTGGCGTTTGAAGGTGTGCGTGCCAGTCCACCATCTCGTTGGCAGTCATTTTATGCGGCGGCTTGGACGGTCCGAAACAGTAGAAGCTAGAGATTCAAAGACAGGTCAGTATAAAATTGAGAAAACGCGATCACGTATAAACATCTACTTGGAATCGACTTCCAGTCTCCCAATTCCTCCGGATGGGAGACGGGGTTTTCTTGATAAAAGGTCAATCCTCATACCTCTGCATCTCGGATGCTGAATGGCTGATACCTCTCCACAGTAACACGATCAATCCCATGATCGCAGCCGTGAGTATGAATCGAGGTCTCGACAGAGCGCCCAACACGGCCCTCCATGGGGCTAACTTGGCTTGTGTGGACTTCCACGTAATCCCGCCCTTTGGAAGCAACATCGTAACGACGTAATCGGCGAAGTGGGTTTCACAATTGGCTCCGAATTATCCAGGTAGAGTGCCAAATCGATCCCGATATCTCTTCTTATCCCTCTTTCACCCTTCTTTGTTTTGTTTATTTAATTCTCTCGCGGATGAAGACTCTGAAGGCACCAAGGGAACCCCGTCGGACCGCCCGTTAAAGTCGAAAAAGAACGCTGGTCCTTCCGCATAAACTTGAAAAGCAAATGTCTTTCGCCCAAGTCGACCAAGCGTAGGAAACAAGTATACAAGTTAGATGCTTGCAGACACCGCTCGAGTCCGACTTTGCCTTAAAAAAAAAAAAAGGGAAAAAAGAAGGGTAAAAACAGGTTTTTGGTTGAGATTATTATTGGAAAAGCTGCAAGAGTCACCTTGTCGACATCAGTCGACGACGACTGATTGATGTAGAAGGGCTAGGAAACGAGTGACAACGGATGAGAATGGATCTGTGAGCCAATCTGCTTCTCCTTTACCACGGATCGAGAGGACTGTCTTTTTTCCTTGGGGGGTGATGTCTGGAAATTTTGGATGACCAGCTTAATTCAACAGGCTGGAACCTGTGTTCAGGAGATCCCAAGTCACGTGAAGACTGCCAAGCGCTTTGTCTGGGCGCTGCGCTGCACCTTGATATGCGCAACTCACCTGTCTCCATTTGCTGTCAGGCTTTTGGGATGGATGTTCAATTTTCCTTTTTGTTTGCACTATTAACTTGCAGCAGGCTATCCCTTGCTCTGTATAAATATACCCGCTCCTGGGAAATTAAACATGACTGCGGGTGTCGCTGTTGCAGTCTGTTGGAGTACAGCATGCCAAACCACTCTATATAAACAACTCTGGGCATCTTCTATACATCCATTAAAAGCTCTCAAGCTACATTACGTTATGTGTTTTTAAATTCTCAATACTCCATAGCCTTCACCATACGCTCAGAGGTCACCGAAAAAGGAAAAATATGATAGGGAGCAAATATTCTTGACATTTTGGAGCTTGTGGCCACTAGCTTTGCTGTTTAAAGACCTGATTGAGGCTGACACGTGCCCTATTACTCTTCAGACAAAGCAGTCGATGACAATGTGGAAGCCCAGCAAGGAACATTGCATCAAAGGAAAGGTAATGACCAATTATTATCGTCAATGAATACTGAATACACACGGTGAATATGCGAACCTTTTACGAAATGAAACAACTCGGGATTTTACAACTGGGAAAAAAGAAGCGAGTAAGGTTCCTAAAGGAAAGCGCAGCGGACAACGGTACCAATGAGAGCCAGGATAGTCATTCCGCTTGGGGGGACGTAGCCAGGGAAAGCAGCGCCAGAGGATTCGCTTGAGCCAGAGCCAGTGTTGCTGGGATTCCGGGACTGAGGGTCCTTTACGCCACCACGGCAAGTGAACTTTCCGCGAACGTTGGCCTTCATCTTCTCCCATGGCTCACAGTCAAGGTCACCAGAGCTTTGCATGTTGAACTGGCCACGGACTTCATCCAACTTTGGAAGGTCGACCCTAAAACATAAGAGTTTAGCACCGTACGAACCTGATCAAAAAGAGAAGAGGATAACCTACTCAGAGAAGTTACCAGCGAAATCCAAAGCGCCGTTGATGGTCTCCAACTTGGGGACATTGGTGATAGACTTAAGGGCGGTGTTGTTAGCAATCTGGAAGGCTCCCCTGACGGTTTCCAAGGCTGGCAATGAAATGTTGGACAGCTTCGAGTTGTCGACAAGGACGAGATCACCAGTAGAAGTCAAGTTGGGAGCAGAAAAGTCTTCGAAAAAGTTTGAGTAGAACCCGAGCAGACCAGTAGTCTTCTTGAGAGATGGGAGAGACACCTCGCTCGCGTTACGGAAGGTCATGTTCAAGGCATTTTGGAGGTTGGGGAACATGATCTTAAGATTGACGGAGTTGGCAGAGAAGCTGACGAAACCAGTAGCATTGGTTATCTTGTTGACGTTGACCTCGGTCATATGAGGGTTGTTGCTAATTTCCATGTCGCCGACGGTCTCCAAGTCGATGCCATTGAGATTTCGCAAATCGGTGTTTGTAACGCGAAGTTTGCTTGCCTTAGTGACTACTTTACTGAAAGTAAGCTGTTGAAGTGCAGGAAGGGCCTCGAAGTTGATGTTGTCGACCTCCGTGAGGGCGTCGAATCTGAGGTCAGACAGACGAGTGAGGCCGCTGAGCATGAAAGTGTCTTCGATTTTCGACAAACTTGAAGCACTCAGTTCCCTCAAGTCCTCAGCTTCTTTGCAGATGAGACTGCCGGTGATACGTTGGACACCATTAATGGAGATTGATCCGGCGACTTTGGAGGAAATTTCGAGGTCGCCCTCGATGGTCCTGCAAGAAGCCAGGCCATCGGCGTCGCCTTGGTTGCGAATGGTTCTGCCGTCGCAGTCACCAGCGGCAGCAGTTGCTAGGCCGGCGACAGCCAAGACCGGGAGGAGGAACTTGATGAAAGCCATTGTGGCTAGGACAATTGACCAGACTATGACAGAGGTAGCGGATTAGTTCCGATCAAACGAGGTATGGGTAGGTGACGCGTAGATGGTAAGTAGAAAGGAACAGAGAGTGGTCAATGTTCGATATCAGGGTTGTTGTGGATGATGTTATTGTTGTTGTGGTAGTGGTGGTTGTGGTGGTGGATGTTGACGTGAGAGGTGTATGTGAGTTGTTTGGACGAGCGGTTGAAAGGTTTTGTGTCACCCGCTCACCAACAAGAAACAGACCCACGGTTGAAACTGAGACCAGGGAGATCAAGTGGCGGAAAGGGAAAGGATTGACAGAAGGCGTACTCTGTAGCCAGTGGGTGTATACTCACTTGCGCGGGTGGCGGTTCTATTGTATTATTAAAAAGTCGATACCTGCTGGCAAGAGAGCTTGGTGAGTTGGCCGGGGGTTCAGAGAAACACAAAGGAGGGATGTCACGGCGACGGAGACGATGATGAGGATGGGCGAGACTAACTCGATCTGAAAGGGCGCGGAGAAGCGTGCGAGAGAGGAGGTTGCCTGCGAAGTGAGGGAAGCAACGAGTGACGTGGAGGCCACAGCCCAGATTAAGAAGGTGTAATGGTGGTTAAAACAAGCGAAAGAAGAGAAGCCACGCAGAGGGGAAAAGAACGGACGAGCGAGCGAGCCAGCTTCCTCTTCTTTCGAGTGGTCGAACTCAACGGAAGACTTAGAAGGAGATAGAAGAAAACAGAGAGGGGGGGGGAGAGAGAGAGAGAAAGAGAAAAAGAGAGAAACAGAGAAAGAGAGAAAGAGAGAGAGGGAGCGAGAGATGAAAGGTTTCAAGGGGAAGAAAAAAAAAAAGAGCGTGTATGGATGTATGGCCGTATTATTGCAGGAAAGCGGAGAATAGGAGGGAGGGATAATTTACAGGCACAAAGGCGCACTAGGGTTAGCTTGGCGTTACAGGGGGTTCTCTCCGGCCCCAATCGTGCCGGCTGGCGCTGGTGGAAAAATCTTGGACTGGTCCAAGGAAATGTCGTTTGCTGTACGGAGTAATGAAGTCGTAAGGGTCGGGACAGGACTGGGCGCCCCCAGATTCCGGTTTTCTAAGTGGTGCGGCCTGTCTCATACGTCCACGTTACTCGATAAATACCATTGACTTTTGGAGGGTCAGGAACCGGTTCCACCAATTTTTCCTCCAGTGCTGCACTCGCATTGGCCAAGTGGCTTGTTGGGGATGCCCGACCTGCGCCATGCAATTGGCTACTTCAATACACACTAACGCTTCGTTCCTCAGTTCGGAGAGGAGAAAGCGTACCAGCATATACATACATTCTCCGTCTGGTGGTATGTAATTCTGGGTATCGTATTGAATGGCATATTTCGGCGGCAACCCCCAGATTCACATGTGGCTTGCGAACTCGAAAGGGACGCTTTGTCGTCATCAATCGTTGCACAGCTAGCCATCGAACAGCCAGTCGCCTTGGGGCGATCATCCTTTTCCGCCATGCGGTGATCCTATGTTCTGGGTCTCTCCCGACCCGGACGCCCAGTTCGTGAGCCCTGAGTTGTCGAAAGGGGCCCGGAGTTGCCCACTGCTTTCAGATTTTGTTTCACAGTTCCAACATCAAACAACCAGTATCTCCCTCCGACATATCATCGCTGAATTCTGAAATCATCATCCCTGTCATGATTGTGCAGCGCCGAATTCCCAGATCGACAGTTATTATTTCTTTTCCATTTTTGTTTTTTTCCTTTTTACTCGCGCGGCCAGACTACGGAGTACATATAGGAAGTGCACTCCATGTACCTCCTTTCGCATGGACCTTTGTCAACATTCCCACGTCCACATCTCCACCTTGATGGGCAACCCTGAACCAAGCAATCCAGCCTGTGGCTTATCTTCGCACTAACGATTCCGTCCTTGCTTTTAACCTTGCAATATGTATGCACGTCGTACAGAGTCAATACTCTGTACATACAAAATACATACAGTGTCCTGTCTGGCGTGTATCGCAACTTGAAAGGGTGTGTTGTCGAGTCGATTCTTCTTGCCACCATGCAGCAGTCCATGCTGTTGAATCAGCCACCCCGTTTAAAGAAGTTAAACCCGGACCGTTGTGCTCAGAGATTGAAGGGATCAGACTTTTCAAAATTAACGCGCGTGTGGATAAGCTGTACTCCGTGCGGAGTCCTCCGTATGAGGTCGTTTGACCATACATACAAGGAATAATGCATACCTTCTACCATGAAGGAACTGTCTCGATCAAACAGAACCATAAATAGCATGGGCCGCATTGAGGATGACACCGACTCTTTATCGAAACCAGATACGGAGTCCTCCGTGGACGAGCTGGATTATCTAGCGGTTATTATCGAGCTTGCCCCCTGCCTGTCTCCAGGATCTTGCATGCGCGCTGTCACGTGATCTGGCTTGTTGATGTCCTCGTTGTAACCGGTCCTTCGCCTTTTTCAGCGCTCTCTCTCGCTCGTGCTGTGGCTTCTGAGATAATATCGGCCTTTTCTATGAAAAGCCGAAACCTACGAAATTTACGTGGCGCTTCGTTTTATTCCCTCGGCTCATTTCTTTGACCACTATAGTGGAGTATGGCCCATGATTCCATGGTCTTGGAGGAAGGCAAAGATCGTGAACCTGCTCCTTCGAGTGCATTGAAGTCGGGCCCCGCGGAAGTAGTGGTCAACGCCTCGGGCCATAAGCAGGAACTAGAGCGTAACTTTAGTTTGCTCAGTATCTGTGGCGTAGGTATCACCACCGGGAATACATGGATAGCCATGGGCGGTAGCATTGTACGTTGTGCTCTGAACAAGCTGGTCGTGACATGTACCGGGTTATGAAAAGCCATATATATATATATATCTATGGTATTGACTGTTCTTAATGGTAGTCCGTGGCTATCTTCAATGGTGGCCCACCCGGGATTATATATGAATTGTGATTGCGAACGTTCCAATATCCTGCTTCACAACTTGCTCTGCTGTGCGATCATCTTTCTGACGGTGCCATAGTATCGTCGTTGCGATCTGTTACTGGTTTGTCGCAGCCTCGGTTGCGGAATTAGCTTCTGCGATCCCATCCGCCGCGGGAGGTAAGTTGGGGGTTTATCTCGCATAAGAAGTCCATCCCACGGTAAGAAACCTATCGACTAACGTGCCATCTTAGTATATCATTGGGCAAGTGTGACGGCTGGCAAAAGGTATGGCCGCCCAGTCGGGTTCTTCGCCGGATATTGGAACTGCCTCGCCTGGATGTTCGGCGCGGCATCGATCTCCTCCATTCTTGGAAATCAGCTCCTTGCAATGTATACGCTCTTTCACCCCGAGCGGGAAGCGCAGCCATGGAACGTGTTCGTAGTCTACATCGTCTGCACGATATTTTGCTGCGCTACTGTCCTCTTTGGAAACCGTTTTCTCCCATACACCGGCCACCTGGGCTCAATTCTGATTATCGGAGGAGTTATTGTGAGCATTCTGGTCTGCGCCACCATGCCCCGCGTCAATGGCTTGGGTTATGCATCGGATAGCTTTGTCTGGAAAGACTGGCAAAATCAAACCGGGTATGAGAGCAATGCCTTCGTTTTCCTGGCAGGTATGTTGAATGGTGCATACACGGTTGGGGCTCTTGACGTCACCTCTCATATGGCAGAAGAAATTCCAAGGTATGTTTTATTCCTTTGCCGGTTTCGTTTCGCCCAGCTTGGACTCATCAATTCTTCCGCTTCCAGACCAAGTCGAAACATTCCCAAGGCAATCCTGGCACAAATGGTAATCGGTTTCGTGACTGCTATTCCATATATGGTTGCTCTCTTGTACGCAATCAACGACCTCGACGCCGTGTTAACTACGAACACCCCGTTTCCCCTAGCCGAAATCTACTATCAGGCGACGGGATCAAGGGGCGGTGCTCTCGGTCTTCTCATTGTCATGTTCTTCCCGACCTTCTTGACATGCATTGGCTGTTACCTCACAGCGGGTCGTACTCTCTGGACCCTTGCGCGTGACAACGCCACTCCATTCAGTCCTTGGATGTCACGCATCAATCCCACATTCCGCAATCCCTTCAATGCCACACTGGCCTGCGGTGCGGTAGTAGTCGCCCTCGGCTGCATATACGTCGGGTCAAAGACTGCATTTAACGCATTTGTAGGCTCCTTCGCCGTCCTCTCCTCACTCTCTTATGTTACAGCGATCTTGCCACATCTCCTTAGTGGCCGAAGAAGCATCAATCCAGGCCACTTCTACATGAAAGGCCCGCTTGGCTTCCTCGTCAATGGAATCTCGTGCTCATACGTTATTGCTTTTGTCGTCATTTTCTGCTTTCCGTACGCGCTACCCACGGATGCAGAGACGATGAATTACACGTCTCTTATAACGGGAGGCTTGTCTATTTTCGTGGCCATATGGTGGTTTGTGACAAGGAGCTCGTACAAAGGTCCGAACGCAATCCCGCTGGGCGAAATTTTACTAGCGCCTGAGGTACATTCAGTGTGAACCGTCAATACTCCGTATATAGGAACCATATAAAGTGCGAAAGATCCAATATTTGGATATTAGAGGGATCAGAAGCTTTCAGGACGCAAAATATCTCTCCACTGCTGGCCTTATATGACTTGGAGGGTTCGTAGATTTCGATCGTTGATTATAGTTGGACGGAATCGACTTTGAAAAGGGAGAGGAAAAGGGGGAGCCGACAAAAGCCATTAAAACCACATCTCCACCACCAACGAAGGAAGGGTCCCAGCCATGGTTTAAACACAGTCATGCTGCTCGGGACAATACAACATCAAGATACAATCTTGATAGGTAATTAATATTGATCTCTCATGGGCATGTTTGCCTTCAACACAAAATGCATTTCTCCATGGTCTATGTTTCTTGGACCGCATTCCAAGTGGACAGACCAAGGATTGTGAATGGACCACCAGTATATTATTTCAAAGCACATGGCTCATGATCGATCTGCTTGACATTTCACAAGCCCAAATGGATGCGATGTGGACAAATCTGCTATTATATGTACCATCAGGGCCTAGTACACAGTAGGGCCACGGCTTTTGGTGTTGGTTACTTTGGCAACAAGGCTAGGTAACTTAGTTCATTGGTTAACTAATTAAACGCGCGACACGCCGATAACACCAGTTCCTCTGGTCTGGAGTCTGAATTCAAGTGTTGCCTTGTGTGACCAGGTGGCTCGAAACCCATTTGCACAAGGTGATTGACAGGTGTTACCTTTTTTTCTTTAAAAAAAAGAAAAAAGAAACTGAGCTTGACGTTCCAACTTGTCGCATGAGACTTAGCCTCCTCACAAAGAGGTTGAACCTTTTATATCCGGCCACACCGATGGCCGCTCGACGCTCTGCCCGTATCAGCGCTGCGACGCAAAAAGCAGCCACAAAAACGACAGAGCAGACGTCAGAAGTAAAAAATATCGTTAGTAAACGAGCCCAGAAGAGTCGGGTTGACAAACCCGCAGCGAAGAAGACATCGATCCAATCGAGCTCGAGCGCTGGAAAAAGGGCAGCTAAAGGGACGACTTCACGAGGGCCCCAATCCGCTGCTCCTGGACCGTCGGCTCCAAGGAAAAGAAAACGGGAAGCCAGCCACGATGGGGAGAGACCCGCTGCCCCATCCACACCTCCCCCTTTCATTCCAACCCTCAGGCCCAAACCGGCGTCTTCAGCACACCCGGACCTAAATCGCCCGGTTGATCCGCACCGCACAACGGCAACACTCGTTACTCCCCACGGAACACATCTAACAGCCTATCCACGAACCATCGAGGAGGCTTCTCCCTCGAAAACCGGTATTCCCCGTCCCACCGCAACAACGGGAAATATCCTCGAGCAGGGCCTGGCCCACCTGTTGAAAGTCGACCCGAAATTGCGCTCGGTGATTGAAAAATACCCATCCCCACCGTTTTCACCCTCTGATTTGGCCGAGGAGATTGACCCGTTCCAGGCCCTAGCCAGCGGCATCATTGGACAACAGGTTTCAGGTGCCGCGGCGAAGTCGATCAAGAAGAAGTTCGTGGCTCTGTTCCACAAGGGCCTAGCAGTAGCTGGTACTACGGGGGCTCTTGCCGATGCCACAGAAGTTAAGAGCGAAAATGCCAAACAGGCAAATGACTATGACTACGGGACAAACACGGAAAAGAGTATCAATGAAAATGATTGCAAAAATGAGGATGGTGCCGTGCGCTTTCCAACCCCGGAAGAGGTTATGAAGTGCGATCTTGCGACTCTTCGCACAGCCGGTCTATCCCAGCGAAAAGCGGAATACATCCAAGGCCTAGCGGAGAAGTTCGTCAACGGGGAGTTGAGCGCGCGCATGTTGCTAACTGCGAGCGATGAGGACGTTCTTGAGAAGCTTATCGCGGTGCGTGGACTGGGGAAGTGGTCGGTAGAGATGTTTTCCGTTTTTGGTCTCAAGAGGATGGATGTGTTTTCTACGGGAGATCTGGGGGTGCAGTAAGTCATATTTCCTCCCATCCTTTCTCCCCTTGATTTATAGCCGTTTACGAATTTCTCCAGGCGAGGCATGGCAGCGTTTGTCGGACGCGACATTGCGAAACTTAAAGCTAAAGGAGGCGGCAAGTTCAAGTACATGGCGGAAAAGGAGATGCTAGAGATTGCGGCGCCCTTTGCGCCGTATAGAAGCTTATTTATGTGGTATATGTGGCGGTGGGAGAATGTTGATTTGGCAGTTATGCAAAATTAGAGGCAATCACTGTTTATAGAGAGCCCATTGACGGCATGCTTGGACTACTTTAAGCTCCCTAACCTCGATTGTATTTAGCTTTGACTACTCTATCACTGGGAGCGAGCCACTAGTTATAGCATATATTTGATCGCTTGTCTCCATCGCCTTGAAATATGTCTCTTTGAGCAATTTCGGTCCAAGCTTACTTGGCTTCCAAGGTCTTTCTTTCTGAAGGGGTTGCTAGAGGCAGGCTCGCGGTGAAGTAATATGGTATCATTTTGGATTTGACATCTGAAGATGGGTAAAACATGGATTGCAGGCAACCCAGCAAAGACCAAAGTGCCACAAAGTTGGTTGAGGGAAGGGTAGCAGCGTTATATTGGGATTAATTGCCGCAAATAAATGGAATGCACAATAATTGGAAATATCAGTAGAGAACGCTCTCCCGGACAATGAAACAGAAAGTTGGGGCACCGAGCAAAGCTTAATATCCTGATGTTGACAGCATCTCGTGGTGTAGTTTGAGTTAGCCAGCACTATACTCCGTAGCGTCCGATAAATCTTGTTAAATGTACTCTGTACGTTGTGTCGGCATATTTAAACATTGTGATACCCGAATCAGGTAACAGCCAGGGAAAGATTGAAGGAGACACCTATAATGATACGAAGTATGAGATGGATATCTATGGTCTCCCCGAAAGTATGGGTATATACGGAGTACTCCGTACGCGTACTTCCATCCATGGGATCCATGTTCTCCTCCTTTGTTGCTTTCATCCTCATTATGTGCATATAACGGAATGCTTTGACCTGGTTCCTCCTAATCAAGCAATGTTCCCGAAGAAAAGCGTTGTTAAGCATTCGAGCAGGCATATAAGAATGTTTCGGGGTTTAGTCACTGTTTCACACCATAGCTGGTAGGAATGCAACCAGGCATAAACAGTGTCGAGTGAAAAAGTGAAACACAGGCTACCGTACTTATTGCCCAGGGCCAAATACCGGAGGGAAATGACAGCTCTGAATCAGTCATCGCCAAAGGGAGGAGTTGTTTGATACCCGCCAGCGGGTTAATTGCACATTTAGCAAAACAGGTAAAGAAGAGTGAAAATCTTAAATGTGTCCGTTCAGACCCCTACTGCAGTCGAAGGGCCCCGCCAGATGAGCAGCAATCTGGTGCTTCAACACCCCTAATGAGCTCATGGCAACAAGCAACTTTGTCATGCATAGATACCCTTAACATCTTGCCAGCCAAGGCACTTGATCCTGTAGTTAAAAAGGTGCGTTGAAGGAGTTAGTATGGAGTAGACCATTGATAAAACAAACGCTAGGGTTTAGCAAATGGAAACATCCAGAAGTGTACTCCGTACCTGGACTCCTGAACCCCCCGTGTCCCTATTTCAGGACTTGCTTTTCATTGCAGGTGTTCCCATTTATCTCCGCCCGTGAAAGGCTGGCGTAAGACGGAACTGGAGCCAACATTGTGTCATGTGACCCGAGTTCAATCAAAAAAGTTTCATCATGAATTTCTCGCTCAGAATGGTCAAACTCATTACTCTCCTCCCACCGATATTCTTTGGGGCTTATTTTCTTGTTCCATTGTAAGACTCGAAATAATGATGTATCGGACGTCTCTATCTAGTTATACTACTAAGGGCTGCCGACAAATATGCATTAAAAAGGAAAATACTGGACATGAAGGCGTTCCACTGGATGACGCCGCACTCAAAGCCTTCAATATGCCATTTGTGAGATCCAAGGAAGGCCGCTAAGACCTGCACTACAGCACTGGCGATGATGCCTAATGCCATTCTGTGGCAGCCTCTTTGCCTGCTCATCCCTCAAGGCTTGGTCTTAAAGCAAGTGACAGTCGTGGTAATTTTGGGCACGCCCTTTATATCTGACCTTGCTACCTCCATCTTTCTTATGTTGATGAAACTCATGAACATATCCGAGCCTCCACTCCATCGCAGAGCTTCGCACTCATACTTTTCGAGTTTTCACCATAGTTACAAAGGTGTATTGTCACTGGGGCAATATTTCCCTTGATGATACAATTATCAAATCTCAAATTGTGATCCTCTTTTCTTTTCTTTTCTTTTCTTTTTTTTAGGGGGGGGTGTTTTTGTTTGGTGGTATCATCATTTTTGTGTGCACGAACCGAGTTACACCTCAACTAAGGTGAGAAAGGTCGGGGGAGCAAAACAATAACATTGAAAGCGGCTTGTATAATTCACTAAAAAGCAGTTTATTGAAGGAGACCCTTTGTTGGGGCGTCTTGATGGTAACCTTCAAACTTGAAGTTGCGATAAATGGCGGCAAAGTCTTGGGAGGCCCTTTCGACTCGGATTCCGAAAAATCGGAAATATACCTGCACCTTGAGCAAGGGCTTATACACTATGTGCAATGCCATGATGACAACCAGGCTGTTCAGGCCGGTTTCAAGGTACGAGCCCGCGAAACGAAAGCTATTGACCAGGCAATGGAATAAACCGTTTATGCATGCCTTTGAAATTAAAATGTGTATCGGGTACGATATGCGCTATCGTAGCACAAAGCCCATCACCGTGTGCACACTAACCTAAGTCACGCTAATTTAAATAGCAGTCGTATAATATCGAGCTAGTTAGACATGCGGGAGGTCCATGGTGTCGAGAACGGGTTAAACCTGAAGATACCGCCCATGTCCTATTCCTAACCAGCTTAGGAGACCCTGACTCACGGACTATTGTGAATCGTATAATGCATGATCGTCCATGGATAGGGTCAAGGGTACCTTGATCGGAACTGGTCTTTTCAGCGGGCCGAATGATCTGTGCTTAGCTTTGTTGGAGAGCTTCATGCGTGGTGGATTATCAAATTTTGGTCACTTTCATCTATTGAGATATCCCATCGGAAATGGGAATTTTCAGGATCCCTTTGGAGACAAACTCGTGATATGCTGGCCTTCAGCGAGAATGCTCTTTCTCGCATCATCGCGTCCTATAGAGTCTCAGCTCGGAGACAAGATATACCTTCGGAAACCCCCTGCTACCTCCTACTAGAGCTCCCTACCGTGAATGTCAACCGCGAGTTACTTGACGGCACGTTTGGATTAGCATGTCGATCAGTTGTCGCAATAGCACATCCCACGACAAGAGGCCAGGCTCGGCAAATCTACAGTCCGGGGGAGGGGGGGTGGATGGGAAAAAGGAGGACGAGGACTGGATCGACTGAAAGACAAAACGATTGACAAAGATACCAGCGGTGCGCAACTGTATGAATGGGCATGTCAAACATGCTGTAGTTGATAGCCGCGACATCTATATGTTTTCCTGGATAGCTGGGCGTATACGTATGACTATCACCTCACCAAGTACTCGCGACCAACAATAAAAGCCTACGTCTCCAGGATGAAGCTTTTCACAGACTAGCGGGCTGCCATCATGCTATTTTTCCTCAATTGGATGGCTAACGCGTACTTCTTCAATGGACGTATCTTTGGACGGTCTGAGAGGGATAGATAGGGCGGGCCGGTGTTACCGCAGAAGTCGGTTTCTAGTAACATATTCTTTTGTTCTTAACCACCACATTCCAATCTGTCGCAAATACCGCCTTGCTTCGATTCTGGTTTCGACCATCCTTCGAATGCCATCTTTAGCCAGCTTTGCTCGATAAAAAACGGCTACAATTCCAGCGAATGCAAAGATTGATCCAAAGGAAAACGCGGGATATCCGTGTGGTTCTTTCAGATGAGTTACTTCCCGCAGCATGGGGTTCCTATTTTATGCATTTCCAATACGAAACTGCGAACACTCTAGATGATCAGCTCAACAGTTTCTTGCACCAAGGAGTTCCTTTTCCAATTTGAATACCATACTCCAGGGGCACATATAGGAATCCCGTGTTTCTCAATGCGACCACGCTCCATGCCATCCGTTTCATCACGCCCGGTCATTGAACCGTCCTCAACTGAACATTGCAGGAACCTTTCGTAACCTACTTCATTCTTGGCGTATTGCAAAGCCCGAGGATCAGCTTCACCTTCGTGGCTATGGTCGGAGTAATTGACGATGACAGACAACCAAGGTCTGCCCCTTAGTCGGAGAACCCGATAGTAACCATTTCCTGACCGCCGTCAGTTCTTCCTGACTCGAGGAGATCATTAAATGAGATTGAGAAAACGACTTACTTGGCTGCAATCGCGACGTTTGGGGCTTGTTTCGAGAACGGAATATGATTCATGCTATTATTTCCGTTCATTCCTCAATGGTCCCTCAACCAAAAACTGCTTGTAGGATCCGTGATTTAACAAGAAACACGGTCAGTTTCGCTAATTCGAGATTGACCGTCTCCTAGATCGAAGTTCTCCCTTTGTCCGGTTTGCAAATACTGCAGAAGCTGACCAAGGAGAGTCTTTCGTCTCCGTGCTCATCCCACAGACCCAGGCCGGAGACCAAGACTGTCGTGTTGAGACCAGGGAGATGCTTTAGCGTAGTCCATACGCAGCCAGCGAACTTGCCATCCTGGCCTTGTCGATTTAGCTTAGTTCTCATGGGGCGCTAGGTATCAAAACAACGCATCGGGACACCTTTGGGCTGGGCGAAAGATTGGTTTGCGGCTATTACTCCCTGTTTATTGTGCGAAAGTTATCCACGCTATTCACGGGATTGATAGTCAGGGGTAATGGCCAAGATGCTAGAAAAAACATGGGAATGATTCCTTATTGCCCTGTCCCTGCATCAAGCGGGTATGTTTGCATTGACATATATTCCCTGCCCTCGCCTGCTTATTGCGAACTCATCCTTGCAGGCCTTCACTTGTGAAAATAACACTCGCCGTCAAGCGCGGAGTCCAATGAAATAGGCCATGGACTGGGTATGCTGTGAATCGTGATCATCAGCAATCCTGAGGCAATGCGGAGACAGGCGATAGCGGTGAAGTTATCAGAGCTGACGCTACAAGGTCACTCTCGCCTCAGACTTTGGAGAGACTTTGCCAATTGACAAGGTTAAGAATGCTGAGAGCAGCTTTTCTCTGGGCAGGAGGACTGAGCTAAAGAAGAGCATATACGACCAGGTCTCGTATTTTTGCCGCTTTGAACGTCGTCCGCATTCTCCGCGGGGCAGCTATCGCGAGCTGATTCCCGTCAGCGAGGACCTCTGGGCATTCGAGTCCAAGCCTCGAGAATGTAGCCCAAGGACGATGCTCTTTTCTTGTGTGTGAAATGCTCAAACTCTGTCGTGATATTTCGTTTTATAGTGAGTCTCCTCGGGGTTCAGGTTCTTGTCAACTCGGGGTTCGATTTATTGGACCATTAGGTAACTAATACCACTGCCCACAACGGCAAGATATCGAGTGCTTCATGGCTGCCGGCTGAGGGCCAGAAGATGAAGCCAGACCAAGAGAGAGGACACTAACAATTACTATGAGCTAAATTAAATCCTGTTTACTTCCGAATAAATTTTCTCCGGGGACCGACGATGAACGTTTTCCTCCTGCTCCGTCCACGCTTCTAACATTTTCTAAGAATAACCATCCTCATGGGCGGCGGAGAGCTGAAGATTCCCGTATCCGTGAATTGATCGTCGACAACATGGCGGTGCTCGGTCGTGATGTGGGCCCTAGTCAGACGGGAGGCGATCTTGGAGTGACCAAGTCTGTAACGGGAGATTCGGGCGTGCGTCGACCGTCAAGTTGAGTTTGTTAGTTACAAAACCATTTTTCTCGAAGAATCGGCTCGCCAGCCTGCACGAGTTACGGAGTACGGAGTAGTGAGTTAAGAATTGTGCAGCCGCAAAAGTGAGTGCATTATAGGGCGCTCCGGATTCGTCGGTTTACGGTATGCACGATGCAACTTGTATTTCTTTTTTCTCGTTTGGTCGCAGACTTTCTTAAATTAGAGATCGAGCCCACTCTACACGCATGCACACACATTAAGATGTGGCCCGCTGCTGTTGGCAGCTTTTTCGCCTGTTGCGTGGCGCATCCTGCAGATGCTTGCCTTATTAGGTGTTAAACAACTCGTCACGATGCAAGGCGATTGGCGCGCCGTCTTTACCGGTCCAGCCGTCACAACTGACCACACAGAATACCCACGAGCGTTTTCCAAAATCGTAACATCCCCGGGAGACTGGTATTGGAAGATGACGGAGGGCGCGCAGCTGAACACAGTAGAATCTAAAAATGGGAGAGAGGACGGCAAAACAGAACTGCATTGTCTCGCGACCTGAGACCCTTGGCACAAAACCGTTGGAGGGTAATTAAAAAAAAAGCTACGACGCGCACGGTTGAGTTGGAGGAAGGGTCCCAGTGAATATTCACGCCGATCACATTCATCCCCTGAAAAGGGGAGTCAGATCCCATGTCGACTATGGAAGAAAATTCGTGATAACAATCCTGCAGTCAGCTTTCTCCGTTCACGAAAACTATGCTCTAACAGTTTTCCCCTTGATAGGGTATCACTCGGCTTACCGGGGTCGGACTCGGTAGTGCACGCTAGCGGCGGAGGTGTGAACAAGGATCCCGAGGCCGCGCCGGGTATTCTGCGTAGTCGCGACGTTCGAAGTGCAGTTGTCTCTTCCAGCTACCGCTTTGAGTAGCCAAGGCTTTGCTCACTGGAGTTCAGATCAATCAACAGAGACTCTTGACTCTTGGAGCTTGCAAATCTAGTTCGAGAAGAGGAGCCGAGCGGCACGATGCATAGACATCCTAGTACGGGCAGGCTCAACTGCATCTCTCGGCTCTTTGGATTTTTATTCTGCAATTCACTGATGAATAAAGACTGATTTTGGTCATTCTTCGGGTTTTCATTGATAATATTTAAGTAAATCGTATGATCACAAGATAACGATCCGCCCATAGTCGTTGAAATGATGAGACAAAAGTGAGAGCCGGTCGGGGATCTGTCGACATGTGTGCTTGATTTTGCCGCGCTAGTTACTTGATGACTCGAAGATGTCTGCCGTTTCGATTGGTTGGAGGGAAAATCAGACTTTTTGGCCGGTCAAGGATCTGCTTTTAGCTGCTCCGTAAAACTTTTTGACTTTTACTTTGTTGGGTGGTATGAAAAGCGCTTGCCGATGTCCACTATTGAGACAAGACATGCGAGGTTGAGACGCAGAGATTCAACGGCAAAGGAAAAAAAGCCAGCCAATATTCTCAAAGGACCAACAGAAAACTTGTCAAGTGATTTTCACAAAGAATGCAGCATGAGAATGATCAACTGAACGCGAATCTACAAGGGCCCTAGCGATGAGCATTTCTATGAGCCAAGATAAACTCCCAAGAGAGCCAAGGCAGGTCAAGGGGGGCGGCGGGATTGAAACATGTTTAATTTCACCACGAGCCTCCACAAAGCTTGGGCCTTCTCATGCAGATGGCGTGATTGGTGACCAGGAATTTTGCAGGTGTTTTGTGCACACGCTGCAAGGTGAATTGACGATGGCCATCAATATCTGGGGTAAAAATGCGGAGAACCCGAGAAGTTCTCTCAAGGCATGGCAATCGGATGGGCCAACTAGGTTGTCCATAAGGGGAGCAAGGAAGCCAGAGGCGTCAATAGCAGTTGTTCCCCTTAGTGAGTCTCCCTTCCTCCCCGGAGAAGCATCTCCATCTTCTCTTCCAAGCAAAGAGCCGAAATGAATCTAATTTTAATCACAAAATCGAGTCTTGGAAATGAGACACCGGGCACTACGCTTCGGTATGGTGTAGCCGAAACTGCCCATTGTGGTACTTTTTCCAGCCCAAATTAAGCCGGTTTCTCAGGGTGTTTTGGATGGTTGCATGGTTCTGGACATCCCGTGCGAGAACGGACGATTTTCCCCACAAATGTAAAAGTTCTCCAAAAAACATACGACCGTCCAAGCGCAGTGACGATTGCAAGAAACCAGGCTCGCAACCATATGATGCATTCCCTGTTAGAAGGGACCGTCGAGAAGTGCGCAGGGACCAAAGCCGAAAAGAAAGGCCAAGGAGCCACCAAATCTCCATGCATTCTAGAAATGAATGGGATCAGAACCCCCTAGTCCATGGCAACACCCCGGGTTTTTGTTACGAACCCCAGACACCAAAACTGACTTTTGCCGCAATCGAATTAGGTAATATTTCTGCGTTGCTGGTTTGCTACCCGTTCGTTTGCCTCGGCTGCCTCAAGAGGCTCTGAACGCCATTGCTGACATCTCTTGGCTGGCCACCGGCTTTTACGCAGAGCCAGCAGGTATGGATGCATGTACGCACGTAGATGTACGTTCATACATACCTAGATAACATACATATAGATACAACGCGTGTGTGGAGTAAACAGACACGGAGCCTTCAAAAGTGCCTAAACTCGGGGATCCGAACCGAATGCTCGGTCGGGGTGGGGTGAAGCGGCTAGTCTGACTACCCGAGCAGACCGAACGGATCGGATCGGGAACGGGGAATTATTATTTTGGGCGTGGAGTGAAGGGAGTGTATGGAAATGAATTTTGGGCATCGCAGGAGTGGGCTGTATTTCGCGCACCAATTCATCTCGACTGAATCTTGATACTGTTGTCGGTGTTGGCTCAGGGTTTGTTGATATTTCGGGATACGACCTTCATGGAGCCAGCGTGGGATCACGTGCAGCCAGGGTAGTTCCAAACTTGCGCCTGCATAACTGCGGAGGCCCGGTTTCAGCGGAGGCCATGCCCAACAGCCAACTTGGGTTTGTGCTTACTGGCTAGTGAGGGCCTAACCGGATATGTTGCTTTGATTGGCTGCCATCGATACTGGCAGTGCGAGTTCAGCTCCGTTGGTTGGATCTGTTTGCCTGGTTTGCCTCCCCGCTGGGCGATGCGGACGGCGGGACGCAGGTGAGATGGCGTCTCCCTTGAACGAGACATCCCCGTCAAGAATACCATTCCCATCAGCTCTATCCTTGACGATTGCCAACGTGCGGGCGCGGGGATGTCCATGGTTGCTCGAGGAGAAGGACTGTTTGCACGAGAGTTCTGGATATCTCGGGTCAATTTCGGAGCGCATGGGTGCGGTCGTCGCTGTTGACAATCGCACGGACTTTTGTGTGTGGAGCGGAGCTGTCGTCAAGCACATGGCTTTTTCCATGGCTGCAACTTGCAAGGCTCAGGTTGCGATGCACATATCGTATGTGGGCAGCCATTTAGTCGGCTGGCATGGATGGTGACTCAAGAGCTTTACCTAACGTCAAAAGGTCGAATACGCGACGGCTCCGCCCAGCTGTGTGGCGTGGTCCGCGAGGTGACGAATTACGTCACGGGCCGCACTCTGTTTGCACGTCCTGCGGCGGTTGTTCGATGTTTTGGTCAGATAATAGCGTTGTATTCGTGTCGGTACTGAACGCTGCCATTAGACGCTAAAATGACACGTTCGTTGATTCATCTCAGATCGAGGCTCGAGTTCTACGAAAATCCTTGCTCCTGCTACCCCACGGTTTCTATGTGCGCTTCCCCTGGATGACCAGGCCCTGCAAGGCACCCCTAGTCAATGCGTCCACCCTTGCTCTGCCACCCAACATGGAGGCCGATCTTCCTTCAGAATACGCGATAGGGAAGGAAAAAAGGTTTTCTAAAAAATAAAAAATAAAAATAAAAATACGCACAAATGAAATGAAACGATGAATCAAATTGAAACTCTAGAAGAGCTTTACCGGAATCCTAGGCAATCCCTGCCTATAGCGCTCTCGCATCCTGAATGCTCCTAATCTCGAGGTCGGAAGACCTTGGGTACCTTTTTTTTTTTCTTTTTTTCCACTTCGTCAAAGATCGCCAAGCGAAGTTCCCAGATACCCCAAGGTTCCTTTGCTCTTCGATTTCAGGCAGCTCCCAAGTGTCTCACAAGAGCTGCATGGTATCATGACACGAGGACCGCAGATGCCAATGTCTTGAGTTCCTCTAGCCTCACTCCATTTTTCCGTCTTGTCCCGCTCGGCGGCGGAAAATGCGAGGTCGGGGGCAAAAAATAATAAAAAAATAAACGAATATGGGAAAAAAACACGATCTGTGTTTCCTTTAAGCCCGCTGTTTCAATTAGTGCGTGAAAATGTTCGGGGATCAGGGGGGCAAAGCGCCTTGCTAGGGGCATCCTTCTTCTGCAAGGCGGATACCGATGGCTTCACTCTCGAGCAATATCAAATGTAGATAAATGAGCCCTTCCGCACCTTCATGTGGCTGCCCTTGATACAGTCTTTCCACAGTCACTTCTCTTGAGGACCACCATATCCTAAGAAACAGAAAGCGAAGTGAGATCCAAGGCGAAAGAAGGCAAAGAATTCAGATAATATGAAGTACACTTCAGCTCTTCTCGCCGGCTTCTCAGCGCTCGCGAGCGCAGGAGTTTTGCCAGGACAGTTCGAGAAGGGTATTCCCGTTGGCGAGGATGGCAGGGGTGCTCCATTTGCTGGTATGCATTGATCATTCTAATTCCTCGCCGCCGCTAGTCACTGGAAGAAACAATGGTCGCTGACAGTTCGGTATGACATCAGGTGCTACCAACCGCGAAATCGATTTGCAGAACCCCAGCGCCCTCGGTGCATCCACTGACACGGATAGTGGTTCCGTTCCAAATCTGAAATGGAGTTTCTCTCTTTCGAAACTCAAGATGTTCCACGGCGGCTGGCTACGTGAACAGGTCAAGACAGATTTACCAGCCAGTAATGACATTGCTGGCGCTCAAGTGCACATGAGCAAAGGAGCAATTCGACAGATGCATTGGCACCGAGTTGTATGTTGGATCAACAGAGCAATATCTTGGGAGGCTTCTTTACTGAGAACATCGTTACAATAATAGGCCGAATGGGGTTATGTGTACGCCGGCCGAATTCTCCTATCCGCTGTCGATGAAAACGGCCAATTCCAGCTGGACTACCTCGACGTTGGAGACATGTATTATTTCCCCAAGGGAACCGCTCATTCTCTTCAGGGTAAGGCCCGCAATGCCACTCCTACCAGCTGCCGGTAAGGTTAGCCAGAATGCTCACAAGCGGACTTTCTAGGTATGGAGGATGAAAACGAAGTCCTGCTGTGCTTCGACGACGGTGACTTCTCTCGCGTTGGGTATGTATCGTGACCGCTCCAAGGGATGGGCGAGATTCTAATAGCGTGATAGAACCACATTTATGATTAACGATTGGATTACCCATACGCCAAAGTCTGTCCTTGCTAAGAACTTCGGCGTTCCCGAGGGCACCTTCGACACATCGTGGAACCCCGATCCTAGTGTTGTTAACTCGACTGTCAGCATGAAAAATGTGACTGGTCCGGCAGGAGAGTTGATGGGTAACAGCTCCTACGTGTTCCACAGCCACCCGTCGCAGCACAAGGAGGTTCCTGGACGTGGAGGAACTATCCAGATTGTTGATTCACGCAATTTCCCCATCTCCAAGACCATTGCCGCAACTGTCGTCACCCTCAAGCCAGGCGGTCTCCGAGAACTCCACTGGCATCCAACTGTAAGACAACATGATCCGGAAAAGTTTTTGCGGTCTAATCAGTGAACTAACGGCTTATTACCCACACCTAGGCTGAGGAATGGCTCTACTTCCACCAAGGTACTGCACGCGCAACCGTGTACATCGGTGCCGGCAACACCCGAACCTTTGACTTCCAAGCAGGTGATGCTGGTGTCTTCCCAGACAATAGCGGTACGTATATCCATTTTCGAGTGGGCACCATTTTCAACGGAATGAGATTAACTGACTGATCCTTACAGGTCATTATGTTGAAAATCTCTCCGAGACCGAAGACCTTATCTACCTCGAAATTTACAAGGCTGACCGGGTTGCTGACATCTCTCTCGGCCAATGGCTTGCCCTGACTCCATCGGACATAGCTGCTGCTGCCATCAACGTACCCATCGAGGTAATTGAGAATATCAAGAAGGAGAAGCAGTTGTTGATTGATCCACATTTCGCCTAAAGTATTACGTCGGAGGCGTAGTCACGCCCTGACAGATGTTCCTTTCATTTCTTCTAGCTCTCTTTTCTACCTTATTTCCCCGGTGTTCTAATACTAGACTTACCTTTCCCCCCTTCTCACCACCCCTGGACCCCTTATCCGCGCTTGTACATATACTAAACCACCCGGCAACCATTGTTACCCCGCCGTACATACCCCTCCTCACGATGCTCCCCGACATATTTTTTTCTTTTCAAAGGCTATGTTAGAATTCTTTGACAAGAGCATATCTTTGTCCTTTTTTTTTTTTTTTTCCTTTGTTGTTGTTGCTTCCTTTCCTAATCCCAAGGGAGATGGACTTCTATCTGATTTCCTATGTGACCAGTGCTTTCTGTTTATGCACAGCAAGTCGTCTGAGCCATCGTACTCAAAAAGCGAGTATGATTTTGTCGAGTTACACATAACCTACATAGAAAGGAAATCGGAAAGAGTTCCAGAATCCTGTTCAAATTAGCTAAGGCGGGCCATGTGTCGACCCATTCATCCTGGCCACCATCCGTGTGAGCAAATTTGCCCTGTATCCATGCGCTGTTGATGCATCCGTCCGCCGGGGATGTGCATGTGTGTGTGTGAGAGAGAGAGAGGTGATAGAGAGCTGGCATCATGGAATCCCTGTGCGCGGCTCGACTTGTTACGAACTAATAATATAATAGAAATTGACTGAAGGAGATAACAGGGGCCGATCACCTGATTTGGCGGTCGCAAACACCCATGCTCCCGATCTTCGCGATCCGCTGCGCTCGCGTTTCATCCTTCTGCTCCCTCGAATACAAAAGAGCCCCATGTGAGTTCCCTAGGCACCCGGTCCTAACGGTTGGAAGAGCGAAAAAAAAAAAAAAAAACAAAAGTTAAAAATAGAGGAAACAAGAGCAAAAACGAGAAGGAGAAAATAGCTGCACATGCGGCTTGGGGAGCTGCTTGGTTGGGCCTGACGGGATGCCATGTAACCCTTTTCCCGTCCTTGGTGTGTGTCACTCGAGACATACTTTTTCTGCGGTTGTCCCGAGAGGGGGGAATAGCAAACGATTGAATAAGATTAACTGTTAAACTTCGTACTTCGTACGGAGAATCGTGTTCGCCATTGATGGGTCTCTCTTCGATGCATACGTGCCATGGGTACACACATACATCATTTGTGTCATCGTTTTGCGAGAGGGGCGGGATCAGGTGGTGATACGTGATCAACGGTGGAAGAGGCAAATAGCTTTATCTCTTTGTCTTGTTTCCATCCCATCTGTAGACACACTTCCCGCTTCAATGCTGCTGCTTTCTTGGTCATTTGGTCGCTTTTTTTTTTTTTTTGTTCTCTTTTTTGTTTCGGGTCTAGTTCTCCTTGATGTAGCTTGGCGTCTTCAAGGTAGAGTCAATATTTTTAGGGTGTCATCGCAGCTGGATGCGGTGACTCGAAGGGGAAATCGGTGGCCAGGCCTTGGCGGCAGTTTGGCATCGAACTGACATGCCGCGTTGTCGACGTCGACGAGTTGAGTAGCTCCGCTTTTGGCCACTGAAGAGCGGTTCTCCTAGGGTATCTCTACGGTAGTTGGATCATCTCAAAGAACAGTGCCAGGAAACTGAATAATAGGAGTTTTATTCCGTCTAGCGACTCCTCCGCCATGGAATCTAAACGACAATATCTGTACAATTCAAGGATATTTCCATTCTAATAACACATCACTGCGTCACCCTCCCACTGGGACAGCCAGAAAAACTTCTTCCTTAACACATCTGCTCCTCTAATTGGGTGTCAGTGAACACACTGTGCCCGTGTTTGAGTCATGGCTGGCTTGGTCTCATTGTAGGTACCACACAAGTAGCATCTATCTCTTGATAACCATGGCATCCAAATCCTCACGCTCCTTTTGCTCGCGCTCAACCTCTTCAATGAGAGGGCGGAGGTAGCGGACATCCTATGTTGCGTTGCCGCCAGATTAGCAAGCAGCCACATGGCCATGGATGCACTGATATAAGCAAAGCGGCTGGCTTTGGGCGTGGGCTTACCTCCTGCGGCTTGGTGTGCTCGCTCACTGGCAGAATCTGCTGCTGCAATGAGAGCTATTGATAATCACACAACTTGTTAACCACATTTTTCCTGACCGTCACTATCACCATCACTTGCGTGTCTCCTGTTTTTTGCTCAACTGAAACATCCAAAGAGGGCAAAATAAAAAAACCTACTTGGAATGCTCGTCGGAGGCGGTAGATACGGTCATAAGCCTCCTTGGGAGGAAGTCTCTTGAGGGCCTGCTGGACAACATCGTTCTCTTCGGGGATCAGATCGTCATATCTGTTTGGTTTCCAAAACACATCAGCACCCGTGGTCGGTTGGGGGTTGTTATCGCGGAGGGGCGCCAATGGCACTGGATCGTTGTCGCTCCATCGCCTGCTCGCCCCAGCTGCACGCACCTGAGTCCCATCTGTCTGTATCCGGCGGCATTGGTGTACCACTGGGCCAACGGCATTGCCATTCGCTTTACCCACGGCACCTCGAAGGTGCGGGCGACAATGTTAGAAAGCGACATCTTGGACGAGCAAAAGATCAGTCGATCGTAAATATGTCGTTCGGAATGTGCGGAATCGGTTATCACCCCAATTGCTAGCAAGTTGGAGGCGGTTCTGCCGGCTGACAATTGGTGGCTCTTTGATTGATCGCAAGAGATGATGTTGTGGAAAAACGCCAGCGCTCGGACCAACTCGGCCAAACTGGAACCTCCGAACCCCAAAAAATCTCGTGACCATGAGGAGAGGTTTCCAAGGAGAGTCCTGGTTTGGTGGCTGTCCTCTCTCTCTTCTCTCTTCTCTCTCCGCACAACCTGCTCTGCTGTCTCTGACTGGTGGTTTTAGTCCGTCGACCACAAGCGCACTGTCTCTTCCCTAGAGCACTGTTCACAGCTCTTCCCTTTTTCTTTCATCCTTTTACTCAATCCTTGGCTTACTTCATCTGGCTATCTCCCTTCTCTCCATGAGCATGAAAAGTGCAGATATCTAGCCTGCTTTGCTCCATCTCGGAGCTGCGAGGGTTGCAGACCCCGCAGGACCGCTGCTTACTATATCGCGCCAGTTAAAACCTCCCCCCGCTGCCCTAAAAATTCGCTCCTCGGCGGAAAGTCGCAGATTTATATTCAGTTTTGTGCGACCGTTCCATATACTCCCACATCTTATCGAGGTTCGAGCCGGGAAGCCCGACCTTCTCCGCATCCAAGTTTGCATCCATGAGGCGTCCCTGAGTGAGAGAAAAGTGAGAATCTGCTCGATATCCCGTCAATCATGTCTCCCAGCGACACCAACCTGCCTGAGGGTGTCGCCGGCTCATCCCGGAAGCAGCAGATCTCACATCATCCAGAACCACATTCTTCTGTCCCACAACTGCACCCAAATGCGTCGCCTCCTCCGGGATCCTCTCCTCTAACCAGTATTCAGATATACTCCACGCGCATCCCTCAAGCATGGGTTACGCCGTTCTGTGGAGCAAGTGCCGGTATCGCATCCGGAATAGTGACTTGTCCCTTGGACGTTATCAAAACAAAGCTACAAGCCCAAGGTGGATTCCAGCTAAGGCGAAATGGAAAGCTGGTCGAGACGGGCACGTTGTACAAGGGGATGTTAGGAACCGGAAGAATGATCTGGAAAGATGAAGGCGTCCGCGGATTATATCGAGGGCTAGGGCCCATGCTTTTGGGATACCTGCCAACTTGGGCCATCTATTTAACGATCTACGATCAGTCTAGAGAGTATTTCTGGGAAAAGACAGGTGCGTCCAGCTAGACTTTTGAAAGCGTAGATAATTTGCTAATCCATTGCGCCATAGAAAATTGGTGGATGGCCCGTGGTTATGCATCCCTCACGGCTGGAGCCTGCTCAACGGTGGCCACAAACCCGATTTGGGTCATTAAAACGAGGCTCATGTCGCAAAGTTTTACTCCCTCAACCAATGGTTATCGTGCGCCCTGGTATTACAAAAGCACGCTAGATGCTGCTCGCAAGATGTATGCGAGTGAAGGAATAGCCGCATTCTATTCTGGTCTTACCCCTGCATTGCTTGGTCTATCCCATGTCGCCATCCAGTTTCCTCTTTACGAATACTTCAAAATGGCCTTTACAGGGTTTGGGATTGGAGAGCATCCAGACGAAGGTAATACTCACTGGCTAGGAATCAGCGCTGCTACTTTCCTTAGCAAAATCTGTGCCAGTACAGCCACATATCCTCACGAAGTGCTGCGAACTCGCTTGCAAACACAGCAACGAGGTGATCCAGCTCCATCTCCCGAAGGAATCGCATTTCGTGGCGGTTTGGAACAGCCTCAGGACCATGGCCGACCGCCAGGTTTAGGCGCTGGTGCATCATCTTCAGATGGCATGCGCAATCGCCCACGCTACAGCGGAGTGATTCGCACGTTTCAAACTATTCTTAAGGAAGAGGGATGGCGGGCATTCTATGCCGGAATTGGCACAAATCTATTTCGTGCAGTCCCAGCCGCGATGACTACGATGTTGACTTACGAATATTTGCGGAATATCATACATTACACTCAACACGAGGGAGATAGAATCTTGACCGAGGAAACGGTGTCGGCTTATTAACTGCGAATAATTCATTATTTAAAAAAAATCCTGAAGGAATCTGGAAATGTACAGTGGGAAAGGATCCTCAATGACCAGCTTCAGATAATCTTTTTCCCGTGGGTGACCAGCCTTGCGCGATATCCGAGCGAATAGACCATAGCCTTCGTTTTCCTCTGCTTCTCCTTCCCCCTTCCCTTTGCATCCCGTGGCCTTTGCACTTTCGTCTTGTTACTATTTTAATATTCGATTAGGCTGGCTTGTCAGGGACTCGAGTTGTAGAAAAAGACATTAACCATTCTACAAGATTTCTCCTCTTATTTTCTCTGCTTTTTCATGATTGGCGTGGAAGACGCTTTTATTATACCCGCCTTCTCCAGCACGGCCTGGGATTCTAGGAAACCTTCTTATCTCTTATTGCTAGGCGCATAACCGGTTCATTGTACAAAGAACCCGTTCAATTCTGATGATCCTGCTACGTACCGATGGCCTTCAGGATAACTCTTTTCCACTCTGTCTGGACATTATCACGACACCCAGCCCGTCTTCGCCGAAGTTTGCCTTAATCAACTTTCGTTGTGCTGAAGCCACTCTACATCTTGGTTCTAGGTTCTAGTTAACAGCTTTGTGGCCCAGCTGTTGATGGATCCATGCCCTCCTGGACCACCATGTAGTCCAGACCTGTTAGATCTAATTCAGTGCTCATTGCCGAGTTGCTGCTTTGGGTCTGAAGGGCCATCGCTGGCCCTCTTCTTCTATTTTATGCCTTGGATGTTTTTCGTCTGGGATGATCTAAGGGTTTCTCTCTTGGACGGTCACTTGTTTCCCTTGAAAAACTTCTATGCAATTTTGCAGCATGAGCGCATAACTCGGTGCTGATAGTCATTTCATTTCCACGGAACACCGCCAACCGTTCCCACAGATGTGAGATATCCTAGTAACATTAAATTATGGCTTTTCAGGAGAAACGAAATCAGAGCCGAAGATGTACACGTGTATCCTTTGCGGAGCAAAGGGGCATAAAAAGTACACTTGCTCTCCGAGTGGAGATAGATACTCCACACTGATCTTTCTCAACGTCCACTTCCTCTCTGTCTTTCCCCTAATATACATCCTCTACCCATTGCGGTTGGTTACATTTTGTCATCTATTGGGTTCCTGGCACTGGTTTTTGGAACTGAGTTAGAACTGCTCCCCAACAAAACCCAACATATCTATATCTATTAATATACACGTAAAATATATATGCAAACGGGGCATGTCTATTAAACGAAAATCAGAGTTTAACAGCGAAAAAGAAATGTCGAAAAGGGTCGAGGGGACGCCGCAGTTATCTATGTAGAAAAGGTTTAATAAATCTAGAGAAGCTGGTTTGCCAGCCCTAATCTCCCTCTCACCGACAGCCACCGCTCATATATTCCCAATTTCATTTCCACGCGAAGGTATGACGCCCATGCACGGATAAATTGCAGGAAGTTACGTGGCCAAAAAATGCTACCGTGTTGGCGAATGGATTCCATCTGTTCCTCGAAGACGGTACATGTCGCATAGCGAGCGAGGATAAGAAATGCACGCAGAGGGCCGTGACGGGTATGTAGGTTTTCATCGAGGGATCGAGCTAAACGACACAATTTCGATTAATCACGTGTAGAGAAAATGAATTGATTGTTTTGAGGACAAGCAGCGGACAATACCTACTTAGATCATTTGTCTTAAGGATTAATAGAATGATCCGCGGTACTTTGCCCAGCAAAGTGACCAGGTCCTGTAGCATTCCGTCGCCCATGGCGTCGGAGATAACCTTCTTTTCGTCGACAGATCTCGAAGATGCGATTGCCTTGCTTGCCACAACACTATAGTCTCTGCCTGTGATGGCGCTGGCGAAAAGCGGGAATTCATCATTCGTTATACCAGCCACCTCATGTGCATACTTTCGCATTCCTTTCTCGTCTGCTTCCACGATAGAAAGCCACAGTTTGGCGTAGGCTCTTCGGGTTTCTCTAGGTATGTCACGATAGAGCCCATGGTCATAGAGGATAATATCAAAGTTGGGCTTACGCCGTAAATTATTTTTGCGGATAGCAATGTTTCCACCATGAGGGTCACAGTGGAGAGGTGCGTCCTCGCCAAATATCATTTCATTGAAGATGTGTGCGAGGGCCGCTGAGACTTCATCTCGATCGATTTTATTGGAGTCGAGGTACTCGAGATCATCGGGTCGATGCCCAGAAATGAAGTCCATGACGAGGATTCGTTCCTTTGCCCACATAACTAAGCAGTCACTGGTTAGCTTATCGCAACTCCATTCCAGCAGGGCCTGTAACTACCTTCTGGGATGACCAAACGTGCTTTTGTTCTCGTCTCAAAGTATTCTCTCGCCCTCCTTGCATTTTCCGCCTCCATACGAAAATCTAACTCCTGGGGTAGCGACATATCCATTTCGTTTGACAACCACTCGAGGTCATACTCCGGGAAGAACTTTTTCAGCATTGAGAACGTGAATCTTGTAAGTGCCAAATCCAGCGGAACCCATTCCGCCAATGCAGGGTGCTGGACTTTGACCGCAACCTTTTGCCCATTCTCCTTTAGCACGGCAATATGCACTTGCGCCAGGGAAGCCGCGCCTATCGGTTCCCTCTCAAAGCTGGAGAACAGCTCATCTATCCTGTGTCCCGTATCTTTGACGAACATCTCTTCAACGGATTCATACGAGGAAACGGGACATTTGTCCTGAAGAGGGATGAAAGTCGTCGTCCACTCCAGCGGCAACAAATAACCCATACTACTCAAGTGTTGTCCGAGCTTTATGAATATTGAACCATTTTTTTCGAGCACACGTAGTGTCCGTTCGGCGCATCGCTTATGGCAGGCTTTAAGGATCGTGGCTTTTTCCTCGTCGGAGCCTGGGTTTTGGTTCAGGGTTACCCTATAACTATAGCGCACGAATAGGAAAGAAATCAAGAAAATCTTTAGCAATTTTGACTTCTCTCTCCTCCGGCTTGTATTCTTTCCCCCAAGATGGGCAATGGCTGCCCAAATCACAAGCTCGCAACGCGGCTATAGACTCTTGCCAAACAGAAAGGAGACCGGCAACGTGACAGAAAAGGGGTCATCAGAAACTCACTCGTTAATACACACTGCCAGTGCGGTAATAACCCTTCCAGTCCTCTCAGCAGCATTGTACCCGTGCTTTATATCATCCGAAAACGCAAGCGCTGTGGCACCCAGTGTGCCTCCCGCCGCAGCATATTTCAACGCGCGCCGAGGTCTCTTTTTATGACTTCCACCCGACGAAGAGGCCTTTGTTCTGAACACAGCAGTCGAATAATTTCCGCGCGCATCTGTAGAATGTATAAGCTTTTGTTTTTGCCGGAGACACCTTCGACATGTCCATGGGATCGTCTGCGGTTGGAGAAAGAAAGGCCTTGCAGGAGCGCTCGTGACACCGGCGAACCTTCGGAGAGGGATCCGGGTTTTCATCTCTTAGTTTGGGGAGCAATTTTGCTAATGTAGACTGGAGTGATCGACAGTTAGATCGCTTGATGAAAAGGTATCATGTTGAGCATGGCAATCTTTCAAATTCTTCCAATGGTGCTCACCGTCGACTGCGGGATCCGAGATGACGATAACAATTTATTATTTTTTTGGAACTTTCCGCCGGCGCGGAATTTCCTCATTCCGGATCTCGTCACCCTACATGAATTCTTATCTGATCGCGTGCTCCCTATCTCACAGGTATTGGGCCGAACAGCCTGAGCATGGCTGCAGACTACAGTCCATCGTGGATGGCAAACCTCAGGAAATATCTGTGCATTCAAGCTGGAGTATAAGCCTGTCTCCGCCAAAAGAGCTAACTCTACTTTGGAGCATATCAACACATTCCCGCATTGAGCATGTATTCCATTGCTGGATGACAGGCCAAAACGGCAGGAAATGAAAGAAAAGGTAGCCTAAGAAAATATTAAAAGGGAATGAATATCAGCCTCCAAGAATGGCTGTAAAATAAAGGAAATAAGGTTTAACAATAACGACCTGATCCTCTGAGCCAAGCAACTAGGATGTATGTGTGTATCTCCCCAATGCGCCAATGCTATGCTATGCAATGCAGGGTTATTGAACGTCTCTCAAAGATATACCACTAAAGGGGATGCGATAATAAAAGTAATGGAACAATTTGTGGGAAGGCGATCTCCCAGATTACGTCCACTCTGGCCCGCCATTTGTCGGTCTCCTCCGCCGCGATTGGAGGATGGATGGTCTCCTTGCTGAAGTAGGGGTGCGGGCTTCCTCCTTTTGTTGCGTCAATGGTGTAATTTGTTGCGACAGTCGGTGCGGCAAGCGGAGTTTTCCACTTCCCGGAGCAGCTGGAGTCCCAGTAGAGCTTCTACCATCTCGGCTTCCTGGTCTCAACCCGAGGGAACCATTGAGCCCATTTGAAGAGTGAAGGTTTTCTCTTCCATCGATGTAGAGTTTGGATGCGCCAGTTCGATTTATTTGCGGCGTAGCAGGCATGGAATGGCTTGACATCAGACTCGGAGGTGTGATAGATGTGCTTCTTCGCCTCGTGGACCTTCGTTTTTGGCCGTTCATTTGATCGTTCTCCTCGCTCAACTTGACTAGTTGTGAAGCTAACTCGCGGACAAGAACACGAGAGTCCTTTTGTAATTCTCTAATCGCATCCAAAAGCCCATATCGGCTGAGAAGGCCGCATCTCTCTTCACAAGCGTCACAGATTGTCGATAAAATACGCAACAAGTTGACCCTTACAGCAGGCTTAGTATGATGGAGTTTCTGTCCAATACGTTCAAACATATCCGGCCTTGCAAGTGTTGCCGCAACCGCTGGACTCAACCGGAGAAGTTTCTGAAGAGGTTCCAGGAGGTTCTCAAATGCGTTAGCTTTCGATATGGTAACGCAGCGGACAATCGCGATCGTGAACGGAGGTTCGCCGTTCCGGTTATCTAGCAAATGCTCCTCAACTTTGGCAGTCTCTTCTTGAAGCCTAAACAAAATCATTAGCTGAAAGCTGAAACAAATTGACTAAGGTATTCTTACCAACTAAAGATCGCATCGAGGGCAGTAACCTGCCAGTACGGATCTGACAATAGAGATATATAGAATGCCAAACCCTTATTGCGCCAGAGCTCGCGGCGACCAACCTTACCAGAATGCGCCATATCGCAAAGAATGGGTAAAGCAAACTCCTTTAGTGGCCGCTCCGTTTTCACTATCTTTTGCAGAAGTGGTATTATGCCGTTTAAAGCTGCGTCTTCCTGCCGTGACTTGCTTAGGCGACACATGTTATATATCGTGTTGAGGA